GTTCTTGTTTGCAACTTTACATAAATTTGGTTTTGGGAACTTCTTCATAAACTGGCTACAAACATTATACAGTTCGCCAATTGCACGTGTTAGGACGAACGACCAAATATCAGCTAGCTTCTGTCTTCAGAGGGGGACCAGGCAGGGATGCCCACTCTCCCCCTCACTGTTTGCTATCTTTATCGAACCACTAGCAGCAGCAATTAGGCAAACAACAGGTATTAAAGGGATAAAGTGTAATAAAATAGAACATAAGATCAGTCTTTATGCAGATGATGTTTTACTCTTCCTCCAGAATTCTCAATCGTCTCTGTCTCATTCAATAGAACTGATAAACTCTTTTTCAAAAGTTTCAGATTACTCTATAAACTGGTTAAAATCAACAGTTCTACCAATTAATTTCTCTTTTGTCAATTTACTTAATACTCAACTGGAGTCAGGTAATATCACATACCTGGGAATTAATGTTTCTCCCAAGTTAGCAGATCTAACCAAATTAAACTACATCCCACTTTTAAAGAAAGTGGAGGATGATCTTGCTAGATGGAAATCCTTACCAATATCACTGATGGGAAGAGTTGCTACAATTAAAATGATGGTCTTACCCAGAATAAATTACTTATTTTCAATGATCCCAAACAAACCACCAGCTGACTGGTTTAGATCTCTGGACTCCTCAATTACCAAATTCCTCTGGCAGGATAAACCTCCACGAATTAGCTTAAAAACGCTTCAGAAGAGCAAAGACAGAGGAGGACTGGATCTACCCAACTTTTATTATTATTTTTTAGCCAACAGGCTGCAATATATACCAAGATGGTTGCAAGATAACCCATTAGACGAGTCCTGGTTAGATATAGAACAGACACTTTGCAATACGATAGAGCTTTCAGACTTACCATTTATTAGCTCAAGCGTAAGAAAACATGAAGGCTTCAAAAGTATTAGTATCAGCACTTCTCTGACAGCATGGTGGGAGTATCTTAAAATGACAGAGTCTTCACTAGTACCATGCAGACGCACACCTATCTGGAATAATCCTGATATTTTGCAAAATAATAAAATGATGAACCTTCTGGACTGGAAAAATAAAGGAATCCTATACCTGGAAAACATATATGAAGGATTGGACTTCATCCCATTTAATAGAATAGTCTCCCAATTTGGAATAGAAAAGAATAGCTTTTTAGAATACCACCAAATCAAATCTGTAGTCAAACAAAAATTTAAGCTCAATAAAATAGAATTACAAACCCCGCCAAGGGTTTTAGACTTCTGCAATCTCAAACCCCCTAAACTACTGTCTAAAGTATATAAGACACTGTCCAAAATAGACGATAGAATAGCAATCCCTATTGAAAAATGGGAGGTGGATCTATCAGTCAGCTTTGACCAGAACTTCTGGTCCCAAACTTGTTTAAAAACTTTTAAAATGATCAGACACCCCAATTTACAATTAATTCAGTACAAAGTTCTACACAGAGTACACTATACAGGTCATCGGATGTTCAAGATGGGGTTTGTGTCGTCTGACATCTGTACACACTGCACAAACAACATTCCTGACAATTACGTTCATGCACTGTGGTCCTGTCCACCTGTCCAGGAATTTTGGGGTAGAGTATGTGAAGACCTGTCAAAGTCTCTGAAATGTCATATCCCAATCACCCCCTCTCTTTGTTTACTGGGAAACCTGGATGATGTCCCGATTGAAAAATCTTTGGTTCACGTGGTTCTGACTGCCATATGCATCGCTAAGAAAACTATCCTCTTGAATTGGAAAAATAGAGAAAATCTCTGCATTAACCAGTATAGAAATCTTTTGTTAGATCATATTGCACTTGATTTAGCCTCTGCTTCCACTTCAAATAAATCTCTCTGGGCTCCTTTGATCGGTTCCATCACATAGCGGTGATGGGGGGCCGTTGATGATGTCCTGCGGGATGGTGTGGGTGGGGGGGTGGAGGGTCTGAGTTTGGAGTATCTGGATGTTCCCTGGGGATGGGTTCACTGGGGATGTCTGGCACTGGGGGGCCGTTCCCCCCTCTGGAGGTGCTTGGGTTGCCTCGGGGGGTGTACTGCTGGCGGTTGTGAGTGGGGCCCCTTGGAGGTCTTGGCGGCGGCCATGGGTCACTGCCTGGCGGCTGCATTGCCCCTGGGTGGGTCTGGGTGGGGGCCTGGGGGCTCGGGGTGTTGGGGTGGCCGGCCCCGTGTGGGGATCTGGGCTGGGCCTTGGGGGTCGGGTCCCTACATGTACGCTGCCGGGAAGAAGGCAGGAATACGCAGAAGTACCTGGCCCGGGTTCTGGGGCGTAGGGCAGGCCCTGGCTCCTCTGTTGTCCCATCACAGGGGAGGGGGAGGTCCAGGAGGGGGAGGACCCAACCTTACCTGGATGTCTTATGTCTTATATATTCTGGAAGTTGTGCAAATGCAGGGATGGGCATAGATATTCTGCTGGGGTGGGGCTGGGTCGGCTCCCTCGGGCTCTGTGGGGCTCTGTGATGCTGCTGCTTTGGGCCCTGGCAGGATGGGCTGGGGTCTCCATGCCCTGGGCGGCGGTATGACAACGGAGGTGCCTATTGGGGTCAGTGGGGGAGCTGGCTCCCTGGAGGGCTAAGCCCTACCAGCCATTCCTCCCCATCCCCGTTTATTTCTCTCCTCCTGCTCCCTCACATCATCACACAAACATGCACATAGGACCTTGGGGGGTGGACAAGTCGAGGAGTGCGGGTATGGACCCCATTTCCGCATTCCTGTGGCTTCCCGCCCCCCAATTTTATTTGCACCTTATGCACTTCCACCGACGACATTCCACGCAAACATACACTTAGGGCCTTGGGAGTGAGCACATTCAACGGCACTTGGCAGGGGGAGTTCTCAGCCTCCTCCCGAGTGCCGGTGCCCACTTCGAATTTTAAACTGCATTTAGACACCAAGGGCTGTGGGTGCAAGTAGGGTGGTGCAGTGGCATCAGCTGGCATAGGCCAGAAAATGCCCGCACTGCCCGCTCACCACAGCAATAGAATACACCTCATTAACACACAACACTATGTTGGAGCAGGTGGAGGGAGACCAGGGGGTCTTAGCACACCTCTGTTGTTGCTTGGCTGCCTGGGGCTGGAGACTAGGAGGGAGATCTGGCCGTCTGGTTGGGGTCTGGGGTGGTGGGTTGCTGTGCTCGGCGGTGGGCGGGGGAGCCTGCTCATCAGCACCCCAGCAGAAAGGGTCAAACTCTGGTAACCGGTGGTGGTTGTACCCCATGTGCAGCATTACCGGGACCAGAGTGAATAGGGTGTGTATGGGGAGCATGAATGGGTGTCCGGCGTGTATTTTTGTAAGTCTTTGGTTGTATGTGCATGTGTGAGCATGAGGGAGGGAGTGTGTGACTGTGTTTGTGTATGACTGTATATGTCAGGTGGGGCCTTTGACTCCTCCCTTCTCCTGGGACCTCCTTTGATGATATAGATCTTCGTCTCCCCTCCCCCCTGTCACACCTGGTGTGGGTGTGATGCCTTGGTCTGCCTGAGTGTTCGTGGATCCCGGGTCAGGGAGTTTAAGATTTTTGGCATCTGCCTGATCAATCCCGGTGGCGGCCTGGGGGGGTCTGGGTCCCTGGGCTCTGCTGGGTCCCCGGCGGGGGTGGTCGCCCCTGGGTCCCGGGTCGCTGGGTCCCGGACTCGGCCGGCTAGGGGGTGGGAGGCTGCGGGCAGGCCTGAGGACTTGCCGCTGATATCTCCCGGGGCTCTGCCGGCTGCTGGTTGTGGCCCCACGGGGCGATACTCTGTGCCTCTCGAGGGGGGCGGGGGCCTTTCTGGTTGCGGGCTCCTTGGGGTTCCTGTGTTCTGGGGCAGCGCCTGGATCTCTGGGACTTGGAGCTCCCCCCCGTCTCCTACGCGTCTTTGGGGGGCAGATCTGTGGTCCCTCACACTCTCTATTGGACGCTCCTATAGATAAACCTTACATAAACAAGCGCGTGTACACACACAGGTGCTCACATGGTGCTCTCATAAGTATGGGCTTGGGCACGTTCAACACATGTCTTAAGACTATGGTGGGCACTCAATGCACTGTGGTATATTATCGTGTGACTGTTTAGTTAAACAATGATTGATTATATATTTCTTCATCAAGTTGACGCAGTGATAGCTTGATTTTGTTATATTGGTGTTGTGTCCCATTTTTTTGTTATGTTTTGCTTTTTTCTCGTCTCATTTTGCAGGTCTAGAAGCAGACTCTTGTTCATTATTGTTTATTTTTGTTGAATCCCCCCCCACCTAACCCCCTCTCTCCCCACCTTTTCTCTTTTCCTTTCTCTTTCACCTCTGTCTCCGTGTCTGGTCGAAATTACAAAGCATTCAAAAACAATAACAATAAAGTTTTAAATATCAGGTGCGACATTAAAAGCAGACTCTTTGATGCTCCACCTGAGACATTAAAAGCAGATGCTCTGATGCTCCACCTGAGAGTAAAACTGTAAGGCTTGTTACCAGCATTCAGACATCAATTCTGCTTGCTTCACAGCCAGACAGGACACGTAAAAAAAAAAAAAAAAAAAAAAAAAAAAAAAAAATTAAACATCAGTTTGTAAATACAAAAAATGTAAAAATATGTGTTAAAATTGTGAGCATTTTCTAAACGTAAACCTCCATAGTTGTCAATGCTTTTGTGAAGACAGCAACAAGCTTATTAAACTTTTCCAAAATTCCTACAATATAAATGTTGAAATAATATGAGAATTCACTCTTTGAAATGTCTTTTTATGAAAAGTTTGTGTTCCTCAAACTTGAGGTAAATTAGTTGGATGCTTTTTTTAAAACTGATGAAGAAACATGCAATGTGCAGCTACAGAATAAACTCTCAGAGTTACTGCAAGGACCAACTTAGTGTGCCACCCCAGAAAAGTTATTGGTCCCCATTAACCTTTTTCTGGTGGAGACGCCACTGCACGTTGACTGCAAGTGTTTAATTGACATGTACAGTGTAGCACGAGCCACGTCTCAGCCAATCGCGATCCAGAGTCCAGATCCGGAGAGATTGGAGCCGTTTTTCAGCTGATTACAGCTCCGAGCTGATCGTCAAACAGCTCAATGTGACTGTTGAAATAACCCGTGACTAAACTAGCCGCTAGTTACCGATTTCAACCATTCAATGTCACGTTTTGTTTTGACATAAACTTTCAGGATGTTCTCCTTCCCGCTGCTTCTCCTTCTTCTCTCCTCCAACCGAAGTTGGTTCGGTTTTGTTTCGGCTTCTTCCGCCGTGCCGGACGCTAACGACGCCGTGGTGAGCGTGATGTCTCCGGGACAGAGCCATCTGACCGAGGACTCTCTCCGCTCCTTCTTTAATACACTGCAGACCCGTGTGCAGTGTGGTGGCGTGCCGTGTGAAAAGGTAAGTTTTATTAGGCTAACTTCACTGCCATGCAGAGAGCCAGGCGCCGAACGGCAGGTGAGGTGGAGACGGGTCGAGGTCCAACAGCTGTTCATTTGTTTTACCTGGAAGTATTTAATACGTTCATTTTGTTAGAATACGAGAAAAAAATATGCTTTTAACTATTTGTTTACATTGGTCAATTAATAGGCAGCCGGGTAAAAATACAATATGTATTATTTAATTTAATAACAATAGTAGGTCATAAAAATAAATCTTTAAAAAAGCATAGTTAGGCAAATTAATTTAAAAAATATCAAGTTCAAATAGTTCACTTTTTTACCAAAAAAGAATGAAAAAACCCAACCTATGTACGAAACAAAAAAATTTAAAAAATCACATTCTTACTTTTTTATTTATTTATTTTTTAATTAGACAGCAATGTGGATATAAATTAATTTTAGCCATGATAGCATGAAAACCTCTGTAAAAGCATAGGTTGCAAAATTACAATGAAAATGAGACATCAGCAGTAATCTGTTCAAAGGTGCTTCAACTAGTTTGAGGACCATTTGACAATTTCCATCAATTATTGTTTAGCAGAATTAAAGATAATTCTCCACCAGAGAAAATATTCAAAACAGTTGCAGAGCTTCCCAGGTTTGAAAATGCCACCAGGTTGTGTAACACTGAACAAAAACGTGTTTGTTTGAAAAGGTTGCCAAAGAACAACACTTCTTTTCTCTAAAGTAGCATAGCTGCCCTGTTAGAGTCATACCAGTCTTTGGACAGATGAGCTATTTCTCATTGGTGATAGAGTGATGTAAATGCATAATCATGTTTATTTACTTTAAGGTAGCTAAATACGACTTTGGACTACTGTATATTTTATATCCTTCACAGGGATAAGACAAAATGGAGTAAGAGTAAAGCACAGTGGCGGAGGGGTCATTATTTGGGATTTTTTTTCCAAGTTGATCAACTTTCTTTGTAACAAAATAGTGAGTTGGCTGTTTCTTTTTTATTGTATATTTAAATGTGTTATCAGAGCATAGTATAGAGTCAATTATATAAAGTTGATATGTAATAAATTTGCAATAAAGTGTCTTTTTATTTTTATTTTGAGAGCTGTTACATTTCAGTTAACTAAAGGAACATCTCCATAATTATGTAAGAGGCCATATGGGAGTTTATTACTCAAGTTAAAGGTTATTCCACAAGCTGATAAATAATAGGTGGAGCCAACTTGTAAGTGAAATGTTTTCTTCACTATTTGTGTCATGCATTTTTGTTTCCGGGTTTCTCTCCTTTACCAAATAACAATAATTTAAATTTCAACAGCATATATAAATAATAGCATACAGCGGCAATGTTAATATAGTAAAACAATTATTCAAGTCCCTAAAAGAGAAGCTTGTTATATCAAACTTTTTCAATTAAAAAAAGCTAAACTCTTTAAAGTCATGTGAAACAACTTTAGGTAGAGGTTCTTAAAATGATAGGAAATATAACATAAAAATATTTACAACTGGGGTATCTTTATACATTTTTTCTATTTTAAAACCTATGTTTGACCAAAGACTATTGAGCCAGTTTGAACAATAATCTTTATTCGAAACTCATTTTTAAATCAGTCTTCCACGCTGACGTGATACGCTGTGTTGTAAAAAGCAAATCAGACCTTTTATCAGTGCATAAGAGCAAAGTCCTTGAGCTTCTTCGATGACGGCAGTAAAATGTACGAATGCTCAGCATGTGACTTGAGGAGTATCCACTGTAGTGGATGATTGGGGACAAAAATGACAGATTCCTTCAATCACGATTTTTACTAAAATCTGCCAAAGTGTTAGATGGAAAACAAGGGTTATTAACAGTATTTAATGACTCAAAGACTGTCAGTGAATACCTCAAGGTGAAATAAATCTAGTTCTATTTTGTATAGGATTCACCCGATACTGCTCGCTATTGGGTTAATTCCTCGTGATTGCGAATTGGAAGAAGAATTTTCCCAAATGTAGCCCTTAAAAGGCTACGCCTGTACTCATAAATCAGGAATTACAATATGTAACCATCATTCTCTTTCCTTACCCCTGATGAGTCGTTGATGTCGTTATGCCCTATTGTGTTGGAATGGTTTGATGTAGCTGTCTGTTGTTGCTTAAAGGTGTGGTTGACTGAAAATATATATTTGAATTGTTACTTCACATTATAATGGTCACTCTTGAGTTTTCATGCAAGCTGAACATGAAAACAGTCTTCTACACCTACCTCCTGCATTAGCTTCTGATCGAAAATGAAATGCTAGGATATGAAAATCCTCACATATCTATGTCACACTGTAAATTTGCATTCATGACCCCGCCCATCTTGGCTCACGCCCGCCCACAGGAAGGCTTTTTAAAGACAAATTTTGCAGCTAGTAGAGACGGCGGAAAGTGTCTTGGTGATAGTGACTTTGCGTCATGGCTGAACATGTTCAGGTAGCCAATCAGAAGCGATGTGTGTGCATATCATTAAAAATAATAAGTAATCCTACTGTTTTCAGCCCACCTCTGCTCCAGCAAACGTCTGCATCTCAGAACAGGAGCATCATAGCTTTTTTAACCCTCAGGCTTCACTTTAATTTGCTATACACTTGAGTCATCAGAGGACAAAAACATCCGCTTGTAAAAGTGGCTTTAAAAATGTATACATTAATATTTTTTCTTGCTTTTTTTCATAGATCTGTTAAACAACTTCAGCCCATAAAACATAAAAACATAAACATAAAACATAAACATAAAAACATAAAAATCAATCATTTTGAGGCTTTTAACCCTTGAAACGCCAGTTTGAATACTCAGTCATTGCTGTAATTTATGAAAAAAAAAAACACACACACACAAAAAAATAGTTATTTTCCAAAAAATAAATAAAACATTTTCTCCTGGGGCATTTATTACATATCAGTCTTGGCCATATTGTGAAATATCTAAAAAGAAAAAAAAATGCATCAATGGTTTTTGTGTAGCAACAGATTGATCTTAGCGGACAAAAACTTCCCATTGACTTCCATTCAAAATCACAGTTTTTGATTCTGTAACATCTGCAACAAATAATCATGCTTTTTGTGATATTAGGGTTTCATTTTGGAGAAAAGTAGTCAAATTCATGATTTTTACTGTTCACCACCAAATTTAGTAATTTCTCCATGTGTGATTCAAGCGAGAAAGTCTACACATTTCTTTAGATCTTGTGCTGTTTGTATTGAAGTCAAAAGGTCAACCTGACCTCTGATAAGTAGATAAAACACAGTTTGACACTCTTACTGAACTTCAAAGTGTAGAAAACAAAAACAATTAGTATGTTTATGCACCTGTCTGGAGCTCCAGACAGGTGCATAAACATACTAATTGTTTTTTGGATTTTCTTTTATTTTGTTAGTCCTTCAAGACTGTTGGAAAACCATTTCAGGTGACTAACCCTAGAAGCTGATCAAGAGAATGCCAAGAGTGTGCAAAGCAGTAATCAGAGCAAAGGGTGGCCATTTTGAAGAAAATAGAATATAAAACATGTTTTCAGTTATTTCACCTTGGTTAAGTACATAACTCCACATGTGTTCATTCATAGTTTTCAATTCAATTCAATTTTATTTATATAGCGCCAAATCACGACAAGAGTCGTCTCAAGGCACTTCACATAATAAACATTCCAATCCAGGTCAGTTCATTAAGCCAATCAGAAATAATGTTTCCTATATAAGGAACCCAGCAAATTGCATCAAGTCACTGACTAGTGTCAGTGACTTTACAGCAATCCTCTTACTAAGCAAGCATGCAGTGACAGTGGAGAGGAAAACTCCCTTTTAACAGGAAGAAACCTCCAGAGGATCCTGGCTCAGTATAAGCAGCCATCCTCCACGACTCACTGGGGATCGAGAAGACAGAGCACACACACACACACACACACACACACACACACACACACACACACTGATGCCTTCAGTGAAAATCTCCCAGTGTAAATGGTCATGAAAATAAAGAAAACACATTCAATAAGAAGGTGTGTCCAAACTTTTGGCCTGTACTTTACATTAGAGAACACTGCAAATGTATTGAATAAATGAGTAAACTACACCTTTAACAAGCTGAAAATACCTAAGAATACATCTCATCCCTACTCCCAAGGAGTTGTCGATGTCTTTAGGCCCTATTGTGTCAGTATGGCTGTTTTGATTAGATGCATGAGGGTGTGACCTAGCCTGAAACTGTCCTGGAATTAGGTTTAGAGCCACATTGTAGGTGCTGGAAAGTTGAAACCTGAGACCTCCGCCTCAGTTTAATGTAGGTCTTTCCATTTAGACATAGTTGGCTTACTTCCAGAATGTGTACATTGTCATCTTCAAAAGTGTGTCCCTTGTCCTTTAGATGTAAGCAGTGGCGGATTTAGCAATTTGGGGGCCCAAGGCAAACACAGACATGGGGTCCCTTACACTAAATTTTCGACAATCTTACATTTAACTGGATTTGCGAAACCCTCCCCTCTTCTGACATGAGTTATTTTCCCTTTTTATTAGTCCTCCTCTTTTTTTCCTGTCTTTCTCTCCCTTTGAGTGCTTTCTTCTTCCTGTCAGTGCTCCTGTGCTTTTGCCTTTGTTTTTTGTCCATTTTGGTCTATGTTTTCTTCCCTTTAAACATTTTCCATTGTCTTTCCTTTTCTGCCTCCTTTGATGTTTACATTGAAAAACGACGTCACTTTCGGAAGTGAAGATAAAAGCTTTTTTGAAGCAAGCTGCTTCTTTCTCTTATTGGAGCCACAAGGATAACTCCATTTCATGCTTAATGTTTTGACTACTGCTTTGAGTTTGTCACGAATGCTCCCGCCTCTCTTATTATTATTATTTGTGGTCTTATGGCACTTGGCAAACAACAATTTGGTGCATTACCGCCACCAACTGGATTGTAGTGGAATGACTACCAATCGCTTCTTGTTTGTGCATCACAGTCTTAAATGAATAGTCCATTGTGGCATTAACAGAGGGGTGCCCCAGGCGGCCGCCGACCTATGCCTAATGGTAAAACCGCCACTAGGATGTAAGTGGACTGCAGAGTGTTGACCTGAAGAGGTGGTTCTCCTGTGTTGTGCAATGCACTTGTGTAGCAGTTTCCCCTAGGTGAAGGTCTGGAAAGTTCTCACTGCATTGACTGATAAGACGTTCAGCCTGCATGTTAAATTCAGAGTGACTGATCATTTTCAAAAATAATGAGTAAAAATGGTTTCTCAGTCAGGTTCTTCTTTAATTTGTGAAATTGGTCAGCTTTAATTAATGTAATGTAATGCTCTTTAATCTGTAATGATTTCTGGTTCTTTGTCTTCTGTGTCGATGTAAAGTGCCATCTGGCAGGAGCTGTTCACCAGCTCATCGGCGATCACCTCGCCTACGGGGAGGATGAAGACTGGAAAGCTGTCGGGGACATAGTCGTCAGCGCATCTCAGTTTCCTGCTCTTGCTGCCGGCAGCGTCCTGTTCCTTACCTCTCCTCTCCTGACCTGCATGGCGATACGACAGGAGAGGTGGGCTGAGGAGTCTGAACATTTCTTGCACAAGTTCACTCACCGCGGTGAACGCAAGCCTCATCATGGGCACACACACGAGCACATGGACGTTCATGGATTAGAAGGTGTGCTTGGCGAGCTGCACATCCACTACGAGCCATCAGACAACAAGGTGAGGATGCTGCAGGCAGGGTGCAATCAGAGTTCAGGAGAGCTATCTAGTTTTCATCTTAAATGTTGCTTTAAATGTCATCCTCTTCGTGGTAACCAGAGCTGTGTGACGGCCAGCAGCATCATGACAGAGATTGACCCATCATCATCAGACGAGAAGCAGGAAGTGGGTGCTGTTTTGGGTCGTGTCCTCTATCACGCTCTGTTGGGTCACTGCTTCACTGATCAGTCTCTGCCTGAGGAGAGCTTCTTCCTGGACTACATCATGCACCAGCTGGGTTCAGAGAATTTCACCGTTCAGGGTAAATAATGACATAAAGACTCATGATTCATTGTCAAGTTAATGCAAATGACTTCAGACTTAAACTTGGGCAGGTACGCTTTGGTTTTATGAATAAACATTTCAGTATTAGGTAGTGATTTGTATTCAGTATGTACTTATTTCACCAAGCTGTATTGCCTGTTTATACCCTGCAGATTTGAAGGTCCTCATGTGGAGGCTGAAGCTTGGACAAGAGGAAGATCGTGGACACGACCATGAACATGCTGACCATTATCGGAGGAAGAGAAGCAGCTATGAACGTCATGAGTCTCATGAGAGTAACAGCACATGGGAGCATGTAAGCACATAGAGGTGCCTAATCCTGGTCCTGGAAGGTTGGTATCCAGCGTATTTTAGCTGTTTCTCCGCTCCGACACACTTGATTCAGTGGTTGGATCACCTGTTCAGCAACACACCAAGCTCCCAGAAGCCTGTTAATCACCTGCTATTTAAAATCAGGTGTGTTGAAGCAAGGAAAACCACTAAAACATGCAGAATACTGGTCCTCCAGGACCAGGATGGGGCATCCCAATGGAGGAGCTGGTTTTTAAACCACTTCCTGACAAATCAGGATTGTTGTCTTATTTTTGCATGACGGCTAATAACATTTGAGCAAAGAGAGACAAAAACACAAAGTTTTTTCTGTTGCTTTCTTCTAGCGCTGTTTCTCAGCTGAAGAACTGGTCCGGATCTTTGGTCTGTCTGATAAAAACTCCTCCAGTATGGGTCGATCTGAAGTGGTTCAGCTCAGTCCTGCGCTCATCCAGCAGATCCTGAGTGGCTCCTGTGCAGCCACCACAGACTCGGTGACCCCAGATGAACTCTCCAAGACCGACCGTAAGTCTGTTGTTGACCTAAAGTAAATGCTGCCTTTCATGCCAGAATTTTAAACTTTCATCTGATGTTAAGAAATGATTGGGTATAAGGGAAATCCTAATTCTAACACGCTCTCTTAAAGCTGTGGTCCATGACATAGGAGAGTAGGAAATCTCTTTTCTCTTGCTTTCCTGTGGCAGGGTACCTCTACGCAACCCTCGCCAATGTGATCATCACCCTGGCATCCATGTTTGGGATCGTGGTGCTGCTGTGCACCTCGTGCACCAACATTTTCCAGTTGTGCATCCAGTTCTGCATTAGCATGGCTGTAGGATCGCTCACCGGAGATGCCCTGCTGCACTTGATCCCTATGGTGAGTGATTATTTTTTATCCTGACAATGATTTTCTATTGCACTGATTATAAGAACATAAATTTAGGATTTTTTTTCTTTTGTTTTAGTTTCTGAGTTTACACATTCACTCAGATGATGATGATGATGCACGTCACCGACATTCTAGACAGAATGAAGAAATTCCAGACTACATATGGAAGATGCTGGCAACAATCGGAGGGATCTACATCTTTTACCTGATGGAAACCATCTTCTCTATGGTTACACAAGAAAAGGATCATCACCACCATCACCATGAGGTCAGATCAACACCAAACCTCTAATTAACATCTCAGCAAAGAGCTTATTTCTATGGAAGCATAAAGCTGCCACACATGAAAAAAAAACTTGGAGTGATATGCATTATAACATATTAACTTTATTGTTCTTACTAGGGATGAGTCAGATACTCGTTTCAGACGAGTATCCGGTACGGATAAAGCATTTTTGACGAATACGAGCATGAAACGAGTAAACCTCGTAAATATCTGTAATCGTGCTGAAGGAAAATCCTCATTGGGTAACTGACTGTCTTCACGCTCTGTGTTTGGCCAGTCACATAGAGCGCCCGCCCCTCCCTACACACAAAACTCTCTAGCCGGCCGAGAGCGCAGTCCGTCCGGCTCATCCACGCACACACACAGACAGTAACGGATCTCGCTGTGATTGCTTCACTGTTGCTCACGTTTCTTCAGTTTTCCCTAGGTTTTCTTCAGCTCGCCTCTTTTTCGGTTGAATATTTAAAGTTACTTTTTTCGTAACTTACATGGTGCATTTGACAAGACAGAGCTGACATGCTGTGTCTCTACCTCCGCTCCGGTTGTTTTTTTTTTTTAACTCCCTCTCTCTCCCTCTCTATCTCTCACACACACACACACACACACACACACACACACACACACACACACACACACATCTCAATCAACATTGTTTTGTTTAACTTTGTGTGGGAAAAATGCCAAGAACGTTAAGAAAAAATCAGTTTAATCAAATTAAAATTAAAAAATATATATAAAGTTGTGTCTGGTTCTAGCATTTCATATTTCCTAGTTCCTACTGCATGAGTTCAGATGTATTAATCCATGCACTTAAATATTAATGTTCTGATTTTATTGAAACACTTGTTCTGTAATAGTTCCTTTACTATTGTGATCAAAAATATTTACCGTAATCTCAATTCTGAGGTTGCTTTGTAAATAGTTTTCAAATAAACAATACACATATCAACTTCTGATCAATCCATATCAATTTCAGACTTAAAATAATATATTGATGTAAACCACACCCACTTCCGGTTAAACCACGCCCACTTCTGGGTTGTGCCACGCCCATTCCGAGTACAGATACGGATACAGATAATTTTGTTGGTTGAACAGATACAGATACAGATAGTGGTGTACTCGCTCATCCCTAGTTCTTACAATATGTTATCACATTTGTACAATATAGTATCATGTTGTAACAATATTATTTTCATGTTTGTACAATATAATATTTATATTGTAAGAAAGTGATTTACAAACGTGAAAATTTTATGGTAAGAATGTAATAATATATTGCACAAAAGTGAAAGTTATAGTTTTGTAACAATAAAGTTGTTATATAATGTATTTTGCGTGGCTGGCAGCTCTATACTTCCATACTTTATATGGATTTAGTCAACGAATTACAAAACCTCTGTTGGGTCTCCGCCGGGGTTTAACGCCCTTGGGTCCTGGGCCGCTGAGTTCTGAGCTCAGCCTTCCCTGGGGGCTTGCCATTATTGTCTCCTGGGCCTCTGGCACTAGCTTGGCCTACCAGACTCCTCCTCTGTTTAATTCTGCACAGAGAAAGGCTCTGGGTACTCTCCTAATCAAATAACCCCACCTCGTGAGAATTCTAACCGAGCCAATCAGCGCTGAGTAGCGTGTGTCATACACCACAACGCCGAGTTTGTCATTAACATGGCGACTGAAGCGGAGTTTGCTGCGGCTCTATCCTTTGTTCTAAATGACTTGAACACGCCTTTAAAACAACTAGTAGAAAAGCCTTTCATCTAAAGAAAGATGTTTGCGCTATCGCCAGACGCCATTTTTGACTACTGCTAAAAAACTACAGCGTCGTGGTCGTCACAAACAGCAACGCTCAGTTTCTCATGAACAAAGAACACAGCGGTGGAGTTCGCTGCAGTTCTTTCCTCTGTTCTAAATGACTTGAATGTCTTTAAAACCATAACAAGTAGAAGCGCTAAAAGCCTTTCTTCTAAAAAAATATGTTTGCGTCGTTGCCAGACGCAATTTTTGACTATAGCTAACAAACTACAGCGCCGTGCGGCATTTTCATTTATCTGATTGGTTATTTTTGAGCTGGCTAGCCCCGCCCCTCATGTGCCTCTCGGCCTGTGAGTTACCAGACTCTTTCTCTGTGCAGAATTAAACAGAGGGTGAGTCTGGCAGGCCAGGCTACTCTGGCGCGGTTGCTGGTTGGCCACCCGGGGTGATGCTCCGCTCTTCTCGGGAGGGGGGTTGGCACTTTTCTGGCGGCAGTCTCCCTGGGGTCTCTGCACTTTCGGGGAGACCTCTGGATCTCTGGGGCTTTGAACACCTCCATCTTCCATGGATCTTTGGGGTCAGGCCTTGGCCCCTCATACTCACTATTGAACACTCCTACAGAAAAACCTTACACACAATCGTGTGTACACAAACAGGCGCTCACGTGGTGCTCTCACAAGTAGGGACTTGGGCATTTTTGGCGCATAACCTATTTCCGTGTGCATTTTCAGCAAAAATTGCTACCGTTGTATATTGTCATGCAGTTGGCTCAGTGATATTTTCGATGTGTTGTATTTTTGTATGTCGCCTTTCTTTTCTTTCTTTTTTTTCTGCAGGTCTAGAAGCAAATTAGTCTACATCCTTTATTGTTTATTGTTTTGAATTTTTTTTTCTTCTCCCACTTTTGTCTTTCATTTCTGTCTCCGTGTTCGTTGGGATTTAAAACAACCAAAATATTTTTTATGAAGTTTTGGTATCAGGCAAAGCAACGTAGCTGAAGCTATACTGCTTCACCTGTGAGAGTTAAACTTAGGCTCGTCTTCGGCACTCAGACATCAATTCTCATTGCTTTACAGCCGGACAGGACACAGGGTGAAAAGAAAACCAAATTTTTTAAACTTTTTTTTATTAACTTTCCATCCGTAAATCCAGCAAGTCTCTTTTTAATATTTAGAGATCCTAAGCAGCATATAGACTTGATTTTAAAATGTTTACTGTCATCAGTTTTGATTTCGTCTCCGTCACTTTTTCCAGGATGAATCCAAGCCTCACCACTGCGACCATGTTGGAGTTTTAGAGATGTATCAACGCGACAGGAGACAGAAAGACAAGTCACAATCGACATCAAAATCAGACCTGGTGAGAACATGCACACCTTCATGGTTAAAGGTTTTGACTGAACATTAATTTAAACAAAACATTATGAGATTCGATTCAGCCGAACTGAAACAAATTCTGTATTTTGAGGGTTTTTTTTATAATAAAAATAAAAGGAAGGGATACAGTTTAATGACATTTTCATTCCTACTAGAGACCATTGCAAATGTATTGAATAAACAAGTGAAGAACTTTTCATTTTATGTAAACAACCAATAAAAGTGATAATTATTTATTTTACAGTAAATGTATTCATATTTATTAATGCATCATTTCAGGTTGACAACGAGGACAGCCACTCGGAGCTGAAAAAGCCTTCAAAAGGTGAGCGAGGTCACTTCCAGCATAAAAACAAGTGTGATGTCATCAAACTGGTATGATTACTGAAGCTGCATCTGCACAAACTATAATCTCGTCTCTCTGAGTGTTTGCAGAACAGCGTCTGCTGCCCTACATGATAACAATCGGTGATGGGATCCACAACTTTGCAGACGGATTAGCCATCGGCGCCGCTTTCTCTTTGTCATGGAAGTCTGGTCTGGCCACATCGCTGGCTGTTCTCTGTCACGAGCTGCCACATGAACTGGGTAAACGTCACGCAGAATGTCAGGTTTTGTTATTTTGAAGGTGAAGACTCATTAACACAATTTCACCGCTATTTCTCTGCAGGGGATTTTGCCATTCTGCTCCACTGTGGCTTGTCTGTCCGCAGGGCGTTGCTTCTGAACGTGGGCAGTGCCATGACCTCATTTATTGGCCTGTATATTGCTCTCTCTATAGCTACAGACCTTGCAGCCCAACAGTGGATTTCTGCTGTTGCTGCAGGACTCTTTTTATATGTGGGACTGGCTGATATGGTGAGTGCCACCATTCATTAACCTGTTTACCAGACACAAAATGAGAGAACCAGTTTAACAGCCATGTTTTCTCATCCATTTAGCTCCCCACACTGGTCCATGTCGGCAGCAAGAATCCCTGGCTGAAGTTTATCCTGCAGAATGCCGGCATTCTGACTGGTTGGACTATTTTACTGTTGCTGTCACTTTATGAAGAGAAAATCAGCTTTTAATGGTTTTACTGTTAAGGGAGCTCATTTTTTCCTCTGGGAACAAAGTGGAAAATGACTTAGGAGTGTTTGGACAACAATTACAGGGACATTACTCTGACTTTTTGGATATTTCACTTGTTGGGGCCACAGCACGATGGCAAGAACTGAGTGAAAACTGATGGAACCAGATGCAACGTTACGACCACTCTGGATATTTATTCCCTACATTTGAAAACAAAATTTTTATCAAGAAGAGATGATACATTTTCTACAGAATAATTATAGATTTTATCAGCTGTCTTCAGTATTCCTTTCGATCATCAACCAAACCAGAACACGGGTTCTTACATTGGTTCAAAAGTGGGCATGCATGAAAAGGCTGACATCACATCAGTTTTTCCGTACTTAAAATGGTGTATATGTGTGTAGGACAAGTGAAAACACAGTGGGAACAGTTGACAGGTCAAAATACAAAGTAAGAAAGTCAAACATTAAGTTGAAAGAGAAAGTATGTGGAAGTATATGGAGTTCTGCACAAATTAGTCAAAAAATGTAATCTGATCTTCATCTAAGACGCAACAACAGACAATCACCGTCTGCTTAAACTAATACCACACAAAATAGCAATAACTTTAACCAAATGTTTCCTGTTGTCGCAGATCAGACCCTCACAACAGTCAGGAGTAATTCTATCTCCTGCATTAGCTTCCGATAGAAAATAGATGTTGAAACTTTAAGATTTGGAAAGCCTGATAAATCTGTCACACTGTCACTTAACATTCATGAACTCAACCATCTTGACTCATGACGGGGGAAGGCTGTTGTTGGTTTAGTGTCAAAGTCGTTTTTATTGTCATTTCTACCACATGTGCAGGACATACAGAGAAACGAAATTGAGTTTCAGTACACACAATTCAGAGATCAGACATACATGGGTAAGACACATGACAAGAATTGGTGACTGCGGTCATTCGCAACATGAGTCGCGCTACCTTAATAGATAGATGAAAAGGGTGTTACATGAGGATAATTGGGGGTAAGGTTAAAAAAAAGGCATAGCAGAGTTAGACCCAGCGGGGAGTAACTCTATTATACAAAAAAAAAAAACTCCTCAACATAGAAGCACAAACAGCACAGATACAAAACATCAGAGTCTGATGGGGAGGTGGGGTTGGGCGGGATCCTGAAGCCTCCAATGGGAGCTGCCGGTACGGCGCATCAACCAGCTGCAGACCAACAGGTGGGAGGGAGAGATAAGAAACAGAGAGCACATTGAGTTTCCCGCAGGTCGCTGACCTCAGCAGAAGTCATAATCTGAAGGCGGGGGGGAAGGTCGGGACACAGCATCTGTCAGCATTTCTCCTTTCGTGGGGGAGTGTTGAGCAGCTTGAGAGGCTGCCTTGGCGTCAGATAAAGGATAAACATGGCTTTGTTTGGGGCAGGCAGAGATAATTTTCCTCTCTGCCTTGGAGTCTATAAGTGGTCATTCATGTCCACCAATGAAGCCAATTTTACATTCTAAACATCCCCACATCGTCGTCCGGCGACCCTCTCCGAGATGACATCCATCTTGCGTACTAATACAGGCAACGCCGCGAGGACATTATCCAGCTTACGGTTCACCTCGAGTAACGTCCCAGTCTGTGAGGTCACCGCCCGAGCGGCACATTCCATGGGCGCGGGTCGCACTCCAATCACTCCCGTCTTCCCAAATTTCCAGAAAACCAGATATCCTCCCACTCCAATCAGAAGAAATCCAGTGATCATCAGGCCGAACATCCACAAATCTTCCACGTCCTCGATGGACAACTGAGAAACGCACATGATTCGCCAGACCTCCCAAGAATGGAGTGCATATCCCACTGCGAATGTCCCCTCGGGACAGGTGTGAGCCCCCTTCTCCGTTCTCATCGTAGAAAAAATTTTATCAATCGCGTTGAATGACCAGTTACTTAAGTCCATATTTCCAAAAAAAGAGTAGTGGTTTCAGGAGAAATGCAGAGAAGTGCTCTGTAGGCTGACAGGACAAGAGCCTTGGGGAAGCAGATAAGGGAGCTGAGAAAAAAAGCGTCTGTACTCTCTGAAGGCTGGAGAAGAAAGAGGTAACAGCAGAGAGCATCTCAGATTCTACAAGCTAACTGTTAGCATTAGCTACTCCACCATACAGCAGAACTCCTTCAGGGTTGTGTAATTGGTGGAAATAAAACCTCAACGTTGCAGAGCAGTCAGTGGTAGAGTTGCGTTGCTGTTATCCAATCAGAGGTGAGACATCCCAATATCAGGAAATAAGACTCCAAATCCTGCCGCCTGAAGCTCAGCTGCGATGTGGCTCACTTCGGCCAAATCTCAATACTTGCACTGCGCCCTGTGGTCTTCAGCAAAGTGCAATTGGAGAAAGTGTGCAGTAAGACTTCAAGTGCATAATACACAAGTAAGCAAATAATTGCCAAATTGAGACAGGGAGCATTGCGTCATCAACCGCAATGCATGCCGGGAAGCTGGTTGCTTAATTTCTTCTTTCAAAAACCTGTACTAACAACTTTCAAACAAACAACCAAACAGTTACTTGAAATAAATTTAAATTCATTGCTGCTTTGTCCAAAACATTCCGAGCATCAACTAATCATCCTAAAATGAAGTAATTTCATTAGAAAATACATATTTTCAGAAATGGAACTTGAGCTTGTTCTCCTGCAGCAATGGATTGTGGGTAATACACTTCACCCAAGTCTGCATCGCTGCAGACTTGGGTGAAGTGCGGATCAAGGGTGCAAAAGGGCCGTGATCAATTTCCACACAAGAATCGGGACACCCTACGCAGTCGCACCCCTGGTCGGGTACACACAATTGAAGTGCGCAAGGGTGAAAGTGCGAGTACTGAGATTGGGTTTCCAGTTCCTGAAACAGGTGCACCGGGGCTTTCCCCCCCCCCCCCCAAAGTACAACTTACATTCATTCCAACTAGAGACCACTGCAGATGTATTGATTAAATGAGTGAACCACAGCTTAAAGCTAATCTTACTGACTTTTTTTTAAATCTCTCATGATTGAAACAAATCAAACGTGAGAGTTTGTGTATTTTTGTATGTAAACGCACAAAGGTTTTGAAATAAAATCAACATAACGTCTATTTTTTCTTATTTTTGCAGCAATGTGACCTTTTGAAAGCATTTATTGCATCTCAAACAAAATGAAATATATATATTTATACCAAACACCGTAATTCCAACACTGAAGTCAGTGTATATATATATATATATATATATATATATATATATATATATATATATATATATATATATATATATATATTTGGAATTACGGTTAGATTTTTTTTCCCCTCATTGAGCTCTTTGATCCTGGTTTACACGGACCTAGTTCACAATGATTTTAAGAGCACCAAAAGGTTCTAAAGCTAATTTAATTAGATTCCTTTTAAATTCGTGCTTTACGAGCACAATGGTCTGCTCAGAAGTATGTCTGGACCACTGGGATCAAAAATCCTGGTTTTCAGAGGGGTTGGATTGTCTTGGTAGGATTATCGATGCGATGCGTGCTGCCTGTTGAACTTGACGTGTAGCCAATCAGAAAGCGAGGTAATGGAAGCGTGTGCTGCAAGCGCCGCCATTTTTGCTTATTTTGAAGTCATGTTTGATCTCATGAGATTTCCCATCTCACTGGGAAATGGTCGTGTGTGGAATTGCTTCATGTGTAGTTTTTGCCATAGTTCTGTATGCCACACACTGTTGGTCCTAAACTGGTTTATCTGTGATTTTATCCCTAGGTGTGGGTTCTCTCAACCAGTTTTAAACAGCCCCATGAATAAATACACTACACTCTTTGTCCAAAAGACTGAATTAACATTTGATTTTCTTAACCCTTTGACGTGCAGGATTTTCAAATTGTCAGATGATTTTTAAAACATGACACTTTTGTTTGGCTAAACATCATCTTGGCTTCAAACCATCTCTTCCATCGATCATAATGGGCATTGTGAGATCACTGGCCAACAAGATGGATGAACTCCAAGCCCTTTCAAGGACTCAGCCAAAGTATCGGGAGTGCAGTGTTATGTGTTTCACTGAGACGTGGCTGCAGGACCATATCCCCGATTCCAGCGTCTCTCTGCCAGGATTCCTGACTGTACAAGCAGACAGAGATCTGAAGAGGAGTGGGAAAAGAAAAGGAGGTGGAGTGGCAGGGCTTGATAACAACAGATGGTGCCATCCAGGTCATGTTTCAGTGAAATGTCGTCTCTGCAGCTGAGATGTTGAACTCTTGGCAGTAAGTTGTCGCCCATATTATTTGCCAAGAGAGTTCACCAGTGTTGTCTTGGCAACCCTTTATATTCCACCTTCAACCATTGCCGAAAGTGAATGTGATGCCATCAGTTCAGTTGTCGCTAAGCTGGATGTGTCACCGGCTATGTAAACTTCTGTGTGGACAACATCATACCCACCAGAACAGTGAGATGCTTCACTAATAATAAACCCTGGATCACCAGTGAACTGAAGAATCTGCTAAATGAGAAAAAAAGAGCCTTCAAGGAGGGAGACAGGGAATTATTGAGTATACAGAAGCAACTGAAGATCAAGATCAGAGACAGCAAGGAGGCATACTGGAAGAAGCTGGAGAACAAACTACAGAGGAACAATATCAGAGATGTCTGGTCAGGGATGAAGAAGATCACAGGCTTCAAGCAGAGGAAGGATTGCACTGATGGCAGCCTGGACACAGCCAATGAACTGAACAAGTTCTTCAATAGGTTCAGTTCAGGAACAAACCCAGCATCCTCCTTGCCTGTCCCCAGTCAATCAGACATCCCATCCTCTTCTGATCCAACATTTTCCTGTCACACGCCAGCTCTTTTGTCCTCTAACACAGTCATGGACTCTTCTGGTTCTAGAAATCTGTCTTCAACCAAGTCAGGAGATGCTGCTGCCCCAGTTACCTCCCCCTCCCACCTGTCTGTCTCTAGAAGTCAGGTGAAGAGGTAGCTGAAGAGACTGAACAGGAACAAGGCTGCAGGCCCAGATGGTGTCAGCCCCAGAGTACTGAAGGCCTGTGCAGAGCAGCTCTGTGGGATTCTGCAGCACCTCTTCAACCTCAGCCTGGCCCAGGAGAAGGTTCCAGTCCTCTGGAAGACATCCTGCCTTGTTCCAGTTCCAAAGAAAACTCGCCCATCAGTCAATGACGACTACAGACCGGTTGCCCTGACATCCCACATCATGAAGGTCCTGGAGAGACTCCTGTTGGTCCACCTGAATAAGCAAACTAGGAAATGTCAGGACCCGCTGCAGTTTGCTTATTGCCATGGAGTTGGAGTTGAAGATGCCGTCATCCAGCTGCTTCAACCAACCCACTGTCATCTGGACAAAGCAGGCAGCACTGTGAGGGTCATGTTCTTTGATTTCTCCAGTGCATTAAACACAATTCAGCCTGATGTACTTTGCCAGAAACTCCAGAAGACACAGGTGGGGGCCTCAACTATCGCCTGGATTAAAGACTACCTGATAAACAGACCAGTTTGTGAGGCTGAAGAACTGCACATCAAACCAGGCGATCAGTAACATTGGAGCACCACAGGGGACTGTACTCTCACCATTCCTTTTCACCCTGTACACCTCAGACTTCCAGTACAAACCAGAGACCTGTCATCTACAGAAATACTCAGATGACTCAGCCGTTGTCGGGTGTATCAGAGATGGACAGGAAGCTGAGTACAGAGAGCTGGTGGAACGCTTTGTGGCATGGTGTGGAAACAATCAACTGACCTTGAATGTGAACAAAACAAAGGAGATGATTTTAGACTTCAGAAGAAACAGGGTGGAGTCAAACACTGTTTCCATCATGGGAGAAGAAGTGGAGGTGGTTGAGGAATACAAATGCCTTGGAGTTCACCTGGACAACAGACTGGACTGGAGAAAGAACAGCAAAGCCGTTTACAAGGGACACAGCAGACTGCCCTTCTTGAGGACGCTTAAGTCCTTCAATGTCTGTAGCAAGATGCTGCACATCTTCTACAAGTCTGTTGTCGAGAGTAATCTCTTCAGCCATCGTCTGTTGGGGTAGTAGCATCAGAAGCAGGGACCTGAGAAGGCTCAACAGCCTAATAATAAAGGCTGGTTCTGTTCTGGGGACAACTGTGGAACCACTGGAGGAGATAATGCAAAGACGGATTCTCCAGAGAATCAAGAAAATTATGGACAACCCTGAGCATTCTCTTCACAAGAATGTGAAGTATTTTTGAATTGAATCAGTCAACAGGCGGCATGCTTGTTTGTCCTCGAAAATAGGATCAATGCAATTTCTCATTTTTAACCCAGATTTTTTACCTGAGCAGTTCCAAGATCCTCCTGTGAAGACCAGAGTGCTCTTCACACACCACGAAAAAACATCTGATAAGATTATCTTTTACAGTCATCATGGTAATCCGGTGTCATAAGGTTGTTGGAAGGGGAGGTTCGGGTTATAATTTGCCATGTAAACTGGGCCTAGAGCAAATTTTGTATTAAACAAGGTGAAATAAAAAAAAATATTTTAAATAAAGAAATTCTAAGGAATATAGAGATGTTTGAATAAAACCTTACAATATTACTATACTGATTTATTTTTACTAGTGATGGTTCTAATTAAAATATTTAACCACAGGAAAAAAAATTTTAATGCAAAATTATATTTCTGATCTAATCTAATGCACAAAGATTTTCAGTTGGGACAGAGTTTGGTGACAACTCACTGCAAACGCCTTATTACGTCAAAGATTACCTTCATGCATGTGCAGAACGAGTGTCATCCAGGGTGATCAACATCTTACCGTAACTCGGAACAGCCCGTTAAATCAGAACCACTGGGTTTATACGCTCGACAAATGACAGATTAAAGCAAGCAGCTGCTGACAGGAGAAAAACTAACTTATCTGATATTAAAACTAGCACATATAATTAGATTTTATGGGATTTTTACGAACACCAAGAAGCTGGTGACCTACTGTGACAATAAAACGATAAATGGAAAATTAAACCTTTGAGCTTTTCCTTAAAATGTTTGTTATGGACAGGACAAGGAAGCAAAAGACGGCGATGGAAACAAAACAAGGTCAAGGAAATGAGGCAATAAAAGGCAGCTGAATGGATTAAATGGTTGAAATATAAACAGGTGTTATGTGACAAACATGCACTAGAAAGAACAGTTTGGACTTATTTTTTAAGACTTTTCAGCATTACATAAAGTAATTTAGAACATCCAGAACACATGAAATTTGGGAGATCATTTCAGTAATAAGTCAGTGTTTGTGGTTCTGTGGTCACATGAGTAACATTTAATCATCATTATCATCATCCTGGTCTCATCCCATATTTAAATGTCTTATTACTGTTTTTGTGCTCACTCTCCAACTTAAAAACACAAGAAGAGCCATTGTTAGGTGATGTGTTTGTGCAGAGCAAGAGTTGCATTAAAAATGTATTTAAAAAGGTATTTTTAAAACGAGCTAACACGTTCTAGAGTGATGTAGAAAAGAAATAAGGAAATGAAGGTTTCGTAGAAAAAATAACTAAATAAATCTGCCTGATCTTGTTGTTTGAGACTAAATCTTTAGGCTGAATTAATTTTTTGGTTAATTGTTTGCAACTTAAATGTGTCAAATGCCAATTTCCCCATCACTGATAATGCTTTAAAGTTCTGCCGTTCTAGATGCATTTTTGTTTCAAAACTAAACTGAGTTTCAGCCAGACTGAAACAGGGGCACCTCCAGAAAATTTTGATAGGGGTGGCCAGATGGGGCCAAAGACATTTTTGGGGTGGTCCTTGTGGTAACTCTGGTTGAATTTAGTCTGTGGCTATGTGCTGCATTGCACCTTTATTTGTTTTTATTAAAATAACAGTACGTATCCAAAACATTTAACTTATATTTTACAAACGCAAACATTTTAGAAAAATACATTTCAGTTATTTAAAATGTTATCCCAAATTTCATTAAAAAATATATTTCTACAGGTAAATTCACCTGTTGCTGTGTTCACAAAAAAAAACTATGGAGATAAACACTTTTTAAAAATGGTGAGCAGCAGAAATATATGTATTTACATTTATTCTTATTATTTCTTTATTAATTGTAAATTTTTATTTTGTTTTACAATCATGTCTTGAATAAACAAGATCAATATATGGTTTGACTGAACATTACTACTGAACATTGGCTTTTCCTGGGGGTGGGGGTGCAGCAATTTTCTTGGGGTGGCCATGGCCACCCCAGGCCACCCCTTGGGGGCGCCCTTGGACTGAAACACCCTGTTATGCAACTTGTGCACACCTTTTCCGACGTTTTAAATTCTCATACATGCTTGAAGCGTGGGAACATCGACAGTGTCTGAATCTTATCACTTGTACCTTTAAATAAAACCAGCACCACTACAGGGGAACAAAATTCCACGCTGGTTACAAAGTACACAAATCCAGACTAAAGGAGTATTTTTACATCTCTTAATAAATAACCGCAATGATTTCTTACCAGAAACATCCGCCCAAACATTTCCTTCCCAGAAATGTAAGACTTACATTCCACTCCCTAAATAAACAGAACTCAGTGACGGAGAAGGGAAAAAAATCAATGTCCTGAAAAGACAAAACTAGAGAAATAGACAAATTTATTTAATTAATAAAATTTCATTACAATTAAAGTATTAACCCTCCCACTGTCTTCATGGGTGACCCCACAAAGAAAGTTGACCATTGAGCAGGACTGATGGTTTATCTCTTGGGGTCCACGTGGCAGGGGTGAGGTGGTGCTCCCTCCTCACCCCTGCCACGTGGACCCAAGAGATAAACCATCGATCCTGCTCAATGGTCAACTTTCTTTGTGGGGTCACCCATAAAGACAGTGGGAGGGTTAAATACATATAAAATAAGCACAAGACAAGTCTGTGAATGAATAAGAAATGCAAGCATTTCCAGGTTTTGGGAGCGAATGGGGTCACTTGAAGTGAAGGATCTCCTGAGTGGCCATTCTGATGAGTTGGTTGAAGTCAAACTGGATGTATTTCCTCCAGAAACGTCTGTCTTTGCCGTATATTTGAGCAGGATAACAAGGACTGCCTGCAACACAAATCTTTTATTACTATTTAACTGTTTGCTGTGGAGAAAAATAAAGATTTGTGGAACATACCGTACCATTCCCACCATACACACACGTCAACGTATCACAAACCATCATTAGCTGAAGATAAAAGCTAAACTCTCATTTAAAAACAGGAACTGTTCCTGAAGCGGTTTGACTTTCATGTGGGACATAGAATCTAACGTTCGGCTGGCCGTGGCTTTTCAGCTTGTTGGCCCAGAGAACAGCGAGGTGAAGTGTTGGGTATTTGTCTCCTTCTAGCTCCTTTTGCGCGTCGTTAAATGGGCGCAGAAATTCCACAAGGAAGGCAAGAACATCTGGGGAGACATTGCGCAATCGTGCGCTCTCATCACGGCTCTGAAAAAGCTCCTGCAGCTCTGCACGGACTGACTGAATGGACTCCAGTGTGAGGAAGACTGTGCTGTATCCAGTCTGCCATTTGTTTGACGTTTTTTGGCAGCTGAGAGGCGAGGCCTGACTGTTTCAGGTAGCGAACTAAAGCCTTGGCCGCCAACAGGGTCTCCCCTACATCTGGGACTACTTCAGCCAGCTCATCTGTGTTTAGGGCATGTCGGAGGACTGTGTTGTACAGGTGATCTTGACAAGCCAGGTGCCTGTATGGACGGAGAGCAGCCAACACGTTTGTGCCCTGGTCGGTTCCCCCGACAACGTTGTTCATAACGGATGCATCAAAGTCGAGAACTGTGACCAACTGCTGCTCAAGCTCTTTTCGGATATCATCTCCTGTTTTCGCATGGTTTTGGAAGCATGCTTGCTCTTGAGTTTAAATGTTGGTGTTACATAGTGACATGTGATAGCCATGTAGCTCATTTTACGGAAATCATCCGTCCACATATCTATAGTCATGGCAATATTTATGAGTGACATCACCTCTTTTATCTCCTCAACTGCCCCGCCTCTCATTTCACTGGCCATAATTTTGCACCTTCGGGAGATTGTAGTCGGGTTGGGGAGAACTTCATTGGCTGAAATACGGCCATATGTTGCACCGACATTTATCAATTCTTGAGCTAACTCTCTGAAACCTTCTTCTGCAACCGTTTCAAATGGCTGAATGTCCATGCAACAGACGTTCACGCATTTATTTGCGACCTCCGACTTCACCCTTTCTGGTGGTGGTTTTGCAAAACTGAAAAAAATCGCTCACACTCGGCTGTCTGTCACCGCTGCCGCATGAACGTTGAAAATGTCTCTGGAGATGGGATGAACCTGTATTTTTTTTTGCTGTCATATGACAGAACGGCTTTGCATGAAACACACTGAACAAACCCGGTTGGCTCATTTTGAAGGCTTGTAATAATATCAAACTTGCTCCAGAACGGAGCTTTTCCCTTCGTGTTGTTCGCGCTCTTTAATCCGCCTTTTTCGATCTTTCTCTTTATGTCCCCCATGGTGGGAGTTGGAAAGGCCCCTCGTGTAAAAGAGAGGGAGAAATCTACGGGTGCCGGTGTGTGAGAAGCAGGCAGGTGCTGCTGCGTTCAAGTGTTTCAGTTTTTTTAATGAATTCAATCAAAAATAAAGGCGCCTGGCCCGGCCCGTGTCCGAGGTAATTACACAGTCATCGGCCCGAAGCCGAGCCCACGGGCTGTCGGGCCAGGCTGACCTCCGGGCTGAGGGCTCCAGTGCAGGGCTCTAGTCTGAAGTGGTTCTCTACTGACCTCTAGGGGTGAAAAGGTCCCATTCCTCTAGATTTTTGTTATTCTGCTGGATAATCTGACAGCTAAAACAAGCAGGTGTGTGTGCGTGCGTGCGTGCGTGTGTGTGTGTGTGTGTGTGAGAGAACATCCTCACCAATGCCGTGAAAGACTCTCGCGACGGCTCTGCCTGAAAACTTCTCATCACTTCGGATGGAGATGAAGCTTCTGATATCAGCTCTGATCTGGTTCTCCCATTCTGAAAGCTGCAAAAGACACACACCCCCACACACACACACACATTTATGACCCCAACGACCTCTGATAAAATCCTAAAAAAAAAAACTCTAGAAAAATGTAAATGCACGCTAAACCTTATATTTCTCCAGCTCCTCGAGTTCTTCTGGCTGCTCTGCAGATCTCCGCTGATCTCGGTCCCTCTTGTCAAAATATTCAGAGAGAAGTTTCTTCAGCTGCAAACTGCGACTCTCCTCCAGACCGTCCATGCAGGACATCACACTTTGGAAGGCAACGCTGGAAAAAAACAGTTAAACAAATAACAGGAAACAAAATGTGAATATGAATTTGTGTACATGATAGATTTATTTAATAATTCCAGCTTTAAAAAAAAAGGTCAGATCAAATATTCCTTTTCAAATCTACTTATTCAGACTGACGGTACCTCTTAAAGGCCTTAAAACAGGCCGTGAGCTGGAAGAGCTGAGTCCTCTCTTGGTCCTGCACTCGACCGTGGAGGAAGTGACAAACTCTGTCCATCTCCTCGTCGCTCAGGTCGCCATAGGAACGAAAGTGGAAAGAAAGGGAGGAGAATTCAACCAGGACGCCGCTCCTTCCGCCACCTGAAACATAATCGGCGGCTAAGCAAAGTTCACGGTAAATGAGATCTAAAGCGCGACCCCAAAACGACCTCTGTCGGTGCTCCACTGCAGCTGCCTGAGTCCTCTCTTCACGACGGGAAGCTGCCATCCCATAGTGTCCGCTACCTCGACGACGTCGAACTCGACCTCATTAAACCTTTCCACTTGTTCGCCGGCCATTCTCCTCCTGGCCAGCGCCACGGCAACCGGAGGACAGCTGCGGAGCAGACGCATAAGTTAGTGAAAGAAGCAGGACGTCTTTTATGTGTGCGTCACGTGAACTTTTTACATCTTAGTGATCTTCCGGAGCTGTCGGGGTCCGTCGTAACACCGGACTTTACACAGAGACAGGGTTGGATGGAGAAGCTCGACGAATCGCTGCGGATGCAACTCCAGGTAGCACAGCAGCGTCTCTAAACCTGAAACACAAACGGATGAAACGATCTCTGAATCCGACAGACGTTTCATTTGCTTTTAATACCGACCTTCTTCTCTAATGTCCAGGGCCTCCACGGTCTCCTGGATGGGAATCGCTCGTTCATGCGTGTGACACACTCGCTCCTTTGGCCAGCCATCTTCTGCTTCACCTCTCTTCCCCTGTAGGTATCCCTCTGAATCTGATGTCTTGCAGGAAAAACAACCTCACCTTAAGATTTTCTTTTAGCCAAAAACACCAAAAGCAAAGCCAAATTTAGGATTTACTGACCTGCTCATCTGCGAGCGCCGCACCTCGTCCATCACACACATCCATCACTTCCAGCAGCTCAGAGTCTTCAACGTCCTGCTCACACAAACAAGAGATGATCGTTTGGGTTTGATTCCTGCGTCGCTATGACGACGTGCGGACGGAGACGGGGTTACCTTCCAGAGTTCCTGCTGCTTCTGCTGAATCTGTTTGCATTTGCACGCGGGGAAAACCTTCTGGATCAGTTTTTTGATCGTGTAGTAGTCGACGGTGTCGGCGTAGATGTGGCGACGCAGCTCGTGGAGGTCGCTACCCTGAAAGACAAAAAACAGAAACATGAATAGAGTCATGATTAAAACACACAAGTGGTGACATCTTAACATAGAAGTATCAGATGCTGAGGTGAAACATGCTCCCATGCTCCTGCTTCCGTGCATTTCTACTCTGAAACATAGTTAGGAACATTACTTTATAGTTCATGTGACGAGAGCCAAATGGAAGACTTTTTAAGGCCACTTTGATTAAATTAAAGAGCAAGTCACCCCCTACCAGATTCTTACTCAACTCCCACTTCCTGTTTGAAAAATGCAACAAATGCTGTTGCCTAGCAGACCGAGAGGGCGGAGCCGCTAACAAATACACACACACACACACGACATTGTGACATCATGATGTACCATCTAACATCATAGTGTACAACTTAGCCAATAGCGACGGCAGATTTAAATTCAAATACAGTGCTGAGGTTTTTACCTGACGACGGTGCAACACTGACAGTTTTAGGCAGAATATTTAAATTTTAACTAAGATGCACTGAAGTGGCGAATTATTGACTACACGTGTCTGCAGCACGATTAGACACTCGTTTATATGGTTTATCAGGAAAAAAAATGTTGATTTGGAGTGACTTGCTCTTTAAAGAGCAAGTCACCCCCTACAAGAAACTTACTTCACTCCCACTTCATGTTTGAAAAATGCAACAAATGCTGTTGCTTGGCAGACCGAGAGGGCAGAGCTGCTAACAAATACACACACACAGGCTCACAATGGCATTATGACATCATAATGTACCAGATGACATCATAGCATACCTCTTAGCCAATAGCGGTGGCAGATTTAAATTCAAATACAGTGCAGAATTTTTCCCTGACGACGGCGCAACACTGACAGTTTTAGGCAGAATATTTGAATTTTAACCAAGATGCACTGAAGTGCCAAATTATTGACGACACGTGTCTGCAGCACGATTAGACACTCCTTTATATAGTTTATCAGCAAAAAAAAAAAGAAGTGATTTGGGGGTGACTTGCTCTTTAAAAAACTTACATTCTCAGAGGGAATAAAGCGTTGTGACCACCTCACCGGTAGTTCTATCCAAACCTTTAGTGGAATTTAAAATGCTGAAAAATAACAAAAACGCCAATTTCAGCGCCTTGGGCTTCCCGACAGGAAGGCGCTTTATAAATAAAGCTTTGATTGATTGATTGAATTTAATTGCTCTGCATGAGAGGACGTGGATGCAATGCTACTAATTTTGCACTTCCCGATGAAGCACGCAGATACACACACACACACAATATCTTTATTGGGTCTGTGGTGTTTTTTGCACCTTTAGACCTTGAATTTAAAGATTACTTCTCATTTTTAATGATTCTTAAATTTTTTATTAAGGAAATTATAACCTAAAGGGATACTACACAACTTTTTCATATTTTTAAATCATTTTCTTGAGCCAGCATGTGCTAAAATGACCCTTTACAAGGTTAATGAAATGTCACTCAGACCCCACCGCCCTATGTGGCCAGAATACCACACTTGCAACTTCAGAGTTGCCTGGCCGCTCCCTGCTGGTGGAGGGGAGTGGAGCGGACATGGCGGCGCTGCAGTCTGATTCCATCAAGTTTCCTGCATGTTTTAGGTCATGAACACAGCTGATTTGTTTCATTTAGTGATGAATCACTCTTCTAGAAACAAACGAGGGCCGAGGAGACATTTCAGCAGTCAGATGAAGGTGTTAAAAAGACGAAGAGAGGAGATGAGTTTCACTTTTGGTTTAACCACAGAGAATTATTAACGGACACTAGGGGGTGCTAAAAGCTAGCAAAACTGCCAAGTGTGCCTTTATGGTTTATTACTGCATAAATCCGGAGTTGTTTTTCTCAGGGGGCACCATCTAGAGGCTGAAAAATGTATTACACCTCAAGCCCCTCTCGCTACTTCTGTGATTACAGCTGGAAGAAACCTCTCATTTGTGAACAAGAACTTCTAGCCAGGCAACAGAGCTAAAACACATTGTTTTAATTATTATTCTAATCTTATGTTGTTTATTTATATATTTATGTGTGCATTCTTAAAAACCTACTTGTCCATAAGAGATGTTGCCAACTCTGCATCAGTCTAAATACTTTCACTAATGCTATTTGCTAGTGCTGCGCAATATCGTACCTCAGAATTCAAGAACAGGTGACAATGAGCCGGGTCTCCATCTCTCCCTGCCCTCCCGATTTCCTGAACGAAGCTCTCGAAGCTCTGGAAAATGTTACATAAGAAGATGTTGGTGAGGTTTTATATTTAAATGTGATTGTGGTAAATCGCTTGCTACCTTTGGCATGTTGTAGTGGACGATGCCCCGGACGTCTGATTTATCCAGCCCCATGCCGAACGCCACGGTTGCCACGACAATCCGGAGCTCCCCGCACATGAAGTTGTTCTGGACGCGGCGCCGCTCTGACCCGGACAGACCGGCATGGTACGCCTCAGCCTGCCACTTCAGGGGTTTGCGAATCTTCTTCCTCGCTGATAAAAAAAAAGATAAAAAAAAATACTAGAAAGAAAAATAAAACTGATCTTCCATGAGAGCAAAGTTTCTAACCCAGTTCTTTTTTTCTCTGTCCCATTGGGTTTTTCTGAGCCTCACTGCCACTACTTGTTTGGGTGTTTTCTTTCACCAGCACCCCCTGCAGGCAGGTCCTAAGCAGTGCAGCCACACGAACCGTCTCCTCCCGCCGGGTACAGTAGACGATGATGGAGTCCAGACAACCGAAACGATCGCCTTTCAGCAGGGAAACTAAAGCCTTGAAATACAAAGAGAGAGGTAAAGAAAAGGCTTTTTTTCTTTCTAAAGGGATACTATGCCGTTTTGGCTTGCTTTTAACACCCCCTAGTGTTCTGTTAGTAAAACCAAAAGTGAAACTTATCTCCTCGCTGTGTGTTTGACTTTTTAACACCTTAATCTAACAGCTGAAATGTCTCCTCAGCCTTCATTAGTGTCTACAGCAGCGTTTCCTCGTCTATATCAAACAAATAGGCTGTGTTCATGAGCTAAAACATGCAGGAGACATGCTGGAAGCAGACTCCAGCGCTGGCATGTTAGCTCCATTTTACCAAGACCAACAGAGACTGGACCGGTACTCCTTTAAGCCCCATGAGATGTCTAAGCTGCAGCTGTTACACACCTGCTTAGACTCCATCAAAACTTGGATGGTGGGAGCTTTCTTCAGCTGAATGAAGATAAGACTGAGATCCTCATCTGTGCCCCAGACAAGCTGGTTCCCAAAGTCAGAGACTCTCTTGGTCAGCTTGCTTCCCACACCAAACCTTCTGTCAGGAATCTTGGCGTGACCTTTGACCCAGCTCTCACCCTGGATTCTCATGTCAGTTCTCTTGTTCGCTCTTCCTTCTTCCATCTCAGGAACATTGCTAAGCTGAGTCCCATTCTGTCCCACTCTGAACTTGAGACAGTTATCCACACCTTCATCTCCTCCTGCTTAGACTACTGTAACTCTCTTTTCACGTGTCTGAGCAGAACCTCCCTGAACCGTCTACAGGTGGTTCAGAACGCCTGTGCTCGGCTTCTGACCAAGTCCTCCAAACACACCCACATCACCCCGCTTCTCCTCCAGCTTCACTGGCAGCCAGTCAACTTCAGGGTTCATTTCAAGATCCTGGTTCTGGTCTATAGGGCCTTACATGGACAAGCACCATCTTACATTGGTGATCTTCTTAGTCCCTACACCCCCAGCAGGTCCCTGAGGTCCAGTGATCAAAGCCTACTGGTTGTGCAACACACCAGGCTAAAGACCAAAGGTGACAGATCATCTGCTGCTGTGGCCCCCAGACTCAGGAACTCTCTCCCCCTGAGCCTGAGATCAGTGGACTCAGTGGTCTCCTTTAAAAAGCAGCTGAAGACTCACTTGTTCAAGCTGGCTTTTGTATGACCTTCTTCACCACTCTCTCTTTATTCTGCTCTCCCCACCTATTCCACCTTCCTCAGGATCCACTGATTTCCCTCTTTCCTGTTCACTCTCTCTCTTTCTTAACATTCTTTCTTTTAAATTACATTTGCTTATTTTTGCTCATTTTAAACATATTTTTAAACATTTTGTAAATGCTTTTTTGTATTTTAACTTTTTTTTTTGTGAAGCACCTCGTGGTTTTTATCTTGAGAGGAGCTATAGAAATGATATTTTCTTCTTCTTCTTCTGAAGTTGCAAATGCGGTATTCTGGCCACATAGGGCAGCGGCGGGGTCTGACGGACATTTCATTAACCCTGTCATTTTAGCACATACCAGCTCAAGAAAATGATTTAAAAATATGAAACATTTGGACTGGGATGAAAATTCAGCCCCGATCCTCACCTGGTCCTTTTCCTTATCCGTGGACACAGACAAATTCAGGTTTGGAGGCACGGCAGCAGACCTCACAGCGATGCCATCTTTGTCGCTGATGTCTAAATGATGAGCGATGTCCAGCGCGGTGGACAGGGTGGCTGTGGCCGTGAGTCCCAGCATGCACCGGACCCCCAGGCGCTCCCGTAAAACCTAGAAGCAGGAACTGCATTTGTGATCAAACCCTGAAAGATTTAGCCGCTTGATGGCGATTTCACCATCAGCCCACCTTGCAAAGCCTCAGGTAGCAGGGCCGGAAGTTGTGGGACCACTCTGACACGCAGTGAGCTTCGTCTATGCAAGCGAAAGCCACAGGGGGGAGCTCCTGAGCCGAGGGCAAACACCCCGCACCTGAACCACCTCCGCCAACTAAGGCCTCCGGAGACAGGAGCAGCACACACACCTGGCCGGACTTCACCTGGAAAACGGATCTTATTCATGATCGTGTTTTAACTGCTAACTTAAACAACCTCCTCTGTGCTACCTTCTCTATCGCAGCTTCTCTTTGCTTCATCGTCATGTTGGAGTGGATGCAGGCTGCTTTGAGCTTGGCGGGAAGCCCTGACAGCTACACACAAGACCTGCGTCATCGTTCTAGTATCTTTTACTTCTGCTTTTAGAAGAATCGGAGTGTTTACCTGGTCGTCCATGAGAGAAACTAGCGGTGAAATGACCAAAGTGATGCATTTGGATCTCTGAGCGTACAGGTACGCCGGCAGCTGGTAACACAACGATTTACCCATTCCAGTGGATAACAGCACAAGGGTGGAGAAGCCTGGAGGTGAAGAACACACCAGCTTAGCCATATCCAGATGTGTGCAGATGTAATAGATTACTCTGTACCTGACAGGATCCTCATGATGGCCTTCTCTTGTCCAGGTCTAAAGGACTGATAGCCAAGCTCTCTTAAAGCAGCAAACACCTCATCGGGTGCTCCTGAACGCAAACAGAAAAGGTTAAAGGTCATATTTTATGGTTTTTTTTACGGGTTTAAATGCAGCGTTTACCCCGAACTTTTCCGTCAGCTGTGAGATGATAAAGTGGCTCCATGGGGGGCGGAGCAGGAGGCCGCTCGTAGTCGGGGCGAATCACATTCAGCAACACATCATCCCGAGTGCCGGTGTCCACTTCCTGTTGCTCATTATCAACACTGTAGGACGTTGCTGCAATAGTTGTTTGTTATTTAGCAGAAATACGGAAAAGCTACATAATACGTCTCTGACTCCAACCTCACATCCTCGGTTTGCTTGTAAATCCCGGCAGAGTCTCACCTGGACACCAAAAGATGCCTGATTGAGTTGTGAACTACAAGCTTGAATTGGAAAAGGGTAGAACGTTCATGTTTACGCATTTGGCAGACGCTTTTGTCCAAAGCGACTCACAGGCGATAATGAAGCCATCAAACACTATTCAGTCAATCCTAGGCGGCAGCGTAATCAATCACAGAGGGAAGCGAACATGGAGTGTGCATTAGAGTGAGGGACGGGTGCTGGGAGGGTGCTAGTTTAGAAGATGCTCTGTGAAGAGCAGGGTCTTCAAGAGATTCTTAAAAGTGGACAAGGAAGCCCCTGTTCTAATACACACATCTGTGGAACGATACATGAAAAGAGTCGGGATTGTCCTGAGGGTGGTGTAGGCACTGCTGTCCAACGATCCTTCCATGGCCGGAGCGGCCGGGCTGAGACGTAAGCCTTTGCAGGAGGATTCAGGTGGATGGGAGCCGTACCACCCAGGACTTTGTATGCTAGTGTTAGCGATTTGAATTTGATGGTAAATGACCTTATTTGGTATAGCGCCTTCTAGAGTGCTGGAACCCCCCCGAGGCGTAGAGCCCTGCACGGGCCTAAAATCTGAGCCCGCGTCCGGCCCGGCCCGAGGGGGTGGAGCCCCAGCCCGACCCGGTCCGAAAAGGTTTTCAGGAATATCTGGCCCGACCCGAGCCCGACTTTTTTTTTTAACCTTTCATAAAGTTTTAGCGTGATAGAATGCTCCGCATTCTAATTATCTGTGAGAAGTATTCTGAAATGAAAAAAAAGAAAAGAAAAGAAAGAAAAACAGCATCAATGCAGCTTTTTTTCCTAACAGAGCGTATTTTTCCAGCGGCAGATGAAATTTACGAACACCATATTAATTGGATGCGTTTGTAAATTTTATCTGCTCTGAAAATGCGCTCTTGTGCAATTAGAAAAAAAAAGCAGCATTCTAATTTTCTAACTGCAGAGCGCATTTTCTGAGCGGCAGATTATAATAAACGTTCCCAATTAATAAAGCGTCTGTAAATTTTATCTGCCGCTCTGAAAATGCGCTCCCCAGTTAGAAAAAACCAGCAATGAATGCTGTTTTTTTTTTTAACTGCAGAGCGAATTTATTCACAGAAAAATAGAACGCTGCCGTTTTCATGAGAATAAACGGTTTCTGACATCAAAGTGGACATAAAATGGCATTTTAGAATAGGGGCACATGTTTCAATCAGCTGTTTGAGAATTTGTTTGTATAGGCGCATTTATGAACCACACACACCTTAACTGAGCTAACGGTGCGTGAGAAGCAGGCAGGTGCTGCTGCGTTCAAGTGTTTCAGTTTTTTATGAATTCGATTAAAAATAAAGGCGCCCGGCCCGGCCCGTGTCCGAGGTAATTACACAGTCGTCGGCCCGAAGCCCGGCCCTCGAGCCCCCCGGGCCTAGGGCTTCAGTGCAGGGCTCTACCAAGGCGCTTTACAACACAACCAGTCATTCACTCATTCATACACTGGTGGGGATGAGCTACAATGTAGCCACAGCTGCCCTGGGGCACACTGACAGAGGCGAGGCTGCCAAGCACTGGCGCCACCGGTCCCTCCGACCACCACCAGCAGGCAAGGTGGGTTAAGTGTCTTGCCCGAGGACACAACAACAGCGACAGACTGAGCGGGGCTCGAACCTGCAACCTTCCGATTACGGGGCGAGGACTTAACTCCTGTGCCACCGTCGCCCCACCGAATTTTATGTGTGCAGCTACCTGACACGCCTTCTCCAGGTCAGGGATGAGGTCCGGCCCCACGTGGAGGAGTTTAAGTATCTCGGGGTCTTGTTCACAAGTGAGGGAAAGCTGGAGCGTGAGATCGACAGGCGGACTGGTCTGCAGCGATGCGGGCGTTGTATCGATCTGTCGTGGTGAAGAGAGAGTTGAGCCGGAAGGCAAAGCCCTCGGTTTACCGGTCGATCTGCGTTCCTACCCTCACCTGTCGTCATGAGTAACCGAAAGAATGAGATCACGGATCCAGACTCCCCCCGAGCTTGAGGTCTGTGGTCTCCAACAAAAAGCAGCTGAAAACTCAGCTGCTCAGGCTGGCCTTCGTCATCACCTTCTCCTTATTCTGCTCTTTCTACCCATTCGGCAATTTCCCGGGATCCTCCGACTGACCTCTTTCCTATTCATGTTCTCTCTCCCTTTCCTTACATTTTAATCACAATTTTTATTTTTTGTCATTTTAAATATATTTTTAATCAGTTTTATATTTAAATTTATTTTTTTTATAAAGCGCCTTGTGAGTTTTATCTTGAAAGGCACTATATAAAATAACGCTTTCTTTCTTTCTTTTTTTACAAGCGGCCGAAATAAGCTCGGCTGTTCTGGGTTCTCCCTTACAGATACGGTGAGAAGCTCAGTCAACCGGGAGGGGCTCAGAGTAGAGCCGCTGCTCCTCCACATCTAGAGGGGCCAGTTGAGGTGGCTCGGGCATCTGGTTAGGACGCCTCGTTGGTGAGGTTTTCTGGACATGTCCTACCTGGAGGAGACCTTATGAAAGACCCAGGACACGCTGGGGGGACTACGTTTCTCAGCTGGTCAGGGAGGGAACACCTGGAGATTTTCCCGGAGGAACTGTCCCAAATGGCTGGGGGGAGGGAAGTCTAGGCCTCCCTGCTTAGGCTGCTGCCCCCACGACCCGACCCCGGATGAGCAGAAGGGGATGGATGGATGAAAACAAACGTACCCAGTGGCTGAGGTTGTAGTGTTCCCGTCGCCCTGGCAACCTCCTCCAGGGTTGGTAGTTCAAATGATTCTTCTTCTTCTTCTTCGGATTTATCCTCCAAAACAGGAAGTTGTGGAGCTAAAAACAAAACAAGAGGACTGAGATCAAACAACATAGGTCTTGTTACTGATCTTGTGCACACGCTGTTATCCATCCAACATGAACAACTATCTCATAAATCAGCTGGTTTTCTAGTAATGTCGGTGTTGCACCAAGACCGTTTGCTGTACATAAAACCGGTAAGTCTGTGGGAGTGCTGCTGATGCGGCGTCACCTCGTCCCCGGCACTCGACGGCCCAGTGCCCGGTTCCTCCACACCTGTAGCAGGTGTCGCCCTGCCGACTGAGCCCCCCTCTGAAGCAGCCCCTCCGTCCTCCACCAAAACGGCCCCCGCCTCCACCGAAACGCTCGCCCTTCAACTGGAATTTCTGCACGTACAACTGTGAGAAGAGCACACCAGTCAAAGGTAACGCTCTTGAACGTTTGGGCGAGTCTGGTGGAACCGCACCTGTTTGCGTAAAGCCATCCCTCGGAGAGCGTATCCTTTCACGTGAGATTTCTTCTTCAGATTGATCTTCACAAAATTACCTTCTGCGCCTTTCCTTATTCTGTGGAAACCGCAACAATAAAATAATAGAACAAAGCCAAAGCAGGTGTGTTTATTTGGGGCCGCCCGTGTTCCTACCTGGCCTTCACCGGCTGTGCTTGACACGACCCGGAAGTCCTGAACTCGTCCTCTAACTCTCCAAACAAGTTCTCCTGAGGAACCTGATCAGATATCACAGATTTTATTTAATGAAAATTATTTATTAACGTACAAAAATGCTGATTTTTTCCCTCACCTTTGGTTTTATCTCCGTCTCCTCCGCTCCATCTTCATGTTTTTTCTTGGTTCGCCTTCTTTTCTCTCCTCCTCCATCACCTGATTTAGAGTTTTCTTCTTCTTTCTTACGTCTCTTTTTCACTCCTCCATCTTCAGGTGTGTTTTCTCCAGTGTCGCCACCCTCTCTCTGCCTCTTTCTTCCCCTTTTCTTTGTACTTTTAGGACTATTCTCACCGTCATTTCCTGGTGTAACGAACACCTCTTCACTATCTTTCTCTCTTTTTTCTTCTCCTTCCCATCTTCCATTCACATTCTTAAGATTTTTCTCCTTTCTGAAATCTACTGATCCCTTTCTTTCACCCTCCACGTATTTTTCCTCTTTTGTCACGCTTTCACCTTCTGATTCTGGTACTTTTCTTTCATTTGTCTCCGCTTTAGTATCCTGGTTGCCTCCTCCAGGTTTCTCCTCAGCTTCCATCTCTCCGAACACCTGACACCTTTCCAGCCACTTCCTGTCAACGAAGCTCAGCCTGTTAGGAAGGGAAGGCCGTCTCACCAAACCACCAACCAAAGGTCGGCTACATTCGACACCAACCGAGTCCGGTGGAGCTTCTCCGTCTTTTGCACTTTCATTTAACGTTCCAGTGGCTTCGGCGCGCCGCTGAGGAGACAAGGATGATAAGAGGAGAGAAGATCTGGCTGGAGAGGAGCTGTGGGTTGTATCATCAGCAGGTTTAGCTTTAAATGGTTCTAACTGCTCCTCATGCTCTGCTGAATCCGGAGCTTCACGAGACGTTGAATCCAGACATGGCTTCATTCCTCTGGAACAAAAACACACAAAACTCATTAAATAACCAAGTTTCTGAAAAATACTTAAAAATTTTCCGTTCTTGGTTCTCGTTTGAGCCATAAATATGAAACAAAACCAGAGGATTTAGATCCAAAGTGTGGTATGAGGGCCACTTGAGGCCCTCATAGTGTTTTTGTGTGGCCCCTAGCAGGCTGACGATGTAGCCAGATGATTTCTAGGCCTGTTGTTGAGCTGTGTAAATACAAAATTCATTATAAAAATAACTTTAGAGTTAAAAATATATATATTAAAAATACTTGACAATTTCTGCCCTTCTCTTGAAGGGTTTGGACACCCTAATCTAGATTATACATCACAACAAAACACGTTTAAGTTATATTACAGCATTTTAATCAAAAGGACACATTTATCAGTCAACTAGGTTGATATTATGTGCGTAACATGACAGCTTGTGTCTTTAATTACCTTGGAGAGAAGAGGCTGAGGTCTCGATCAGCTGTTTCAGGTTTTCCTGCATCAGTGGAGGACCTGGGACTGTTCTCCTGTAAGCTCTGGTCATCTTTCAAAGAATTTAGAGGAACTCGACCGGTCCGGTGTACTTTCTTCAATGACAAAGGTCTCTCCTTTAGTCAAAAAATAAATAAATAAGTGCACTGGAAACACATGATGGATAATCCAGTTTGTTTAAAGGTTGAGATGACAGATTTCTTCTGTTTTATAGCAATAATTGAGCTCAGATCAGTTTTTTTAAGTGATCCTTACCTTACTGAGTGCAGCAAGGTTGTTTTTAAGCTTTAGTCCATAATACTGAGGGGACGCCATAAGACTATCCTTGTCCTGGGAAGTCAGCCTGGGAGCAGACACCGGCATTGCTTTGCGGTTCAGATGGGCACCCCAACAATCAGACTCCTAAAACAGAAAATATGCTAATTATTTAGAATTAGTAAATAACAGAAGGTGATTTGTGAAGAATAGAGTGTTAAGAAATAGAATAAATAAATTACAGTAAACAAAGAAGTTGTGATCAGAACCTTGGGTGTTGTGTTGCTCTCTGGAGTCTGACTGCTGGATGCATCCCTGCTGCTGCTGTTCTCTTTGGCTTGTTTTAAACTGCGATACTCCTTATATAGCTCTACAAAAACACGCGTATTATTAGTGCGGTAAGACATGTAACAGCTGATCAGTGCTGATTATAGTTAGGACTGACTTTTTGTCTGTTCTGGAGCTTGATCAATGTCCTCCTGCAAACGAGAAACCTTCATTTAGCTTTTCTGAAAAGGTAAATAATCCAGCAATAAGCAAACGGGACATCTAGAAATCACCTTGTTGGGCTTCCTCTGGTGCAGTTCGACAAAACTTTGCTCCCAGTTTTTCAGCAGAAGTTTCACCTCATTGTAGCGATCCATGTTGATCCATTCAGTCGGTTTAAGGATCCGGACTCCACTTCTTTTTGTCAAGCTAACAGCTAAAAACAGGTTTCTTTTTAGAAATAAGCGCAGTCTGACTGTGTGTTTTACTACTTAATGCGCTTAGTTAGCGTTTAATACCTCTAAAAAATGTATTTTACACTTAGAAAGGCGAAGAACGTCATGTTTTTAAAACTTTTATGACGCTTTGAATCAACCCGGAAATGCTAAATGTTGATTTTCGCGCGTCCGTGTGTTGCCAGTTTTCATCACCGCATCCCCCAATCTGTATATCACTTGCGTAGAAGTTAAATGTTTTCAATTCATCTGTGTATATTACTATGTATATCTGTACCTGAATTTTTGTATGCCTGTACCTGAATTTTTTTCAAGATATACTTTGTGTTTAGTAAATTCAAGAATGATAATAAAATATATAGATATGTAAAAATCACTATAAAATTTAAAATTTTCGCTGTATGAAAATCTCAAAAGAGAAACGCTCTTCCAGATAAAAATTAAAGGGACAGAAATAGTTTTCAAACTAATCACATAATACAACATAAATGTATTTGACATAAGTGTGTAATAAACTATAAAACAAAACTAAAAATATATACGTTTTTGTTGAATTTTAAAGAGATGCAACTTTGCAACAGAAATTTAAGGTACTTTCTTGGCTGTTTCTGGCATCAGCCCACTCTTGAATCAGTTCTTTTGCAGTAATGTGTTTCAACCTTTAATGTGTATCTTCTGGTTTTAATTACTTTTAATGGAGACATATCATGGATTTATTTCTTAAGTTTTATGTGTTATAAAAAAACATATTTATGAAATCTTTGCTCAAAATCTCTCTCACATTAAGCAATGTCAGCCGTTTTATTCTTGACATTTTCAGCATCTTCCACAATGAGCCATTTCAAGGCTCTGTCGCTTAGGCCCTAGGCCTTTTTTCTTTGGGCCCTGGTGCCTCCCAATTGGGGGCCTTTGGAGTTTCGTGTCCCAAGTGTCAGTGATTGTTTGCATTCCCCGAGCACAGCTACAGCTACAATCAAAACGGTTTAGATTGTGAAAAAAAAGCTATTTTTGGTTTTTGATACATTAAGATAAAATAATACTTGAACTTTATTTTAGAAGAGCTGCCCTGTGTGAAAGTGCTGACAGGATGGAGGTTGAGAGTTCAAATTCCATTTAGGAAATTTAGTCAATTGTTTTATTTATTCCAGGGGTCCTCAACTAATTTTGTTTAAGGGTTTTTTTCCAGCAGGCACCAGAGAAGGTCAGATGCTCTTCTAAAATAAAGTTCAAATATCATTGTATCTTAATTTATTACTATTTAAAATGGCCTTGTTTCCCATCTGGGATGTTTGTGGTTTTAGTTGTGTTTGGACAATGTGGACAGTTGTAGATGTTTGGGAAATGAAACTGTAGAGGCCCCCCAATTGGGGGGTGTTAGCTGGTTAAGAAAACAAGCTGAAGCTGGCTACGCCCAGCCACTCCCTGCTCAGGCTGCTGTAAGCCGAGAAGCTCCGATATCTTGGAAGGGCTCAGAGTATAGCCGCTGTGAATCAACAGCTGTCTCCCAACACACAACATTTTTGAACTTGTCCATGCATTGTTTTCTGAGCCGTTTGTCATTTCTTATCGTTTCAAATAAACATCACAGAAGAGAATAACATTTTACAGATAAAAATCTGTGAGATACTATGAGAAGATCAAAGAGGGATTTCATCAGCAAACATCTTCAGACATGAATAAAAACAGAACAACTGAGTGTAACAAATAAACCGTTTTATTTCTTATAGTTTGTTGGAGGTAAATTGTACAAAAACGGTTATGGCTCTGATAATAAGGATGGATATTTTTTATGATCCCATGTTCTCAGTTCATTTCAGCAGTGAAACCTCATGAAAGTATGCTCCCAACATCTTGGTTCCTTGGATGTAGTTCACTCTGAAAATTGAGATATAGAACAATATTTTTTTATTTACGCAACATAAAAAATAAGACTAAATGTAGATACCAGTAATGTGTGAATGCACAGTGACAAACCTATTGAGCTTTTCATTCTGTGAATGAGCTCCATCATCGGAGGATCCTACAGGAAGCAGCATGACGTTACGGCCTGTAGCCTCCTGGAAGGTGAGGGTGACGGGGATGCTTCCACCTTCGCGGGTCAGGTCCGGCTCAACTCCAAACACTAAAAACAAAGAAGCAAGAGGAACAAAAGCCAGTTAATAAGAACAATAAGTGGAAAAATCTCAACTTTGTAGCTTTGCACACTAAAAATGTTAATAAAGGCCATCAATGAAAAAACCCAGATTTCTTGCCTGAGACACGCAAAAGGATTCTAAAGGGCCAAATACACGGTTTACCCCGTGCAACAGCCCAGGGTCCCCAAAAACGACAATTTCCGTCTTTTTGTCTTTTAAAGTGAGAAGGCTCAATTGTAGCCAGTTTTTAACATCTTTTAGACAATTCAATAATTTGTCAAACAATGGCCTTCGAGAATGTAGTGGGACATATATCTGCACATCGTTCGCAAAGAAGTGATACGAGATGCCATGCTTATGAAAGATGGCGCCAAGAGGCAACATATACAGTGAGAACAAGAACGGGCTCAAAACTGAACCTTGAGGGACACCATAACTAAGTTTAGCTGGAGACGAACAACACTGCCCCATAGGACTTAAAACCACTGCAACACTGAGCCCCGGATGCCAACGTCATGCTCTAGGCGGGCTAAAAGGATCTGATGGTCCACCGTAACAAAGGCCGCCGTTAGGTCTAAAAGGATCAATACAGCAACGAACAGCGTGATGTGTTCACTTCTACGGTGATCAGTCACTGGGGCAGCCTTCACCATTGAAGAAGTAGCAGCAAATACATCCTTTTTTGGAAATAAGTGACTTACGTAAAGAAAAGCACAAGCCTAAATAGTCCAAAGTTGATGCCAAAACCATTTCAAAAGAGTATCAATCCTGAGCCAATGCCATTTTTGTAGTTTTTATTTAATCACAGCTCTGGCACTAACCTGCTCAACGTCTCTACACATATAGGGCGCTGTGATTGGCCGGACCTAAAATATTTTGAGCCAACGATAGACCTGTTGAGTCTACAATGGAGCACGGCTAAACTGATACTGCTACAGTTTTTAGGCTACGTCTGCCCTACAGTATGCATCGACCTCAAATGGTACAACTTGAATCAGTCTTTTGCAATAAAATCAGAAGTTGTGTGTTTATGAGCGATCACTCAGCCTGTACCTGTCTTCATGGCCTTTCGACCCGCCATGTAATGAGGATGGTTGAAGTCAGACACCCAGGCTTTGGCCCCGTGACCCATGTAAACTTTCAGTTTGTTGGGGGTTCCCAATTCAGCAAACTTCTTCTGCACATGCTCGACCACCTTCATAACAAAAGAGAATCTGTTTATTATTACAGACATTAAAACAAAACTTTTCAAGGTTCAAATCTGTATCTTATTAGCTGTGCAAGATCTCAGTGGATACCTGCTGCTCCACAATTTTGGGATCCATGTCAGGGACAAGGCGAATGGAGAACTTGCCAGTGACTTTGCGGGGTATTACGGTTTTGGCCCCAGCTTCAGAGAAAGCCCCTTCGATGCCGTGAAGAGAAAGAGATGGGTACCTCCAGCGGTGCATTAAGATCTGCTCCTATAATGAACACAAACAGAGCAAAAATGAGTTTTCCAGGATAATTTGACACATTTTCACTTGAGAAATATCACAACCCCTTTCCTTACCTTGGTATCGTGTAGCAGGTGTCCAACTCCTACATCTTTGCAGTACTCACTCAAGTCAAAATCAATCTTCTCATAAAGCTTTTTCTCCTCCTCTGTCAGAGGGGCCACGTCGTTGTACATCCCAGGAATCAGGATCTTCCCCTTCTTGTCAACCAGGCAGCCTGTAAAAAGAAAAACGTCAGTCAAACTCCAAACAGCGAAGTAACTAGCGGAGAATCTGGCTTTACGTACCCATGAGAGAAATGAGATCAGTCATGGCCTCGTGAACGGAGCCACCAAACACGCCTGAGTGCAGGTCTTTCTCGCAGCACTCAACCTTCAAATGAAAAGCATTATTTCAAATATACTTCATATAAAGTGTAAAACTGTAGATGATGGCAGTGCTGTGAGAGTCCACCTCAACAAAGAAATAACAGATTCCTCTCAGGCCGTAGGTGATGCAGGGTTTGGTCTTGCCTAGCCAGTAGTTATCGGAGATGCAGACGTAGTCCACGTCTTTGAAAAACTTGTCTTTTTGAGCAAACACCAGATCGTCCAGGCCCTCGGATCCAGATTCCTCCATCCCCTCGAAGCAGAACTTGACGTTGATGGGAAGCTCCTGCCAGAACAAAACCGAAATATTAAAACAGAATCGCTAAACTTCATAGCTGCTCTCCTCGGAAGCATGACTTCCTGGGTGTGTGGACTACAGCTCTTCTAGGTTCAACATATCCTGGGATGTGTAACCGTTTTCAACTTAAAGGTGAGTCACATCAACGCACAAGGAAAACACTTTGTTTTAATCATTAAGCAGGCATGATTACATTTAACTCAAGACCTTTGACCAAGTCAAGCAGAGGAGGCAGCTCCGAACAAGACAAGAGAAAAGAAACGCTGCACTTCAACACAGAAGTAACCCATTCCACAGAATGATCCTTATAAGTGGGTACAAGATGCTATAGCTGAACATTTTTTGCCATACTGCTTAAAATGCTTTACACACACACTGATGGCAACCGATAAATCAAATGTTTCATCACAAGAAACGAATAACTAATCGCCTCTGAAATGTAAAACCCCGGAAAAACCTCATCCAATCATTGTGAATGTCTCATTCTAAATGATTAGATCATGATCCATCCATCAAACAGCCCTCTGCCTTTCCAAGCCCCCTCTGCACACACCTCTCTGTGAGCACGAATCATACGGTCTCAGCTTGGACCAGAAGAACAGGAAGGGAAGCCAGAGCCCAGTTGTGGTCAGAATATTCTGTTTGCAAATTGTGTTACACGTTCTGTTATCTTGGCTGTGTGTGTGTGTGTGTGTGTGTGTGTGTGTGTGTGTGTGTGTGTGTGTGTGTGTGTGTGTGTGTGTGTGTGTGTGTGCAGAGCTGGCGGACAGGAGAGAGCGAGCACGTCTGAAGAGATTCAGGGTTGGTTCTGGGAGTTTCCATGTGTTATTCGTGCGGATTTCCAAAACTGCTGAGCGGCTGTTATTTCAACATTAAGAACAAACCAAGAAAACTACAAATTGTCTCATTTTAATCATAAAAACTTCACACTCTATTAGCTAGCATACTAAACTGTTATGTGGTTATGTAGGTGCGTTACGTTAGAAAAGGTCCCAATAACAGGTGGAGAAGGTAAATCGAACCCTTGGGGACAAGCATTGTGCGTTCCTGTATTCTGGAGGGGCGGCTAAGAGGGGTGACGCCTTAAGAAAGGAGGTTGGACCTTTAAATTGAGCATTTTAAAAACATACCTCGATTGAATTGCAAGAAAAACATCTCCTAAATCAACTTTTGATCATTTACAAAATAAGTCCTTGTTCTACAGGAGCTCTTTCCCTCTCTGGTACTTCTTAGGTGTTTTTTCATACTCCCTCCCCACTGAACACCGTACACTTGTACGTTTATATTTTGAGTGTTCCATGTTTTGCTGTAACTAGTGTGGTACACGATACAAGTTCATACTATTTCTGTTCTGCCCTCCTCTGGCCACCTACGCCATCCCCAAACTGGTTTCCTAGCTTTAGTTTAGGCTGTTTCTCCACAATCTCTCCCCCCCACTAGTCACCAGCCACTTATAGTTCATTGTAAAAGTTTTCTAGCTTTATTGTAAATCTGTTTATATTTGTCAGAGAAGCACTTTGTGACTTCTGTCGGTGCTAAATAAATACATTTCTTCTAAATGTCAGACAAAAGCTGGCTCTGACAAACGCACAAACATGTAGAGACGTGTTATTCCTCAAACAGAAAGTAAAGCTATAGCTCTTGTATATCCAATGATCAATACGTCGGTGCTGCGTTTTTACTGAGCAGGTGAAGGTCACAAACTTCTTACATCGTTTTTCCATCACTACTAACACTTCCAGAGAGACACTTTAGAGGCTAAAGTTTTCTTTTTAACCAAATGTGACACAAAAACTTCAGAATCTTCAGCGATGTTAATCAGCGTCACATCAGCTGACATCTCGCTGGATTTCCGTTCCTCCAAAAGCAGCATTTGTGGTACTAAAACTAACGTTTCATCGTAACTGATCCAAAGAGGTTCATATAAAGGTAACTAGACTTCTTTGGTTTCTTGCCATCCCTCTTCTCTGGGAAGACAGGTGGTTTGAGAGAAGAAAGGAAGCTATCTCCATGTCAAATGGGAAAGACCTACATTAAACAGAGGGGGTCTCAGATTTCGCCTTTCCAGCACCTACAATGCAGCTCTGAACCTAGTTCCAAAACAGTGTCAGTCTAGGTCACACCCTCCTGCATCTAATCAAAACACCCATTCCCACACAATAGGAGCTAATGACTTCAATGACTTCTCAGGGGGTATTCATAGGTAGTTTCAGCTCATTAAGTAACAATAGACAGCTACCGTTTATACAGTGGGGCAAAAAAGTATTTAGTCAGCCACCGATTGTGCAAGTTCTCCCACTTAAAATGATGACAGAGGTCAGTAATTTACATCATAGGTACACTTCAACTGTGAGAGACAGAATGTGAAAAAAAATCCATGAATTCACATGGCAGGATTTTTAAAGAATTTATTTGTAAATCAGGGTGGAAAATAAGTATTTGGTCACTTCAAACAAGGAAAATCTCTGGCTCTCACAGACCTGTAACGTCTTCTTTAAGACGCTTTTCTGTCCTCCACTCGTTACCTGTATCAATGGCACCTGTTTGAACTCATTATCTGTATAAAAGACACCTGTCCACAGCCTCAAACAGTCAGACTCCAAACTCCACTATGGCCAAGACCAAAGAGCTTGCGAAGGACACCAGGAAAAGACTGGAAGAGTGAATCTACAATAGGCAAGCAGCTTGGTGTGAAAAAAATCAACTGTGGGAGCAATTATCAGAAAATGGAAGACATACAAGACCACTGATAATCTCCCTCGATCTGGGGCTCCACGCAAGATCTCATCCCGTGGGGTCAAAATGATCATGAGAACGGTGAGCAAAAATCCCAGAACCACACGGGGGGACCTGGTGAATGACCTGCAGTAGGGTTGTCACGGTAACCGGTATAGCGGTAAACCCCGGTAAAAAAGTTGACAATAAAAATAACCGTCCAGTTTTAAAAAAAACTATATTATCTCGGTGGGTTTACCGTGGCCGCGGTTTCGGCGCGATGACCCTTACCAGCCACCGTCGCTTCAGCTGAAGTTCCCGCAGCGCGCACACGCACTTTTTAGTTTGCAACGGCACCAAAACTTTGAAGCTGAAATAATGGCCGAAGGAGGAGACGGCAGCGCCCAGGACATCCATCAGCCCTCAAAGAAGACTAAATCGGAAGCATGGGCATATTTTGGATTTCTGAAAATGCTGAGGGACAGTTAATAGAAGACTGCTATCCCGTTTGCAGAACGTGCAGGAAACAAGTGTCTGCAAAAGGCAGCAACACTTCGAATCTAATGGCACATCTGCGTGACCATCACCCACGTCTCTACAGCCAGTGCAAGGTAAGTTAACATTAGCATTTTAGCTTAAATGCATGACGTGAGGACTTTTGGTTGAGGGAGAATGCAACGAGTCGCCGCAGCGTCCTTTGCCAGCATTTAAACCGTGTCACGGACACCCTGTTGCTGGATGAAGCATCTTATTTGTTGATGATGAAGAGAAATATACAATTAGTTCCTTGTCATTGATTTGTTTACTTATTCAATGCCACTTATACTTGAACATTTGGATTTGATTACATAGTGTAGTAGTTATTTTAGTAATTTGTTTAAATTGGCTATTTATTTTAAATACATATTTTTAAGGTTGACTTGTACAGCGCTCAAGTCAAGTGTGGACTGGAGTTTTAGATTTTCATTTTGATAATGAAGAAAACAAGTATATGAGAAAACAAGTGGTGTTTCTTTGATTTGTTTACATATTGTTTATGTTTCGAATGTTTGGATTTGTATAATTTAAACCTGCACTGACTACTGTAACATGTTCCAGAAAAATAAGCTATTTGTTCCTTTACTTGTGAAAAGTTGCACTTTTGCTAAGGCTTTGTGTTATTTTAGGTTTAATAAACACTGTTAAACCTTTTCAGAACTATTTCAGTTTGTGTAGAACAGGACTTTCAATGCTTTCTGAACATATGCAACACCGTTTAAAAAATACCGCGATAATACCGAAAACCGTGATAATTTTGGTCACAATAACCGTGAGGTTAAATTTTCATACCGTGACAACCCTAACCTGCAGAGAGCTGGGGCCACAGTAACAAAGGTCACCATCAGTAACACACTACAACGGCAGGGAATCAAATCCTGCAGTGCCAGACGTGTTCCGCTGCTGAAGCCAGTGCATGTCCAGGCCCGTCTGAAGTTTGCCAGAGAGCACATGGATGATACAGCAGAGGATTGGGAGAATGTCATGTGGTCAGATGAAACCAAAGTAGAACTTTTTGGTATAAACTCAACTCGTCGTGTTTGGAGGAAGAAGAATACTGAGTTGCATCCCAAGAACACCATACCTACTGTGAAGCATGGGGGTGGGAACATCATGCTTTGGGGCTGTTTTTCTGCTAAGGGGACAGGACGACTGATCCGTGTTAAGGACAGAATGAATGGGGCCAAGTATCGTGAGATTCTGAGCCAAAACCTTCCATCAGTGAGAGCTTTGAAGATAAAACGTGGCTGGGTCTTCCAACACGACAATGATCCCAAACACACTGCCCGGGCAACAAAGGAGTGGCTCCATAAGAAGCATTTGAAAGTCCTGGAGTGGCCTAGCCAGTCTCCAGACCTCAACCCCATAGAAAATCTGTGGAGGGAGTTGAAAGTCCATGTTGCTCGGCGACAGCCCCAAAACATCACTGCTCTCAAGAAGATCTGCATGGAGGAATGGGCCAAAATACCAGCTACTGTGTGTGCAAACCTGGTAAAGACCTATAGTAATCGTTTGACCTCTGTTATTGCCAACAACGGTTATGTTACAAAGTATTGAGTTGAATTTTTGTTATTGACCAAATCCTTATTTTCCACCCTGATTTACAAATAAATTCTTTAAAAATCCTGCCATGTGAATTCATGGATTTTTTTTTCACGTTCTGTCTCTCACAGTTGAAGTGTACCTATGATGTAAATTACTGACCTCTGTCATCATTTTAAGTGGGAGAACTTGCACAATCGGTGGCTGACTAAATACTTTTTTGCCCCACTGTATGTTTGACTCCCACATTCCAGTCAGAAACGATAAAGCTCCTCAGATGTGAAGTGAAACGTCTTCAAGAATCCAAAGAAGTCCAGTTGCCTTTGTTCGAATCTTTTTGGATTACTGTGACCTGGATGACGAAGAACTTTCACCAGCATACCTGATTGATCTTTTGATAGGCCTCAATGCAGTTAAACCACGCCAACACTGGACCCTTGTCATCTGTGGATCCTCTCCCATACAGTTTACCTGCGAAGGGAAACGTTATCTTTACATCTTAAAGGGACTCTAATGTCTACAATGTGTGACAGTTTCCTTTAGAAAAGCAGCATTATTATGATGAAGAGACAGGAGGCTGGTGTTCAGGGAGAAACAAATGAAGGCAGAACTAAAAAAGGCTGAGTGGACAGGAAACAATCAGGAAGTAGATGTCAGCTGACGATAACCACAAAGAACACGATATCAGTTCTCGCACGGGTTTCTCCCGAAAGAAAAAAGGAATCCAAAAGTGAAAGTAAAGCTGCTTTATAGATCAACCACAGCAGTGGAAAGTCTTGTTTTACTTGGCAGACGACTGACCGCCTTCACTTTTGCTGATTTTATTTGTAAGCAAAACAAAATAAAGACTTTAATCACTTCCTTTCATTATTCCAAAGATTTGGCACTTAAAGGGAAGTAAAGCTGACCGTTCTTCATAAACTATCTGCCAACAGCGATTAAGCCCAGATAAGACGACGACGCTCTACACTAAGAACACGATGATTGGAGTGGACTTTGGAAATATGCAGCAGGTCATGGTATGATCACAGGTTTAAGGTTGCTTAAAGCACAAAGGTCATAAATATGCATTAAGTTTAAGTATCAATGAGGAAAAACAGTCCACCTAAGCTAATTTCTAGTGTTGAGAGGAGTGATATGATATTAGATGCATGTCCAGTTACTCAGAGACGGGCGTGAGTTGTACTGCAATCAGAAACCTTTAAACTCGCCTCGTCCGGTTTAGTCTTACATCCCAAACGGAACTCCTGACTGTTCATGTGACTGCCAGGAAGATGGTTTCAGTTTGAGCTTTCCAACTTTCCAGGTCATGTTACAAAATACAGAGAGGGAGGAAGAAAAGCGTTTTGTTCTTACCATCTTTCTCCACCAGAGTGAAGGGCTCAGTGTCCCAGCCGTCCTCGACCTGAGCCGGTTGGACATCGAGGTGACCGTAGATGCAAACCGTGTTCTTGTTTGGGTCTGAGCCCAAACTCCCCAGGACGATGGGAGGCAGCGGGATCTCCTCTCCTGAGGAAAGCTGATGAATAAAAGTGTAATAAAAATAATTGTTTAGTTGTAATATTAGATAATGGCAAAAAAAGCAACACTTGAAGTTCACTTTTACTTTTTGTTTGCCAATATCCACCAGCTCCACCGATCCCCCCAGCTTCTCGATGTCTTTGGCTGCCATCTCCATCATCTTTTTGATCTCTCCACGCTTCTCGGGCCAGGCAGACACACTCTGGACGCCGACCCATTCTGCAAGGCGCTGGAAAAGTTGAATTTAGATTTATTCAACATAACTCAAATCAATCCAACTCCAATAGGTTAACATGTCACTGAAGCTGTAATCATTAAGTTCATTTGTTTTACATTTACAATGCCTGCTCACTCAAACTACACGTGTCCCAATTACAGGATTTCATGCAACAAATCAAACGGGATTCTCTCTCAGAATGATCTTACCTTCACATAGAGGTCCTGGTTTTCATCCACATACTTAAAAAGTGCAGGGAGGTGGGCCATTTCTGACAAGAGCAGCTGAGGGACCAACAAGCAGAGCAGTGTGAGTCCACCTTTGACTCACAGCTGTCTTATGAGAGGTTTTGAAACAAGTAGGCCACGCCCACCAGACTACCTGCTGACTACTGCTGGATTTGTAGCTTCCCTGTTGCACACATGACAAAGAAGTGCACGTCGTGCATTTTTTAAGCTAAGAAGTTAAATTCATTGTAATGTTTTACCTTTTTAGAAGAAATTGCATTTTATTAACTTGCATGATTATGTCAATAAGACTCAAACAAAAAATGTCCTTATGTAATTCAATCATGCAACACTTATGAAAACAACTTTTTATTCTAAAGTGTTACAGTGATTTGCATTTTAGGGAGAAAAACAATGGCAAGAGCAAAAGTAAAAGTCTGACTGATGCATTTTCTTCCACTTGTGTACATTTTTGTTTGAAATATAACTTTTTTGTACCTTTACGCTGTGTACTGCTATCCACATCAGGTGTAGGCAATGGCAACATACCCTAACCCTCTTATGCTAGTGACTTCTTTTAAAACTATTGTAAAAAAATACAAGTTTTTTTATATTTAGCGAATTGTTTGTTTTACAACAGAAACTTTAAACACGTCTGACTGAATGAGTTAACAAAAAGACGGTAACATCACTAGCTTGTGACGTACGCACGCGATAGCTCCCGGCTAGTTAGCGTTGCAGGACAACATTCCTCGTTTAAACCTTTACGGATTATCAGACCTGTGTTTCCGTCCAGTTAGTGTCCACACGTGGCTCTTCTCACGTGAGACACACTTCCTGCGTTTGCTCGGAGCTAGAAAAACTTTCGGTTCAATGCTTTTTCTACAGTCACTGGTTCAAAGTTGTGTGTTTATTTTAACAGAGCTCAAGATGTCCGCGCAAAGCATTATGGGTCCCCCTCAGCTGTTTTGTGTTCTTCCATCAGTTCAATCAAGGGCAACTCTTTAAATGAATAAATGGTTTCATCCAAACCTTTTTTTACGAGAATCTAGATGAATTACCAAAGCATAAACATGGGAAACGAGTTTTAAATTAGCTTCTTTATAAACATGGAAAATGTTCAACAGAGATTTCTTAATTAACTCCAGTCCTCGAGGGCCAGTATCCTCCATCTTTTTGTTATTTCCCAGTTCCAACACGGTTGATTAAGCAGCTCATCAAGCTGCAGAAGCCAGCTAATCTCCTGCTGATTGAAATCAGGTGTGTTGAAACAGGGAAAACAGTAAAACATGTGGGATAGTGGCCCTCAAGGACCAGGATTGCCCGCCCCTGATTAGTGGGAAGATGATTTCGGGATCGTCCATTTTTCATGGCTCATTTCAAGAAACTTCAACAGCTAAAATCATTTTAATGTAATTTAACTGGGACGTTTTATCACCCTGGTTTAGTGTAGAAAATAAATTGCCTAAACAATTATGGCAGAACAAGGCAACCTTGGTCCTGGAGATCCACTATCCAGCAGGTTTTAGCCATTTCCCTGATCCATCCAGGGTTCGAATTACAGGGGAGCCCAACTCCCCTGAAGCCATAAATCACACACACAAAAATGGAGCCCCCAAAATCCCATCTCAATCCAAACTAGAATATTTATATGGACTCAAAGTATCAGGACTTCTTTTGAAGGCTGCACAGTGGTTAGAGCTGTTGCCTTGCAGCTAGTAGGTCCTGGTTTCCCTTCCCAGCCTGGGATCTTTCTGCTTTGAGTTTGCATGTTCTCCCTGTGCATGCATGGGTTCTCTCAGGGTACTCTGGTGTCCTCCCACAGTCCAGAAACATGACTGTTAGGTTGACTGGTCTGTAGGTGTGAGTGTGTGTGTGTGCATGATTGTTTGTCCTGTGTGTCTCTGTGTTCTCTGTCCAGGGTGTACCCCACCTGATTGCCCGTTGACCGCTGGAGATACCCCTCGCGACCCTGCGTGGACAAGCGGGTTCGGAAAATAAATGGATGGATGGACTTTTTTTGAGAGGAGAAGACAGAGAATGCAGAGTGTTTTTAGTTGGGTAAGCACCTTCCCTAGTGGAAATAAATGCACTAGGGGCAAATGGAGACCTATCCAAGATGGCCGCTGGCAGTGCCAGACCACAGGACGTCTAAATGTCTGATTGTGAAGACCAGAATTAGGGTACTTCTCGTCTCCTTGCCCCAGCAGGACACAAATGATGAGAACACAAGATTTCGTTGAAGAAAAGCAAACATTTTCTAAAGCATATTATAAAATTCTTTTTATTTTTTTGCACTCCGACTCGTATCCAGTATGTGTTTGAATAGTTATAGGTCCTAGAAGGAGAAAAAGGAGAAAAATGGTTAAAGATGAAAATGTTGCAGTAACATTTTTCTTTTCAAAAATTGGAAATGTACTTTTCCAGCAAAGCATCGCTCTTCGCAAGTCTTTTCTGCGGGTATACAAACTTCTGCAGAGCACATGAAGTAAATCTGTGGAGAACAAGTTTCCAAAAGACAAAGAGGTATTGTGCATTAGAATACTTGAATTCTTAACTACTTAAACATGGACCAGAAGTCTCCTGAAATCCTAAAATCAGAAGTTGGTGGAGTCAGTGGTTATGATCCAGAAAATTCCAACTCACTTCTTCATTTAGGAACATGTTCGTTTTCTGGTCCATAAACTGGAAAGCCTCCACTGTAAAACGTCTCTGATGAAGATTGTTGGGAGAGCCATTGACTTTAAGGATGGACACAGTTGGATCGTTGGGATTTGCACATCTGCGAATATAAACGTGATTGATGCAAGCTGAACCTGAACAGAACAACGACATTCATGCTTACCCTTCATGAATCAACACCAAGGCATTCTTGGCAGAGCGAGGGTAAGCCAAGCAGTAGTTGACAAGAATGACTGCATCTGGTTTAGGACTTCTCAGATTTAGCTCAAGATACACAGGACGACCAAGGAGCAGCTGCAAGGGCTGGTGGTACGTGGGAAAGTAGCTGGAATATGCGTCATCTGTTGGGAACACAACAAAAAGCAATCTTTTTAGAAAATATTTCGAGCGTTAATACATCATCTCTTCCTATCAAACAAATTAAGAAAACATAAAAGCTTGTAAATAAAAATGTGAACTCCTGACTTTTAGCAATCTTTAACTCAACGTCGTATAATCCACTGGAGATGATCGATGATGGCAGATTAGAAGATGAAGTCTTGACCATGTAGCCGACGCTGGCTAATGACATCTCAACAGCAGCATCGCCATGTTTGCTGTAGCGACACTCGATCATAAACCTGCAGGAGTTTAAGTCCAGACAAATTAAAATTAAACTACAAAGAGGGAATCATGACTACCATGAGATGCAACACCAACCTGAGAGGATCAGTCCTTGTAATTATTCCATACTTGAGGTTGAGTGCATTGATGATGGTCTGCACTTCAATCAGGTGGACGTTCATGCCACCAACTTCCTGTCCAGAAAACAAAACCGCACTTGCCTCAAGTTGGACAGAAAATACATCAAACGCAGCCAGAAATAAGCATGTATCCCTTATTGATTTTACTGTAGGTGTTAGAAGATGAATCACAGTGCCAATGAAACGTTGTTTTTGAGTCGGAGTGCAAAGGAAAGTGAAGTTTTGGCCAACTGATTTGCTCTTTTAGTTTTACTCTGTAGTGCAAATGCAACGAGAAAACAAACTGACAGCATTTCGTCTTTCAGGAGCTCCACTGCTAAACATTTTACAAAAAAAGAAAGTCAGAATTCAAGTTCAGTAAATTAGCTACCATTTTTTCTAAAGATGAGAAACTCAAAAGCCTCTCAGTTTTACTGAAATGCAGCATATTTAAATCAGAATGAGGATTGGTGTAAACAAAGCCTTTTATGGTGCATGAGTTGGAAATTAAACACTAGAGCAGAGTTGAGACTTGTCAAATAAGTCAGGTGTGAACAGCAACATCCTCAGAACTTTCTGCAGGTGTGCAGTGGAAGTCACACCAATGGCCAGCGTCACTGCCTGGTACGGACGCTGCACTACAGCAGAGAGGCAGGTCTGCACTGAAGACCATCAGCTGCAGATTACCATCCATCTCTGAAATCTAGACTATGTAGGAGCAGAACTCACTGGATTGAATGACCCCATCCACCCTGCACACGGTCTCCACTCCACTCCATCAGACAGAAAGCAGCACAGCCGGAGTCCAAAGCACTAGATTACAAAACTGTTACGGGGGCAACTTACATAAGAACGATCTCCACAATCTCCGAGTTTGACTTTAAAGATGGCGACCTCAGCATTAACAATGGCTGGTTTACAGAGGTCCCCCCCGGGAATCACAAGTTTTCTGGGGTCAAAAGGGATGCGTGCACAATCACGGCGAATAGCAAAGACAAAGTGGCGATCCACGGTGCATTCTACAAAAACAATGAAAACAACAAGTTGTTCAAATTCATAATTTCAGCCTTCTTACACCTCTAAACTAAAAGTCTCACCATCAAGAGGATAATAGCAATGGTTTGTTGAAAAATCCACACAGCACCCCCTTTTCTCACAACTTGAAGGAGATATCCTTGAGTTACCACATGGAATTTGCTCTTCAATGTCAACAGCACACTCTGGAAAGACAACAAAATCCCACAAGAGAGTTGACAATTCATCTTTCAACCCCTCCATACAAGAATTCATGCTTACTGTGAGGCTTTTGAAGCTCAGATGCTCCACTTTTACACTCTGAGTCCACGGGCGAATCAGGCTCTGGTTTGTCCATCTTAGTCATCGACTGTTTATCAAACCACTCTCCAAGTTTGGCAGTTCCTGGTTTGTCAGTAGATGTTGGGGATGGAGTCATTCGGTGAGCACACTTCGAAGGCTTGGCAGTGACCGCAAGTGGAATAGTGCTTTTTTTGTCACACTTTGTGCGCCTGCTGAAAAAACGTGGCAACGGGCCAGTGTCGAACTTCGTACTTTCAACACAGAATGCAACAAATTCTTTGGTCTGACCGGAAACACAAAGGGAGAGCTGGAGACTGTAAACCTGTAATGGTTTCAAAACAGAGACAATGCTGGTTAAATCAATAGCATGTTGTTCAATTTAAAGACAGACGCAATTCATTCTTGACAACATACATCTTCCACGTCTTCTTTCACATTGCACCCTGTGAAGCCTACAGTTAAGATGTTCTTAAGATGGTTCAAGTGAAATCCGCAAGACTCTGGGGCATCCTCCACGGAAATGTTTTTAGAACCTGGAAAATGATGCAAGGTAAACCCTCTAGCTTTAACTAGAAATTGAGAATTAAAGTTAACGCTCGTACCCACAACTTGAATCAGACTTAGTTGGCCTGGCGGGAGAGTAATCTGGAAACCGTCTTGGCTACAAACCACATATATCCCTTCAGAATTTGGACCAGCACAGCCAATCCAGGTCCTTGGAGAGACCTCCACAAACTCCACATGAAAGTTGTTTTTTTCAGCATCAGGATGATGGCTTGCACCAGATTTGTCTTCGACTAGGTGGTTGGTCAAGAGGTTGACCAATTCACTGGTTGCATGACCTTCTGCTTCATCAGGAACTTCATCTTCATAGTCATCATAGTCGTCATCTGGAGGAGAGGAGTCGTTATGCAATGGCAATAATATTTGTTAAATATTCACTCAGGACAGATGTCAACCTTTGGTTTCCTCAAGTGACTCCTTACTAGAAGTTTCACCAGCAGAAAAACTTTTGGAGTCTACAACTGCTAACTCGGGAGACGTTTCACTTGTAGCCACACTTTCAGCTTCTTCAAAAAGTCCATCTTCATAATTGGAAAGATCATAGAGGTCATCGTCATTAACTGCAAGAGAGATGTGGTGTTACCTGATGTGTTGTCGCATTTTCCTTATGAATTCAACTAAAGGTGGCCTTGTACAAAGCTGTGGTTCATTTCTTCAGCCGTGCTCCATGGAGGTTTTTAGATGTATATATTAGATTGGTATTATTTTGTAAATAACTGAAAGGAATAACATTCAGAAATTCTTTCAGAAAGAGAAAACTTTGATCTAGATTTATTGAGGATCCAGATGTGGGCCAAACAGTTCTGCCATCACAACTTTTTTCCATGACAAGCCAGGGGAGGAAATATGCTACAAATCACTTCCTGGATGAACAAGGATTCCAACATTAGGCTTTATCTGCAGATGGTCAGCAGTAAGAGTTCACTTCTGTTACAATTCACTAAATGTCAAGCATCGTTAAAATGAAGAGAAGCACTCTCCAGGAGTGAGCTTTTAAAAAAATCTGTTTAATCACTACTAACTGGGTGGGGGTGTTTTTCTCTAACTGAGCTCATCTGTCTGTTATTGACATTTCATTTACTTTTATCTTAAACAAGTTAATCTTGTTTTAAATTAACTCCACTTCCTTGCTCTACCAACCAGCACCTGAGCACCTGGAAGGGGTCATTCATTCATTCCTGTTTACCCGCCGGTTCGCGCCACCGGCCAGTCTCGTAAAACTTGAGCAGCTCACTCTTGCTGATGCGCTCCCATCCCCGAACCGACACCAGCAGCAGGGTCAGAACCAGCAGCTGTTCGACCTGCGGCCAAGCCATGTGGATCCAAATGAGAGCCAGTAAACACCAGAGCGCCAGATTAAGACGAAGCTTCCGGTCCCGCCGCTACTCATCTCAGGATAATTGGTGGAACCTGTTAGCGACCAATTTAGTTCGTCTTCCGGGTAGAAAACCCACCCACAGGCGGCCCGTTTTAGTTAGTTAAAAAAAAAAACTCCAACCTGTTTGATTTAAAATAAAAGTTTTACTTTCATAATATTGTCGTTTCTCAATTAGCTGCACTGAGCATGGCAATTTAGCTTTGTGCGCTAATGCAAAGCTGAGTGGATAAACACAAAAAAGACTGTTATCTCAATGTAACTGTTTCTTAGTTAGCTTCAATTAGCTGCACTTAGCTTAGCAAAATAACATTATACACTAAATGCTAATAAATTCAAAGCTGAGCAGAGTAAGTGCTGGAAAAAGAAAAAGTAAGTTAAAGGAGTTGAAATATTTTTGTATTTAGAATTATCCTGGTTTGCTAGCTGTCCTTGTACTAAAAGGTAACATTAAATGCTGCACATATGCAAAGTGTTTTAATGGAAATAATTTGTGCTTTTTTTTTTGTTCTGGCCTTTTGTCATTAAAAATTACAGTCCTTGAATAAATCAAATTAATCACCATATCCTTTCCATACGTTGAGGAAAAACAAACCAATTTTTTCCTTATGGTAAAGCCAATATATTTCAGGTTCAAAACAACAAATTCAACTGCAACTCATCAGTTTGACAGATTGTTCCGTCTTCATTATTCATAAAATAAAATATCTTTGGATATGTTTTCCATTGCTACTAAAAAAAAGAAACAAAAAAGCCTGGATTCTTCTCAGAAGTCACATAAAGACTCAATCATTTGTAGGCATTTGCTTTATGTTTAGGTAAAAAGATGAAATTCTTCGGCACAGGTCCGAGCAGCATTTCACTAGAACGATGAAACAGAAAATATCATCATTAAAGGCACCAATTCGACTGATTTATTCAGTTTCAACGTTTTCTGCTCACCTGATCCTGATCCAGTCACCAACATTTTGACTGGCCATCAGTGACTCCAAATAGTTCCTGCCCATGTAATACGGAGGCCTTTCGTTGATCTTCTGAGGCATTCGCTCCAATAGACCCACAGGAATATATCTAAGAGTCACGGGGAAAAGTACATTTATTCCCTCTTTTCATCCAAATCACTACAATAGTTATAGTTCATGAAAGAAAAAGCAGACTAGCATGATGTTGCGGACCTGCACATGAAGGAGAGCCACTCCAGCATGAATTTGCGGGTTTTCTCCACACCTCGGGTGTCAGAGCCCCAGTGCTCCAGGCCATAGTTGGTGAAATCCTTGAGGATATCCAGCCGCTCGCTGGATGAGATGTCCCAATGTCTGTTCTCCTTTATCTCAGTGAAGATCCAAGGTTTGATGAGAGCGCCCCTGGAGAGAGTTTACAGCTGTCTGGTGAACTGTTCCAGCCTTAGACTGCAGTGCTATGTAATTTATTATTTTTTAACTAGGTGTAGATATAGAAAACGTAGAGCAAGAGGCTTAAAAGGTGCCCTGAGGTCATACACAATGTCCATTCATTTTCATTAGAAGAATAAAAGACACACACACACACTATGTGAAAAATTCTATGTCCAATGATTTAAAATAACTTAAGAACCAATTAGCTCTAAATTCTGTCAAATAATCAACATCCTTTGTGCAGAGTTAAGTGTGTGAATGTTTATTCTTTTGCTTTTTATGCCACGACTGACTTCATTGGCTCTAACACAACATGTTATCTGAATAGAGCAGAAGAAAAAGGCCAAGAGTAGCTCTATAAACCATATAAATGCCAAACATTCAAAGGTGTTTCTTAATTTTTATCTTCATTTCGTGTAAACAGCTCCAACCTTGCAATCATGATACCAGAAACGCCGGTCTCTCTGGCTTTCACGGCATCTTCATAGGACAGAATGTCTCCATTTCCTGGGTCAACAAGAACAAGTCACCTTATTTAAACACTCATCCATCAATAAGTCACTTTATTTTGCTCGTTTTGTATCACAAATCTGCTTTTACTGCAGCTGTTGATCAACAACGCCACGCACCAAACAGTGGGATGGGACTCGCCAGCTCTGCACATGTGTTGATGTAATCCCAGTCGGCTAACTTGGTGTAGCGCTGCTCCCTAGATCTGCCATGCAGCTGTAAAGTCAGAACACCATGTAAGGAGTGTGAAAGCCAAAAACACTGGTGGAGCAAACAAATATCACGCATGACTGAAAAAGCGCCCATAAAACATTTTATGCATGAACCATCACCACATCACGAGACTCTATCAAGCAAACGAACCACTGTAACCCAAAGGTCACATCAGGTTTTTTTGCTGCGGGATAACAAAAGACTCACAGTGATCATAGAGACGCCCCAAGTCTTCATTTCTGGGATGAGTTTGTGTGCTATGCTGGACTTCTCCTGAACACCAGTGCGGATCTTGACTGTTAAAGGCACATCAAGGACCTTCAGGGGTGAAACAAACAAACAAGCCCACATGTAACCCAGCTGATTGTTAAAGTGGTCCATTTATTAGTAGCAGCAGCAGAAGTACCCCGTCAGTACTATAAATAAGCCTTCACATCACATAAGTCCAACTTACATGGTTCATTCCTTTGATGATCTGTTCAAATTTTCTGGTTCTTGTCATCAAGCCACAACCTCCACCCTGACGAAGGAAAGCAAACAAAAAACACCCATCAGAGGGTTTTATAAGGAGTTTAATGGTTCCTGTTGCACAAAAGCTCACTGAACAATTAGGACACCCAAACATTACTTTGACTATAAAGCTTTTGGTCAAATGAACTGAAAAAAAAAAGGATTTCTTAGATCTTTGCTATAGGTTACTTTTGATTTTAGCCTAAACACTGTGATAATTCTACAAAGAAAACCAGGCGCAGTTGAAGCTTTTTAGTTACTACACAATATATACAACAGAAGTACCAAATACTGTCTGGTATACACCATAAATGGCTTGATTTATGAGCGCCGTTATGGCTGCTCTCGTGACTGCCTGTACCTGTTTTTGTCTACATGTGTGTGTGTTTAACCTTGGTCAGGTTGTGTTCGCGGAGTCAAGTTCCTATGCTCTGGGTCGCTGGCAATAAAGCTGATTCTGATTTGTTATTTATTAGTTAATTGGAAAATCAAAAATACTACTTTCTGTAATACGATATTTAAAACATCCCAATGGGCAACAGATAAGTGTACAGCCCAGTTTACACTTCTCCACCAGAACAGCAGGGGGCAAAAACCCTTTTCTGGTGGGTCTGCCTACTGCTCCAGTGACATGACAAGGAGCAATGGCCGACAGAGAGCGAGCTGTCACTGAGCTGGAACAGCTTGATCTCGACGAACAAAAGGTTTTGCTACAAAGACTTCAACGGGAGCGAAGCAGCTGTTACTATTTGAAGGCGGGGCTGTTGTTGAGCTGACCAATAAGACGTGTGCTCTCCGTTGCGTTAAACGATTAGTTAAAAAGCTGGACTCTACTCCATCCATCCATCCTTGCGTGCCTGTCAGAGAGCCCTGCGTGTCTCCGCAGACAAAGTATAAACTAGTCTTCAAGTTAGAACAATTCCTAAAAACGTTAAAAAAAAGATACGAGTTTACCTTTTTGTAAACAAGATCAATGGGGCACCCAGAGTTGATGTCCACAAAATCAACATCGGCGTAGGTGTTGATGAGCTCTGCACACCTCGTCATGGTGTCGGGGAAGCAACCTTCAACCTGCAAAAGGGACTCATGAAAATGGATCCCACATGAACTGAATGATTTGATCACGAGAGAGGATTTTCACCTGCACACCGAACAGATCTTCACTCTCGTGTCTCTTCAGGAGGGCCCACTCTGACTGATGCCCCTGCAGCAGATTGGTGCACATGGCCATCTCCCCACAGGTGATGTCTACTCCAAAACGCTTACACACACGCCGAAAAGGCAGGTTCCCACACTGAGGAGACACACACACACACACACACACACGATCACGGATCAGAATTGAAGTTACTACGTTACTGGTTCAGTCAGTTAACCTTAAGCCTAATAATACCTTCTGTTACTTACAGTTGTTAAGGGAGCAAGGTAGAGCTTGTCTCGAAAATCCACCTTAAAACAGAAAAGAACTTCTATATATCAAACCAACTCATTGACATTTAGGGAAAAAGGGATCATTTTGGGTCATTTATTCCATCTCACACCTGTTTCTTTTCACATGGGCGCAATTTGGTGACATCTGCATCGGTTAGCGGGCCTAAAGTCTTGACGGGAGGAGGGTTATCTGGGTCGGTGTTCAGCTGTTAACAGCAACACATACACAGCTTAATAGACATGCTTCACTGACAAATTATGCATTACTATGAACACACGGTTGTACCTGTTTATCAGCAGCAACATTTTCATCTTTTGGGTCTGCAGATCCCTCAGAAGCACACACTTCCGCTTGGTTAGCTGAAAAATGACAAATTACACGTGGAATTCTCAGACCCCAGATCGTAAACGAGGACTATTTCCTAACCCCGGCTGAGAAGGAAATCGGTTTCAACGTAACCTCCCAAGGTCACATAATTGCGACATTAGACTGTTTTGTGATTATTTCACTGTAAAATTCTTACTTATTGCACCTTTAAACCTTAGAGAGCTGACTTCCATTCAAGAGTGAAATATGTAGGGTTAAGAATTAAAGACAATTTTATGAGTTTAAAGATTTTTCATTGGATTTTTACAAAGGTACATCAATTCCTTCCTGTTCTCTTACCATTTCCATGATGCCTTTTTTTATCTTTGTTGTTTGAAAGTGTTTTCAGGTACTCTTCGGACTTTTTAAAAGCAACCGAGCGCTTCCTCAGACGAAACTGCAGGTCCTTGCTTAAGTTGTTCTTGGTCAAAGTTCGGCCTTCAAAAGCTTTCACCAGGTCTTCCTTCTCTGTGGTTTGAAAGTCAGGTGTAGTGTGCTCCTTAGAAAAGCGGCAGGTGAGTCCATATTCACACTTTCCAAATGTCTCATAGAGGTAACAGCGTTCCCCGATGTCAGCAGGCTTGGAGGCCATGTACGCGGCAACATCATGGTAAAAAGTGCATTTGTCTCCAAAGGTGCACTCTCTTTTCTACATGGGTGAAATTATGAAAATAAATTAGTTCACGACAATAAAAAAGGATCATATTGAGAAAGTGAAGAGGTCTCTACCTGAATGACTGACAAACACAGTCGTTTTTCTTCATACGTGGTGGGCTTTGTGTGGGGTCTTGACTTATTCTGTCCCCGAAATCTTTTCCTATCTGTTTTTTCTACCTTCTTCTCCTCTTCGGGGTCTAATTTCACCCTTTTAGGTTCAGGCTCCCCCACAGACGTGTCCTTCACCTCTTCAGGCGTGTCACTTTCACCGGTCGTCTCTCCTTTACAGCCCTGCCATTCTGAGTCTATAAGGTCATGAAACTTTTCTTTTGTGGTAAGAAATCTGAAAAATTAGACAGATCCAGTGTTAACGAGTTATAAACTGCTGCCACCTAGCAGTCAGAGTTTGAATTACACCACACAAATTAATGTCTTTGCATGAAAATTCTCAATAAAAAACTTGATACACAGCTTTGAAATACAGATTCAGTAACACGACATTTGCAAAATTTCAATGTATCAATCAATTTATTGTTTTACATCTCTATTACTTACTCTGGTTTGATGGCAGCTTCACCCTTTACAGCCACACTGGTCCCCCTTTCTGTATTTTCCTCCATCACTCCTTCCATTCTCTTCTCTTTAAAGTGAAACAATGCAGTGCATGTTTTTAATAGAGGCGAAATTAGAAGTGGAAACTGAAACAAAAATACTTTAAATGGGGAATCAATTTATGAAAGGATCAGAAAAACAACAGCTATGAACCAGATGGCTTCAGCTGGCAGCGGTTTGGAGACATTTATATTTTCTAATTTAAAAAAGTGACCTTCAATCAACATTTATCCTGATTTAAATCACATAAAATACCCTAATGATGCAGAACATTTAGTCAGTGTTCACTAGTTTATTTGCATTACTTAAAAATACATTTAAACGTAAAACACTCTTGAATTTAAACACAAAACTTTAAAAATTGCTGTGTTGTTAAGCTTTACAGTTAAAAAATCTCTCCTACTTACCAGATTCTTTACGAAGGTGCCAGTCAGCAGCTAATGCAACATTTGCTCTAGAAGTAATGCTCACTATGCTAACAAGCGAACATCGTAAATCCCCTTGAGCAGCAACCCAGCGGCTTTATTTAACACATATTTACATTCACGTAAATCCTCATCAGAAGGCACAGCTCGTTTTAGCAGATTAAACGAATAATTGAAATTATTTTACACCCTGTCGTGCACTCTGTTCAGCTACAATCTGACATCGTGCGTTAGCTTTGTGCAACTTTTTAATGTTCCCTGTAGTGACCTTGGTAGCAAACATGGTTCCGCTGCCTTTAATTTTTATTTTAATATGGATATATTACATATATTTATCATATATATTATATAGTGTGCTTATGAACATCTCTATATAAAGGTAAAAACTTTATTTTGGAAATTTATTTGAAGTAAATTGTATTGGCAAATATGATCGTCAGTGATCACAAAAGTGAGATTTAAAAAAAATGAATGTGTTTTATTTCAGGATTACATTTTTCAGATTTACAAAAAAAAGATTTACATGGGACAGTTCTGAAAACTTGTGTTACATATGTACATATAAATTTTCTTTGTAGACATGCTTGGTTAACTGTCTTAATAATCAGGAAAAACAAGTCAGTTATTCAGTCAATCAACAAATCTTTGGCCAGTTCTTTATTTTCATGTCTAAACTGTCACCAATACCTTAACCAGAAGCTGTAAGATATAACAACTTCAGCTCTACAAGTCAGGTTGCAGCATTGTTTACATGACATTCGTAAAACCATTTTGCTATTAAACAAATAAGGCACCTAGACCTCGAAATGTAAATATTCTAAACTCAAGATCAAGAAAAACTGTCATAGTCACAGTAAAAGTGGCTTCTTTCAGTCTCCTGCTGAAAGTTTTTCCATCTTTGCGTAGAATCGCTTTCGACTAGAGGCCAAGATGCTGATACCATATTTCTTGAAGTCATATCCCACTTCCCTAAGCTTGTTCAGCCGCTCTGTATAGTTATGCTCGCTGTAATCTAAGACTCTAGGCTTCTCCAGAATCTGTTTTATTGTTATGCCTCCTTTAAGGAGGCATTCGATTTTGGAGTTCAATGTTTGTGATCCGATGTAAAGTATCACTGGGTGGTTGATTATCAGTTGTATTATGTCATCTTTCTTACAGCCAAGTGAAGACAGATTTTCTTCAATATTGTTGAAATTATTCTTCATATACTCATTGGAGAGGTCCAGAATGCCTGCTCCATGACCTTGAAGGAAAGTCAGCAGGTCAGAATCATTCAGCCTCAGAGAGGCTTTCAGGTAGTCTATGTTGGTTCTGACTCTTTTGGTACTCCTGATTAGCATATACACGTTTTTAGATAATATGTTTTTAGCAAACTGCACTGGATTGTTTCCACCGAGTTCTAAACAGATCTCTTCTAATAACTCCACCATTTGCTTGTTAAGCTCAACACTGTTGGAGAACGTCCGTGGTGCCGTGGTCAGCAGCCGATGAAGGTCCTTGGAGCTTAATCCCAGAGAAATCAAATAAGCTATATTCTTCTCCAAGTTCTCGTTGTCACTAGTGCGAAAGAAAGACTCGGGCGAGCGGTTCAGGATGCTCACAATTTCTTCATCAGTGTTGAAGATGTTTCGCCACAGCTGCCAGCGTTGCTCCAAGTGGGTGATCGAACGAGTGATAACGCGAGGATAACGGGACACAATGCTGGCGATCACTTTAGAGCTCGCCCCTTTCTCCTGCAGGAACTGGGCAACACCTTTCTCGTTGGTGAAGGCTTTACGAAACACTCCGGGCTGACGCTGGCGGGCCCTCTTTAAATCCACTCCCAGTAGATTTAAGTTATCAAGCAGAGAGGTATTCACTGGGTTTGAGGACTGCTTTGGTTCGTTAGCAGTGCTGCAAAACCTCCCCAAGAGGCTGGTCGACGTCAGCTGCAGAGGAACTAGCCTCAAGCTTTGCTGCAACAGCAGTGATTGGCTGAGATTGACAAGGACCCTCATCTTCGGAATGGCTGCCATTTTTATTGAAGGCCACAAATCTATGCACAGAAAAAAAGCGTGATATAACATATAATTTGGAAAAATGGTGCACATCATTTCCTAAATACTAGTAAGTTTTAAAAGGTCATTTGATGCTGTTAAAAAAATGACTTTCACTTTTTTTCATAAATGGATCTTTAAGTCTCACTTTTACAAGTAAAAATTAAAGGTGATCACATGTTTTGAATTTTACACCCTGTAGCAGAAAAGCACATGTACGTGTAATTTAGATCCATAGCACATGTGTCAGATGAGCAGCATTTTCCTATTCAAATTTACACCTGAACTCTAACAACAGCTTTTTTTTCATCGTGAGGTTATTTTGTTAATTAAACCAGTCTGCGTCTCGATAACTAAAGTACCTTTTACGCCATATTTGGAACAAATCATGTCAAAAACCAACTAACCCTTCATATCAAAAAATGTTTTTTGCAGCGGAAAACTAGAAGCACATTATTATTTAATTAACACTTCTGGAACATTTTAGTCGTCATGTCATAATAGAAATGTTAAACAAACCTACCATAATCCAACTTTTATTTTGTTTAAGACGTACTCCTTCCAGCGCTTTCCCAAAAGCGGAAGTGTGATCATGGCAGAACTCTCGCGAGATTCGTAACTAATAAAACAAACTACATTTTTGAAGCTATCGCCATCTAGTGACGAGGAAGTTAAACCAGCATCGTAGTCTAACCACCAGGTGGAAGCAAATGCGTTGTTTAGAGACGCTTTTACGTTGTTATTCCACATGATCGATCATAATATATTGTTTTTATTTTTACTCTAATCTGCTTCGATTTTTAATTTGAGTACTTCCGTTTTCTTTCACAGGCTAACGACAATCACAGATTGATTACTGTTGGACAAAGCAGGTATGCATTTCTCAGCCATATTTGTTTTGTTGAGTTGATTGTTTGAAATATTGTGTATTCTACTCATTTTTTACATCACTTCCCAGTTATGGTTTCTAAACATTGAAAATAACAATTGTCACAATGTTCAACCTATTTTGCCTAATTTAATAAGGTGATGATAATTTATTTAATTTAAGGAAATATTCCACATACTAAGTCCTCAGAAAGTGATGACATTTATTTAACGAATGCAAAACTTTTTGAAAGGTTTTTAGTTTGAATGGACACTTGAATATTTTCAGTGAAAACAGAACATTGTCAGAGTTGTCAGAGATAGAAAATGAAGTTTGAATAAATATTATGATTTCTTTTTTCAAACTTAAATTCTATACCCACATAAACACATATCAAGCAAATATTGACCGGTTTTAAGTCTCGCAACGTATTGTATTGCTAGATTCTTGCAACATGAAAACAGACAGCAACCAGCAAGCTAAACTGTTTGTTACATAATAAAATGCAATTACACCTAACTAAGTTTTAAATACTAGCATTTGCTGCAAAAGATTTTCTTTTCAAATTTAGTTGTTTTTAATAAAAAAAAGAAATTGGAAGAAAGCTTTCATAATTTATATTAAAATCTTGATTTCAAAATGTCTACAAAACATTTTCTAAATTTCCCAGACGAAGTTAATTTGTTTTTTTGTTGTTTTTTTTTTGTGTGTGGAAAATTTAGTGTTTCTGAGAGACGCTAAGCTTTCAGTAGCAGTGTACTTCTTCTCATTTCAGCTTAATCTGACGTTTGTGATAAGAGAGAAAATATACCGTGTTGAAGTTCACATTAGACCCATTCCCTCTTGACTGATAAGCCCCACCACTGATGAATAATTTAGCAGCACAGTGATATACAGCTTCATTATGCATATGAGCTTTCACTTTGGACATGCTTCCTTTGTTCTTTGTTGGCAGGTCGGTGCTGTTTACACACACATTTGTTCATATTTATAAAAAATAAATATTCAGGATGTTTTGATTCAAATTGGCACTTCTAGATTCTTGTCAAATGAAACAGCAAATAGATTAACCAAAGATGTCACCTAAATTTGTTATTCAGTGAGGATATTTTTTATATCATGAAACCTAAAGCCTATTAACAAAATACATTAAGAAATTATATATATATATATATATATATATATATATATATATATATATATATATATATACATATATATATACATATATATATATATATATATATATATACATACATACATATACACATATATATATATATGTGTATATGTATATACATATATATATATATATATATATATATATATATATATATATATATATATATATATATATATATATATATATATATATATATATATATATATATATATGCCTTTTTTCTGCATACCGTTATTTAATATGTAGGATAAAATTCTACGGAAGCGTAGAGCTGCCACCCACACTAAATAAAATTAGAGTGATATTACCTCATAACATCTTAACTTGATTTTTCTAACAAAAAATGTTCACGCTCATACAATGTGTTATCACGTTTGTACAATACGTTATGTTCTTACAGTATACTATTTTGTATAATATAAATATCACATTTGTACAATATAATATTGACATTGCAAGAACATGATATTATGATGTACAAATGTGAACTTTTTATTGTAAATACACGATAGTATATTGTAAGATTGTGATAATATGTTGCACAAATGTGAAAGTTATACTGTTGTACAAATAAAGTTAAGATGTTATAACGTAATATCACTCTAATTTTATTTTGGCGTGGGTGGCAGCTCTACGTTTCCGTAGAATTCAAAGTGAACATTACAATTTACTGTATTTTTCATTTTGGCAAACCAGCTCTCAGTAATGCTTCTAAATGTAGCATTTAAAACATACATTTACATATTAGTTTACAAAAAACATGCTTGCTCTTGTGTTTTTGTTTTAAATACATGAATTCCTGTTTGTTCCAACTGTCGTCATCTTCTTTGCAAATTGCTTGGGTAACTTTAGACGTGGTAGACTGCCTGAGAAAATCAATAATTTAGGAACTGTGAAACTTTCAGATGGTTTATTTTAGTTGCTGTTGCACAAGCAGCAGGTGTTTCCAGCTTGGAGCACGTCCATTTAAAAAATGTCCAAAAGACGATGGGTGGAATTCAAGATCTCGCAGACTATAAGCTGTTCAGCGCCCGTTAGCCGAAGACGCAGACAGTCCTCTCCTGCTGCTGCTGCTGATCCCGGTAGGTTACCAAACAGGAAATTAACAAGATGAATAGAATATTTTCTGGCTATTTATTTTGTGGGGCCAGTATTTTAGAAAACTTACATGTAGAAGACATTCAACATGCTTCTGTGTATAAAATTAAGAGCAAGAATTTGGTATCATTTGTGGGTTGATGACTACATTTTCAATTAAATAGTTTTTACCATTCATGAGTCCAAGTGGAAATCCACTAAATATGTGAATGAGCAATCAAATACAAAAAAGAAATGGGAAATTGCAATATTTCCTTTATTGTGCTGAGGCAATGTGTTCTTTTTAAAGACGCACCCACCACCTCCGAATTTTAGATATGTAAAAGATACAAAACACCGCATTAAAAAAAAACTTCCATATTTTCGGAAGTCTCCTGACACAAGTTTTAATTGCAATCAAAGTATCAGATTATCACTCATAAAATTATGAATGTAGTTTTATTAACACACTGTAGAAGTAACTTTGTCTTATTTGTAGTTGGTTAGAAATAATCCTGACCATCAGGGGCGGTTCTATGAGGGGTCCAGGGTGGGCCAGTGCCCCCTAGGTTCCCCTTGCTGATGGCAGATTCTAAACAATAATTTGGGATTTTTTGGGGATATTTAAGCCTAATGCAAGATATTGAACCAAAGCATGTGAAAAAATGTATCTGAAGTTGAAACGAGATGCAGAAACAACTACGTTGACATTGTCACTGAGATATATAACTACGATATCAAAGTATTTTTTGCAAAATCATTAGATTTTTAAACTTATTGAAAAACTGTTGTATCTAAAGAAGTAACTGAACAGCTGTTATTATATTTAATTACTCACTAACATTTGAAATGCTTAAAGGCAATGTTTATAATGTTTTCTTACAATGGCGCCCCTCTAATTGAACCTGACCCCCCTCTAATGTTGTCTAGAACCTCCCCTGCTGACCATCATTTTGTTTATAACTCCCATCTGTCTTAGTAATCGGTGCTAGTTACTCATGTTACCTGCACTCTTATATTCAACCGAGAGAGCTCAAATGTTTCCTCTTTGGGGAAGAACGTAGAACAAAGTCCAGTCAGGTGTCTTTCTGTAAAATATGAGGCAATATTCAATTCAGTTCAATTCAAAAATACTTTATTAATCCCAGAGGGAAATTGATTGCTGTAGTAGCTCAGAATAATAATAATAATCAAGTCATCAAAGAGTTATTGTATATTACAATGGCTGTTGGCAGCAAGGATCTCCAGTAGCGGTCAGTGTTGCAGCGAAACTGAAGAAGCCTCTGACTGAAGACACTCTTCCGTTGTCGGACAGTCTTGTGAAGAGAAAGCTCAGGGTTGTCCATCATTTTCTTGATTCTCTGGAGAATCCTCCTTTGCATTATCTCCTCCAGTGTTTCCACAGTCGTCCCCAGAACAGCACCAGCCTTTGTTATTAGGCTGTTGAGCCTTTTCAGGTCCCTGCTTCTGATGCTACTACCCCAACAGACGATGGCTGAAGAGATTACACTCTCAACAACAGACTTGTAGAAGATCTGCAGCATCTTGCTACAGACATTGAAGGACTTAAGCGTCCTAAAGAAGTGCAGTCTGCTGTGTCCCTTCTTGTAAACGGCGTCGCTGTTCTTTATCCAGTCCAGTCTGTTGTCCAGGTGAACTCCAAGGTATTTGTATTCCTCAACAACCTCCACTTCTTCTCCCATGATGGAAACAGTGTTTGACTCCACCCTGTTTCTTCTGAAGTCTAAAATCTTCTCCTTTGTTTTGTTCACGTTCAAGGTCAGATGATTGTTTCCACACCATGCCACAAAGCGCTCCACCAGCTCTCTGTACTCAGCTTCCTGTCCATCTCTGATACACCCGACAACTGCAGAGTCATCTGAGTATTTCTGTAGATGACAGGTCTCTTGATTTGTACTGGAAGTCTGAGGTGTACAAGGTGAAAAGGAATGGTGAGAGTACAGTCCCCTGTGGTGCTCCAATGTTACTGATCGCCTGGTTTGATGTGCAGTTCTTCAGTCTCTCAAACTGTGGTCTGTTTATCAGGTAGTCTTTAATCCAGGCGATAGTTGAGGCCCCCACCTGTGTCTTCTGGAGTTTCTGGCAAAGTACATCAGGCTGGATTGTGTTAAATGCACTGGAGAAATCAAAGAACATGACCCTCACAGTGCTGCCTGCTTTGTCCAGATGACAGTGGGTTGGTTGAAGCAGCAGGATGATGGCATCTTCAACTCCAACTCCATGGCGATAAGCAAACTGCAGCGGGTCCTGACATGTTCTAGTTTGCTTATTCAGGTGGACCAACAGGAGTCTCTCCAGGACATTCATGATGTGGGATGTCAGGGCAACCGGTCTGTAGTCGTCATTGACTGATGGGCGAGTTTTCTTTGGAATTGGAACAAGGCAGGATGTCTTCCACAGGACTGGAACCTTCTCCTGGGCCAGGCTGAGGTTGAAGAGGTTCTGCAGAATCCCACAGAGCTGCTCTGCACAGGCCTTCGGGTCTTTGTTGGCCTATGGCGGGTCTTTATGAGCAGGAAACATCTTTAAAATGAAAAAGCTTAGAATTGCAATGAAAACTCAACTGGGACAGCTCTGGCAACCTCTCTTCCCATTACCATAGAAACTGGGCAGATTAAAAATCATTCAGACTTCAGATATTACAGGAAAATGTATTAAATTAGCTTTCAAATCTGTTTATGATATTGTTACCAAACTGCCTGTATGTCGATGCCTTGAGTGATTTTTCCATGCACAGTTATATATTTGTTTCCCAGTCTTAAGTCTGAGGAAAGGGTATTTCCACAACTGCAACGCAAAGCGAGCTGGAAAGCCTCGAGAGGGTGGCCAAGTTATCGTCTTAATCAGCGAACAGTGATGCTGGTTGCAGTGAAGATGAAAGGAACCAAGATGATAAATGGGTAGAAAAAGATGTGGAAATTGTGATTGCAGAGATGATGACAGAAAGAACAAATGTTTTCAGAAAGAACAAACCTTTACAGAGCTGAGGATGTACCATTTGATGTTAATAGAGTAGAATAGAATAGAATAGAATAGAATAGATTAGAATAACCACTTTATTGTTCCTTAGTGGAAAATGTTGGTATCACTGCAGCAATTACATTTACAAAAAGGAGAGTAAAAAATAGAGTAAGTAAGAGCAAACAAAACAAAAAAAAAACATTTGCAGAAATGCTTAAAATATTTAAAATATTGAATATATACACACTTTAAGAAATTAAATAAAAAAATATCTGATAGACATTCTCCTTTTTAAAATAGATTAATTTAAACATTAGATAAAACAATAAAAAAAGTTAATAGCTCAAATTTGTTATAAAAATATTTTTTGTAGAATCTAAACTAGGTGGGTTCAAAGGTCTAAAATAATGTGGCCATTGTTGTTGTTATTATTATTATTATTATTATTATTATTATTATTTTGATCTTTTTATTTTTATAAACGTAACTCACAGGTTTGTGCTATGAAAGTGGAAAAACGTGACATTTCCGGCAGCAAGTGAAGCCGACACCAATGAAATGCCAGGTGGGCGCGGCTTCGTGTGCACATACACTACGTCATCACAGTTGGGTCTCATGTTTACGTGGAAAACATGGCGGCGGACTACAATCAAGATAGGCAGTGATTTCGAGCCAAGCCGAACGAGACACGCTTCAGTCTTCAGCTCTGAGACTTTTGTCGCAGACGTTTCGTATGACGTTCTGTCCCCTTTGTTTCTGCCACAGAGACAGCGGAAATGGAAGACGAGGAGAGGCAAAAGAAGCTCGAGGCCGGCAAAGCTAAGGTATGATTTTAAACATTACCACTTCTGCTCTAAACTTGTAACAGTTAGCTGTCGAGAGCTTGTTTCCTGCGTTTATTATGTCTGTCAGCTGTTTTTAACCCCCCTCCCCTTCATTCACCCCTCTCAGCTGTCATGCGCCCTGCTTTGACAGCTGAGGAGGGGGGCTAGCAATGCTACTGCTAACCATGGTTTCTTTGTCATGCTGCATTATAAACATTTCTCATATGTGCTTTCCTCTGCCTGGCGTGTAGGCAGGCGATGCTAGGTTAAACAGCCACAGCTCGAGCCGTCGCATCGTTATTTAGGGCTTATAAGCGCCGCCTAAAGCGACTCTGACAGGCTGGTGTAACTGGATTTACAGGGCATATCCTCACCAGCAGGAAAAGAGGCACCGCATCACATTCTTGACGTTACCTTGACCTTAACAGCAAGGATTACGGACTAATATGTCAGAGTAACGCACATTTTCTTAAGGGACTGCAACTCGTTTATACAAAAAGAATGAACTGTTTAACATCTTATGTCGGTGACTAAATCTGGAGTTCCTCGGGTCAATAGGACAGATACATTTCATGTCAGCTGTATAATTTGATGCATCTTTATTACACAAATAAATAAAATGTGGTTTTCAAGATGTGGCTGAGTCAAAAAGTGTGTCACAGCCTTGTGATCACAGCTTGCATAGCGTATCTCAACCTATAAGATTACAAAATTGTTGCTCTTGTATTTTGAGAATTTAGATGTTGAATTATCTGTTAGATGCCCCTACGATCCTACTGAGGAATGACTATTTCAGATAATGATTGAATGATCTACTATTATACTATAGACTTACGCGTCTTTGGGTGTCTAGAAAAGCGATATATAAGTTCAAATAAATGCATTATTATTATTATTATTATTATTATTATTATTTTAGACGGGAAAAAAACAAGGGTTTCCATTCTGATGCTGCAGGGAATGCTCTTCAGAGGTTTTCTTAGCCCAGTTTCAGATCATATAAAAGACCATCTCCTCAGCTGTTATTTTTGGAAGTATAAAGGCTCCTCATTGCTTCAGGCTGGTATGGCTGCTGCTTTTCTGGCACCGTGTTATGCCACCATGTCCTCACATGCAGCAAAAAATAAAATAAAATAAATAAATAAATCCAGGGCAATATTACTTTGATAATAGTTTATAATAATTATGAGGCCTTGAAGGTTTAGCTTGAATGAAAGAAGAATATGATGAGGGCGGTCTTTTTTTTAAACTAATCAAAATGATGTTGCAACACTTGATTTGAGTGATACTTAGTGGGTACAAAATGACATTTTCAGTGCAACGTTTGTGCCTTTCTCTTACAATCAGTAGCAAAGACGATGGGAGGATTGCTTTGAGTGAAATGAATGATGAAGAGTGAGCTGTCAGTCATCTGTTGTTCAGCACCAGGCAAGAGCATTCTGAATCTCACCAGACAAAAGCAAAGTAAAATCTGTGCGCAGGCATTGCTAGACTATTGTTTCCAGTTACGCATTTGTCTTGTAGTCTTTTATGCTTTCTTTCAAAGCTACAGAAATATTGACAAGTGTGCCACTATCGGATAAGTTATTTAATTCATTCAATAACAATTAATTCTTCAATTATACATGAATTAAATTGCAATTTCAAATGGTTTGTTAAACTGTCTATCACACTGGTATGTTTAGCAGCTAATAATCCTTCCAACTAGAGCTGGGCGATGAATCAAAAATGTATCGTTGTCTGTAGGGCTGGGACGACAATCAGTAAATCAATTGATCGTACGATCGATGAAAATGAACTCAATAATTTTCCAGCCTAAATATATCGAGGTTAAGAAATGTTCAACTCTATTATTATTATTATTATTTATCATATTGTTGAAGTGCAGTTTTGGTTGTTGACACTGGATATAGGTCACTGAGTGATGCATCTTTGTGTAGGTTGGCGACATTCATGTTCCTGTAAGAAGCAGTACAACCTCGAGTCATGTGATAACATTCCATTCCATTTTATTTATAAAGCACATTTTCACATGGCCGAGGCCAACCAAAGTGCTGTACAGTAAAAGCATAAAATCAACCCACGGGAAGAAGTAATAAAAAGTAGTACAGTAACTACTATAAAAACAATAAAAATAAAACAAAAAACTTCGTAAAATGGCAACTAGGCTGAAGTAGAAGCTAAGGAATAAAAATGAGCCTTCAGACGTGATTTAAAATCAGAGGGGGGGGGGGGGGGGGCATTCTCACTGCTAGGGGGAGTTGGTTCCAGAGACGAGGCGCACAGATTGAGAACGCTCGCTCTCCTCACATCCTCACCCGAACACTTGGGACCTGTAAAAGGCGGTGGTCTGCTGATTGAAGAATTCGACCAGGTACGTAAGGCTGAACCAGCTGAGTCAAGTAGAGAGGCGCATAAAGATAGAGTGACTTAAAACCGAGAAGTAAAATTTTAAACTAAATGCGGTAGCGCACCGGAAGCCAGTGCAGCTGGGCCAGAACAGGAGTAATTCCAGCCTGGCACCGTGGGTTTGATTCCAGCTCCTGCCAGGGGTATTCTGCTGTTGTGTCCTTGGGCAAGACACTTCACCCAACTTGCCTGTGTTGGTGGTGGTCAGAGGGGACGATGGTGCCAAATGGCAGCCTCGCCTCTGTCAGACCACCCCAGGGCGGCTGTGGCTACAAAGTAGCTTACCATCACTAGCAGTGTCTGAATGTGACAGTGCACAAAAGCGTCTTTGTGTCCTAAACAAGCGCTATATAAGTTTGATGATGATGATGATTATTATTATTACTGAGCTAGGTTCTGTTGAAGGTTTCTTCCTTTTAAAAGAAAGTTTTCCTCTCCACTGTCGCTACATGCTTACTTAGCACAAGGATTCCTGGAAAGTTACTGACACAGGTCAATGACTCGATTCAGTCTGCTGGGTTTTCTTACACAGGAATATTTAACTAATCGGCATAATGAACTGAACTCAATGCACCGAAAAGTCAGTTCAGTTGGAATGTTTACTTTCTAAAAGTGCCTTGAGACGACTCTTGTTGTGATTTGGTGCCATATAAATAAACTGAACTGAACAAACTCAAAGCAGCAGAAAAGTAGGGTGTGTTGAGGTTCACGGAGTCAGAAAAGGTCCGTTCTATTATCAGGCTCACCTGGAGAACAGGTGATCTTCTTAACGTGGACCTGGATAGTTAATCTCTCCAGTGGAGGAGCCCTGCAAGTCTCTGAGTGAACAAAGGACTAACCGGTACAGATTATGCAGCTCATTAATTGGCTTAATAGACACTGTGGTTGTAGAAGTAGTAGAAGTGGTTATTGTATGCAGTGGGAACACCAAATAAATGTTAATCTTTTATCAATATTTGTTGTTTTAAATGAGAATCGAAGGGATAGTAAGTAGTTTTGATGGTGTAGCGGGTGCCCACTATACCTGCACAAGGGCAAAACCCAAAGATGGAGAATTAAGTCCCACACAGCAGTTTTCAGTTGGAGGCATTTGTTGCGAGAACTGAAAGAGAAACGATTCTAGTATAATATGATGTTTCTGTTGCGCATACCACGAAGAGCACAAGTAATGCATTCATATCATAGCAAACAGGAAAACGTGGATTTAATAGCATGAAGTGATCTTTCTGTTTCGATGCTCAACACTTCTTTTGAGGAATCTGTTGGTACAGAGAAAGGCATTTGAGTTTTGTTCAGCATAAATAATAATAATACACTCAGACAAACTATGTTTAGTTGAACTTTTGTTGTCAAAATGCAGCAGCCAGCTCTTGATTCTGAATGACTCACCACAGATAAAAATATGAAGGACGTGTGTTTATAAGATTAAAAATGGAGCAGCACAAGAAGAGTCTGCGTTTGTTTTGTTTTTCTCCTGCGGGGAGATCAATCTGGTGAAATGCGTTAATCTTTTTGGTTTGATCTCACAATAAGGTCAAATTTATGTAAAGACACTCGGCTGTTTCCGGGGCGACGGCAGAGTGTAGCTGTGCTGCTTTTGTCAAGTTCCATGCCGGATGAATTACCTAGTCATGCTCTGATCCTTCAGTTTTAATTGTTGCATAATCTTTGCAGACAGATTTTGTTATGTTAATTATTAGATTATTATTAGATTATTAGAACACAGCTTGTTGTCTTGCACAGGAGGATACTTTATAGCTTTGTAGTGCATTTAGGTGCAGTATTTTTCATGGTTCCTTTTGTTGGTGTGGTGTCTTTTGAGTTCAGATGAACTCTTATTGGTTGTTTTGCATAAATGTGCTGTGTGAATTCAGGCCTAGTCCACACGTAGCCGGGTTTTTAAAAAAAGCGAATATCCGCCCCTCCAAAAACTTGCATCCACACCACCTTGTTTAAAAAAAAACTGTCCACATGTACCCGGATAAATACGTTGTTAAGGACATGCCAGACCTGTAGGCGGCAGTACTTCCCCCGTTCTTAACCTCGTCCTTCGTCTGTGGTCTTCCGCAAGGAGCAGTAATTCCGCTTGCAAAAACAAACAAGCAAAAAGCGCTTGGACAATTGATAAAGCGAGTGCAGCTCTGAGGGCATCCATGCTGTCGGCTAGTGTAAACACAGGTCACACACGTGATGTCAGCATTTTTTTTGTCGCGGAAAGTGACGTTGCGGACCTTAAAACTCCGGTTTTGTCTGTCCACACGCAGACACTCAAAACGGAGAAAACGCAGATCTTCACTTTGGCCGGAGTTTTTAAAAAGATCCGTTTTCGTGTGAAAAAACTCTGTTTTCGTGTGGATGACAGGCCAAAACGTAGAAAAATATCTACGCTTTGGCAGATCCCCGGCTACGTGTGGACAGGGCCTTAGAATCAGGTGTTGCAAAGCACGCAGCTGTTGTTGTTGCATTGGTTTATTGTAACAGGAATGTGTGTGTGTGTGTGTGTGTGTAGTAGACGATTGTTCGACTCTTTAGCTTCCTGATGTTGACTCGAGTGCAGCTGATGCTCCATCAGCAGATAGGATGAGGGACTCTCCTCTGCAAGAGTAAACTGTTTGTGTAATTGGTCATTACTATTTTAAGTGTGTCCCACAGGAGCTAGCTAGTAGTTAGCTTACAGAGCTTCATGATGTTACTAAAAACCACATGCTTTTTCCTGGGGAACAAGTTCTTGTCAGTTTGGTAATCAATTGATTTATTGGGGGGGGGGATCTCTACAGCGTGTTTTATAGGGGGGGGGGTGGTCAGAGGTCAGAGTGATTCCATGTTTTGATTAAAGTCTTAACGATGTCCCCATAAAAAAAAAAATAGCAGCATTTTGTAGGTGTGGCGCTGGAATTTCAGTCATGGCGCAGTGCCATGATAAAGTCTATATAAGGGACACGCTGGACAATAAAGGTATCTGAACATATCTATCTCATTGTAGAGTATCTTGTCCTATCTCACGTATCGTATCATATTGTTTCTTATCATATCTCATTGTACCGTATCTTACCCTATCTTTCCAAATATTTCTGTATCTTTTCAATCTAACTGTATCTTTTTGTATCTTTTGGCATATTATCGTATCTTTCTGTATTTTTTTTGTATCTTTCTGTATTTTTGTATCTTTTTGTAACTTACAGTATCTTACTTTATCATACCATATTTTAGCATATCTTGTCGTATCTTATTGCATAGCATCACATCTTCCAAACCTGGTCTAACTCAGTATACTTGATATTCTTTATTTTGATAGTCAGGCACTATCAGATGAAGAGATATGCAGATAAGATCTATGTGAAATCCCTCTGTAGATGCTTTTCGAAAGCAGATGGTGGTCCACCTACGTAGTTTGTGTTTTTGCAGATGGCAGTACAGCTACACAGGCCTCATTTCTCCATATGGTCAGCCAATGGCCCACTCTGCCCTGCCAAATAGGGCAGCTTGCTGTGATAAGCAGCTAAGGAAGTGGTAAAACCCGGGGTGATTCCTCCTGGCAGGTCCACTGGTGCTCATGATTGTGTCAGAGCTCCTATAGCTAGTGAAGCTGTAAGATTATCAGTAACACATTTATCATTCTGTTGGCTGGTTAAAGATTCAGATAAGTGGGTATATTTGGATGAAGGATGGGTCATATGAGGATATGTGGAGGCTTGGATCAAGAGTCCTTCAAACGTTTGAGCTTTGAAGGTGGGAACATGGCTATGACGCACAGCTGTTGATTTATTTAAATGAATTCAAGTTGACCAACTTATCAGTTTGATTGATCCTCCTTTATGGACCTGCTTCCACAAATACCTGCAACTTGATTTGTAAACTGTTCCACAACTGAAGCGTAAGACGTTATATGTTGTGATCGATGGGTTTGTTTCCACTGGCTACAAAGCGACGCGTCTTGTAACCGTCCCAGAAGTGTAAGTGTCGCATCGCTCCACTAAATTTATGCTTAGATTTTTTTGTGCACTACACATCCAGAATGCTTCAAACAATGGAGCAGTGTAAAACACCTAGAAACTTTCAAAATAAAACACGTTGTTACCTGTAAAAACTTTGTTTCCAAGGTAAAAAGAACAGAAACCAAACGACAGATCTTTTATATATATCATGCCATCTCTTTACCTGCCAAAATCACACGTGATCTGGGAATTCTCCGGTGTTTTCGTGACCTCTCGAGACATGCTGTGTTAAACACATTTGCTGCCCGTTGGGGTCTGAAACGTTCCCATTGGGATGGGACACACCGTTGAGCTCGTCATTAGTTTGCATTTCCTGAATGACCGCAGCACGTCTGTTTACAGAAGGATGTTGGTAGTTACGTTTTAACCTTTCAGATCTGGAAAATGAAACAACCATGCAGGTTGTTTATCTTTTTTATTTTGAGTGCACTTTCCGCTGATGCTGCGTTTTATTTGGCACACGTTCCCGCCTGAACTACTATTAACCACCTGCCCCCTGAAGAAGCACACAACAGCAAAGCAGCTGCCTCTTAAGGTGTGCAGTCATCTGTGATGTCTGTCATATGGTACGTTGGCATTTCGCAGACAGGTGATAGAGCATTAGGGCGGTATCCTTGGCAACAGCATATCTGAAAAAGATCAGTGGCAGATGGTCCACCTGCTGGTCCTGCTGTCAGCGTGCTCAGGTGACTCTCCTTCTAATTTACTGACGTTCAGGTATAATGGGTGCCAGGTGTACTAATCGTACAGGCTGTGATGTCAGCATTTCCATGATGATGGTGCAAAAGCAGAAAATAGATCAGTACATTCTTTGTAAGTGGGATTTCTAACACTGTGGAAATTTATTTTAAAACACTCTGTCTCAAATGCTAAAACCGAAATTTTCTCTTCATTCTGCAGAAAACTATTTTTTAGGTTCATAATTGTGATTGTAAAACATTTTAAGTTCACTGAGAAAAACACTAAAGAAAGACAAAATTGTAATTTATACAATTTTTGGGGGGTTTTTGTCTACAGAAACGTGAAAATAATGAGTGAGCATCATAGCTAGTGGCCGATTTTGGACATCAGGACATCTGATGACTATGAAGTCAATGTGCTGGTTTGTTTGTTTGTTTGTTTGTTTGTGTAAATATTTAAAGTGACGAATCACGATGTGTATTTTCCCTGGTGATCGGGAGCAGTACATACCTAAATTGGCCATTAGGGTCAAAAATCCCTGGGAGCGTAACCTTCAACAAAATGACAACCACATCAGACTCCCTTCATTACTGGTAAAGAGGCAAGTGTGTAAAACAACATTTATAATTGACGAAAGTTTTGTAACCGTTTGTTACAAAACAGTAAATGCATTTTGTCCTCATGGGCTCCCGTAGAAGAAAACATGGCGACGCCCAAAGGCTTAGACCTGCTCCCATGTATTTTAGAGCTGGTTTCTATGGTTATATGTTACAAAGCTGCCAACATTTTCAACAACTGGGCATCTTTTAATTAATTTTCAATATTTTACAGGATAAAACTACACATTGTTTCTTTAAGATTTAAATAGTCATTATATTTTACAGTCTAGTACATTTAAACAGTTTTATGGCCACAATGGTAACAAAGATGATTTTCCTCTAATCAAAACAATGCTTTTGTGTTAAATTACAAAGCAAAGCAGCCCAAAGTAGAAACCAATAGTTTCAAAAAGATTCTAATCCTTCAAAAAATCTGAGATTGTTCCATCTGAAGAAGGGAAAAAGACATTTTTGGGTATACTATCATAGATGGACGTTTTTTTTAAAAAGCAGGAATATTCTGACAGATAATTGACACACTGAAGTTTGGAGACCAATCCTTTTAGGCAGGATTAGCGCCTGGCACTGTCGGATGGCACGTGTCCGATCATACGGAGACTGGGAGGGAGGACACATTTGTAACGAGCACAACGCCTGTTTAGGGCATGAAATGTTCCGCTTAACTATCGCCAAACTGTGTCGATTCAGAGTAAGTTCATTAGTCATTGTAGGCTGAAGAAAAAATTCTAAAATTAACTTGGACTGAAAGATAAAGCTTCATTTTTCTTCAGCTTCTTCTTTTACTTTTACTTTAACACCACGTTTTCTTCTTCTGCCTCCAGTTGGCTGAGTACCGCCAGAGAAAAGCTCATGCAGACTCCCAGAAGAAGCAGAAAAAGAAGAAGAAAAAGAAGTCATCTGAGGACTCGGAGGGCGATTTGCTGGGAAGAGTGGCGGGCGAGCCGGATCTGTCTGTGGGAGGAGAGGAGCTCTTGGGTGGAGGACGAGATGAATCACAAAAAGGAAACAAAGAGCTGCCCACCACAGAGTTCACCTTCACCAAGACGCTGAAGAGCGGAGAAACCGTCAGGCACGATCAGACTTATAAGATAGAGGTAAATGCTCACTCGGTTCATGCGCTACTCAGTAAAACTGCTCATTTCATCAACTCCACCCCTGATTTATTTGCTCATGTGCATCCAGGTTGCACATAATGAATCTTTGAATTATTTCAGCTGCAAATTTCATTTCTGATCATCCTTATTAATGCCTTATCCACCAGTCTGAGAGAATCCTGTTATGAATAATAAACATACCAGTGAGACAGGTACTGGCTTCACTGCCTGGGTAATTGGAGTCATCAAATAAGTTTGATTTAGTATCAAAAGGATCAAAGTGCCAAAATGTACCCTAAAATAGTAAATAAATAATACATAGTGTGCAAAAGGTGCTATAAGCTGATTTCTAAGTCATCTAATATTTAGCTAAATTGCAAAAAGTTAAAATAAACGGAAATGATAAAAGGATTGGTGCAGGCAGTTTGTCATTTTATTTGCTCGTGTGAGGCAGCAGTAGCTCAACAGGTTGAGCGGGTTGTCCAGTAATCGGAAGGTTGCAGGTTGGATCCCGGCTCCGGACAGAGAATTTTGCTGTTGTGTCCTTGGGCAAGACACTTTACCCACCTTGCCTGCTGGTGGTGGTCGGAGGGACCGGTGGCGCCTGTGCTCGGCAGTCTCGCCTCTGTCAGTGCGCCCCAGGGCAGCTGTGGCTACATCGTAGCTCATCATCATCCGTGTGTGAATGGGTGAATGATACACTGTAGTGTAAAGTGCTTTGGCGTCCTTACTCTGAGAGGCGCTATACAAGTGCGGGTCATTTATCATTAGAGAGGTGAGAATAAATCCAGGGTTCAGGTGCAAACAGGTCTAATTTAAAGATGGCAGACAGAATCGTATGATCAGGTTTATTGTGGTGGAAAATGGCTGCCTTTAATCTATTTTTAGGTTAAAGGCAGTCAACATTAACAACAAACTGAAACTGAGCACTCATGTCAATCGGTGCGGTTACATGTGCGTCTACGAGGATCGAGCAAGTACCTTAGCGAGAATGGGAGCCTGTATCCTAGTTTACATGTCCACTGCAAAATCAAATGATTGAACGAAGTGTGTTCAACTCCATTACGGTGTGTGTCAACATGCGCCCTTTTGTGTTAGCATTCTTCCGGTTAGCTTATAGCATCAGACAAATGGAATGGATTCTGATGGAACGATGAAATCTCGCAGTGACGCCGGATGTGTCTTGGAAGCGTCTGGCCTGAGTTTTCCAAATAAATTCAGTATTATAAATTACAAATATCATCTGGCTTTTAGTATTGCAATACTTTGTATTGTCTCCCTGCTTCGTGTATTGACAGAGTCTTGCCAATACACACCCCTATAGTGGGGGAGCAGTGTGTTTCTTTTGTTTGTTGATGGATTAGTCAGGAAAATAAAAACAGAAAAAGCAGCAAAAGAGGCTCCAGTAATCAATAAAGGTCAGCAGTTATCTTGTTTCCTACATAAAATCTGAGTGTTTAAACACAACTTTGTAATGATTTAAATTACATGTTATTTAATAAGCCATAAGACAAAAGATTCCATAGCAAATATGAAATCCACCTTATGGATCTGTGAGGTTATTTAAACCAGAAGATTGGAACTTTTTAATGCAGGGATTAGATAACAGCTTCGTATTCACTCAGAGACAACAGAAGAAAGAGAGTCAAGTTTAAAAGTTAAGAATTTTATTACTAACAAATTAAACTAGACTGACTTTAACACTAAATGTATGGTGTAACTAAGGTGGATGAGACGGAGAATGGTGTGATGTGGAATGTTGCTCAGAACCAGCAAATCCGAAGAAGCGATTAGTTCTGATGGGAATTGAAGGTGATGTCTTCACGTTAAGCTTTGATTTGGAGATTCATAAACATATTCGAAGCCATTTGTCAGTCTACATACCCTGAGCGGAAGTCCCCGTCTAGATCAGGAGGTGTAAAGGTCCAGCTTGACCTCGTGGAGCCGGAGCCTGTAGAAGCAGCCACGACAACCGACCACCCGTCTTGAGATACTCCCGGGTCACAACAATTTTGTTGGCGTCTAGTGAGACCCAAACCTGGGTCTTGATGGTTCAGCTTTTATTCTGAAAGAAACCGTTGCAGCAGGTGGAACAGCAACAGATTTTATCCAGCTTGTCGTTGGTTCTTTTGGCTTAAGAGGAAAGTTACGGATTGGCCACTCCGACACTTCTCTAGAACGCTTTGAACTGACGTTAAAGATGACGTGGGAATAGTTTTATACTTCAGATGTTTTGGTTTATGGTCGAATGAAAAGATGACAGATTTACCAAACACCACCAAAACCACGCCTCCGTCAGATCTGGCAGATTCTGATTGGATCAGTAAAAGCAATGTGTCATGTCTTAATGCTACGTGAGATCAGTCCTGGTGGAACATTTAAAGTCGTATAACTTATTATATTCTATAGGTTTATAATAAAGTAATTAATATTTTGATTTCACAGATTGGTCACATCTTATTATTGACTAACACTTTGATTAGCTTTATTAAAATAGAGTTATTTGATTTATTAAAAAGAGAGAGTCCTTTCTTCATTCTTCTCTTGAGCTGGAAAGAAGCAGTTTATAGCAAATGCATGAGACCTTGAGGCCATATCTCATGCAGACTAGTTCTGTGTCAGAGGAGAGGGGGAAATGACTTTTGGTGGAAAACAGTCTTTTCATACCGTTACAACTTCATCACCCAGGCTGGGCAATGACTTTAAACCAGTCAGTTTAAGGAACGCTGATTTTAGGAAAGACTTAAGGTGCTTTTACACATTTCTTAATATTTCTATGTAATATTTTTATTTGATCTTTCTACAAATCACCTTTCTCTGCTGATATTTTTAATGAAATTTGTGAATTTCATAAATTTGTCAAAGATTGTCACAAAGCTGCTGGGGATTCGGCCAAACTTGGTTTTTCTTTAACCATGAAGTACAACTGGCAGATAACTTTCTCCAGCCTGCTATTTAAAACTTCCAGTTATACACAGCTCAAGACCATAAAACTAACCAGAAAGCAACATTTCTTATTCTGCTATAAACTATACTTTATTAGTTAGTAGAAAAGCTGCCATCTGAGCATTTATTCTGACCGTTTCAGGAGAAAATCAGTGAAAACTGTTTCATAAACATGCAAACCTGAGGGCTCTTGTACATTTTGTTCTATCACTCGAGCCCTCTCAGTCTCTCTCGTGTGGCCCTGTGCTGCCTGAACCTACGACATACCCACAAAAAAAAAAGGTTTCCATGGAGACAAATAATCGCTGAGATTTGTCGGTCTGCAACTGATTCCTCTGTCCTTGCAACGCATTTCAGGAGACTTTAAAGCTGAGAGAATGTATCATCATTTTCTGGTACATAGTTCACGGTGATGCTGCCCTGAGTGAGCAGAAGGGAAACAAAACAACATAACTGCCTCCGAGATGTTTTAAAGTTGATTAGAGACACTTGTGTTTCGGTTCTTGTGCTGTTTTCATTCGTGCTGAAGTGTTGTTACTGTGAGTAAGGTTGATATGCAAATGTTACAGATAATCACAAAGCTTTTCCTTCGTGTGTTTTTCCCTTGACCTGCACAACGCTTTCACTTTGTTAACTAGGTTTGATGCTCTATTCAAGAACAGTCATCAGCGACCCCCCCCCCCCCCCCCCCCCCCCGGCTCGGATCGGTGGACTTCAGCCTGGCGAGGCCATCAGCTGGAGGAGTCAATGTACTCTTCGCTTCTCCCACGATCTCCCTCCCACCTGTGACTGTACAGTAGATGAGCGCCTTAGATGGCTGCTCTCGCTGGGGGAAACAAGATCCCAGCCCCCCCCCACCCCCACCCCCCACCCCCCGCCCTCCTATTGGGGTCTCATGTTATGTTGTGTTGTCTAAAGTCTGTTGCATATCTGTTTGAGGTGTTTTTTTGCAGAGCAAAGCTGCCCTCCTGGTGGAGGGTAACTCTGAAGTGCCTTTTTTTCCCTCCACCTGAACCAATCCTCATGTAACCCTCTTATCTCTATTAAGGTAGCGCAACTCAGGGCTGCGAATGACCACAGTCACCAATTCTTGTCATGTGTCTTGCCCATGTATGTCTGATCTCTGAATTGTGTGTACTGAAACTCTTAATTTCCCTCTGGGATTAATAAAGTATTGATTGATTGATTGATTGATTGATTGAGATTTCTGGATCAAAAACAAACACATTAATTTTTGTATTATGGTCTGACCTAAGTCACCTTAGATTAGAGGTCTGCAATCTGCGGCTCAGGTGCCACAAATGGCTTTTTTAGCTCAATTCCACAACAAGGGCAGGGCAGAGAGCTGTTTAGTTAGTCCCGATTGTAACACCGGTCCATGCAGCTGACCCGGACCACACCGTTCATTGGACATTCATGGGTCCCTTCTGTTATAGTTCCATTGGACCATGGAGCGGCACGGCTAGGGCAGAGTGGTGGCGTCTAAACAACACAGTCCACTGATTGGGGACAGAAATATGTCACTACTTGTGAAAAGCAAAACAAACACCAGAGTGTTGTTTGTTTTATCATTAGTTGTACACAAATGTGAGGAAATGCCAGCAGGTAGCAGTAAGGTTTGGCCAGCTTCAGAACTCCAAACATTCCTCACCACTGTTGGCCATAGCCACGTTCAGGACGAGCTCGACGGATTGGTAAGGAATGAAAACGTTGTTAAAGAAGTTGCTGCTGCCTGGACTCCATCGTTGTTGTGGTTTTGCACGTTTCCTTGTGGCACTGTTATGACAAGATGCTACGCGTTTACATTTAACCTCGCCTGTCGAGTGAGAGCCTAAACTGCAATTGAAACACTCCAGAAATCGCAGACCCATACCGGTCCATAATGGCCAATGATGCCCCGCCCCGAATCCCCGCAATGGAACTGATCTGTTTGGACCTTCCACAATGGCTCTTAAAGCTGGGGTCCGTATCATGGAGGAGGAAGAGATTTAGAAATTTCAAAGGAGCCAAACGCCATGTTGGACACCTAAATAATTCTGATTTAGAATATTTATTATGCAGATGTTATTGGTGAATGTAAAAACGCATTTAAATAAAATTCTGCAGCAGTACCGGGCTGCCTGAGGATGTGCCTGACTTTAAATCAGCTTTACTTAGGACAAATATCGGCCTGTGCAGATGTATAAAAAACTGTAAATATTGGCCCGATATACTGGCCGATTGATATATCGTCTACCCCTAGTTGAATCCCCAAGTTCCCCTCCCTCCTCTTCGACAGTTAGCTTGACATTTACTGACTGACTGATTCATTGCAGGTTAAGTTAGCATTAAAGCTAACGCCATATTATCCTACTGTAAATGCAGAAAACAACTAGTAACTGCACTGTTATTACTTTTATTTAAATACAATTTTGATTACAAGTGTCTAAAACACAATAAATTACTTAATATTCACCTGCCCAAAATAAACTTTTACATTTTGAGCCCTTAAAGCTCTCTTCATCTTTTTAAAGTGTCCCCAATGAAAGTTATGTTCTTCTGCCGTAAACGTCTCACGACAAGTTCTGCAGAAGTGTTTTCTTTGGGAAGCCGTAGAGGCAAGGATACAGAGACTTTGGGGAAATTTTCCCACTTATTCCAAAAACTTAAGAGGTTTTAACACAGCGTGGAAGTTTTTCATTTTTGCCTCTAAATTGAGTTTGACATCCATGCTTTAGATGTTAGCAAATAAAATTTTCTTTAAAGTTTCCTATCCAGCTTTGGATTATTTTTATCTGTAATCCTCTACAATATTATAAATTCAAATAGAAATTGGGATTGATCATTTCTTATTTGTTGTTGCAGCCGGAGAGCGAACTATCCACCACAGCCGAAGATTATTCCTCAGAGGTGAGTCACCAGGTACCAAAACAGATCTTTATGCATCTTTCAGCTTATTGTTACCTCCTTATATTTACCACTCTTGTTTGGGACTCATGACCGTACTGTTGTAGTTTGTAAAAACATACATCAGAGTTAAATGGTTTTTTTGCTGTATTAGTCGGACCTCTTGATTTTCCTGAAATGGTTTTCTGTATAAGTTTTAATCACTTTTTCCATCCTTAGTTGAAACAGACTGCTTTAATGAAACCATGCTGCTCATTAGGGGTGTGTATTGGCAAGAATCTGCTGATACAATTTATAATACAATACAAGGGAGATAATACAATATATACCGCAATACGCAGAAGACGATACGATATATATCACAATACTAGGGGACGATATAATAGATATTACAATATAGAGAAAACGAAACAATGTTCATTACAATACAGGGCAGACAATCTTATCTCTCTCTCTCTCTCCCTATATATATATATATATATATATATATATATATATATATATATATATATATATACATACACACACACAAGAGAGAAATTACTATATATATTACATTGCAGAGGACATGAGACGAGACAACAACTTGCGATACTAAAAGTGGATAATGTTTGCAATTTTTAAGACTGAATTTAATTGGACAACTTGGACAGAAGCTTCAACCACACATCCACTGTTATCATGAGATCCCGTTCCATCAGAATGAAGTCGGTGAAAACTGCCGCCACCTAGCAGTTGGGGTTTGAATTGCATCACACAAAACAAATGTATTAAATGTTTCCATGTAAATTCTCATTAAAAACATCACTGCCTTCAATATTGATTCAGTATTATAACACAGAAGATCATTTCAGTATATCAATATTTTCCTACATCCCTACTGCTTTTGATCATTAGGGTTAGGGCCAATCATCATTATTCAAAAATCATTTTTTTCTTACAGATGCTTCTGCCCTTTAGTCACCTAATGATGCTGGAATCAAACATGCGCTGAAAGCACAGAATTGATAAGAGAAAAAACAGTAAAATGAAAGATAATATGCAGACAATTCAAATTCTGCTTTAATTCTAGTAAAACCTACAATTAAAACCACGTTAAAGAGAATAAATCTGTCTGCGACATAATTGAAGCTGCAAAGGTTGATCTCTGATCTAATGTTGCGTCTCCTGGTTCTCCATGAATTAACAGGTAAATGGGTGCCATGATGAGATGACAGAGAACCTAATTATGTCTCCAGAGGACTTTATCTGGGTACAGTAATCCAGTCCAGAAGCTCTTCTGACTCTGCTTTGCTAACAAACCTGTTTGCTGCTTTAAGATCTTCTGCACTAACCATGTGTGTTTTGTTGCCCCCCTTAACTAACTTCATTCAGAAACAGTTCTGTGTGTAGGTAACCTGCCTCAGAACCTCAAATGTCCAAGATGACCCAAAGGTTCAGAGCGGAACAGGTCGTTGTGACATTGAAAAGGTGTAAATTATCTGGTAAAGCTGCAGGAGAGCAGAGGGAGTGAAGTAGATGGTGAGAGGACAGGGAACGCTCTGACAGTGAAGGTTACAAGCTGATTTCCTCAAAATCTGTTTGAATGGAGGAAGGAACAAGATCTCAGAAATGTCTCAGAGTACAAAATATTCTTAGATTTTATCTAAAGGTTTGCATCAGGATAAAGTTAACCAGAAATGTTTCATTGCTAATTGAAATGATTATTTCTTTCAAAACTAAATCATGATCATCATCAGCAGCAGCCTCTTGAATCTGCAGAGCAACACCACAGGAAAGGTTGGTACTAGGGATGCACCGATCAGGTTTTTTGCTGCCGATCACCGATACCGATCACGTGGATTGGCCAGAAATTTTCTACAACAGTATAATGAGTGCTACAAACTACATAATCTGGGAATAAAGGAAATGTAACCTAATCTAAAATGGTCTGTATTAGGGTCATCACGGTGTGAAAATTTAACCTCACGGTTATTGTGACCAAAGTCACCACGGTTTTCAGTATTATCGCGGTATTTTTTTAAACGTGCTACATTTTCACACAATTAAATAAACCCTGTATGTCAGGAAATATTGTCCTCAGTTTGTGTCTAAATTTTGCCTAAAATTTGTTATTTTGTAATCATGTTGTTTATTTGTTTACATGTTTTCCCTTTAGTCTTTAAAATACCAATATTTGCCCATAACTTCTCATTTTTTGTCTGTTTGATGTCATCATTTTAAAAATATTAGATCAGATGATACTCAGTACTCAAGTAGCCTTCTAATCAGATACTTTTTTTACCCTTACTTGAGTAATAAACCCTATATCAGGAAAATATTGTCCTCGGTTTGTGTCCTTCCAGTGAGCTTTGCAGATGTGGGAAAATGCCATCAGGTAGTAATCATTGTTAAATTCATAATTATTCTCGGAGAGAGACCAACTCTTATCTGCCCCTGGGAGTCCCGTAATGCATAGCGTCATTTCAACATGGGGGTGTCCGCGACACGGTTTATATGCAGGTAGCGGCGCTGCGGCTGCTTTATATATCGACTCGTTGCATTCTCCCTAACCCAAATCCTCAGATCACGCATTTTAGCTAAAACGCTAATGTTAGCTTGCCTTGCGTTGACTGTAGAGTTGTGGGTGATGGTCACGCAGATGTGTCATGAGATTTGAAGCAATGCTGCCTTTCACAGACACTTTTTCTGCACGTGCTGCAAACAGGATAGCCGTCTTCTATCAACTGTCCCTCGGCATTCTTCAAATATCCAAAAGATGCCCGTACTTCCGACTTTGTCTTCTTTGAGGGATAATAAATGTCCTGAGCGCTGCCGTCTCCTCCTTTGACCATTATTTCAGCTTTAGCTCCAAGAAAGTTTTGGTTGTAAACATCAAAGCGCGCATGTGCCGCCGGCAACTTCAGCAGACGATACGGTGGCTGGTAAGGGTCACCGCGCCTACACCGTAGCCACGGTAAACCCACCGAGATAATATAGTTTTTTTTAAAACAAGACGGTTATTATTATTGTCAACTTTTTTTACCGGGGTTTACCGCTACACCGGTTACCGTGACAACCCTACCTGATCGGTCTGCTTTGATCTATTTCGAAAACTCCGATCAAAACCGATAGGGGCGCTATCGGCCGATTGGGATCAAATGTCGATCCATCGGTGCATCCCTAGTTGGTACTGATGTCCGTCCACCGCTTATCCGGAGTCGGATCGCGGGGGCAGCAGCCTAAACAGAGAGGCCCAGACTTCCCTTTTCCCAGCACCCTGGGCCAACTCCTCCCAATCCCAAGCTGTTCCCTGGCCAGCTGACAGACGTAGTCCCCCCAGCGTGTCCTGGGTCTTTCTTTGGGTCTCCTCCCAGTTGGACGTGCCTGGAACACCTCACCGGGGAGGTGTCTAGGAAGCATCCTGACCAGATGCCCGAGCCACCTCAACTGTCTCCTCTCGATGTGGAGGAGCAGCGGGTCTACTCCGAGCCCCTCCCGGATGACCAAGCTTCTCACCCTATCTCTAAGGGCGAGCCCAGACTCCCTGCGGAGAAAACTCATTTCTGTAAACGTGAAAGATATCTTGTAACTTTTGCGTTTTTCTCAGCCAGCGATAGTTTTTCAGCTCGCTGTTGTGGGAGTTTATTTTTTGAAGCCTAGACTTTGAAACGTTTAACTTTGAAGGATTCAGCTGTGGTTCGGGCCTTCGTTAACTCCTGGAGAAGGGCTCGTTGTCCTCTGGGCGTTAAATAATTCAAGGTCTTGTCTCTGAATTGTCTTAGTTGTGAAATTACATGTTTTGAGAAGGAAAAGGTTTGACATTATTGTTTATTTATTACTTTAATCAAGATTTGGCATCACTGTCTTGCTAATTTCTCATTATCCTCCTTGGTAAACGACACATTTCCTGTTTGCCTTTTGTCATTTTGACCCTTTTCAGGCCTCAACCATCATCAACCACACTAATACCTTTAATGCTTTCTGTCTTTGGGCTTTTGCTCTTTGGTGGCGACTCGTTCACTCTTAGACCTCTGAGTTTTGCTAAAGCCGTGTGAAACTTTTGCTTTGTCTCAGGAGGAAGTGGAGTCTCTGCAGCAGATCACTGAGGGACACACCATGCAGGAGATGGACGCTTTAACGGCTACGGCCCAAACTGTGGAGGAGCTGAGTGGAGAGGTGGAGGAGATCCGGTCTGCAGAAGGACTACAGCAGGTAAACGCTTCGTTTCTGTAATAAATCGGCTAGTCTTCAGGGGGTTGAGTGGTTTTATTAACAAAATATTAACTACTGATCTGAAAATGAGGATAAAAGCACAGAGAGCCAGGAGAACTAACAGCAAAACATAATGTACTTATCTTCACGGTTTAAAATGAAGTTGTTGTAGCTGGATTATGTCATTTATATTTTTGAACCCTTTTTTTTTAATATCTTCAGTAAATTTTTCTTTTCCTTTTTTTAATATCAGTGCAAAAGCTTTAAGTGTACATCTCGGAGGTTTTAACACTGAAATCCCTTCTGGGTTTTCAGCTGCAGGACTTTAAAGCGGCTCTGAAGCAGCGAGACGGCATCATCACTCAGCTCACATCCAACCTCCAGCAGGCTCGCGAGGAGAGAGACGAGATCATGAAAGAGTTCTTAGCGCTGACAGAACAGAGCCAGAAACTGCAAATTCAGTTCCAGCAGGTGGGAAGCGCTTCCACGGCAGTTTTGTTTCCCTCATCCAGATTTTCATCTCGTAGTAACTAACCGTGTGTGACTGAATTGGTACAAAGTGAGAAGATTTTTCCTCCTTTTCCCTCATCTGTATTCTGAAAACCGTGTTGTCGGGCTGCTAATCACAGCTGCAGGCAGACGAGGCGATGAGGAGCACCAGCCGCAGCAGCGCTGCCGCCGATCTTCTGCAGGCGAGGCAGCAGATCGTTCAGTTCCAGCAGCAGCTGGAGGAGATGAACGTGGAGGTCAGAAAGCACCAAGAGAGTAGCAGCGGCCAGCTAGATCACATCAAACAGCTCCAACTCAAACTCAACGACGCGGAAATGGTGAGATGTTTAACCTGCTAGACTCGGGTTTCTTTACGTGTCTAAACCTAAATTGTCTCTGCAGTCAGGGAGAAGATCAGAAGAGTCTTTTACACAAAGGACAAACAAAAAGGACTCGCTGATTGCTGAGCAAAAACAAATCATTTTGAGTCAAGAGCAGGCGCTAAGAGCAGCCGAGGAGGCTTTTGCTCAAACGATGAGGGATAAAAATCAGCTCATTTCAGACCAAAGCGTAATAATCGCGGAACACGAGCGGTCGTTGAACCTGCTCAGAGAGGAGCTTGTCCTTACAGGAAGGACTGCCGATGACAACATTATGCAACGGTCTGATGATAAAGATCTCATCATAGCAGAGAAAGAGGGGCTTGTTTCAGAACGCGACCGTTTCATCGTCCAGCTGCAGGACAAACTGGAGACCTCTGAGAAACACCTGAAGGAACTCCAGCAGCAGCTGGCTGCAAAGGAATCGGAGCTGGAAAACTTCCTGGAGGAACTGGAGAGCTCCAAATCCCATCTGGTCAGGTGTAAAGGTGAAATGGAGAGTTGTAAGTTACAGTTGGAGGAAGAACAAATGGAGTTGGCGAGCTGCAAGAGCGAACTCGCTGCCTCTAGACAGAAGGAGCGGATGTCGTCGAATGAAATCATGCAGCTCATGGGAACGGTAGAGGATCTGCAGAAACGTTGCCACCAGGGCAGCGTGTCCGAGAGTGACGCCGTCCAAAAGGTGCAGGAAGAAGCCGTTCGGAAGCTGGAACTTCTCAGGGCAGAGCTGGACGAGCTGTACGGTCAGCAGATAGTCCAGATGAAGCAGGAGCTCAATCTGCAGCATGCAGCGAGAGTCCAGCAGATGACTGAGCAACATCAGGCTGAGGTGAAGCTCCTAAAAACACAACAGAGCTCTTTTGGCAGCGCTGGAGAGGTGGAAGCTCTCAGTGTGAGGATTAAAAAGCTCCAGGGCACTTTGGAGCAATCTCAGGCCATGAATGATAAAACTAAACACGAGCTGAATCACGTCATCCAGGAGAAGCTGAAGCTGCAGGAGAAGGTTGAATATCTTCTCCGAGAGCTCAGTGCTGCTAAGGAAGAAGCGGAGCGAGTTTCTACCAGTCTGGTCTCTCAGGAACGCAACCGGGACGAGCTACTGCATCTCCAGGAAACCATCAACGCCCTGAGGAACGAGCTGTCGGAGGCTCGGGAAGCTGCTCGAGAAGAAGAAGCCAAACACGAATCGGAAATAACCAATTATAAGATCAAGCTGGAGATGCTAGAAAGGGAGAAGGACGCCGTTCTGGATCGAATGGCCGAGTCGCAGGAAGCAGAGCTGGAGCGGCTAAGGACTCAGCTTCTGTTTAGCCATGAGGAGGAACTTACAAATCTTAAGGAGGAACTGCAAAGAGAGAACTTTTTGAACACGGAGAACCTTCTCAACGAAGCAGCTGTCAGACACCAGAAGGCTCTGGATGAGCTGGGTGTCAGTTATGCAGAGCAGCTGGGTATGATGCAGACAGAGAAGGCAGCTTTTGCCATGGAGAGGGACGAACTCCTGAACCAAACTCTCGGGCTCAAAGAGGATCTGAAGCTGGCCTTGCAGAGCTCAAGAGCAGATGAGCTGGTGCTGCAGCTCCAGGAGGTCCAGGCTGAACTGGAGGAGCTTCGGAAAGGAACCCAAGAGCAAGCTAAGATGCAAAATGAAATCCAGTCGTTGTTAAAAAAGACAGAAGAGCTGGAAAATCAAACAAAAGACAAAGAACACTGCTGGGAGGAGAAACTAAAGGAGCGTGACGTAGAGAAGGAGGCCCTGGTCGAGTCCAGTAACACTTTAAAAGAAGAGATGAAGTCAAAAAACCTGAAAATTGAGACTCTCACAGCGGAGTGCAATCGCACCCAGCAACAAGTAGCCGAGCTTCGCGAGGAAATCGAAAAGCAGAGGACGACTTTTTCCTTCGCAGAGAAGAACTTTGAGGTGAATTATCGAGAGCTGAAGGAAGAGTACACTTGTCTCTCCCAGGCAAAGACGCAGCTGGAGGACAGGGCACGGAGGGAGACACTTGAGTTCGAGGCGAGAATTGCACACCTTCAGTCGCAAATTCAAAAGTACGAGGAGCGTAGCAGAGACGTCAGGATGGAGGAGGAGAAGACTGAAGACGAAGCTGAGATGCACAAAGATGCTGTGGAGCTAACGGAGAAGCTTCATGTTCCTCTGAGGGAGGAGAGGAGCCTGGACGAAAGGCTCTCTGAAGTTACAGGTCAGCTAAAGTTCACAGAGAGCAAAGTGGGACAGCTGGAAAGGGAGTTGTTACAGGTGAGGCAAGAAAACATGGAGTTCGTTGCAGAAAACAAAAGCCTGAGAGAAGAAAAGAAGCAGCAGGTTAGGAGTGAGGGAGCGGGAGAGAAGGTTTCCCGGCATCAGCGTCAGATTCAGTCTCTGCAGGAGGAGATCGAGACTCTTCAGTGCCGCTTACACGCAGCTGAAGCAGAGAGAGACGGCGTCCAGCACACTCTGGAGCTCCTCAGGCTTTCACAGACGCCGTCTCCAGCAGCGGGGCTCTCCTCGGGGGAGGGACCTGTTGATGGACGATTCTCCCCACGCAAGTCTGCAGCCTCAGGGTCAGGCAGGCGCAAGAGACGGCAGAGGTCGAAGCAGGAGCGCAAAGCTGGCGGCGCTCTCCCAGACAGCAGAGAAGAAAAGCAAAAGGGGGAGGAAGAGGGAGCTGGAAGTGCTGCAGAGGAGGAGACGCTGCCTCAGATGCAGAGCCAGGTTGTGTCATGTTCACCGGAGAGGGCCGGTAAGGCGGACTCTGCTGACGGGTACCAGGGAGACGGAGGCAGCGGCGAAACGGTAAGCTCTTTCAAATCCAGCCTGCGTATTTGAAATTGCATGTATCACCTTTGGAATGAATGTAGAGGATTGAAATTTATTTGCAGCTTCATTGGAAACCCCTGCAGTGAATCCAAAGCCAGATCAGGCTGTTTCTTCTAAAGAAATGTGACTTTGTGCTTTTAAGCTCTGAGGTTTTCTCTCTAGTGAGCTACAGACCTGATTGTAAATCGCCTGAAGGTCTGCAGGCTCGCTTTTGAAAGGTAGCATTTAGCAGACGGAGGCATTTTTGAAATTCATGCAGGCAAAATGAAAAGCAGCTCTTATTTATGATCCACTTTTATGTGATGCTGCTTGCCCTCGAACTGAAAACGTCTGTTTTAAAGGGATATTCCACCCCAAAGTGAAATTCAGTCTGCTGCTATGTTCCCCAGACTTTGATAAGTGGGGAAAAAGCATTTTGTAACCAGCCCAGTCATTCTCCTGATCTGGTAGGAGTCTGTTAGCATTAGCTTAGCATAAACAATGTAAGTGAATGGGAACAGTTAGCATTTTGTGTGGAAAAAGTAATGAAAATGACTCACTAATGATCCTAATTTTTCTTTGTGACCTCAATAATCACATTACTGCAAATGCAGGTAACAAGAAACACGGAGGAATTACAGGAGCCGATTTAGACGTAGTACTACTTTACGACAAAACACCGCTGTAAGCCTCCGCTGCAAGGCGCAAGGACATGACGCACCAGCCCAAGACACCTCATTTGTAAAAGCCTAGTAGCCACACATTTGGGTTTACAGAAGTAGGCGTCTTCTTAAATTAGATTTTTTAAAATCTTTACTGAAAACTCACTTTTTCTCCCTGGCCTTTAACTCAATAATCTGGTTTTAGTATCAAGTCTATAGGTTTACCTCCATCCCATTGATTGCTTAATTTTACTTCTGTATATTTTTGGGTTTTTAATTGCCTGTTTTGTTTTTAGTCCTTTCTTTTTAAACCTGGTTTTAGTATTACGCCTATAGGGTTTTTTTTCATCTCCATTTTATTGCCTGCACTTGTGTATTTTATGGTTTAATTGTATTTCTGGTTTTAGTTCTTCATTTTTGGTCAGCTGCATGGCTATGCAGAAACCACTTATCAAATAAAATGGTATGGTATTTAAATGCTAGCCGTTACCATTCACTTACATTGTTTATGCTAAGCTAAAGCTAACAGAACTCTTGGGAATGTGGCAACAGACTAAATTTCACTTAGGGTGTGAATATCCCTTTAAAACAGCCCGAGAGTCAAATGAGCGGCGCCCTCTGATGGCTTTGAACCGTTACTGTTGTGTAGAAATGTGTACATTCTAGTTTCTCCATCCTGCAGGGAGTGAAGGGTTCGAGGTGAGAAGCCATTTTAAGCCTTTGTGTTTGTGTCACAAACGAACAAGGCTTTCAAAGATGCTGCACGTCGCTCGTCTTTCATTCCTCATCAGTGTTTTATGAAGCTTCGTCACCTCCTGAGTTGGAAAGCTAAACTTGATTTAGGCTTTATTTTGTCAGGGAACAAAACCTTCATTTGTTTTTTAAGCTTACTGGCAAAATGTTTTTTTATTTTAATAGGAAACAAGGTAAATGTCACGTTCAGAATGACTTTATTCCAGATTTTAAATGTCACTCAGAGCTTTTCTCTGCTCTCTCTCAGGAAGTGATTCATACGTGTTTGTTTTAGGGATGCACCGATCAGGTTTTTTGCTGCCGATCACCGATACCGATATCAAAGAATGCTGATCACCGATACCGATCACATGGATTGGCCAGAAATTTTCTACAACATTATAATGAGTGCTACAAACTACATAATCTGGGAATAAAGGAAATGTAACCTAATCTAAAATGGTCTGTATTAGGGTCATCACGGTGTGAAAATTTAACCTCACGGTTATTGTGACCAAAATTACCACGGTTTTCGGTATTATCGCGGTATTTTTTTAAACGTGCTACATTTTCACACAATTAAATAAACCCTGTATGTCAGGAAAATATTGTCCTCAGTTTGTGTCTAAATTTTGCCTAAAATGTGTTGTTTTGTAATTATGTTGTTTATTTGTTTACATTTTCCCCTTTTAGTCTTTAAAATACCAATATTTGCCCATAACTTCTTATTTTATGTCTGTTTGATGTCATCATTTTAAAAATATTAGATCAGATGATACTCAGTACTCAAGTAGCCTTCTAATCAGATACTTTTTTTACCCTTACTTGAGTAATAAACCCTATATCAGGAAAATATCGTCCTCGGTTTGTGTCCTTCCAGTGAGCTTTGCAGATGTGGGAAAATGCCATCAGGCAGTAATCATTGCTAAATTCATAATTATTCTCGGAGAGAGACCAACTCTTATCTGCCCCTGGGAGCCCCGTAATGCATAGCGTCATTTCAACATGGGGGTGTCCGCGACACGGTTTATATGCAGGTAGCGGCGCTGCGGCTGCTTTATATAGCGACTCGTTGCATTCTCCCTCAACCCAAATCCTCGGATCACGCATTTTAGCTAAAACGCTAACGTTAGCTTGCCTTGCGTTGACTGTAGAGTTGTGGGTGATGGTCACGCAGATGTGTCATGAGATTTGAAGCGTCTCCGTCTCCACCTCTGGCCATTATTTCAGCTTTAGCTTCAAGAAAGTTTTGGTTGTAAACATCAAAGCGCGCATGTGCCGCCGGCAACTTCAGCAGATGATACGGTGGCTGGTAAGGGTCACCGCGCCTACACCGCAGCCACGGTAATCCACCGAGATAATATAGTTTTTTTAAAAACAAGACGGTTATTATTATTGTCAACTTTTTTTTACCGGGGTTTACCGCTACCCGGTTACCGTGACGACCTTACCTGATCGGTCTGCTTTGATCTATTTTGAAAACTCCGATCAAAACCGATAGGGGCGCTATCGGCCGATTACGATCAAATGCCGAACCATCGGTGCATCCGTAGTTTGTTTGATTTGTTCTATTGATCACTGACTGCCCTTTTTCCGGGTAAATAATTGAGGTGGTCTTTACTTTTGTTTATTAAAGACATGATTGTTCTTCTTGCCTTTTTTTAGGTGAGCAGACAGGGGATGGGCTTCCACGCGGGGCGCGCTGTGTGTCAAAGAGCAGAAGAGAAGGAAGAGCCCCCCGAGCATGTAAATGTCACCTAAGCTCACATCCTGCTCTTTGCTTTTCAGTTGCTTTGATGTGTAATGCGGTGGGGTGTAAAAGTCAATAGATGGGGGCTCAGAGAGCTGTACACTTTCCCGTCATGTGCCTTTTTATGATCTTCAATGAAAATAATCTTTCAAACTGGACTCCAATGGACTCTGAACTAGTTACAGTGCATGATCAGTCATTTGTTGTGAAAGGCCGTGACGGAGGTTAATTTGCAGAAAATTTCCGCAGAAAGAACGAATTTCACTGCAGAGCTTCAAGTCCTGCAAGTGTGCAGACAGCACCAGTTTAATAGCATTAGAAGTGGCATCAGATGACTCGAAGGAATATGAAAAGGGAAGTGCAATCAGAGCAGAGCAGAACAGTCTGACATGACGTTGGAGGCTTAACGTGGTCTCTTTAGATGAGGTGCTGAGGGGAGATGATCCCTGATTGCTCCCCGAGGAGGCGGCTGAGGTGAGATTTTCTCACGTATTAACGTACCAAATAAATGGTAAGAGCATCTTCTGAAAGTTTTCAGTTAATTTGCTGAGACAACTTTGTAAAAGGTATGTTGACTTAGGTCTAAACCTCATGGAGGAAACAACAAAGTAGAAAAATAACAAATCTTGCATGCAGCTGTTTAGTTTGTCGATTTAAGCTTTTTAAAGGTGTACTAGAACTTAAAAACACATTTACCTTGTTGTTGTTGAACACAGGCAGCTCGGGGTGTTTAATATAGCCGTCTCCGACCTGCTTATGGTTATTAATGTTAGAATGACCACGGAGAAACGGTTGCTTCTAAAGCCTAATTTTTACTCGTCTGTCAGCTCGACGAACTACTGCTAATGCTAGCATGAGTTACTGCCAGTGTTAGCCTGAGCTACTGCTAATGTCCTAATTGGATGAGAGAAAAACAACAAAGATCACGACTTCCACCAACCTTTCCTTTCTAGGGGTTTATTATGGGGTTATGTTTGGCAATATAAAAGCTCAATCGGGGGAAAAAACTTATTCTAGGACATTTTTTTAAGATTCTTTATTTTCTGTTTGTTTGCAAAACAACCTATACTATATACTATATAACTATAAAACTAATGCTTCAGGATTTTAATGTTAAAAAGTGACAATACTACAGCAAAAGCTCTTCAGATCTGGAGATTAAGGTTGAGTTATAATAATAATAATAATAATGCGTTGAACTTATATAGCGCTTTTCTAGACACCCAAAGACGCTTTCACACACACTGCTAGTGATGGTAAGCTACTTGTAGCCACAGCCGCCCTGGGGAGGTCTGTCAGAGGCGAGGCTGCCATTTGGCGCCGTCGGCCCCTCTGACCACCACTAACACAGGCATGTTCGGTGAAGTGTCTTGCCCAAGGGCACAACAGCAGGATACCCCTGGCGGGAGCTGGAATCGATCCCGTGACCCTCCGATCATGAGGCAACCCGCTCTACCCCCTGAGCTACTGCTGCCCCAAACGTACTTCCCCAAACTTTATAAAACATAAATGATTCAAGGCTAGGAAGTTACTTAACTCATTCACTGCCAATGTTGACTAAAGTCGTCATTTGCATTTTTTTACTGTGTGGGCGTCGGAACAAGCCCCCGCACCTTGAGAACAAACATCTCAGCTCTGAAGCCGATCTTCATCTGCATACGTCACACGTCACGTGACCAGGAAGCAGAAAATCCATGCGATAGGAGATCGTTTTGGGCCGCTGCTGTAAAAAAAAAAGTGAGGCACGAACCGGAAAAGCTTCTGCCGATTACAATTCGACAAGGGGTTATGAAAGAACGGATAACGCTCGAAACCCGTGGATTCTTCCTGATGTAAGAGGTGAGTCTCCGCTTTGTTTTGTAAGTTTTGGCGTTGACATCATCCTAGCGCGCAACTTTCTGTGACTCTTAAAAAAAACAACGCTGAAAAACGCTGGCAGCGAAGGGCTTTACTGATCAGAAAACGGCTGGCAGTGAGTGAGTTAATATTACGTTAAAAATATCTTTAATTTAAGAACAAATCAGAAAACCCCCATTAAAGTTGCATTATGTAGAAATGAAGTAAAAATGACATTCTGTGGTAAAACTTGATTACTGCAACCACTTTAAAGAGCAAGTCACCCCCTGCCAGATTCTTACTCAACTCCCACTTCCTGTTTGAAAAATACAACAAATGCTGTTGCCTAGCAGACCGAGAGGGCAGAGCCACTAACAAATACACACACTCACGACATTGTGACATCATAATGTACCATCTTACATCATAGTGCACCTCTTAGCCAATAGCGATGGCAGATTTAAATTCAAATGCAGTGCAGAGTTTTTGCCTGACGACGCTGACAGTTTTAGGCAGATTATTTAAATTTTAACTAAGATTAACTAAAGTGCCAAATTATTGACTGAACGTGTCTACAGAGCCATTAGACACTCATTTATATAGTTTATCAACAAAAAAAAGTTGATTTGAGGGTGACTTGCTCTTTAAACAACTTTGGAGCTTTTTGCCGTCCACCGACAAATTACAATTATCTGCGCTGCAGCATTAGCTTGCAGGAGACACGGCAACCCCACGCTCACTGATGGTAAACAGTAGTTACGTCCCTCCTCCTTTTGTTTTGAAAGGAGAAAATTGACTATTCCCGCAGCCAGTTGGGTATGAAATATGTTTCTGTGTAACCTTCCTGACAAAATGAAACATTACACTCTTGGGATTTTCTCACTGTAAAATTCTCACTATATTCTTACATTTTGCACCTTTAAGCTTTGAGGAGCAATAGCTCACTTTGTTTTGTAATTAACAGAAATATGTTTTTCCCTTAAAGAGCAAGTCACCCCCTACCAGAGTCTAACTCCACTCCCACTTCATGTTTGAAAAATGCAACAAATGCTGTTGCCTGGCAGACCGAGAGGGCGGAGCTGCTAACAAATACACAAACACACAGGCTCACGACAGCATTGTGACATCATAATGTACCAGTTTACATCATAGCATACCTCTTAGCCAATAGCAGTGGCAGATTTAAATTAAAATACAGTGCAGAGTTTTTACCTGACAACGGCACAACACTGCCAGTTTTAGGCAGAATATTTAAATTTTAGCCAAGATGCACTGAAGTGCCAAATTATTGACGACACGTGTCTGCAGCACGATTAGACACTCGTTTATTTAGTTTATGAGCAAAAAAAAAGTTTATTTGGGGGTGACTTGCTCTTTAAGTAAAAAAAAAACACATTTTACAAACATCTGATAAAAACATCTCAACTCTCAGAAGTTTTATCCACTGGAAATGCTGCAACTTTTCTAGTTGATATTTTTCTTTAGAGCCTTTAGATAAAAATCCCCCAAATATCCACAGATGAAAATGCAGCCAACATCGAATGTTCTCATAAGGCTTACATTCCCTCTTCAGTAGAGGTTTTATTTCCTGCACACTTCATTGGTTTTGGTGGTTGTTGTGACAGCAGAGCATCAAACACAGCTGCCATCTTTTTGTGTTCGACAGTAACCTCCTCGCATCTGCACGACAAAATCTGAGTTGCGTGTCTGAAAAGAGCCTCTCCGCCTAAGCTTTGTAAATACGGCCTAATTAGGATGTGGAGTGCGCTCTAAAGCCTGCTATATCAAAGGTTACAGAATCACTATTTCCCCTGATTGTGTAACCCGTATGAATTAACACTAATGCATTATGCATCATTAGAGAAAGACGCCTTATGTTGTGCTTTTTGTTGTCTGTGGCTGAAGTGATATTAGCTGATGGTTTGTGTTTATAGAAACAGGGTTTGGTGGAATTATGTTATTCAATCACATGTGATTAGTAAATGGATGCTGCACAATTACACCGGAGTTATTTTGTTTTATCGCCAGCTAGTTGGTGGCTTTTAATGGTGTTATTTCCCTAACTAATCATGTCTTCTGTGTACGTAGAAGAGCACAATTAGTTTGTTTTAATAGATTCGTGTTTCGTGCGTTAAGGGTGAGTTCAGGCTGCAGATGGAAGCTCAGCGGATCAGCCTGTCTCAGATCCACGCCGCTCAGCTGGAGCTGCTGCAGGAAGAGGCCGACTCCTGCACGCGCTCTCTGGAGGTGAAACTCCAGGACCTGAGAGACCGAAGCCACCGAGGTAAAGCCGGCCTGGTGGTTTCATGTGGGTTTCTAGATGTGGTAAAAGATGTTTGAGTAACTTTCTTTTTCTCTCAGATGAACAAAACATCTTCAAATACCAGAGCGTGATGGAAGCTGTGTCCGAGGAATGCAGCGAGATTGTTCGGGTAATTTTTAGATAAAATAAGTTTTTGTAAAGAAGTTTTCGTGTTTTATTATTTGCTTGTAACCTTGTTGTTTCCTCTGTTTTTTAGTCTTTTCAGAAGATTCTTGGCAAAGAGTTTTTGGAGAGCGTTGATGCAGCCGGCCCCTCGGTTATTTCTGCAGAAAGAGAAGCAGCTAGTGAATCCGTCTCTGTTGTTCTGGAGGCCAAAGGTACACGACTGCAATAAAGATTAAAGGGGACATATGATGACTTTTTTCTTAAGTTTAAATTGTTCTAACTCTCTCTCACATAAAGCAATTTTAGCTGTTTTATTCTTGACTGTTTCAGTACCTTCCAGAATGATCTGTTTTAAGGCTCTGTAACTTTAAGAAAAGCAAGCTTTTGCAGTCCACGCCCACCCACCTCCTGCTCAGGCTGCTATAAGCTGAGATATCTGCGAGGTGCTCGGAGTAGAGCTGCTGCTCCTCTCCTCCACGCGAGAGGTGTTTCTATTCTGATTTCCTCTTTTGTGACATCACAAACGGGGACTTTTTTAAATGGCGTTCTTTAAAGCCATGCTATGCAACTTTTTCCTATTTTGAAATCATTGTCTTTAGCCAGTATGTGCTAAAATGACCCTTTACAGGGTTAATGAAATGTCACTCAGACCCCACCACCATCTGTGGCTAGAATATCGCACTTGCAACTTCAGAGTGCCGGCCGTAGTTAAATGGAGCTGGCCTGCCCGGAGCTGCAGTCTGCTTCCAGCATGTTTCCTGCTGTTATAGATTGTGAACACAGCTGGTTTGTTTGATTTAGTGATTAATCACTCCTGTAGAAACCAATGAAGGCTGGGGAGACATTTCAGCTGTTAGATTAAGGTGTTAAAAAGACAAACGTACAGCAAGGAGATAGGTTTCACTTTAGCTTTCACTAACGGACAGTAGGAGGTGCCAAAAGTAAGTCAGAACTGCATAGTATCCCTTTAATAATTCTGAACATATTTTTTTCACATTTGGAGTGTTTATAGCTAAAGTAGAGACCCACATGATGCAAAAGATTAATTTTGCATCATATCTTTCCTTTTAAACAAATGTTTTACCTAAAAACAAGGTTTCAGGTAAATACGATGCTTTATTTGACCATTTTATATGTATGTTTAGTGGCTTTACTTTATGTGCAAACATACATTTAGAAAACCTAAGTTATTTGTTGTTGTTTTTCTTCGTAGAGCTTTACGGGAATCTTCAGCAGGTGAGAGAGAGGATAGAGCAGGAGCACCATCGACTTTCTCAGCTCCAGGCTCTGCTGAGGGCTGATGGAAACAGGGTAAAACATCTGTAAACATCTCCATGTCTGTAAATACCAAACGTTATTTTTTTTACAAGATGCAGTAAATGGAAAAAATTTCACACAATTTGTTGCTCAAAGTGATTTGGAGGTGAAATGAGTTGAAGTTCAGGATGAGATTTATGAGTTTTATTTCTTCACCTTTTACTGCTAAGTTTTACTCTTGTGTGGAGGAAAAAAAAACAACATTTAAAGTGTAGATTAGAGAGGAATCACAAATCTTTGTGATTTTTAGATAACTGAGCTGCAGACGGCCTACGATGAGCTGAAGACCAGCAGTGAGAAGCAGATCTCTGACCTGCAGCTGCAGCTGGACACGATGAACACCTCAGTCCCTGGTAAATCTGTCAATGAAAACCCGAGAAGCTCTGTGCTGTCTGAAGATCGTGTTTGTCTCTCTTGTTCCTCGTCTGCAGCAGAAGCATTAAATCTTCTCAGGCATTTCTGTTTCACTGTTATGTTTGTGCTGAAGACCTTGAGCTGCTGTGGCGGTAATTATTTCTCTGATTAGAGAAGAAAACTCCGTTATAGTCTTCATTGTTTCCAGACTGTCTGTTTAGCTTTTCTGGGAATAGTTTCGACATATAGTGCAGGTTTTCTCCAGTGTTTTTATTTTTGTTTTTGCTTCATTAGATGTGCAGGAGCAGGCTGGGGTATCTGCCTCCCCCTCAGTGGACCTGCTGACGCTGAGGGCCGAGGCTCAGGAGAAGCAGCGCCAACTGGAGGAGAGTCACCAACAGGACATGGAGCGTCTCAGAGCTCACTACCAGCACCAGGCTGCAGAAACCGAGGAGAGATACTCTACAGAGCTCTTCATACTGCAGCAGCGACTGCAAGAGGTCGCAGGACAAAAGACCTACTACAGGTGATGCTTCATAAAAGCATGCACATTCACAGCTTTCTAGTCATAGTTAGACCCAAGTTGGTTAACATTTCTAGCTTCAAAGCTAATCTAGTAACTTTTATCCTCTTATTAGAAGAATCAAATTGATAAAAATTGTAATTTTTGATTCAGTAAAATTAGATCTAAAATGTCCAGAGAGCCACTTTTAGACCCCCTGCAGCCCTTTCTCTTGCATCAACCTGTTCCATCAGCCTTTAACGTCACATCCAGTGAGATGAGACAACAGTGTGAGCAGTGACTGAGATGAATGATTAATTGGGCCAAAGATGACTTCAAACAGATGCTAGTGTGTACTTCCTGTGCTCTGTGGCACAAGCCAAGTACACGTCCTAGTTCAGGTGACAGTTGAGTCTAACTGATGAAGTATTCGGCGGTGAAGGCCATGCTTTTTGTTAGCGCACAAACCTGTAAAAGTATCTTCCAAACTTCTTCAGAAAGCTTCCTTGTTGACGATAGGTCTGAAAATACTGCAAGAAAAACCATAAACAATGCATAAAAATTTTAACAGGCAATAAAAATGAGCCCTTATACGGTCTATTCTGCTGAAATCTTAGGACAACGTATGCAGTTCTGCAGAGGAGGGAGGAATATTGAGGGAAAACGTGTTTTGATGAAACGTGTAGAACAGGGATTGGCAATCCGCGGCTCTGGAGCCGCATGCGGCTCTTTGATCCAACTGATGCGGCTCGCTATGCTTGTAAAAAAAAAAAGAATGAATATTTAATTAAAATGTGTTTTATTTTACTGCATTAAGTTAATAAGTGGCAAGTTTCTCTGAGAGACGGGGTTTAGAACACACTCACTTCAGTGAGAGGAATCTTCTCGCATGCGCTCTGGTTCTGCGACGCGCTCCAAGCCCCTCTCCACATCTTCAGCTCGCCGTCCACCTCGCGTACGCGCCGACGGTGAGCTGCACTGAGCACGGCGTCCAGTGTAATGCTCAGATGTTCCGACGGGAATCGTTTCTTGATTGTTTCAGCTACCTCTGCGATGTGCGTAATGGTTAAAATGTCGGCGCGTCTGCACGCTTCGACGTTCAGAATGACCAACAGCCTCGAGGTTTCTCCGTGAAAATAAACGGTCAAATACGGGACATGTCCGTTCAGTACGAACCCTGCCATTTAACTACTTTGCCTTCTTGTGATGATTGTTGCAAAGAGAAAAAAATCAAATTTGATTAACACCAGAGCCGTGCCCTTTTCTCCGTCACTGTGAATGAGGAAGAAAACAAATTGATCGGATCCTTTTCTTACCTTTTCAACATGTAAAGTTTTGTTCTGCACAAAATTTAATTACAAACAATCCAACGAGACAGAGCCTGGATTTGTATTCTGAACAGTTTAAACGTGTTTTAGAAGGAGACGCGAGTGATGTGTAAAACATTGGCACCTGCTTGGCCAGGTGTTGCCCCGCCCACAACGCCATGGCTCCCACTTTTCTTTACTGTGGGAAAGGGGGAATAATGGCCGCCTACAGGTTGTGCAGAACAGCGCAGCCAGGTTTCTGACTGGGACCAGGAAACGGGACCACATCAGTCCGGTTCTGGCCTCCCTGCACTGGCTTCTGGTCTGTTATCGTTCACACTTTAAAGAGCAAGTCACCCCCAAATAAACTTTTTTTTGCTGATAAACTAAATAAACGAGTGTCTAATCGTGCTGCAGACACGTGTCGTCAATAATTTGGCACTTCAGTGCATCTTAGTTCAAATTTAAATATTCTGCCTAAAACTGGCAGTGTTGTGCCGTTGTCAGGTAAAAACTCTGCACTGTATTTTAATTTAAATCTGCCACCGCTATTGGCTAAGAGGTATGCTATGATGTAAACTGGTACATTATGATGTCACAGTGCTGTCGTGAGCCTGTGAGTGTGTGTGTATTTGTTAGCGGCTCCGCCTTCTCGGTCTGCCAGGCAACAGCATTTGTTGCATTTTTCAAACATGAAGTGGGAGTGGAGTTAGACTCTGGTAGGGGTTGACTTGCTCTTTAAACTCCTGGTCTTTGTTTTCAATTTCTTCCAGGGTGGTGCTCCCCCCTATGTAGCCACGCTCCCAAACAGACACTCGCCATCACGCGCTCTGCGCTCCTCTGACCAAGGCCTGCTCGCTGTCCCTCGTTCTAGGTGTCGTACTCGCGAGGACCGGGCTTTCTCAGTCCTAGCTCTGTGGCACCTTCCTACCGGGTGGGTGGGCTATATTATATATCTACCAGATACAAAATCCCACCCAAGGATTACACCAGGTAAATTGAGAGCGTCTGCCAGAGATCAAAGGAATCAGCCATTAACCACCGCACTGGGGTTTATTGAAAATTCTAATTAAAACATCATTTAAAAAACCAGGTTAGGACAGTCACTTGTCAGAACTGGGCCGGAGAGTCTGCAGCCTTATCTGGACGCTGCGGGGCAGATTCCTCCTCCTTGGGGACGCTTGTCTGCCACGCTGCCGGTTTCCTCTTCCCTCGATAGCTCGCCTCCTCCTTCAAGACGCGTGTCTGCCGCACCGCCGTTTCCCTCGATCGGCCGCTTCCTCCTGCAGATCGGTCACTGGCTCGGCCGCGTCACCGCGCCACGCTGTCGTCCTCCTCTGTCGCGGGTCCACCTGTCAGTGAATTTAACGGCAGTCACTGCCCGATCACACACCGCGGGTCACACCTTGTCACAGGGCCGCTACTCACACGCCAGGGCAGAGGAATACCCTGCCCACATCTCCATGAAGCCTCGTCACAGACGATCGGTGTCTTTTCACCCAGCGATCCTCTGCTTGCTGCCGCCGTCTCCACCAAAAAACAGACGCTCCTAATCTGCCACCAGTGTAGATAATTGCTCCGGTCCGGATGTCATCTGTCCAAGCTCATCAAAATAAAATCACACACCCTCCCAGTTTCCTGGGTTCACCAAAATAAAAGCATTCCATGCACTAAACTAAGTAAAAAAGAATACACACTAAAAACACACCACACTAGAAGGAAAACCACAATAAAACAGACTTTGCCCGTATGACATCCGTCACTCTGGAACCAGTTGCCACCCTCAGTCAGGCTGTCCCCATCTCTGCCAGCCTTTAAGAGTCACCTAAAAACCCACCTCCTCCGCTTGGCATTCCCTGAACGTGTTTGAGTTCAGCCCACTTTTATGTTGATTTTATTTCCCTGCTTTCATTGGTCCCTTGTTTTACCCATTTGTCTTCTACTTTAATGTTTTACCTTTTTTGCACTATTTGAATTGCATTTATTATCGATTTATTCATCGTGTTTCACATTTCTCATGTACCGTGTTCAGCGCCTTGGGAAGGCGCTTTATAATGTTTTGGACATATTTTGATTCTAAATTAAACTTAACTGGATTATCTAAAATTATGTAACAAATAATAATAAATAACTTCACATTCATAATGAAAAATCACAGTAGTTCTAGTTGCTCCTTAGTGCTTCTGAAGACATTTAAAACTTGCGATATTTTCTACAAAACTCATAGCTTTAACTTGTTTTAACCCTGGTTTTGTGTTTTGTCCCCCAGCTTGTCCAGTGGTCCTGAGTCTTTGTCTGAGGCGATGGAGGAGGAGCTAAAGGTCTGCCTTCTATGTTTTAACCTTCCACACTCAACATCGTATGAGATGCTGTGACAGTGAGGGCGGATGGGAGGGAGGGGGTTTCAGCCTTTAGGCCAAAACGTGTCCTAAATCTCCAGAGGGACCTATATCTAACGGTCAGAAGGATCAGACATTACATAAGAGTTTTGTGACCAGGCGGACGGATTCTAGGCCTGGTGGTTGGATGAAAGGAGGATTCTGTCTTGCTTGAATGAACTCTGCTCTATTTAAGCCATCTCTCTAACTTCTATACTCTCGTAGTTTGTCAGATAGTCGCCCGCTCCATCCTGACAGAATTCATCTCCAAGCTCTCTGATCTGCACCCAGAGAGAGAGAGAGACCATGGAGGGGTTAGGGAGAAATAGCAAGACATGATGTCGACTTGTGTTTTTTTTTCTTAACGATACGAGAACAATGACAGTGAGGCGGATATAATGAGACGCTTCATTATTTTTGAGAGGTAAGAGGAGCAAAGTGTTGGTGAGAGGGCTTTTAGGACATCTCTTCATTAAGCAGCCTTTCATTGTTAGCACACATTAATTTTGTGCACATTTATTTTTATAATTTGCACTTTTTTTGCTCCCGATCTCCTCAGGACTTGTCAGAAGGAGGCGTGGAGTCGCCCTTGCCTCCTAGCCCCTCTGGCCTGACAGCACAGCTGCAGGCGCTGAAGAAAGCCCTCTTCCACAAGTACGCCCAAGAAGTAGGCGCGCTCAGAGAGCAGCACAGTAGTGAGCTGAGGAGACTGAGGGAGGAAAGGGAGCAGGAGAGAAGACTGGAGCATCAGAAAGACGGAGGAAAGAGAAAGCTGGATCACAACAGTGATTTCGGAGCTGAAAACTCCTCCGGGAGCTTCGCCGTCTCCAGATCACTCCACATGGAGGAGGACCATCAGGAGAGGGTGGAGGAGGAAGTTGCAAAGGTAGCAGAGTTTGAAATCCTTGATTCTGTTGATTTACACTAAACTGGTGGTCAAGCCAGATGGATCTTAATGGGGTAGATTATTCATGTTTGGTTTAAAAACCGGTTTTGACGGGGAACGGCAAAGTCACAAAACCATTTATTGTGTTTGATCTCAAAATAGAAATATTTCTGCTCCTGCTTCCTGACAGGCCATCGTTCAGATGTCTGTGGAGTTCGCGCAGCAGACCGAGCTGGCCCGTATCGACAAACGCGCCCGGCAGACCAGCACCTCCATGCAGACCCATCTGAACGAAGACCAAACGGGGTACGGGGAGCTGGAGGAGCAGACACCAAGGACTTCTCCCACGGCAGGAGCCGGGCCGGAGGAAGAGGAGCGGCGAAGATTGGAAAGAGAACTAGAGCAGAAGAACGCTGAGATCAGGAAGTTAAAGGAGAAGCTGCAGAAAAGTGAACCTGAGCAGGTCGGTGTTTCACTGAGGTGTTGCTTCATACTTCACCGTCAGTCCACAGATTTCTTTATTCCAGTTGACGGACTCTATTCTGCTGTGTCATTATTTTTCACGTGGAGTGTCGCAGTGCGGGTTCTGGATCAATTCAAACGGATTCTGTGTCATATGATCTGAAGACTTCGGCTAAGAGCTTTAGCTTAGCGTTATATTTAATACACTTACATCTGATTTAAGGTTTCAATAATTAGTTTGTAGAAAAGTTATAATCAGACAGTTTTTTCAGCCGCCATACAAAATATTATATAAGTTGATTTGTAAAGGAATTTCAATTAATAATTGTATTGTAAAGTTGGATAAAAGTTCAAATTTGATGACATTTTCACCATGTTCACCAACATTTTCCTGTAAAATGACACTAAAACAAATGAGATAATGCACCATCCGCCCTGCTCTGACTCTTTACAAACATTTAAGCTTTATTTCTATCATACTTGTCACAAAATCTCAGCAAAACCGAAGTAAATGGAAGTGAACACAAACTGAAACCTTTTTCTTTATGCTGTGAATTATTTGGCTTTTAGGCATGTTTTATATTCAAATCAGAGATTTCTGAGGCTTTGACAGTCGCTGTGTTGAGGGTCTGATGCTGCACGCAGCTGCATTGATTCTGCACATCCAGCAGGTGGAGCTGCTGCCTCTGCTGCTCTCTTCCCTCAGGTGCACCTGTTGCCATAGCAGCACAAAGATAGCAGTGTTTCTCTCTGCAGTGAAGTGTGTGTGTGCTTGTTAAGAGGCAGCGTTTGTATGAGCGCGTACTGTTCCTTATTTGAATTCACTTTCCAAATAGTCACACATTATGCTGCGCCGTTGAGTTTTCAGCAGCCCGCAACTTTGCAATGACGGGGCTGCTGTCTGTGTTCTCCCTGCTGCCTGTCCAGGCTTTAAGGAGGGACGACGAAGGCGGACAGTTAGGGGAGGGGGACGATGCACAACTTGAAACACTAACTGGAGGACCCAGACTAACCCTTCAGGATGGTGATCTTTCTGAGAAAGATACTGAAAGGTACCAGGATGTACATTTTTACAGAACTCTCAAACGCACGCCTAGCCCTACGTACGTTTTTAGGGTGTACGTTTTGCTTGTTTGCAGGAGTTTGTTGCGTAGAGCAAACAAAAAGCTCAGCCAGGTGCTGGTCGACGTCCTGAAGACAACCGCAGCTGCAGAAAAAACTTTGGGCCTCCACATGCAAAGTTTGCACGACTCTTCTGCTGGATTGCAGCTTCCACCCTTCGCCGTGCAGACAGACAACTCAGAGCAGCAGAAACGTTATTCTGCAGGTAAGTAACAAAGATCTACAAATAATCTGGGTTATAGTCACAGAAACGAGTTAAACTTCTAAAAACATCTAGGAGTTTAACATTTGCCTTTTTTTATTAAGTGAAAACTATTTTACAATGAAGTATATAAAATAATAGAAGATGAAATAAATAATCCAGATTATCTGAGTTTAAATTTTTTTTGATTGTCTGACATTAACTCATTCACTGCCTGCCGTTTCCTGATCACTAACGGCCTTCGCTGCCAGCGTTTCTCACAGTTTTTACTGTTTTTTTAAGAGTCACGGAACGTTGCGCGCTAGCATGATGTCAATGCCAAAACAACCAAAACAAAGAGGAGACCCACCTCTTACATCAGGAAGAGTCCGCGTGTTTCTAGCGTTATCCGTTCTTTCATAATCCGTGGTCGAATTGTGATCGGCAGACGCTTTTCCGGTTCGCGCCTCACATTTTTTACAGGAACGGCCCAAAACGATCTCCTAACACATGGATGCGTTGCTTCCTGATCATGTGATCTGTGACGTATGCGGATGAAGATCGGCTTCAGGGCTGAGATGTTTGTTCTCTCAGCGCGGGGGCTCGTTCCGATGCTCAAACACTAAAAAAAATGCAAATGACGACTTTAGTCGTCATTGGCAGTGAATGAGTTAAATACCAACAATTTTTATCTGTATATGAATTAACCTGGACAGATAATCCCACAAATTTTATTTCAGAAAAAAGCACCAAAAAGATCCTCATGCTTCCCTGCTGATGTTTTAGTACCTCTATTCATTCTCCAAATAATCCAAATTTATGGCTCGTTTATTAATACTTGATATTTTAAGATGATGCTAATATGTCATTAACACGTTTCCAAACTTTGCATTTTCTCATTTCCGCTCATTCGTGGATAAAAAAGCACCTCATGGCTAGTTTTATCACATACATAAATGCAAATGGTGCCATGTATTTGTGCAGTGGAGGTTTTATCTAATCCGCATGTAAATACATTTGAGATAGTTTGGTTGTCGGGTTCCTGTTACACAAAAAGAGCATGAAATGCAGAAGAGCTGCTGATTCTAACCAGTGAGGCAATATCGGTATTTTAGTGGGTTATTAATGCATTTATTAATAATCATGGAAGTTTCTCTGGATTAGTTTTATGTGCAATTGAGCCACTGAGTGAAAAAAATGGTAAATAACACCAAAAAAGGCTTTAAAAATTATAATGTATAAAAATATTTCAGTAATATGAAATTAAATATAAGTTGAAATGAGTTTTTCTGCCATGTGTTGCTGCAGAAAGCTACCAGAGCAGCGAGACGAGTGCCGACAGCGCAAGCATCCGGGCTGGAGAGCTGGAGGCCGACGAGGGTCTGGAGATGTCCCAACATCTGATGGACAGCCGTCTCCTCAGTGCGGAGCTGCAACTCCAGAACGAGGAATATTTTATGGGCGTCAGCAACCGGCTTCAGACAGCTCTGGAGAAGATGTTGATGGCCATCACAGACTCAACCAACCAGGTAAAAGAAGATTAATTGTTTGCATTTACTCAGAGAATCAAGAGCAACGCCTTCCTGCGGTGTCCGTAAGGGCGCACAGGGTTGGTTAGCGTTCCTCCCGAGATATGTATATAAACACGTGTTTCTATGGTTCCTCCTACGTCCGTCACAGCGGTGGGTGGGGTTTGAGCGGGTGAGTTTGACCGACTTCCGGGGAGGTTTGTTTAAGATGAACGGCTCTCTACAGGGACTCGGCTCTCATCGTTCACTTTGAAAACCCGTTCAAAAGATTCCATTCGTTCGTGAACGTCACATCACTACAGCAAACAGATCAGCAGTTTAGCTGGAAGACAGCAAAAGGAGACACGCGGCCGGAGTCGTGACGCCAAAGTGAGAGTTTTAAAAACAAAGCTTCCTCTTTGTGGACGATGATCTGGGTCATGAACTGACACTAAAACTAAGTGTTTTCAGCTTTGTTTTGGTTAGTGGTCTGCTCAGTGATGTATGCTTCGGGAGGTGCGCTCATGATGCAGCGTGTCCTGCAGGAGAGACGTTGTGCAGTATGGCTCACAGAAATCTTGCGCCGTACAGTGTGACACCGTTATTGAGTTCTCACAGTGTGACATGAACAATCCTGTGCGACGGCCAAAAATCGCACAGTGTGATCCGGGCTTAAAACATTTTGAGTGGTCAGAAAGACTAGAATTACATGTAATATTTAAGAAATGTATTTAATAATTGATATAATTAAATTTAATATAGTAGACCAGAAATTGGAGTTTTTCCATTTATGTTTGGTGTTTTATGCCAGTTATTGTTCACAAAACTTTTTTTTTTTTTAAGTAAAAAGGGAAATTTTTTAAATCCAAAAATAAGTGACTTGACTCATTGACTTCCTATCTCTGGCTCGTTCAAAGGCAGTTCGAAATCTGGGTGTTGTGATTGATGAACACCTGACCTTTAAAGATCATGTTGCTTCTGTTGCTCGTTCATGCCGCTTTGCGCTGTATAACATACGAAAGATCAGACCATACCTAACACAACATGCCACCCAGCTCCTGGTGCAATCTACTGTCATCTCCCGCCTCGATTACTGCAATGCCCTTCTAACTGGTCTTCCAGCCTGTACTGTGCCTCTTCAAATGGTCCAGAACACAGCGGCGCGTCTGGTCTTCAATCAGCCAAAAAGAGCACACGTCACCCCTCTGTTCATTGAGCTCCACTGGCTACCGCTAGCAGCACGCATCAAATTGAAATTGCTAACACTAGCATACAAAGTCCGAGTCATCTACCTGAATCCTCTTGCAAAGGCTTACGTCTCGGCCCGGCCGCTCCGGTCATCACAGGATTGTCGGCTAGCAGTGCCTACACCACGCTCAGGACAATCCAGACTCTTCTCATGCATCGTTCCACAAATGTGGAATGATCTACCAAGCACTACCAGAACAGGGGCTTCCTTTTCGACTTTCAAGAAACTCCTGAAGACCCTGCTCTTCAGAGAGCATCTTCTAAACTAGCACCCTCCCTGCACCCGTCACCCCTCTACTGTCCACTCCTTCTTCCCTCCTCTCCATGATTAATCACGCTGCCTCACTGCCACCTACGACTGACTGGAAATTGTTTGTTGTTGTTGTTGTTATTGTTGTTGTTAGCCTCAAGGGCAACATGCCAATTATCACTTGTAAGTCGCTTTGGACAAAAGTGTCTGCTAAATACATAAACATAAACATAAGTGACCGCTTGAGTGAGGGGTTCCACAGGGCTCTGTGCTTAGCCCACTTTTATTTACAATTTAAATTTTGCCTCTTGGAATGCTTTTAGGGAAGCATGGAATGAAATTTCATTTATATGCCAAGAACTGCCATTTTACTTCCTTTTGCATCAATGGTTTATAAGCTCAAGTCTGCCATTGATGGACTGCTTATGATGTTAGTATGTGGATGGCCCTGAACCTTTTAAATTTTAATTATAATACAAACGGAGGCCATATCAATACCCCTAGGCATCATGATATTGACCCCCTGGCATGGTCCTCATTTGAAAGGTCCCTTATCGTGGTGCGAACACCCAAATAAAAACAGTTCCTGCTTCTTCCAACTTCGTTGTCTGGCTAGGATCAAGCCACTGTTGTCTAAAGTTCATTTGGAAACGGCGACTCATGCTGTCTTGTCCTGGTTGGACTACTCCAACGCCTTGTATGCTGGGTTAAATCAGATGGTAAAAGCCAGGCTGCAATTATATACATAAACCCGGTCATAAGGATAAAGCATTGGTCACCTGTGCATTACCAGTTTTAATTTAAGAATCTTGTTTTATCTTTTGTTGGTACGACACCATCTGACCTTTCATCAGTGGTGCAGAGATATGTCCTTGAAAGGTTCCTTCCATTTATGGAACAAAGTCTGTCCCAGGTTATAGGCGTTGGTCTTTGCGGGTGCATGTGTTTTCAGTTCTTGGACCTAGATTTTGGAATCAACTTTTATTGGAGGTTAGACAAGCTCCTTCCCTGCAAAGTTATAAACCATACTTAAAACTGCATTTTTATTCATTATTCTGTCCCACTATGTACTGCGTAGCTCTGCTCTGTAACAGCGAATGTGATCTGTCATGGAGCGGAGCTTACTCTGTCTCTCTGCAACACGCTACTGAACCCATCATCATCAGTAAGTGAGAAAAGGGATCTCGTGTTTTTGTGCTTTATTTTTTTATGTTTGTGAGCACATCTCCTCTTACCACTTCCTGACAATCAGGACAATCCTCCTGCTTGTTTGTGCTTTACCAGTAAAAAGAAAACACATCAGTGGCACATTTATGTTTTGTCTGAACATTTAAATGAACTCCCGACACGACTGACCTCCCCCCTGCGCTTGTCTGTGGCGACATAATGGGCGATGAGATGGCAGAATGCGGTCTGCTACAACAAAGTTGGCTTGTTGAGAATTCACACACAAAAGAGCTTCTTCATTCCCAGTGGTTGCCTGTAGATACGAGCAGAGCTTTTGTTTGGCCCAGCGACCTATCCTGGCCCAGGAGCACATAACAGATCCACCCCCCTACCCCCCCCCATGGTGTGTCCATGTAGTCCTCCCACTGTGACCTGTGTCCAGTGTTGCCAGATGTACGATAATTATCGTATTTGTACCATAATTTTGGGCTCTGTACGATGTACGATCAATAGTGTCAAAAATCCTCAAATGTACGATAATTTCACATTGCATCTAGTAACACCGTTTTTTGCTGTGGCTTTCCCAAGTCAATTACATAATTTTAAACTGTTCTGAAGTCAGATTTCACCTCAGTGCTTACAAGTTTATGCTACTGTGTCTATTTAAAAAACTGACTCTGGATCTGTACAATAAATAGCCCAATCACATCGATAGGGCATACTCTCGCGAGAAACTGTAAGGTTATGTAAAACAACTTCTTTGTTATATTATATTGGCGTGAGAAGTCGTTTATAGAACGTTATTATCAAATTTATAATGTACGATAATTTGTACTGAAAAACGATAATTTAGGACTCTCTGTACGATATTGTGGGATTTTGGATCTGGCAACACTGCCTGTGTCAGTCCCAGTTTAAGTAGGCCATTGACTGTGTTACTGTAACTGGCAGCTTAACTCATCTCCCCTCTGGCTGGAGTTCATATGTTATTCACGCTGAGCTGGACAGCGTCTTGGTGATCTAAAAATAGCTTTATCAAAATCCAAGCGTTTGTGTTGTTTTCAGCCTCTTTAATATTGAAAATGTTGATTTATGATCCATTTGTATCGTGTTGTAAATTTTCATTGTTGTTTTTACTGGATTTTCCTTTTTAAACAACCAAATAATTGATAAATAAAGGAGTGAAATGGTGCATTGGCGTAACGAGTTTAAGCTGTGTCCATGATAATACAGTCATCACAGGGCTAATACAAGTAACAGGTCTCTTCCAAGCGTACATTATTGCTAGCACTATAAATGTGTAATCAACAAAGCCTCTAATGGTTTCTCCAGTGATTTTTCTGCTGCTATCGATCTGCTGTACATTAGTCTTGTCGGCGTTAGCTGTTGAATCACGGCGTCTTGAGCGGAGACTGATGTAACAAGCCCAATCAGGAATGTTGAGCTTCAGCTGTAAATTATCTGCCTGGGGTAGGCGTTACTTGGTCCTTTCACAACTCTCTGCCTCTGAATGCCGGTGAGACGTAGAAGCGGCTCCGGTGCAGCGGGTCTGACGGTTGACATGCTAAACAAAGACTGAACTCCAGAAACCGTGTTAATTAGGCTTTTTTTTTTTTTTGCTGATACAAAAGGAGAAAATCAGGTTTGACAACTTGTGTGTAGAACGGGCGTGTGATCTTGGTTTTTTGTGTGTACGGGGTGTGTGTCTGTCATTTGCAACTCTACCTGGTCTGTTGACCTTAAGGATTGAAGCCACACCTGCTCCCCTCCCGTTTTCTTTCTGAGCGGTATCCTGATTTGTGTGTTTTAATGTAGGAAGTAGAAAAAGTAGCTCGTTTTTGGAATCTCAAACCTACCTGGAGAGTCTTGGAATCGGATAGAGAGAGGCATAGCGAGTGTACAGCATGCGACATGAGAGCGGAAGTCTTTGAAGAGAGGGATTGACGGCAATCCTAGACGGAAGAAAAACATTTCTTTCAATCCGAGAGCTGTCATTTCACCATCAGCCGGTTTGAAGCTCGAACCAGACAATTAGAAGGGGCCCCAGAGAGGCTCAGCTGCAGGTTGGGGTTGCTACAACGGCGTAGTATTGTTAATGAATCTCCAGAGAGGGAGGGAGAGGGAGGGGAGTGCAGGATCACTGTGGGGGCGTGAGCTTTTCTAAGCGGCATAACATGGTTTCACTCTGAGGAAAGAAGGTCAGGACACGGAGCGTTTCCACTCAGGACTCAGAAGAGTCGAGATGTCTGTGTTTACTCATCGTCCTCAGTCGTCTTCAGACATGCCTTTTAGGTTTCAGAACCTGGATTTGACTCCAACCTGCTGCCGAGGATGACACTTTACAGTAGGACCGTAAAAACTCACCTTTACCGGATGATTTCCTTTCCTGATTCCTCACCTGGAACTCATTCTACCTCAGCCGGACAGCATGTGACCAGGATGTTTGTCGCCTCCTTCAATCGTTGTTTGCTCTTTCTTTGCGTGTGGGAAAAACACACAGAGACTGTTGCCTGGAGCCATCCACAACTTATATCCCAGCTTCATTTCCCGCTGGATTTTAATCCCATTTGAAGTTTGCACAGACCATCCTGAAGGATCGTGGAAAACGGAAACCTCTTTTCATGACTGGAGGTGTGACTGCACGTTTTGCCTGTATCCGTTTACCATGGATTCCTATCGCTCTTATTGGAACTCGAGCATGCAGAGCAGCACGTGGCTGGAGGGGGAGGATCAGGATGTGTACGAGGTGGAATCCCGCGTACCCCTTCCTCGACCCTTCCCACTATGCAGCACCTTGGATGCTAAAAACGCAGTGGTGGTCCAGACTCAGATCTCGCACGTCAACCACAGGACCAATGGGCACCTTCTTAAAGTCATATCCAAAATCTCCCTGCCCACTCCTCCCTATACAGTAAGTTATGTGCTTAAATTATACACAGGGGGGTGGGTGATGTATTTTTAACCAGCTAAAGTTGAGCTCAGTGCTGATTAATAAATGTTTTCTGTAGTTTCGAACCTATATGTGCAGATGTGATGGGAGCTAAAGGGCTTTCCACACTGACACACAGCAGCTTTCCGAATCATCCGGTGAAAGATCATATGACTATTCCTCTGTGGCAGGTTCACATTACCACTTCCTTGTTCCCATAACAGTACGGACCTTTGCTCGGAGAGATAGGAAAATCTATGGAAAGTGGAGTTTTATTGTGTTATTTCCAGGCATGATCTTGTTCTGCAGATTTGTATTTGATTATTACGAAACACTCTGAGTCAATATCAGGTGAACCCAACCCTTCTTTAAATACAGCACAGTAGTACTGTGCAAAAGTCTTCAGCCAGATTTTATTTCCTTATATTTTCATTCCAAGCAGACCGATTTTCTTACACTTTTTTAAACTAGTCTTGAATAACAATTCTAAGAAGTTTCTGATGGTCTTACAAAGATTTTTCTGCTTTTTAAATTCCTTTAGAATCCTGTTCCCTGTGTTTGTTTGTTATTTTATGCATCGTTGAGTTTCTCATACAAGTCTGAAACCAACCTTCTTTAAGGATTAAAGTGCAGCTGTTTGATTTGTCTGTTCTAAAATTTAAACTACACTCTTCTTAAAGCTGGGGTACTTAGAAGGGACGTATCGACATCAATATCAGTATTGGACGATGTTTATTTGTGTGTTAATTTATGTGTGTGTGTGTGTGTGTGTGTGTGTGTGTGTGTGTGTGTGTGTGTGTGTGTGTGTGTGTGTGTGTGTATATCATCCTATTATCTCCTAAAAACAAAATTTTCAGACAATGGTCATGTTTAAAAAGTCCACTTGAACAGAGGACAGTAAAGTTTGGTCCCCGATTGCTAAAGGTTTGTTTTTACGGCACATAAAAATAGCAATCACAGGTGTTTAAACTATTCATTTAACTTGGGTGTTAAGCCACCAAATTATTATAAATACGAGCCCTCCTGGGTATTTTAGTTTTTTGTGTGACGCCTCATCTTCTTCGTCTCTTTTAGCTCGAACATGCCCGGATGACCCAGACGGAGCTGATGAGGGAGTCCTTCCGCCACAACCAGGAGATCAGTGAGCTGCTGCAGAAGCAGGAGGAGCTGCAGGATAGGCTGTCTGAGGAGGCCCAGGCCCGGGAGCAGCTGGCTCTGGAGCTCCATCGTGCTGAAGGTTAGCTTTGGCTTCTCTGTGGTTACTTTTTTCCATTATAGGATCGGGAAGAAAGAAAACCGTTCTGTCATGGTTTGATTTAAACATTTTCTATTTGAGGCATCCGGTGTTTTTGATCTTTGCTAAAACAACCTTTTCATAAAAGCTACTCTTTTATGAATGAATTGCATTAGTCACTTATCTCTGTGGACTTGGAGTGTGTGCCTTTTATGTCAGTGTGACTAATGAGAGCAGATGAAGCTTAAATTTGTTTATTGCATTAAAAATATTTGCAGTTGAAAGAGCTGACTGGAGGACAGTTATGTTTCTGTTTCATTCTTGGCAGAGGCAGCTGTCCTATGGGGGTCAGCTGTGGCAACACACACCAAACCCAGTTCACACACACTTCCTTCTTTAGTCTTCACACACTTTGGAAGTTGCACAGAATTCTTTTTTGTTTGCGTTGTGGAAACCCTGAACATGGGTGAGTTTATGGACACTTCTAATCGTATATCTGACTTTTACAAGACCGAGATCCTGTTACAATGTTTGGGTTTGGTGATCTACGAGAGGAGCTGCAAATATTTGCTGCCATCAAATAGTGCTTCACACTTTTGCAGATTATTAAAGATTAAGATAGAGACCGACTATAGTGAAATTTACTTTCATGTCTCGAGAACTCAGTTATAAAAAAAAACTCAAAGGTTATCAAAAAGTGGTCCGAGAGGACTGGATTATGTGGAAATATCGTTATTTCCTCTATGCCATAAGTCAACACAAGGTCTAATATACACCTGTAATGACAGGAGTGGGTGGAGCTATGTATTCTTTGGGTAAAACCAATTGAGTCTAAGATATTACTAAAGGCTACACTGAGGCTATCATTTTCAGTGTCCACATGGTAGTACTGGTAGTTCTTAAATAGGATGGGAGGCAGATCTTTTAGTTATCAGGCTCCTCTCCTGTGGAAACAGCTCCCAGCTTTAGTCCGTGAGGCAGACACCTTGTCTACTTTTAAGAATAGGCTTAAAACATTTTTATTTGATAGGGCCTGTGGTTAAAATCTGATTTAGCCCAGACCTGGACAAGCGAGGGAGTAGAGGGAGGTGGAGTGTACAGTCGGTAAAGACGGCTCTCCCTTGCCCTGCCTCCATCATGCCTCCATCTAAAACAGCTAGGTTATCCAGAGTTATCTCTGTAGTTATGCTGCTATAGGCTTAGACTGCTGGAGGACATACTGACCACTTTCCACACTCTACTACTTTCTTCTACAATCTGCTCTTTAACAGTATTATTTCCTGCAATTTCAACTTTATTTTCTCTCTAAGTGTTTTTCTCCCCAGAAGAAGCTACAATGATGTTCTGCTGAGCTGTGGTGGCCTCATGGAGGGGGCCATCGTCTAACACACTGCTGCTAACCACTTAAACATTCTCCTTCTCCTGATAATAACTTTTTGCTTTCCTTGACGTTGGATGTGCTACTACTAGTTTATCCATTTAATTATAGATTCACTAGGATAAATGCAATAAAGTTTATCTCTCACCAACTAGAATATTTACTAAGAAATCACAATGTAACCATAGACACATTGCTTGGTGTGTGTGTGTGTGTGTGTGTGTGTGTGTGTGTGTGTGTGTGTGTGTGTGTGTGTGTGTGTGTGTGTGTGTGTGTGTGTGTGTGTGTGTGTGTGTGTGTGTGTGTGTGTGTGTGTGTGCGTACGTGCGTGCGTGCGCTCTGTCTTCTCGATCCCCAGTGAGTGGTGGAGGATGGCTGCTTATACTGAGCCAGGATCCTCTGGAGGTTTCTTCCTGTTAAAAGGGAGTTTTCCTCTCCACAGTTGCTAAATGCTTGCTTAGTATGAGGATTGCTGTAAAGTCACTGACATCAGTCAGGGACTCGATGCAATTTGTTGGGTTCCTTATATAGGAAACTTTTTACTGATTGGCTTAATGAACTGACCTGTATTGGAATATTTATCATGCGAAGTGCCTTGAGATGACTTGTCGTGATTTGGCGCTATATGAATAAAATTGAATTGAATTGAATTAAAACCCAAGTTCACTTTTTTTATGCATCTGCAGTGGTCTCAAGGATAAATGAATGCCTTGTGAGTCAATCTATGTGGGGGGAAAAGCTCTGGTGATCCTGTTTCAGGAAGTAGAAGTTAGCCAGAGGAGTATGGAGCTTCTCTGATTGGCTAACAGCAATGCGACTCTACCACTCACTCAGTTTTCTTTGTAATGTTGAGGATTTATCTCCATAACAAGCACAAGCCTGAAGGAGTTCTGCCGTGTTGTGGAGTTGCTAATGCTAATGGTTAGCATTTACTAGCTGAGACATGCTCTGCTCTCCCCTGGATGCTAAATCAACGTCAGCCTTCCACATCGTGAGCCCAGATGGATGAGTCCATGAATGCTAAATTACAGTGTGACGTAAATCTATATATACTATTTTCACATTCAGGCGACCGATCGTATTTAAAAAATAACAAGTTAAAAACGATTTCTCATTGAAAACGCTTTTTAAAAACGCCATTTTGAGTTCTAAATATGAAAGTTTTAAAACACTCGACATAATGATGGGAAAATGTCTTAATATCAATAATAAATATTAAACTGGAAGAAAAAAAATGCTTCTCACTTTATAAATCAAGTGTTTATTACTCATTATTAAGGGCAAAAAAGACACAAAATTGACTGGTTTCTTGCCAAATAGTGAGTCAAATCTGTTCACTTATACTCATTCACCTGTTAAAAACCAGGAGCATTTGTAGCATAAATTTTTATCATTATTATGCTTCATCACCCCATCATAAATATCTACGTCTATCAAAAGGAGCCTTATTGTAACGTATAAAATATATAACTGTATGAATAACTATTAATTACTATTAAGCATTTATAAATGCCCGTTTTACTCTTTTGGCCTTTATAAATATTTATTAGACATAATAAATAGGTAGTAATCTAATCCAAAATGTTTTATTTAGATGATAAATTGGATTTATTTATGTATTTATAGATTTAGCTCACTATTTAACAATACTTTTTTTTCTCTTTCTTGCCCTTAATGCAAAATGAACACGTATTAATTGTTTATAAAGCGTTTACAGATTAATTTCAACACAACTATAAACTTATTAGCCTTTTATAAAGTGGAACGTTACTGGGCTGCATGGTGGCGCAGTTGTTAGCACTGTTACCTCGCAGCACAAAGGTTGCAGGTTCGAAACTCTGCTGTGTCCTTTCTGCGTGGAGTTGCGTGTTCTCCCCATGCATGCGTGGGTTTCCGGGTACTCGGGTTTCCCCCACAGATCACAACATGCCCTACAGGTTATAAATTGTAAGTCGCTTTGGATAAAAGCGTCTGCCAAATAAATAAACATAAACATAATAATCTTATGTGAGTTAACTGGATCCCTGGCGTTTATGAAGGAGGGAATGCAAATGTTCTGTTAATCTGTCTCTGCGTGTTTGATGTAGAGCTTTGTAAATCGGGTCACGTGTTCCTTTATTACCTGTTAGGGAGTGTGTGGACCCGCTGAGCATCTGTGTTTTTATTTTGAATGCCTCTGAGCTGAAAGAGAAGTATCTGACCCATTGTGTGGCTGATCCAGGTAAACCGTCAGGGTGTGGTCTTCAAACTGGTTTCCAATTGTGCTCAGCCTTAAAGAAATTAAATGAACAATATTGCTTTCACTGATTGATGGGACCTATCAAATGTCTGTTTTTGTTGACACAGTAAAAGATCTTCTTGCAGGTTTTTCATTAAACGGCGGAGCTGGAAGGGTTAGCTGGAAATTTTCAACACGCCTCCCTGGAGTTGTGGGACGGTCCTGTTTATTTGCATCTTGACAGCCGAGTATCACGAAGATCCCTCCTTAGGCAAACTTTACCACAGCTTTGCTTCTCGTCTGCAAGGCGGCGCCCACTCTCAGCGTCTCACAAAGAGTTCGATTAAGAATCAGTTTGTCCATTTTCAGATGCAGCGAATGGTTTATTTCCTCCTCTTAGTGAATTCCAGCCTAGAAAATCATGCTTGCTGACCTGTGACAGACTAGGACAGTAATGACGGAGCTTTTCTTTGTGTTTACAGTTCAGTCTCATCCTTCATGCCAAGCGAAATGGGTCAGACATTTGTAGTTGCTTGTTGTCTGCGCACCGGAGCGCAGTATGCTTTTGTTTTTTGTGTAGCTGCTAGCAGATTTTATATCCTGCTGTTAAACGCTCCTACGTGGATGGCAGCCTCACGTGCAACTGAAACCAAACGACACAGATTCATTTAAATATCTCAGAATGAAGAGCAGAAAAACTACACCAAAGAACTAAATAGTTTTCTGTTTTGTATTTAGACGTTCTTTTCTTGTTCCATCTGCACGCAGGCCTCATCGACGGCTACACGGGTGAGCGGGCCGTGCTGGATGATCAGCTGCGTCAGAAGGAAGAGCTCCAGCTGAGCCTCGAGCAAGAGCTGCAGGTGAGCCGCAGGGAGGAGGAAACATAATTACTCCTTTGCCTGAAAGCAAATAGCTTGCGACAACACTAAAGGTGGATTTTGTTCCTGCCACGTAAGCGCTTGAGACTAAAAGAACACGTAATTCATGTTTTAATTCTGTACAAGCCAAATCATGAGCAAGTATTGTTCTTCTCTCTGTTTCCCGCAAACAATATAAAGAAACGACACCTAACTGGTTTGCAGATGAAATAAAAATAGCTTTTTTCACAGTTTCCAGTTGATTTTTTATTAAAGTTTTGCAAACATTTCCTGGAATCTTCCAACAGTAAGGACATATGTCAACAAGTGATGACACGCCAAAAATGAGGCACTGAGTTACGTTTTTTCCATGCAGGTTACAAGTAGCCGGCTGCACGAGTTGGAGCAGGAAAGGCTTCAGATGCTTGAGGAGCGTGAACTGCTGTCACGGCAACAGGACGCCATGAGGGAGGAGGCGGGCCCACGCGAGCTTTGTACGTACCCGTGAGGAAGGATCTACTCCAAGTTTACTCGTTTTCCTGCAGCTGACAGGAAAACATTAAGCAATGCATCTACTCTACATGGTCTGATTTGTTTATCAAGCTCGTTATGTAGGACTGTCTTAAAGGTGGAGCGGATGTTCTTGAAAAAAGACTTTTAAGCTAGTAACATTTTGGTAACATGGCAAATGACCTTCTGGTAAAGTGCCTTCTGGGGTTCTACAACCCTCAAAACAGCATTTCACCACACAGTCATCTACACACACACACACACACACACACACGTTCACATGCTGGTGATGATGAGCACAATGTAGCCACAGCTGCCCTGGGGCGCACTGACGGTAGCAAGTCACAGAATCTGGTAGTCACGGAAAATGCTGCAACACCGGATGCAATGGATACTTTCCAACACCCATAAAAACACAACCTTATCTAACCATTTCTGCCATAATTTCTACCATGACACACCTAGGTTAACTGTATTACACTTAAGTATGCCAGCTAACATTATTTGGTGTTTTTGTGGTGAAAAATGAGGCAGATTTTAGCTTTCATGGTTTATTCATGTCTTAAGCCTAATGCATCCTGAGAGCATAGAGCATTAAAACAAACTGTAGCTCTGAACTTAGTGGGGTAACATGTCTCCACAAAATTGCACCCTCCCATTAAAATGGCAGCCTAATGCTGCGTACTACGCTTTGTGGACATTACACGATGCTTATTTGTTAGTTGGAAAGGTCTAACCGACCACACACACACACATTAGGCAACAAACTGGCAAGTGGCTCTGCCAGCCAACAGAGGACAGGCTGCGTTCACAGACAACAGGTTCGTCACCTAATTAGATGAGGTATTTTCAGGATTGTAAGATTGAGAGGCGATTAAAATTATTAATTTTTTGGACAACACATTTAATTTGTGAGTTGCAGTCTGTATGTGAAGCGCATTTCAAGCAACATGGCAAAAAGTGCTCCAGAAAAAGAACATCCACTGCGCCTTTGAAGCCAAAGGTTAATCGTAACCAGTAACTTGTTCTCTGAATGAGTTTCATGAGATTCTTTTTGTATCTTTGCTAGCTTTTGTGAATGAACTTCAGCCTTTTAGTGACTCATTTTTTATTTTTCAGTGTCTGTAGTCCACAAGCTTCTCTTTAGCCTTAATTTGACAGCATAATCAACGCCGCATACTGCAATGATTAACAAAATAGTCTTGTTAAAAAGTGTTTTTTGTCCTTGTAACAAAGTTAAGGCAACATTTAAGTCATGAATTCACCTGTATTTCTCAACACCACTCAGAAAAGGTGAGTATTTTGCATTTGGAAGTGTGAACGAAGGCTTTGTTCAGGACAGTTTCCTTTTACATCATCCCTTTTGCCAGCTTCATATGTGAAACCAAAAGAAAAACTGCTTTCTTATCTTCACCTTCTTCATTTCTTTGTCAGATACTTTTCCTGTTCACGGCAAAAACAAGAGCATGTTGAATTCTTGTGTGCTTTCTCGTTCTCCTGTAGGCCTAGTTGAAGCTGCAATGGTTGCAGCACCTGAAGCAGGTGTGTCCCCACTTTGAGCATGGCTCAGTCGTTTATGTGTTTTGAAATTGTCTGGCTGAGTGGCGATGTATCTCTAACCCTAATCCAGCAACTCACCAACAAAGCTTGGAGCTTGCTTGCTGTTGGCTACTCACTCAGAATAATCATTAACCTGTGCTTCAGCTTTTTGTTTAGACTGAATTTTGTCCTGATTTGTCATTTTTAATGTCCTGGAGTCGATGTTGGTGCTCATTTTAGCATGAAGAATCCTATATATCATGATTTCCTACTGATTATCAGCCATCTGTTCTCCTTTTATAAGATGATTTTTAAAGTTCATGCTGTGTTTGCAGCATTTTATTCGAGTTGAATGATTGGCTGTTCAGGAGGACCTTTTCCCCTGCCTGTAAAAGCTGACTGGGCATGGATAATGTCTGAACTGTCCTGTGTCTGATCTGTTATCTTTACTTTTGTCACCCTGTTAATTTTGCACTAATCCTGCGGGTTTGATCCTGGGTGAGGCGGTGTAGGATAATGACTTATGGCAATGGAAGGGCAAAGAGATGAGTGAGGTGATGGGGTAATGTCTGGTAACGGGATTGGACAGTTGACTGAGGTGGTGGAAGAGTCTGATGTGGGTCATTTCTTCAGATCAGTGTCAAAAGTGATTAGACTACATTTATTTGTGATTTAATTTAACTCTCATCACGTGGCACCCAGACTCTAGACTCTTCTCTTCCACCTCGGTGTCATGAACTCATTACTGAGTCTAACCTGAATGGCTGGTTAACAAACATGTTGCCCCCGACCTTCGTTGCGTCCTGTAGACCTGCTGGAACAAACGGAGAAGCTGATGAAAGAGAAGGTGGATGTCCAGCGGCAGGCGGAGAAGGAGAACTCGGACCTCTGGAAGCAGGTGAAGCTGCTGGAGGCGGAGCTGGAGGAGCAGGTCAGCCGGGGGATTGAGTTGGAGCACGCTCAGAAAATGGAGAGCGGAGACCTCCGGCAGCAGATTCAAGCTCTGGAGAAACAGCTGGACAAGAACAGGAAGTTTCTAGATGTAAGCAGCTTCTGATGATGTTCCTGGAATGATTCATTCATTCATTCATTCAATCAGGGATTTACAATTTTTAGTTTAATTCATTGTTTGGGTAAAAGATTTTCAATTGGTCAGTCCTATCTGTGTTGCAAACAGAGAATCCCAGACTGTCCTCTCTCCAGCCACTTATACCAGCTCCTCTGGAACGATCCCAAGGCTTTCCCAGGCCAGCTTAGGCCTGGCTGCTACGACGAGATAATTATGTCACTTTTTTTTACCCATTTCTCCCCTTCCAACGATCTTAAGGACTGCCTGATTACCGTAATGGCTCTAAAACAAAGTTTATTAGGTGTTCCTGATGTGTGAGGTATATTAAGGGTGCTCTGGTTTGATCAGAAGCACGTTGTGACCGCTCTGATCATAAATCAGGAATATTAAACATGTTGGATTGCAGGTGGACAAATGAGCGTGCTACCTGACACATAGCCAATCAGAAAGCGAGGTGACATTAGTGAGCTGCACGCTCCTCCTCCACGTTTTTTTCTCCAAAGTCACGTTTGGTCTCGAGAGGTTTTGTGAGATTTTCCGTCTGACCGGGGAATGTTTGTGAGTGAAATCAGTTCCTGTGTGGGTTATTTCTGTGTTGCCAGACACCACTAAAACCGTTAGTTATGTGAGTGGGATCATGTGGGGTCTCATGTTTTGTAAATCGTCCGACAATTCAAAACTGCTGCCTAAAACACTTTCACCCCAAGAGGCATCCATGGAGCATCCTCACCTGGGTCCTCTCCACATGGAGGAACCTTCTCGCCACATCCCTAAAGCTGAGCCTGACCAACCTGTGAAGGAAATTGGCTCTATAAAACTCTTAAATCAGTTTTACCTGATTTTTCTTATCATATGTAACACATTTTTGCAAGAAACTATTTTTACATCCAAAAACATCAACCTGGGAGATCGACCAACCCTAACGGCCTTTCTAAAGGTTATTTTGCCAAAAGAACTGTAAAAAGAAAATGGTTTCTTTCGTCGTCGTCTTCCTCCGCTTATCCGGGTCCGGGTCGCGGGGGCAGCATCCCAACTAGGGAGCTCCAGACCGTCCACTCCACGGCCACCTCCACCAGCTCCTCCGGCAGGACCCCAAGACGTTCCCGGACCAGATTGGAGATGTAACCTCTCCAACGTGTCCTGGGTTGACCTGCTGGCAGGACATGCCCGAAACACCTCCCTAGGGAGGCGTCCAGGAGGCATCCTGACCAGATGCCCAAACCACCTCAGCTGACTCTTTTCGATCCAGAGGAGCAGCGGTTCTACTCCGAGTCCCTCCCGAATGTCCGAGCTCCTCACCCTATCTCTAAGGCTGAGCCCGGCCACCCTACAGAGGAAACTCATTTCGGCCGCTTGTATCCGCGATCTCGTTCTTTCGGTCATTACCCAAAGCTCATGACCATAGGTGAGGATTGGGACGTAGACCGACCAGTAAATCAAGAGCCTGGCTTTCTGGCTCAGCTCCCTCTTCACCACTACAGATCGGTTCAGCGTCCGCATCACTGCTGACGCTGAACCGATCCGCCTGTCGATCTGGTGGTCATGGTTTCTTAAAAAACTAAACTAAACTGTAACTTAATGCAGCTGAAATGTTATCAACCAATACAAGTGAGTTAATAATTATATATTAATGTTCTAACAGTTTACTGAGGAGCCATTTCTTCCTTTTTACATTGATTGGTCTAACTTGGGTTTTGGTGTCCAGGAGCAAGCTGTGGACCGGGAACACGAGAGGGATTTTTTTCAGCAAGAGATCCAGAAACTGGAGCAGCAGCTGAAGAGTCCGCAGAAGCTTCAGATTGGCTCCGAGCGAAGAAACCAAGAGGTAACAGGAAAACGTTCTGCTCTCTACCAGGGTCAAGGCTGAGAGGCAAATCGTTATTTTTATGAATGTTACCTTGTTGTGGTGGTAATTCATGTCTCAGAGTCACACAACGAAACAATAGAAGAGGTTGAATTACCTGTTCTGCCCCGAAAATGATACCAAGTAGCACTGAAAGAACGAGTGTTGGCTTTAGTGAGCCTGTGGTCTGTAGGTTGTGTAATAGTTGGTCTGATGTTATACAGCTATGTAAAATATATAAAACTCAGTCATGCTTTCACACGACTGGGCGACGGTGGCACAGGAGTTAAGTGCTCGCCCCGTAATCGGAAGGTTGCAGGTTCGAGCCCCGCTCAGTATGTCGCTGTCGTTGTGTCCTTGGGCAAGACACTTAACCCACGTTGCCTGCTGGTGGTGGTCGGAGGGACCGGTGGCGCCAGTGCTCGGCAGCCTCGCCTCTGTCAGTGCGCCCCAGGGCAGCTGTGGCTACATCGTAGCTCATCACCATCAGTGTGTGAATGTGTGTGTGAATGGGTGAATGACTGGTTGTGTTGTAAAGCGCCTTGAGGGGTTCCAGGACTCTAGAAGGCGCTATATCAAATACAGGCCATTTACCATTTTAAATATAACTTTATTTTGCGCAGTCTTACAGGTGTTTAATATGCAATGGATCACTTTTTATGTATTCTTGTAGGAGATGAAGATGAGTATATTAGTGATAAATCAAAACTGTCCAGAATTCTACAGCTTTACTGGTTTGTTCTTGCTTTGGTCAGCTATGTTGTTTGGTGTTGAAACCTTTTCAAGTTCATGTTTTCACACCAACCTTCGCAGTTTAGAGATGTTTCTTTAGTGATAAAAAACATTTTGGACCAATGTTGAGTGGCCATCAAGAGACATTAGTCGTAAACAACACCCAAATTCCTCAAATTTGTCTTGACAGCAGAGGATAAATGACCAAGTTGTTGACTAATCAGGGGAACCATGCTCTCAGGGGTAATGATCAGACATTCAGTCTTTTATTAGTTTAACTGAAGGAAGTTATCTTCTAACCAGCTGGTGATAGCTGATAGACACTCTAGTAATTCAGACAGTTTATAGAACACAGAATCATTAAAGGAACAGTATAGCTGAATATCATCTGCATATGATAAAAAACGTTATGAAAAGAATCAATTATTTGTCCAAGAGAGAGTATGTACAGTAGAAACAACAGTGGACCCAAAACAGAGCCTTGGGGTACCCCACAAAACAGATCGGTAGAATCGGACATGATTTGGTTTTTACAGATACTGTTACTTCTGTTAGAAAGGTACGATTTAAACCAGTCTAGAACAGTTCCAGGGATCCCCACCGAGTCACCAAGTCTGTTAATCAAGGTGCTGTGGTCAACAGTGCCAAAAGCTGCCAAAAAATCTAACAATACCAACACTGTAAACTCCTCGTTGTCTGCAGCCATCGTGTCACTGAAAACTTTAAGCAAAGTTGTTTCTGCTGAATGCTTTTTATGAAAACCAGACTGGTATTTGTCAAAATGGTTGTGTAGCCCCAGAAAAGTAATCAGTTGATCTGCCACAACTTCTTCCAATATTTTAGAGATAAAGGGTAATTTAGAAATGGTTCTGTAATTTTTAGGCTGGGATTAGTCCAAACTAGGTTTTTTAGGGATAGGGTCAACAACTGCATGTCTGGAAACAGAGCCAGACTGTAGAGATAAATTAATAAAATCCACAATGCATGCGCCAATTTGGTCAAACATCTTAACGAACAAGGTGGTAGGAATAATATCAATAGTGCATGTGGTTGGTTTCATGTGTTTCTAAATGAGGCAAATGTCCTGGAAATTTACAGGTATAAAGAAGGACCACGATTGGGAGGAAGGGGGTTGGATGGGAGAGTAGGAGGTAGATGGGGGTGGAAAACTTGCCCTGATATTTCAGATTTTATTCTCAAAGAATGCTAGAAAGTTGCTACAGTCAGACTTTGAGTTAACTGGCATAAGAGGGGCGTGAGGTGCAACAATCTGGTCTATGGTGTCAAACAGAACAGAAGATGTGTTTTAGCTCAGTTTTTAGTTGCGGGTGTTGATAGTGGACCGTAGAAAAAATGGATTATTTGGCTCTCTTGTGTCTCGAGCTTGTAGTTCTTACCTCTGCTTCCGACCATGACTGTAATCTCCGTAGACTCCTGTAGCATTTTCACCATCACTAAGTGCTTTTTTTCCTTCTCCTTTCCTTTTGTCCTTGAACTCTCCATCCTGTGGTCCGTTATGCCTCTGCCTTCTTTACTTCAGGTGGATCGAGTAGCCTTTAAGGTACTGCTTCTAGCTTTATCTGGTCTCCCCTCTGCAAGCATTTAGTGCACTTTAGTAATTCTTTCCTTTTCCCCTTCAAACAAAACCTATCCAGCTATTTTCCCATCTTTTTTTTCCTTCTCTTGGTGTCTACTTCTGATTTATTTAGAAAAACTCACTCTGTCCCACCCTCTTGTCTCTAAATTTAAGTCTCAAAGGGGCAAAAAAAGATGGGGACGACATCTGAGCTTAACGGATAAGATAACACTGCTGTTATCAAACTTTTAACAATGTGTCAAGAAAGTACATTTGTCACTCTTGACACCATCTGTGCACTTCACAGCTTTGGACAATTGTCTGTGCATGAAAAAACAAATTGTTAAATGACTGTTGAGGGAAAAACTGGACAGAAAAAAGAAGAATAAATTTTATTAATTATTTTAACACGTTTGGAATTAAAAGAAATTCCAGTTTTGTGTCGGTCATGAAGATCTCTCTTTGGATTCAGCCATGTTGATTTTTAATGTCATAAAGGCTGTGAAAAGGTGCAGCTCGTTTGCTTTACTTTGATTTTTGTTGGTAGTTTTTAAAGCATGTAAAAAAAAGACATAAAATTGGGCAAACTTTAATGACGCAGCTTGATTTTTCCTCCTCTCAGAGGAAATATCAACATTTGGTTGTTCCTCATGAAAATCTTATTCACTGATCGCTCATCCTCAGAAAAACTTCCCATCTGTCCTTCTATTCCGTATCAATCTTCTTCGCTCTCACAGGTTGATCCGTTAGCTCAGCTGCTCCTGGTTTGGTCCTGCACCCTCCTTCTGCTCCTCTTTCCTCACCCCCTCCCACCCCCTTTTCCTTTCTCAGGTGGATCAGCTGACCGCCCCGCTGACTGCACTTGTAACAGCCACGCTGTAGCTCGTTTGGTCTAAAAGCGTGTCTCATTAAACAACCCCCTCCCCTCTCCTCCTTCGCCTCCTCTGTTTCTCCCTGTCTTCGTTACCAGGTGGAGCAGCTGACCTCCCAGCTGAAGGAGAAGGCAGATTGGTGCAGTGAGCTGCTGCTCGGCTCCGAGCAGCTGCGTCGTGAGTTGGGAGAGCGCGACGAGGAGATAGAAAAGCTGGAGAGCCGCATCAGAGAGCTGGAGCAGGCCCTGCTGGCCAGTGCCGAGTCCCTGGAGAAGGTGAGGAGAGAGATGAAGGAGCTGGAGACTGAGGCAGAAGACTGCAGAGGAGAAAACATGAGTCTGAACAATAGCTGTGGAGCGTGTGTGTGTGTGCGTGCGTGCGTGCGTGCGCGTGTGTGTGTGTGTGTGTGTGAGTGTGTGTGTGTGTGTGTGTGTGTGTGTGTGTGTGTGTGTGTGAGTGTGTGTGTGTGTGTGTGTGTGTGTGTGTGTGTGTGTGTGTGTGTGTGTGCGCACATATAGAGGAGGTGACAGCTAGAGGAGGGATGGGAGGGACAACAATGTGTGGGTGGGTCTACTTCAGCCGCCCCGGCAGTCTGCTGCCTCTGAGTTAAGGGGAGCATGGACGTAATTTTGGGGGGGGGTCAGGGGGGACATGTCCCCCCCACTTTTTCCAAAGTCAAGTTTTGACCCCTGCACTTTTTACCATCCAAAAACAACATTACGCTTTATTAAACTGACACTGGTTGAGCTCTAGGATCAAGCGGAAAACAACCGTTTGTGTTGAAGCTTGTTTCCCATTAGAGCATACTGTAAAGATACCCCACCCCCCACCCCCGTGTCCAGCCCCACTTCTAAAGTGAAAATTACGTCCATGAAGGGGAGTGTTTATTGATGATTGTGGGGATTGATCCACAGGAATTGTTTGACTGTCAACCAATCAGCAGCACAGAAGACTGATCAGAGTAAGCTTGTGTAACCTCCAGTCGAGCCTCAAGGATGAAGTTAGAATGAAAGAGACTGCATTTTTCTGCTTAAAAGAAAACCAAAAGCCGCTGAGCTACAGGGTTTCTTTCATGTGTTTGTCGCAGGTTGAACAACAAACCCAGCATGAATCCATCACTCAGGCTAAACAGTCCACGCTGGAGGCTCAGTTACAAACCGAGAGAGAAGCTCTGGAGAGGAAAGAGAAAGAGGTAACGGACCACTCAGTTATTTGTTATTTGTTGGATGTTTAACTCGAATCTGCATCTGGAGATAAGTAGTTCCCATTTGTTCAATATCTTTCAGTGGAGTGTCATTTTTTGATGTTATCCCTTTTTACGTCCCTTTACTAGAGATGTTTGATATCGGCTTTTTACCGATGTCTGATATACCATTATCCGATTGACCAATATCTGGTTCACACAGGCTTTTGAAGCGGTCTCCGCATGCATTTGTACAACGAACAACGTGACATGCTCACCGCTACGGATGTCAGTCAACAGGGCAGTCTGCCATACACTGTTGAAGCAGATGCAAATACATAATTTTTCTAAATAAAGGACTATTTGCCTCTTATCTGCTCTTGACTCAAAGTAAAGCCTGAGTCTAAATAGTCCAAAGTCGATGTCAAAATTGTTTCAAACGAACCGACACCATCGATGTTCGGTTCAATCGTAGTAACATCCCACCCATCAAACCGATAGGGCGTTGTTATTGGCCCTCCACAAGACTGGTCGGGCCTGCGGAGGCTCCAGTGTAGTGTGGCTAAACAGAACTGCAGGGAAAAATCGTTTTTGCTTCTTCTATAGTCTGTCTAGATTTCTGGGCTAACATTTAATTGTTTTAAAATGTTTTTGTGGCTATTTTGTCAACTCCATTTACATAAGAAATTTTCTCACATTTCAATGAGCGCCTTGACGGCTGCTCTCGTGGTCCGCCTGTATCTGTTGTTGTTCTACGTGTCTGTGTGTTTAAACTTGGTCAGGCCCTACTGCAGAGACACATTTCTATGCTTCAAGACGCTGGGGCATTGACAATAAAGTAGATTCTGGTTCTGAATAAGGAGGTCCACCATTTTTGCCCCCTCATGAAGTTTTCTAGATCCACCACTGGCTAAACCGTCTGACTTTAACTATTAATGCTTTTATATTATGAAGCTTTCTGAAGTTTGTGCATTTCTTTAAAACCTGCTAAATCAAATTTGCACTCGGCAATAAAAAGAACTCAAACTTAAAATTTGCGTAATATTTTGACTTCTCTCTGTCTTAAATCAGTTCAGTTTCCACCGACCGACACCGATTATGCTGCCTGTTTCAGGTTTGTATCGTGAGGAGTCTCTTGATCTTTTTCTATTGTGTGTTTTTTTTTTTTTGTGCCAGATCTGCAACCTGGAGGAGCAGCTGGAGCAGTTCAGGGAGGAGCTGGAGAACAAGAGTGAGGAGGTGCAGCAGCTTCACATGCAGCTGGAGATCCAGAGGAAGGAGATAAGCAGCCAGCAGCAATTCCTGGAAACACGGGACGGCATGCTCCAGGTAAACACAGCCTGCGGATTTTTCCCATGACGCATTTAAAACAATAAGATATTTTTTTCACAATTCTTCAGTTAATTAACCAAAATTCACTTTTACGGGTTTCAAATCGAATTGTTTATAAAAAAAAATGTTACTTTTCTTTTGCATCTAGCATCAGGTTAGCTCCACTAAACTCCCCACTGCTCCAGAGACGTGTCTGAATGTGTATTTTCTGTCCAAGAGGCAGATTCTGAGTGGATGACAGCATAATGTTTTTTTTAATGAATAGCCATTATATTATAATCTCTGACTTTTGAAGGTGATGGAGGAGAAGGACAGGGAAATAGCTCTTCTTAATGAACAGATCACTAAGCTTCAGCACATGGAAACAGCATCTGACAACAAGGTAACGCAACGTGCGCATGCAAAATAGATCTAAAGGCTATTTTGCATACGCATAGCTGTGTGGCGCGGCTGCTGTGTGTGTCCTTTGGGTTCCGTTTGACTTTATTTAGCTCCATTTGTTTGCTGTTGGGTATTTGTTCTCGTGTTTTGTCTTGGTAAGTAGATCAAAAGCATCATTTTTAGTCTTTTGGTGGTCGTTTGCTCATGTGAGGTGGCTTATTAAACCTCAGAGTCCATTTTGTGTAAAAACTTTTAACAAATTTCGACTATTTAAACACAAAATAGACTCTGATGTTTATTTGCAGCGTGGTGTTCTTGGTTTCGCCAAATCTTGCATTTTTATGGCACAACAGTTACCTTGTTGATGTTTTTTTTAGGAAAATGATGAGAGGGAGGAGCTAATTAAAGACTTGGAGTCTCAGGTGGAGTGCCTGCGGAGTGAACAGGATCGCGTAAAGAGAAGTAAAGAAGAAGAGCTTGATCAGCTGAATGAAGTCATTGAGAAACTTCAACAGGAACTTGCCAACATTGAGCAGAAACCGGCTGCAGAGGAAGAGGAGGATGCTGAAGGCAGCACGTGGGGGCCGACCAGAGAGGAGTTCTCCGAGATGAAGCAAAAGATGGACCAAGCCAGCGGAGAGCTGGAGGCACTGAGATCGGAACATGGGAAGCTGCTGGAGACGTACTTTCGTTTGAAACAGAGTGCAGAGGCCTTGGCCGAAACGGAAAACGTGGACGGCTCAGAGAGCGAGCTCGAAGAAGCTCTCAGAGAGAAAACTGCAGGTCTGGTGGTGTTGCAGGCCGAAGTCCAAGCTTTAGAGCAGAGCGCTGCGTCCAGAGTGGAGGAGTTAGACCTCCGGATCCAGGAGCTAGAGGAGTTGGTGAAGGAGAAGGACTCTGAGGTAAAGCGTTGTCGACTCCTTGTGGAGGAAAATCAAAGCTACGCAGACGATCTCCAACAGAGAGTCTCTGATCTGGAGGAAAACCTGAGGGAGAAAGTGGCTGCTGTGCTGGTCAGCCAGGCTACGCTGGAGGCTTTTCAGCAGCAGCAGCAGGAGTCCGAGGCATCCAAGCAGGAGCTGCAGAGACTCCCCGCCCCTCTAGTCTCTAGTTTTGGTGACTTTGGCATCCCACAGATAGATTTTAGTGGAATAAGCCGAGCTAAGCCATCACCAACGGGGAAGGTGGTCCATCTGACGCAGAAGCTTCGAGATCTGGAGGTTGGACTCATGGAGATGCAGAAAGACCAGGAGCTCCAGCAGCAGCTGCTGTCCAGCTCTGAGGAGGAGGTACTGGATTACGAGAGGAGGCTGGCTGTGCTCGTGGATCTCCTTAGTCAGATGAAGGCCGGGCCGCACCGAAGAGCCTCTTCATCTGTGGAGGTGAGAATTTCACCTTTCAGACCGTTGTTCATTTGCAGTTTGAGCCTTTTAGTTCCCTTTTTTTAACTAGACCTGGGCTTTATCAGCTTAACGTTTAACTAGGAGCCTCTGCCCTTTTGTGTTCAGTGTGATAAAGTCTCAGTCCAGTCTGATGACTTCACTCTTCTCTATCAGATCTCCTCCTCTGAGCAGCCGCCCGTGTCGCAGCTTCTTCAGGAGTTACAGGAGGTCAAAGATGAGACCGCCGCCACCAAACAGCAGCTGAAAACTTCTAAGGAGAGCTGCAGCAGACTCGAGCAGGAGCTTCAAGTGCGTGTTGTTAAAAAAACATCTGTGCAAAACGAGTATTCTCGTGTTTGATCAAAATAAATCTTTTGATTTCAGGAAAAAACGAGAGCAATGGAGAAACTTCAACTTCATATGGTGAGCATGCCCATTAACTTCTTTACATTTATCATTTTATCAATGCTAAGCTTTCCAAATATGAAGTGAGGAGTCTCTTGGTCTTTTTTTGTTTGTTTGTTTGTTTTTGTTTGATCTTGGTGCTGCAGGCGGAAGAGGCAACGACGTCCGAGCTTGAAGGAAAACTGATGGAGGCTCAGAAAGAGACGGCTTCGACCAAAGAGGAGCTGAGCAGCTGCAAAGAGAGTTTAGAGAAGCTGCAGGAGCTGCTGCAGGTACAGCGCCGGGGGCACTTCCTGTTTCTGAGCAAATATAAACCACTGTTATTATCATTTTCTTAAGTTATTCTTATAATTTAAAGAATTTGATTAGATCAAAAATGTTGATTATATGTTAAATATGGAAAGAAGCAGCTGATTTCACTTTTGCCTAAACATTTTTTATTAGTTTTTAAATATTTTCAAATTTCTTTCTTTTAATCGAGTTGTAATGATTTCTTTGTGAGGCGTTTTTTACATTTTTTTTTCAGCGAAAATGACTTAAAGTAACGATATTCTTCTAAAAAGAGCTCAGAAATGTGTGTGAAAGTTTCACACCTCAGTAAAAACCTCCAATGTGTTAAACTTTTTGTGTAAATTAAATGAAAAAGATAATATTTGAATAAACGTCTGCTAAACTGCACACACTTTTTCTGTAGGAGCGTGAAATGACCATCGCCCACCTTAAAGGAGAAATTTTCCAAGTAAGTTAAATGTTTTCAAAGGGCACATATTATACTAAACTCACATTTTTTACTGCCATGGGTCTCTACTTCCTCTAGAAACACTAAACCTGAAAAAATCCATCCATGCATTTTCTGTTAATGTTTGATTTTAGGAGTTATGTGCCTAAAACAAGCCGTTTTAAAAAAGGTCCTTTTTGTGACATCACAAACGGGACTACTGGAGTAGAAAAGAGCCAGCTGTCACGTGCAAAAGACAGCTGCTAAAGGGGCAGCAGCTCTACTCTGAGCCCCTCGCAGCTATCAGAGCTTCTCAGCTTGCAGCAGCCAATCGGGGGTAGGTGGGCGGAGCCAGCTTCAGCTTGTTTTCTTAAAGAGCAAGTCGCCCCTTACAAGAAGCGTACTTCACTCCCACTTCATGTTTGAAAAATGCAACAAATGCTGTTGCCTAGCAGACCGAGAGGGTGGAGCCGCTAACAAATACACACACTCACGACATTGTGACATCATAATGTACCAGTTTACATCATAGCATACCTCTTAGCCAATAGCGGTGGCAGATTTAAATTCAAATGCAGTGCAGAGTTTTTACCTGACAACGGCACACCACTGCCAGTTTCAGGCAGAAAATTTAAATTTTAACTAAAATGCACTAAAGTGCAAAACTATTGACTACACGTGTTTGCTGCACGATTAGACACACATTTATATAGTTTATCAGAAAAAAATAGTTGATTTGGGGGTGACTTGCTCTTTAAAGTGACAAAGCCCTGAAACTGCTCATTCTGAAAGATACTGATCCTGTCAACAATAAAACTGCTGAGATTGCTTCACGTGAGAGGGATTTAGTGTTTTCATGGACAAATCAAGATGGATTGTGTTTTATTTGAAATATATTAAGTGAAATCTGATTTATTTATTTATATATTTTTTTACATTTGATGTAAAAATTCTCATGTAAATCGTTTTCAAGGTAAAAGCTGCAGAAAATGGAGCCGACAGGACAGAGCTCCTCCAGGAGCTCGAGAAGGTCAAACAGGAGGCAGTTTCCACCAAAGAAGAAGTCAGCAGCTACCGGGAGGAGAATAAGAAACTCCAGGAAGATCTCCGAGCTCGAGATGGTTTGATTTTAAAAGTTGAGGAGGAGCTCCAGGAGATGAGGAACAGTGTGGACACCACCAAAGAAGAGCTTAATGAGTACAAGCAGCAAAATGAGCAACTTCAGGAGAACCTTCTTGCCCGCGAAAGCTCGATTTTTAACCTTGAAGAGCAGCTCCTAGAGGTGAGGAGCATCATGGACACCACCAAAGAAGAACTCAACAACTACAAGCAGCAGAATGAAAAACTTCTTCAGGACTTACATAACCGGGAACTGTCCATTTCAAAGCTAAACGAGGAGCTGCAAGAAATTCAGAAAGCATCAGTGAAGCCACCTGAATCTGTTCCTCCATCTCCCTCACCTTCTCTCTCCCCATCTCCATCTCCTCAGCCGCTTTCCTCAGCCTCTTCCACCTCCCAGCCCAAGAGGAAAGGAGGAAAACAGACGGCCGCTAAGGGAAGCACTTCCAAAGAAAAGTCACCACTCTCCCGGAAAACCTCTTCCAGCCGTGTGAGCAGCGCCTCGGATCAGCGACGTGCGTCTGCCACAGACTCGTTCATGCAGACCGAGCCGCTCCAAACGTCCAATCTCAGTCCTGAAAGCAAGCCCACCACCAAAGAAGAGATAGAGGAGGTGATTGGGAAGTTTCAGGAGAAGATCGCTCAAATGCGAGAGCTCCACGCAGCGGAAATCCTCGACATGGAGGCTCGGCAGATTTCAGAGAGCGAGAACCTGCGCAGAGACAACCAAACTCTGGAGGATGAAAATAAAACCCTGAAAGCTGTCCTAGAAAAACTCTGCCCGACAGAGGTGAGTCCAGGAAACGAGCAGAAACATGTTGTGTTTGTAGTGTTTAGCCTTTAAATTATTTAACTTCCTGTCATTCTTCAGGCTCCTCCTTCAAGACACGACCGTCCAGCATCCCAGTTTAAGGATGGATACACCAGTGGTAGGAAGCAGCGCCTCTATTCCACAAAACTCTTAAAAAAGACAACCAATAAATATTTAAATCTGTTTTTGTTCCCGTGCAGACAGCAGCTCAGACTACAGCCAGAGGACAGGATGCGACGTCCCGAGCTTACAGCAGGAGTTCAGGACGACTCCAGAAGGCGCCAGGAGAGATGCAGACGATCCGCTTCCCGATAGGATAAAGGTAAAGCCCGGTTAAAACCTCCTGCCGGTTCCCTAAAGCATCCTGTTTTTTATTATGTAGAAAACGACCAGTGACTGTAACCCCACTACTCCAGATGTTGCTCCGTGAGGTGCACCAGGAGGGCATGCAGGTCCTTTCTCTGTCCGAGCTCCCCATCTCCGAGGGGGAGCCGGGAAACCAGTTCAGCGTGGAAGGCTGGGTGAAGGAGAGAGACGCCCTGCTGGCGACGGTGGAATCTCTGAAAGGCCTCATCACGCAGATGCAGGTACAGGAAGCTTCAGCGCTAAATGCTGCCAGAGGAACCGTGAGCAGGACTTTCTCCAGATGCTCTGGAGTTTTTCTTTGAATATGTGCTGGTCTTATTTTTTCATTTTGATCCTTGTTTGTGTTTGATCATTTTCAAACTGTCATGCTGTTAAAGGTTCACGTACAGATGGCAATCAATAAGTTAGATGTTTTGTCTGAAGAATCGTCTTTGAAGCCTACATTCCTGGAAAAACCCCTCATTTAATCATCTTGAATATTCCATCCCTAACAGTTGGATCCTGATTCATCCATGTGATTGGCCTGCTGTTTGTGGGGATTGCCCATTAGTCGGCGGCAATGAGCTGCTGTGATTTTGTAGAGAATAAGCCAAGAAAGCTAAAAACGGCCTTGTTTTTCATTCTAAGAACACCTCATTATGTTAGCTAACATGCCAAATTGTTATACGATTACGTAGGTGTGTTAGGATTTATGTCTGAAAAGGTCAAAAACGTAAAGCTGAACCCTTGGGAATAAGCTTTGTGCATTCCTGTATTTTGGAGGCGTGGCTTAGAGGGGGAGCATGGAGAAAGGGGGTTGGACCTTAGGATTGTTTATTTTAAATTGTAGCTTTCTGGAACAGCTTAGCCCTCGCTGTTGTTTGGGATTGTTAAGTCGCTGTTGCTTCATCGGGTTTCTTTCTAGTTTTTCCAGCCGTGTTCTTCCCTGCAATAAGACTAGCGACACAAACATTAGCCGTTAGCGTGTTCCGCTGCTAACATTGGGCTCCAGATCACTTCCTATCAACCCACTCTCATATTTCTATTGAGGAAAAGTTATTTCGAAATCGTTTTGTTGCAAAAAAATATGTCAGCTCTGTGGAACAAAACAAATAAGTGGTTCAAGGAAATTTCACGCTACCATAAGCTAGCGTGTCAACAATCCTCTGGCTTCATTTCTTTTATTTAAATGAGAAAAAAACACAATGAAACTTTTTTTTCCTATATCTGTTTGTGTCTGTGACTTTGTCGCAGACATCAGGCGGCACAGACTGGCGCGCCGAGCTCCTGGATGCCGTTCGGCGTGTTTTTGTGGCAGAGAGGAGCGTGCTGAAGCGTGCTCTCTACAGCCAGCTGGACCTGCTGGACACCAGTGACGCCGTCGTTCACCTCAATCAGCTGGAGCGTAGACTGGCTGAACAGGTGACCAACAACCTCGTCCTCTTAGTTAACACGTGTCTCCAAACGACTGGCTTTACTAATTCAAAACCAGAATAAACGCTGAAAAAAGCAGAACCGCGCTGACACGTTGTGTTCCTGCTGCAGGACGCCCAGCACAGAGAGGCCATGGGTTCACTCCACGCTGCAGAAAGGTCAAGTCTCGTCTCTGAGGTCCATCAACTCCGAGCTCAACTAGAACATCTTCATCAAGGTTAATCTGCTTTAAATCGTGTTTCTTCACATAACTTACATATTCAAGCATCCAACATTTCTGAAGATTATTAATTATTTTGTTGTTTTTGTCCTTTAGGGACACAACCTGGCCTGCCTTTGACTGGTGAATGTAGCACAAAGGAGCAGAGGGAGGGAGGAGGAGCTGATGGAGCGGCAGAGGCCATCCAGTTGCTCGTAGAAGAGCTGAAGGTGGAACTGTCTCAGACTAAATGGGAGCTGGAGACGACGCTCAAGGCCCAACACAAACACCTGAAAGAGCTGGACACGCTCAGGTGAGGCAGCTGTGTCTGGTGATGTCATCAGCTGTAGCTCAGGAGCAGCTGGAATAAAAGCCGGTGTGTCGTTAAATGATCCCTGTAGGGTGGAGGTGACACAGAAGGCTGCAGAGGTCGATGCGCTGAACGACCAGCTGATGGAAGAGAGGAAGAGAAGCAGAGAACTTCAGTGGGCGGTGGAGAAGGAGAGGTGTCAATCTGGGAAGAGTGAGGAGAACCAACGAGAGGAGCTGGAGGTAAAGCTGCAGACCTTTTGTTTTGGGTCTACTGTTAATAAGCGTCAAATGAATAAATATGTCTTAATTTTTTCCCCTAAAGGACCTGCAGCTGACGGTGGAGGAGCAGAAGGCTCTTGTGACCCAGCTGACCCAAACCCTGGAGCAGGAGAGACACGCCTCCTCTGAGCTCTCCCAGAAGGCCGAGCAGGATCACCTCAGCCTGCAGAGTCGTCTGCAGGAGCTCCAGGTGCAGCTGGAAACGGAGCGAGCTAAAGCTGCAGAGGTGAGCTCTGCTCTGGGGAGAGAGCGAGAGCTGCGGAGAGTTGTCTCCCCTGACAGTGGCCCCTCCCGCGAAGAGGAGAGTCTGCTGGAAAGACTGCAGAAGGAGCTGGATGACAAGCATGCACAGGTAGAATATCTCAGATGAACAGTCAGGTTTGTTTTATAATTTTAATTAAAACTTTTAGGTTTTTTCTTAACAATTTTTTGCATTTTCAGGTGGTGGACCTCCTCTGTAAGGTGGAGGCACAGCGTCTTGAGTTGGTTCGAAAAGAGGAGGAGCTGATGTTGACAAATCAGAGGTCCAGACGAGACCACGAGGAGCTTCTGGAGGCTCGGGTTCAGTTGGAGACGCTGAAAGCACGAGTGTCTGAGGTGTTGCAGCAGCTGGAGAGAGAAGTGGAGAGGAGGTCGAGTCTGGAGGAGGAGAAGGAGCGATTAGAGGAGAGGTTGAAGCTGTTAGAGTGGCAGGAGAGTGGAGCTCCACAGCAGAGCATTTGGAGCAGCAAGTCCACCGACCGGACCAAAGACTGGGTTCTCCAGCAGAAGAGTGGGAGCGCTCAGTCAGCCTCGGCACCTCCTCACATGAACATCTCACCGACCAGCCTCACGGGCGGGCCTCACCACGGTCCTTGGCGCACAGCCGACAGGATTGTGGAGAAACTCCACCTGATCTCCTCAAAGGTCTGCAGCATGGCCAGCAAGGCGACTGGCAGGTAATCGATGGAGCCCCGATCTAAAAAACCTTTGAGATTTTTCCTAGTTTTTGTGCATTTAGAGCAGCAGCCTCCTTAAGAACGTGTCTTTTACAGTCCGACTGCAGAAGTCGACAGCGGGGAGTTGACATGGATGCAGTCCAGTGTTGATGAGGTCATCACTATGCTACTGCAATCCCCGGGCTTACCCTCTGTCCCAGAGGTGAGTGCTGTTTAATTTTAGATTTTATTCATGTGTATATTGTAAATAATTCAGATCACAAACCAGATTTCAGTGGAGAATAAAGAAGCAGCGATCCTCTGCTCATCTCAGTGTTTTCTAAACATCTGCTGGTTTTGGTTGTCGCTGCTCATCTGTTGCTCTCAGAGCGCGTGTCTGCTGGCAGGAGGCTCCTCCAACACCCTGACGGAGCGGCTGCTGAGGCAGAATGCCGAGCTGACGGGGTTCGTCAGCCGCCTGACAGAGGAGAAGAACGATCTGAGGAACCACACGCTGCACTTGGAAGAAGAGCTTCGACGCTATCGGAAGGCCGGGCTGGGATCGGGCGACGGCGTGAGTCACAGGAACACACTGAAGACGTGCAGGAGTGTTCAGGAACTCAAAGAGGAAACAAACGTTTCGTTTATTTCCATCTGCAGTTCTTCAGGAGAGGAGGGTCAAAGACGGACTCTGCATCTGATCTGATACTCTCTCAGGAACGGGAAGCCTGGACCCGGGAAAAGCTCCGTCTGGAGAAAGCGTTACACCTGGCCCAGTCCCAGGTGGCCCGACTCGGGGCAGAAATCAGGTCCGAGACGCTGCGAGAGATAACCGGGCCCGAGGCTGACAATTCTGCACTAAAGGTCAGCAAAAAGGCAACCGACGAGTTACTCTGATTCAGTAAACATGTTTATGACCGATGCTTGACGTCTCCAGAGGATGTACGGGAAGTACCTGAGGTCAGAGAGCTTCCGGAAAGCACTGGTCTACCAGAAGAAGTATCTGCTGCTACTGCTGGGCGGTTTCCAGGAGTGTGAGGAAGCAACGCTGCTGCTTCTGTCCAGGATGGGCGGCCGGCCTTCGCTCTCCAGCCTGGAGTCCTACAACCAGCGTCGCCGGGGACTCATGCGCTTCCGCTCTGCCGTCCGGGTCTCCATCGCCCTCTCCAGGTGACCTGCTTGAGTCTTAAAGTGTAGGACTTGAAGAGGAATTAACAGAACTGACCTGGTTTTGATCTGTTCGTGCAGAATGCGTTTCCTCGTGAAGCGATGGCACAAGGCGACGGGGATAAGCTCCACTGCTTCCTGCAGCGTCAACAAGAATGGAGCAGGTCAGAGAGAGAGCTGGAAACACTGAAGGTCGTGTGTCTTTGAGCCGTTTCTTTAAAGTAATGCTTTTTTGGTTTTGATCTCCTTCAGGCCTGGAGGTGAGGGACTCACCATATCTTCGCCCGAGCAGCGTGGAGATGTTTAGAGAGACAGGAGGTGGCAGCGGTGGTGGAGGAGGAGGCGTCTCCAGCAGCAGGGGGAGGAGTGGACGTGAATCACCACGATCGGGTGTCTCCTCCACACCCCACAGGTGAAACCCAAATCACGGCATACTGCTTCATTCTTACATGCAGAAGCCAAACATAAATGTTACGGCTCAGTGGGAATCCCACTGCTGCCACCATTTGTTGGGGCAGCAGAAGTAAAAAGAAAATTTTATATATTTAAAAAAAAAAAATCATAAAAAGAGTTCATTAGCAGCTGATCCCCTGGAGTGAGATGTTTCAAATCAGCAGAACATTTGTAATTCCTTTATACGCCCAGTTTTCTCACACTATAGATCTAATAGCATTTCATTTTGGAAAGCGGTTCAATCTTTGTATTTCTATCTAGGTATATCCTATTTTTGATGGGTAAATGTGATTCTTTGTTTGTTTTTTTATAGTTTCAAAACCGAGATCAAGAAATGTAAACGATTTACTGATGTTTATTTAAATGTTCAGAGAAGTTTTATTTTTTTATTTTTTTGTCTTTTCACCTTCTAGCACAACACCTTGTTGGTAAAAAATTTTTTACTGGAACTTCTCTCTCCACAAAATTGATCATCTAAAATAATCACTTAAATTGTTTATTTAAATCACGAACCCAAATCCCTTCTCTGGGACATTAAATATATAATTAAAAACAAGGGGTTTAATGAAGAAACTTTTTTTTTTTGACAAAACTTAAAATTTCCATATTGATCAAAAAGTTTTTTCACATTTAGTTTTTTTGCTGACTTTGATTAAACTCGGCAAGTTTAAAATGTTAAGTAAAGTTTTGTAATGACAGGAGTTTGAATCTTTGCTCAGGTACCACATGGTTGCAGACCACGGACCTCTTACCTGTTCCCACCTGCAGAGCTACGACCCCGACCGAGCACTCACCGACTACATCTCCAGACTGGAGGCTCTGCAGAGGAGGCTGGGAAGTGTCACATCAGGTAACTCTAGAAAGATCATTCAAATAAAGTTGTATCTTTTAGATTAGCAAAAAAAAAAATATATATATATATACCTTTTTTACAGTGAAATCATTCCAAAACAATGTCTCAGGGTTACATTGAAACAGATATCCTTCTCAGCTGGCTGGAGGTTGTCAATTTTTCTCCTTTTTAAAAGGCAAAAGAGGGGCATGGTCTTTGTTTACAGGCTGCCCTGCCTCTCTACTTCCTGGTTCCAGGGCCAATCTTATGTGAGCTTGCAAGGTTGCCAAGTCAAAAACAAAAACACTGAGCCAGCATTTCTAATTCAACAGCAGCCAACAAAGTGCAGCGGACAGAAAAGTAAAAAAGGAGAGGCTCTTGTACCCTTCAGAAGCCACGGCATCATTTTTGTTTATTCTAATATCGGGTAAAGTAGGCTAGAGGCTAACGTTGAGCAAATGAGGCTAACGGTAAATTTGAGAAAAATAATCTGTACTAATAATATTTTGTTATTTACTAAAACTTAGGGCTAGGCAGTATGGCCACATTTTCATATCCCATTTTTTAATAAGTCATTTTGGTTTTACAGTATTTGAGCGGACTTGTTTGTTTTGACACATGGACTGCAATACCCAAATTTGACCACAGGATGTCATTCTTTCTTCATGCACCTTTAAAGGGGCATTATGGAAGTTTGACAGCCAAAACATGTATAGAAATAATAAATTTCTTCTTCATACATTCTCCTGCAATGCCCTGGTCCTGTAGAATGAGCCCTGGCATTTTTACTGTGATTGCCTGTTTTTCTGTAAAATCACAGAAAAAGAGAGATGCTCGGGTCGAGCAGGCTGCTTCATGAGCGTTCACGCTCAGGCATATAGCCCTCCGAACCGTTCTTTGAACGTTGTTTCAGCTGTCATCAAGGATATAAATGTTACAGATACAAAGGACGTCTCTGGCGCTTTAGCTCGCCTAGTAAGACGTCGGAGTTTTGTGCAGAAGACCTGGGTTCGATTCTGGATGTGAACATAGTTTATTTAGAGTTTCTTTTTTACATTAATGGGTTTTTTTTTTTTTACAGTAAGATGCCCAAATTTTTATTTGAGACTCGCCGAACGGCATTGAATTCACAGATAAAAAAGATGTGGGTTCAACTTTCATTTTGGAACAATTTTTCAAGCAAGGGAAGGGAATGATCTGAGCATGCAGGAGGACTGACCCATCTTAAACCTTTGCCGGCTGTGCTGAAGAGAAAGGTACAGAACCAAATTATTTAATTAATTAGCTGTGCGTTCTCCTGTCCTCTGTCCTCCGGGCCACACACACACACACACACAAGGGACTGTCTCAGCTGTTATTTTCGTTAAGGAGTGTGCACGTACAGCATGCGCGCCTTGTGCACGAGCCTACTATTGAAGCTGCCGTTACGCTTTTGGCCTGAGGGGGCAATCGCGAGCATAAAAATTCAAAACTCCGTAAAGTCCCTTTAAAAAAACTTCACTAAATAGCAATTTTTTTTTTCATTTTTTTTCCTCAGGTGCTTCTTCATATGCTCAATTGCACTTTGGCTTGAGAAGATAGATGCTGACTAATGAACTTGTGCTTGAAGAAACTCAGTTGCCTTTTCTCGTGTTGAGCGCTCTGCTGTTTTCCACCATCCTTCTATGGACTGCATCTCCCCGTTTGGACCAAATCACATTTTTATTAGTGTACATATTGTATTCAGGCTTTAGGTCGCCAGCACATGAAAAATAAAATAAAAAATAAAAACGGCTATGTTTGTAATTTAATCTGCCTCTTTGTTGTGGATGATCTACAATTATGTATATTTGTCTGATGCTAATTTAAAGACTTTGTGATTAATTTATATGTTTGTGTTGTATGGGTGGAGCGTTACATTGAGGATGTGTGGGTTTACTGTTCAGGAGGCTGCTACTGGAAATCCTTCACTACACTGTGTTTTGTTAAGGCTGGACAGACTACAGGAGTCATTTGTAGAGAACGTATTTTTGTAAAATGTAGGAGCTTTGAAATTTTGGGGTATTTTGTCAAAAACTGAAATAAAAAATACATCTTTTCAAAAAAAGTTTATTTTTCTTTTCATTTGTTGTATTGCCCATACCTGTAATAAATGTTTAATTACTAATGTAATGTTGTTATAATTAGAGAAATAAGAAAATATTGTAAGTAAATTTTATTCTATAGCACTTATCTCAGACATAATTACAAAGTGCTTCACATAGATCAAAACAAAATTAAAATCATAATGATCTCAAAGCAGAATTAGATTAACATCAGGAAAAATAAAGTCATACAATCATAATATTTCATAAACAGATGAAAGATGAAAATTTTGGGTTACAAGTAAGAAAATAAAATATTTGGGTAAAAGCAGCTTTAAATAAAAGGGTCTTTAGCTGTTTTTTTAAAAGTGTCCAACTCAATGCTGCGTAAGGATAAAGGAAGATCATTCCAGAGTCGGGGTGCAACAGTCGACTTTTATATCTGGTCTTTGGAACTTCTAGAAGGTTCTGGTGTGTGGACCTGAGGGCTCGGGTTGGAGCATAAGGTTTTAACATGTCAGTAACATAGGGAGGAGCTTGACCATGTAGAGCATTGAAAGTTACAATTAGGATTCTAAAATGAACTCTAAAGTTAATGGGTAACCAGTGGAGAGACGCCAGAATAGGAGTGATGTGTGCTCTTCTGGTGCTCCAGTTAGGAGCCTCGCTGCAGAGTTCTGGACCAAATGAAGGCGGTCAAGGGCTTTTTTGTTAAAACATGTGAAGAGTGTGTTACAGTAATCTAGACGGGACGGGAGGAGTTAAAGGCATGGAGAACAATTTCAAGTTCATGTTTTGACACCAGCCTTCGCAGTTTGGAGATATTCCTTAAATGATAAAAACAGTTTCGGACCATGTTTTTGAGTGACCTTCAAGAGACATCGATTGGTCAAAAACAACAACCAAATTCTTTAAGTTTGTCTTGATGGCGGAGGATAAATGACCAAGTTGTTGACTAATCAGGGGAACCGTGCTCTCTGGGGCAATGATCAGGCATTCAATCTTTTCAGAGTTTAACTGAAGGAAGTTATCTTCTAGCCAGCTGGTGATAGCTGATCGACACTCTAGTAATTCAACAATACTTTATTAATCGCAGAGGGAAATTTGAGTTTCAGTACACACAATTCTGAGATCAGACATACATACATAGGCATAGACACGACAAGAATTGGTGGCTGTGGTCATTCGCAACCCGAGTCGTGCTACCTTAGTAGAGAACAGAGGGTTTACATGAGGATTGGGTCAGAAGGAGGAAAAAAAGGCACTTCAGAGTTACCCTCCACAGGGAGGGCAGCTTTGCTATGCAAAAAACACCTCAGACAGAAATGCAACAGACATCAGACATTACACAACATAAGTGTCCACTAGGTGGGGAGGTAGGGTTGGGGACTCTCCTCACATCAGTGCATGCAGCCGCGATAAGCAGCACTCGTCACCTCCATTTAGACAGGGGACGGAGGTATTTGGGTTAGAGAGCACAGTGACTCCTGGAAACGATTCAACGGCCTTCACCGGTCGCAGTCCCGTCCAGGCTGGGATAGGGAGACAGAGTTGCCATGGTGACGGCAGCATTCTGCATTTCTTCTGAGGGGCAGTAATCACTTCAGCCTCACAGGCTCAAGGGCACCAGATTCGGATAATAAATTGTTTTGGGGCCAGACAGATATTATTTCCTCTCTGTCTTAAAGTTCTGTTGAACTCCAAACCCTCTGAATCCAATAATGGCGTAAATTAATCTATCCCAGTCTGTGCTGATCCGTCAACTCCATCCTTGATGACATCCACCTTCTGCGCCAGAGTCTGAATCTCAGCCAAAGTTTTAAGCTTACGACTCATCTCGACAATTATATGAGTTTGTGCATTCACAGCGCGGTGTAATCCATTCCTGAGCTCCGGGATTGAGCCAATATTCCTCGACAGCTCATTAATTTTCTGGTAAGCCAGGTAACCACTCAGGCCAAACAGCACGAAACCTGACACCAACACCGTGAATATCCAGATGTCTTCAGAATCCTCTACAGACAGTTGAGATAAGCAGATCATGTTCCACTGTTTCCAGGAGTCCATGATATGCCCAGCTGGCTCTGTCTCAAAGGGGCAACCGGGAGCCCCTTCTCCTGTTCTCATTGTTGAAAAAATCTTGTCAATCGCGTTGAGAGACCAACTGACCAGGTCCATTTTAATAATTTCCAGTTTCCATAAAAAATGCAGAAGCGCCGTACACCCAAAGACAAAGAGCCTTGGGATATGATAGGGAGGAGAGGAGGAAAAAAGCGTCTGAACGCTCCAAGAGCCGGAAGGAGAATTCAGACAGTTTATAGAACTCAGAATCCTTAAAGGAGCAGTACAGCTGAATATCATCTGCATAAAGGTGATAAGAGACCTTATGAAAAGAATCAAGTATCTGCCCAAGAGGGTGTATGTACAGCAGAAACAACAGTGGACCCAAAACAGAGCCTTGGGGTACTCTACAGAACGGATCAGTAGAATCTGACATGACTTGGTTTATACAGACACTGTAACTTCTGTTAGAAAGGTACAATCTAAACCAGTCTTGAACAGTTCCATAGATCCCCACCAAGTCACCAAGTCTGTTAATTAAGGTGCTGTGATAATAAATCAGCAGAACATTTGTTATTGCTTCATTGAAATATCACAATATTAATTGTTGTGATCCTGGATGGATTTAGAAAAGCCGTGTATCTTTTTTTATTGATAATTTACAAGCTGACGCTTACTGTATGTCTTTTATGTGGTGCAATTCAAATTTTGACTGCTAGATGGCAGTAGTCTTTACCGCTTCAATTCCGATGAACGAATTCTCGCAATAATGCTGGGTGTGTCTTGGAAGCGTCTCGCTGTAGTTTTCCAATTAAATAACATATTCTACAGTTGATGTCATCGTGCACGCACTGCTGGGTGCTAACGCTTGACAAGCTAACCGCCTTTACCAATTGAAAATACATGGACAGAGCGTTTGGATGTCGATTAAAAACATCCCAACAGACACCATATTCAAATGTTTATGCTCAAACAGCTACTCATTACTCAAGAATTTTTTTTTATTACTCTGGTTATTTGTGTCACTACCTTTTACATACTCCCTCTGGTCACAAGCTTTTTTCTTACACTTATGCTGTTTGTCCGAGACGCTGGGCTGGACTTCTTCGTTTACACCCCTGCCTCCTGGTTAACTCCACATCTGAGAGCATTGTTAGTATCTGCTCGTTATTCTCGGACTTGGGAATTTTCCCTTGTAACAAATATACGGGCATCCCTTTATCTGCTCCACATGTGAAAATCTGCTCTTCCACCTAAAAGCTTGGCCCGTTTCCCTTTCCAGATGTTTCATGTTGTTTGGAAAAAGGATTTTAAAAATGTCCCCTCTGATATTTGATATGGTAACTAGAGTCCGATTAGCACCTCCCCCAACAGCAGTGCTTAGTTCCTTTTTGTTTGAACATCTTCAGAAGAGGAAAATGCAACTTTGAGACGAGGGAAGTGACTCAGACCCATGCATGCAAAATACATGCTTGCTTGTCTAGGGCTAAATCCCACAATGCATTGCAACTTTACATTGCAATATATTTTTAGTAGAATACGCTACTCAGTCTTAAAAATTGAAAATATTGTCCAAATTGTAGTATCACAATATATCGTAACATCTCCCCTGTAATATGACTTATATCGTGTCACTTAATGACCTGTATTTGTGCAGCGCCTTAGGGTTCTACAACCCCCCAAGCCGCTTCACAACACAATCAACGCCAGGCTCCGTGGAAAAGCTTTAAGACCGTTTTTGTTTTGTTTTTAAATATATTTTGTAAAGATAATAAACTTTAATGAGCTTTAAAAAATTCTTCTTTTCAGCCTTAAAATTTGTGATTCTGAAATTTGGTTTTCTTTGAGGTTTCAGTGATAACTCACTTTGCCGATTGAATAAAGTCACCATTTTTCTCACAAAATTTAATATCAATAAATACAAAATAGATTTTTTTAAAAGTTGAAACAATCCTTTGAATGTAAAGTTGTGATATAAACAGATGGAGGCGGCTAAAGATGTCCAGGCTGCAGCTCAAAAAGGACAGTTTGCAGCATATCGGTGTACTAAGTGCTTTCTATTTTATTTATGATGTGCCCCACTCGCCCTGAAAAGCAACTAAAAAGCAAACTTTCAGAAATTAGATCATTGTTGATGAAAAGAAAATACATCAAAGAGAAGATTTGTCCTAGCTTTGGTATTAACTGGTTTCAGTGATGAAACGCATATTCTGTTGCATAAATGCAATTAAAGAGGTCTTATCTGCACAGAAAAGCCAGAAGACGGGATCAAAAGCTTCAGATTTCAGCACTTAATCAACTGTTGCGGATTTTCTTTCAAACACACTTTTAAACTTTGCTGTTAAGAAAATGTTTGGTTGGATTTTCAGTCATCAGGACATGATAATCTTGAGTTTTAAATAAAAACGTCTTGATGATCATCTCTTGTCTTCAGTAAGGCTTAAAACTATTAAAAACATTTTATGTGTAAATTTGAACAACCGTCTGAATCAGAATTCGTTCTCCCTGCTTCAATCTTATTAGGACACTTATTGCAAACAAGCAGCATTTTACACATTGTATATAATAAGACAAAAGATGACTATGAAATCTTTTTCATCCCTTCGTGTAGCTGAGTCTACTTTTTGGTGGAATTTGGAGGATTTCATTGCATTTATTGGAGACAAAGAACGAGGTCAAATGAGCAAAAATACCTAAAAGTTTCATTTATTATGAAAGTCTGGAACATTGTAATTATATTTAATAACGGCATTTGCTTTGGAGCTGGAGTCTCATGATGCATTTTACTCTGAAACTTTCAAAAAAGAAATGGAATATGTTGTTTTTTCTCAGTTTGAGGTGCAATTAAAGAACAGGGCAAGGCTTCAGCATCTGGAGCATAGTGCATTCATCTGCATCGTCTCCAGTTCAAGTCCCGTGACATGAAAACCTCCACCCAGGAGGTCCCTCCTCCTGCCTCTCACTGCCTCCTCCTGTATCTGATGACGGGGTTGTGAGGCGTGTGGATCATTGTGGTGTAGTTGATGGTGGGGAAATATCCATCCACCAGGTCGAACTCATACAGGCGCAGCAAAGTGGACCAGACTGTTTTAATTTGGACGTAGGCGAAGTTTTCTCCGATGCAGCGATGACGACCTGGAGATGTCGGGATAGGGTCAGATAAAACCGAGCAGCGAGAGACATTTCACGCTGTAACACTCGTCTTACCGGCTCCAAACGGTATGTAGGCAAACTTCTCCCCTGCAGCGGGGTTGTCGTTGAGGTATCGGCTGGGACTGAAATCCATCCTCTCCACCCAGGTGTCTTGGAGACGGTGGTTGACGGTCGGGGAGACGCAGACTTGATGACCCACGGGGATGTCATATCCTGCGGCAGTCTGGGAGAAAACACAACTTTTAACAAACATGGGCTCGAGGATATAGGAAGTGCAGATGATGTAAAAACTCACCTGAGGTGTTCGAGCCATCCTCATCATGGTCATTATTGGTGGGCGGAGCCTCAGCGTTTCCTTTAAGCAGCGCTCCAACAAGCTGAGATCCTTCAACTGACGCAAAAACAAAGTTACAAAACCTACCGATCATCAGCAGGACCTCTTTCTAATGTTCTGTTCTGGTCCTGCTGGACCTGACTGCAGCCTTTGACACTGTTGACCATCACCTGCTGCTGGACAGGCTGAGAGACTGGGTAGGCCTATTGGGAACTGCTCTGGAGTGGTTCTCCTCTTAGCTGCCTGAGCGTTCCTTCTCAGTGTCCATCTCCAAGTTTTGGTCCTCCTTCACTTCCCTCGCTCATGGTGTCCCACAAGGTTCTATGCTGGGCCCTCTACTATTTCTCCTTTATCTGCTCTCACTCCAGAACATACTGAGCTCTTTTGAGGGAATCTCCCACCATCTTTATTTCCTCTTTCTTTTCCTTATCTGCTCATCACCTGATCAAAGTCCAGTGGTGGCAGATCTTCTCCGCACACGGCCTTCTGCTCAGCGTAGCAGCGCTCCTGCAGATCTTTGTCCCGGGCAAGAAAGAACCCCATCCAGGCGCTGGTGGTGGATGACGTGTGCTGTCCCGCCAGCAGCAGACCTATCAGCATCCCCGCAATCTCATTATCATTCAGCGGTCGACCATCCCTACAAAATAAAAGCATCACGACACAAGGTTGGAAATGTATTAACAACTTATACTCTCCTTGTGTGGTTGAGTGTAAAATGTAAGTTTAGTGTTGTAGCAACATGAATGGGCTCATTTGTGACCCAAAGGTCACACTTCCTCAGCTGGGTCAAGCTGTCCTGGCTGTAATTCCATGCTGTCATTCTTTTTAAAACACAGAAACGGTTTCGTTACCTGTTTTGTGGCTACGTTTCGCCGGCGGCTGCAGGCTTCCTCGTAACACAGAAACGGTTTCGTTACCTGTTTTGTCGCTACGTTTCGCCGGCGGCTGCAGGCTTCCTTCCTTCCTACGAGGAAGCCTGCAGCCGCCGGCGAAACGTAGCGACAAAACAGGTAACGAAACCGTTTCTGTGTTTTAAAAAGAACGACAGCATGGAATTAGAACTAATACACAGCAAGAACACACCTAAGATGTCCTGGCTGTACTTCTATTTACAGATTATCCATCACAGGAGACAGAAAGTCTGCTGTAAACCATCTTTAATCTGACTGCCTTTATCTGACTGCGGTTCCATCCGCAAGACGAAGGACACTTCAAGATTTAAAAGAATCATTTTTAATAAACTCTTTTCACTGTCTTATTACAATATCCATAAATAATCATCATGGTTCATTATAAAGGTATTTAATTACTGAAATGAATTATTATTCTTTGGTTAATCATAATTATTATTTATGATAATCAGTCATGTTTAACAGTGACAAGAAGGTCATGCGCACTCACACACAAAATCAGTGGTTATTAATTACAGCTGATGCCGACTTACTTGTAGGTGGCATCAATGAGGGTCTGCAGGATGTCGTCGGCCTTGTCTCCAGATCTTCTGCGCTTTTCAATCACCTTGAAGAAGATGTTCTTGATCTCTCGGTGAGCTCTGTCTCGTTTCCTAAAACCAAGTGATTTTTGGAACGTGTCTGTTTTATGGATCAACCAGCAAATGTTTAAGCTGTAATTGATGTGTTGGGACCAACCTGAAGCTAGGCAGGGGCAACCAGGCAGGCAGGAGCCAAGCGGCGTGGCTGAACCCTCCATCCAAGTCAGCGTAAAGCTGGGCCACCCGCTCATTCAGCATGCCGCGGATCTCCTTCCCATGCAGGCAACTGCTGGCTGTCAGGATGATCAGCTCTGAGAGAGCCTCAAACAGGTCTGATAGGAGAAAATGGCTGACAACGATCAGTTACACAGTCTCCTACACCTCTCGTGACTTTGTTGTCAATGGTTTTAAAGGTGAAGTCGCATTATTTGCTTACTTCTCTCCCCACTGTCTCCCCATCTCTGAAAATACTCAATGGTCTCGGCCTCAATGATCTTCACGTGCTCTTTGAAGCGAGCAATGTTGAGTCCCGTCTTCAACATCTTCTTCTGCTCCAGAAAGAGCTGCAAAAGAAGAAACAATATACGTTTTACACTCATTTTAATTGGTTATTAAAAGTGACTTGACAGTTTGAATAAACTCACAGGGTTCGGCACGTCGTACGCCACTCCTTTACCAAACACCGGCGTGGTCAGTTTGGAGTAGACGTCTTCTGCGTTCAGGTCTTCGTTTTTGCTGTTGAACATCAGTGTGGCTGCATCGCTGCCCAGCAGGTAAGTGAAGGTTTTCCCCACCATGGTGAAACTGAAGACAGGGCCGTACTGCAGGAGAGCAGGGGCAGAGGTCAAACCACATTAGAACACAGGTCGTTTTTCCCCCACCTGGATAGAAGATCTATACATATAGGTTTCTTGATGGGGGCTCTATATGCACCAATAACACACGTAGATGGTCTTTATGGTCTATATAATGTATGACTTGATTTTTGCAATAAGATTAATTTTTTTTATATTTTCATACTGGCTGTGTTTGCCTTCGTGTTTTCATTTGCATTGTTGTTTTCGTTTCTCAAATTTGAGGTAAATGTGTTTAATCCATATTGTTTGATTTTACTGAACAATAAAAAGAGCATTCAGTACACTGCTAAAGGCTGAGTGCTCACAGAGTTACCAAAAGAACCAAGTTGGTGTGCCACCCTAAAATTTTCACTGGCCCCCTTATGACATAATCTGGGTGCACCACTGGATATGGGGCACAAATTATATAGCAAACGGCTACATTTGACCATGTTTAGCCTCCAAATAAAATTAAAAATAAATATCTTGCATTTAATCTAAATAGGTCTAGTGGAATCACAACATATCCTTAATTTAAATATAATTTGAATGAAAATTGAGCAAAAAGTTGGAATTAAGTCTGTTGCATATTTGCTAACATGAGAAAAATTGTCAAATATCATGCTCATAGATTATTATAAATGTTGTTGATTAATACTTAAACACTGACCTTCTCATAAGCATTTTCAAGAAATTCTATTGGACTTTTTCCAAATGCAACTGCATGTCCAAGAAAGGGAATGCTGGACGGTATGTAGGGTGGGTATTTCTGCGAAATGAGACAAGATCAAAACACATGCATGTGGATTACAAATGACATCCATATGTATTCTATTCTATTCTAAACTTAAACCCACCTTGTCTCTGTGAGAGGACTCTTTGAGCAGCCGTTTAGAAACATAACCCACCGTCAGCGTGAAGAACGAAGCCACCAAAACCACTGAGGTCAGATTTTCGTTCATTTTACTGACGGTGTCCCCGAGCAGCTTGGTGCTCAGCTGGTAAAAGTGCATCGACATCGCTCTCGCCACTCGCAGATCGCTGGGAGAGAATAAGACAGGAGGACTTTATCTTGTTGTGGTTCCACTGATGTGGTACTCAAGTTGGTGATCGGTTCTACCTGTCCCCTTTAGTCCTGCCCCCGCCTGACCACTGCCGGCTTTTGATTGGCTGGTTTGTGCGTGTCCATCAAGCAACTGTGGCCGCGATAGGCTGTCGGGAACTGAAGCGATGTCTTGCTATATGATGTCATGCTAACCAGTGTCCATCGAATCGAATTTATTAATTTTTAAGCTAGTTTCCTTTATCTTAACTCGTGTTAGTTTTGATTTATTAATGTAGGTAAAGGTTCTGGATAATTCTTCACCGCAAAAAAGGTAAAACAATAAATGAATAAATAAAACACTATAGTGACACTAAGTTTTTACATGAAGTGCGTTATTCTACACAGAGCTTTAGGTAAAGTGTGTATGGAGTACGGCAAGAAATAATCGGTTAAAATATCTTTATAATTTTGCAGTTTTTTAAAAATATTTTTCCATATAAACGTTATAAAAGTTAATCAACCAGTGCTAACAAACACAAGTTGATTATCTGAAGAATTTTACTTTGAAATTAATTTTTGCACATTTTATTTTGGTTAAATTCTTTGTCACTTATTCATGTGGTCACAAGGGCAATAGTCTAAACAAGGAGGCCCAGACTTCCCTCTCCCAGCTCCTCCGGGGGAATCCCAAGGTGTTCCCTTGCCAGCTGAGACATAGTCCCTCTAGGGTGTCCTGGGTCTACCTTTGGGTCTCCTCCTGGCTGGACGTGCCTGGAAAACCTCACTAGGGAGGCGTCCTAACTTGATGCATGAGCGACCTCAGCTGGCTCCTCTCTATGTTCTACTCCGAGCCCCTCCCGGATGACCAAGCTTCTCACCCTATCTCTAAGGGTGAGCCCAGACACACTGAGGAGAAAACTCACTTCAGCCGCTTGTTTCCGTGATCTCGTTCTTTCAGTCACTACCCAAAGCTTTTGAGGCAAAATGTGGGTAGGAACGTAGATCAACCATTAAACTGAAAGCTTCACCTTTTGGCTCAGCTCTCTCTTCACCACAACATACAGGTGTACCATCAAATCACGCTCCCCCATCAAATAAGGTTTCCCCTACAGCTCCGCTCCGCCCTAGAGTCAAAAGCGCTGCTCGGCTCCACCCAGGCGGCAAAAAGAAAACCCGCGCTTAACGTTAGCTCGTTCACACCATCGACATATAAATATTGGACAATGGGTTTCCATAGACTCCTCTAACACGTTTTTGAAGAAAAATGGGAGGTGGCCACCACCGCCATTTTGACCGTGTCACAGGTTCTGTCAAGCCCAGACAATTCCACAAAAGGGAAGAGAGGTGGAGCTGAGGGTGGGGCTGTAAGGCTGGGATCAACTGACGACACCCGGTCGAACTAGCTACAAGCTAACCTGAAGCTAACCCAAAGCTAACGCGGAGGTGGGAGCTAAGCTAACGGAGGTAGCAACCTAGCTACAACCGGAGTTAACTGTGCACAACACCAGAGCTTCTGAACCAGAGATACGCCGGGCTGACCGCTGGGTAAAACCGGGTGGAACACAGAGGTCTCTCAGAGCTCCACAAGCCAGCAGCCGCACAGCAGACAAGCGCCGCTGCGATCTGAGATGCGCAGCGCTGCCGCTGAGGAGAACCGGGTGGAAAGGTTTCCATCCCAGAGCTCCACAAGCCGGCAGCCCGCGCAGCAGACAGAAGCCGCGATCAGACAGAGATGCGCCGAGCTGCGGGGAGGGGAGAACTGGGTGGAAAACATCGGTCTCCCGAGAGCTCCACAAGCCGATAGTCGGAACCCAGCTCCACCAACATGTTATATTTCAACCCATTTTCTAAAGTGCAGCATTATGTTAAATGCACTGGGTTTTACCTTATTAAATTTAAATTTCATGGTTAAACAGTACATGGTAAAATCTAAGCTCAGCTCGGCAGTGACCTAAAATACATAAATATAATTTTACTTGCCGAAAAAAATGAAGTGGAGACTCTGCAGCTAGGCACATCTCTGTCTGATCGCGGCTTCTGTCTGCTGCGCGGGCTGCCGGTGTACTTACAACTTACCTATTTTCCTGCAAATATGACAACGGAGTAGCAAATATGACAACGGAGAAGCTAGAGCGACTGCCAAATCCTCAGTGCTTATCCTACTCGACTTATCGGCTGCATTTGACACTGTCAACTATGGCTTCCTTTTGTCCACACTCTCTAGCATGGGCATCACAGAGAAAGCACACACCTGGTTTGAATCGTACCTCACAGGACGATCATTCAGTGTACCTTGGCTTGGACAATCCTCTACCGTGCACCATCTTGCCACAGGAGTCCCCCAGGACTCTGTACTAGGACCCCTTCTCTTTGCCATATACACCACCTCACTGGGTGAGATCATTCGATCACATGGCTTCTCCTACCACCGCTATGCAGACGACACCCAGCTCTATCTGTCATTTCCACCGGACGACCACACTGTTTCTGCACGCATATCAAACTGTCTCTCTAACTTATCAAAATGGATGAAATTCCACCATCTCCAACTCAACCTCTCTAAAAATCACCCTGAGGGCCACAAAAAGCCCCTGTGCTGCACTGGACAGGCGCAAATTACATTATTGGACAGGTTTTATCTTTTACTTTCTTCCTGTTTTGAAACTTGCCCCATTTTATTCATCCTTCTTTGCATCTTTAAAGCCAAATGTATCATATTTGATACACATATTACTTCATTTCTTAGACCTAACAGTTCTGTTCAAGCCTCTGCCCCCGTGTGGATGATCGAAGTACTGCAGGACATGAGGAAATTTTATTCATTATTGTTGAACAATCAGATCATTGTTTTGGCATTAGCCAATGAACTGACACATCTTTACATTTTTTAATCACAATAGTCAATTATTTTGTTAATTTTAAATATATTTTTTAATCATTTTCTAAATTCTTTTTTATATTTTACATTTTTTGTTTTTGTGAAGCGCCTTGTGATTTTTATCTTGAGATGCGCTATAGAAAAGATCTTTTCTTCTTCTTCTAAAGGGCTCCATTTTGGTTTAAACTAATATTTACCTAACTTTTTTCCATGTTCCACAGATAAGTTTAATCTCAGACTTTAGTGGTAAAAGGGGGGAAATCTGGTTGTTTCCTTAGAGCAAGTAGTGTGTGAGTTCAAATATAATTTTATCAGTTCAAAGTCTGTAGCACTTAAAGCAGTTTCGATTCCAGTGGGCTGTAGCGACCATAATTTAATTGCGGTAACAAGGAAAACAAAGATGCCTAAAAAAGGCCAATTATTTGTGTGCAGACGGATGTTTAAATATTTCAATGAAGATGACTTCATAGAAGATGTGAGGAAAATAAGTTGGACACAGGTTTTAAGTGAAGATGATCCATGCCAAGCAGTAGCAGTTTTCAATGAATTGTTCACAAAGGTGTTAGACAGACATGCTCCTATAAGGAAACGTGCTATGAGAAGGGTATCTGCTCCATGGTTGGATGAAGAATTAAAAGAATATATGAGGCAGAGGGATAAACTTAAAAATGAAGCAGTAAAAACTAGTAGTCCAGATAAATGGAAAGAGTATCGTAGATTACAAAACTTTGTAACTAAATTAAGTAATCATAAAAAACGGTTGTATTATCAAAAAAGACTAACTGATGCAAAATCGGATAGTGCAAGATTATGGGGTGCATTGAATGAAATGATGGGTAGGCATAATAGGTCAGCTCCAACCTTTTTGGATGTAGGGGGAACTTATCTCACTAAACCAACAGAAATTGCTAATTATTTAAACCAGTTTTTAACTAATAAAATTAAGTTGTTGTGAGATTCTATGGAAAATAGTCAAACCAAAATATTTCCTATCAACTAATTAAACAAAAAATAATGTTAAATAAAAACTGCCAATTTCAATTTGATAAAGTGACTGAAGACGAGGTGAAGGAGATAATATTAAAAAGTAAAAATAAACCATCTGGCATAGATAATATTGATATAAAATGGTTAAAGTTAGTAGTAGATTTTATTTCATGTCCTATTGTTCATATAATAAATGGAAGTTTTAAAGAAGGTATTTTCCCATCTCAATGGAAAACAGCAAAAATAATACCTTAATTAAGAACAATAGAGAACCACTGTCTGGTCAAAACAGTCGACCAATAAGTTTGCTACCAGCGTTAAGTAAAATCATGGAAAAAATTGCATATGATCAAATTCAAGATTATTTTGAGGTAAATGAATTGAACACAAAATATCAACATGCTTACAAAACAAATCACTCAACCACTACTGCACTTATTCAAATAATTGATTATTGCTTAGAGAATATCGATAATAATAAGCTAATTGGTTCTATATTTCTTGATTTAAGTGCGGCTTTTGATGTTTTAGATCATAATATTTTATTACAAAAACTTAAACACTATGGATTTCATACATCTGCTCTTAACTGGACTAAAAGTTATCTTACTGACAGAGAATATCAATTTTATTTCAATGGCAGTTTTTCTGAAAAGGGTCTGATGGAATGTGGTGTTCCACAGGGAAGTTGTTTGGGACCACTTTTGTTTTCTATTTTTTTGAATGATTTTCCGTGGCTGCTGCAACATGCGACTACAGCAGTATATGCAGATGATATTACTGTTTTAGCTTCAGCACATACGGAGAGTGCATTGAATGAAATATTAAATGAAGAGTTAAGAACAGTCGAGCAGTGGATAACTGCTAACAAATTAGTGATTAATGCAGGAAAAACTAAATGCATGGTAGTTGGCTCCAAACATACTTTACAGACGATGCCAAAGTTACATTTAACCCTGAGTAACAACATAATAGAACAACTAGAATAAGTAAAATTACTAGGAGTTATAGTTGATTGTAAATTATCATGGACAAGCCAGATTATGTTTTACGCAAAATGGGGAGAGGTATGGGCATAATTAAATTTTGTTGCAAATTTATACCACAATATTTACTTAAATGCCTTGTTCAATCATTAGTGCTTTCTTGTGTAGATCAAGCATCTATTATTTGGTCCAGTACAAGTGAAAATAATTTGCATAAGCTACAAGTAGCACAAAATAAAGCTGCTCGTATTGTTTTAGGCTGCCCTTACAGAACGAATGTGGGAACCATGCATGAAAAACTTGCTTGGCTTGATGTGAAGAGTAGATTGAAGTATTTCTTGGTAACAACTGTGAGGAAAATAATAATTACAAAAACACCAAAAATTATACATAGCAAATTATTGTTTTTTTCAGATAATCATACTTATAATACACGACAGATAAATGAGATGAAATGTATTTTACCACGCAGTAGAACAAATCAAATTCAACGATCTTTTCACTATAAAGCTATGCTTGCATGGAATGCATTACCTAGATTTTTAATTTTTGAAAGTAATAACATTCCTTGTCATAAGAAACTGAAATTTTTTTTGTTTACACTTAATTGTATAGTGACTAATACTATGAACTCTGCAACGAAGGATTGAGAATCTGTTTGAGGTCGAGTACTGGATATCGATGAACTATGATATGAAACAATGGACATGATGTCACCATTCTGTTATATTTTATTTTCAATCTTTATTGGTGTGATTAACTCCTTTCCCGATATTAGTTTATATATGTAATTTTGTTCTAGATATGTGATTTCATCTTGAGCTACTGGTATTATGGGAATTAGGGATGTGTGTGCGTGAATGTGTGTGTGTTTGTGTGTGTGTAAAGGGTATTATCTCATGTAAACAATTGTATGAAAATGTATGAGACCCCAGGAAGACTAGCATCTGCATTTAGGCAGAAGCTAATGAGGATCTCAATAAAACGAAACGAAACTTACAGTTAATGTCTTTCTAAAGGGCAGCAGTATGCTGGGGCAGCTCAACAGGTTGAGCGGGTTGTCCAGTAATCAGAAGGTTGCAGGCTCGATCCCGGCTCTGGACAGAGAATTCTGCTGTTGTGTCCTTGGGCAAGACACTTAACCTACCTTGCCTGCTGGTGGTGGTCGGAGGGACCGGTAGCGCCTGTGCTCGGCAGCCTCGCCCCTGCCAGTGCGCCCCAGGGCAGCTGTGGCTACATCGTAGCTCATCACCATCAGTGTGTGAATGGATGAATGATACACTGTAGTGTAAAACACTTTGGAGTCCTCCTTACTCTGAGAGGCGCTATACAAGTGCGGGTCATTTATCATTTAAAGCAGATTTTATATATACTTTGGCCCCAAACCTCTTATGTTGCAAGTGTTTCTTCAAAACTTTTCTTATTTTATGATTTTACTTTTTTTTTTACTTTCTAAATGGGCAATCGAATATTAAAAAACAGAGTTCTGGTATCAGACTCCTTTCAAAAGCACTTTTCTGCTGTTGGATTAATTGGAAACCAGCGCTCAGTTACTTGTGCTGCTTTTGGAGACGTTTGGTCATTCCTAATCTCATTTTTCCAGAGAAAACAGCACTCATGTCGTTCATACTGTTAAAACACAGACATATTTAATTATACATCTGTTTAATAAAATAAACATTAAATAATGAAACATATTTACACAGAATCAAATGACACAATACAGAAAAATATGGGTATCAAAAATGAGGCATTTGTGTGAAAGTCTCCATCCAGAAGTACAGCGGTCTGTTGATGATGATGATGATGAAGAAAAGGCGTTATGGTCTTTGGCAGATGTGGTTCCTCTGAAGGTTCCTAGCCGTAGGCGTATTTATCTGTTGGGCCTTTTTCGGTAGGAGTCATGTGTCCGCTTAGTTTCATTAAAAGCTTCACAATAAGGCCAGACTGAAATCAAACAAATGTAGAAAAAAGGTCCAATTTTTTATTTTTATCATGGAGAAAGTTGGATTGGAGAGGGTTGGCTGAAGTCCTGAACATCCTGAAATACATTAGCTAAAGGTGCATGAAGTTAGACTGACATCTTTTGGACAAATGTGAGTACTGCAGCCCATTATCAGAACGAGTCAGCGCTCAGCAACTTCCCCAGTTTGCGTGTGTTTCATGGCTGTTGCCATTTATGGATCAGCACCAGAAGATTCTAGAAGACGTGTGAGGACGAGTCATATGTAGTAAGTTGATAAGTATATCAGTAGGTCATCAAAGGATCGTCGGCTAGCAGCGCCTACACCACGCTCAGGACAATCCAGACTCTTTTTATGTGTCGTTCCACAGATGTGGAATGAACAGGGGCTTCCTTGTCGATTTTCAAGAAACTGCTGAAGACCCAGCTCTTCAGAGAGCATCTTCTAACCAGCACCCTCCCCGTCCCCCACTCTACTGCACACTCCATGTTCGCTTCCCTCTTTCATTCATTATTATTATTATTATTCATTAGGCTGCCTCACTGCCACCTAAGATTGACTGAATAGTGTTTGTCGATAGCCTCAAGGGTCGCTTTGGACAAAAGCATCTGCTAAATACATAAACATAAACATTTCTCTATAATAACTGAGTTGTTGGTTATTAAAAATGTAACTCGAGACATTTTTAGAGCCAAATTTTTGTTTTTGCATTACGTTAGCACTGTTAGTACACTGAATCGCATTTGTGTATAAAATGTGCAATATAAATAAGCCGTCTTGCCTTGGCTTTCCATCGTTAGCTCTACATTAGCCTCCAGCCTTCTTTACCTAATGTTAGAGTAAAACAAAAAGGATGCCGTGTCTTCATACTTGCTTTTTAACGACGCGTACGCATGTATAAGACTAGCTGCCCCACGTAACTTGCAGATAATTTCGCTTATGTGGATCTCCTGAAATTAACGCAACGCATTTGCACGTTGCAATATACGAATAACCAGTAGGCAGAATTGACCAAATGAGCAAGACATAGTTGCCATGGTCACGCCGTCTCTGGTGTAGAGGTCTTTCATAATGAACCAGTTACTGATCTCTTCTATTGATGCTGTGTTTGTTTTGGTTGTACCTCACAAACGCATTTCTCTATCCAGTCAGAGTACTGCAGCGCGCCCCCTAGCAGAATCATCTGGGCCATTCCCATCTGTACCGGGTCAGCCCGGGCCGGGTAGCGTAGGTTGTTTACATATCTGGGTGGCCTGGTATTTTTCCGGGCCAACCAAGGCTCATTCTCAGCCCTCTTCTCGAGGGGGTCTGCTTCAGGCTGACCAGAGCCAACACACCCACTGCTGACAGCAAATTCACACCTTCCATTAGAGCAAGCCTCTGATTGGTGGGTAGAATCAGCCCACATGGGCTTAAGACAAGGATGTGTGGAATCAACCGGGCCAGGCTGGGGCCGACTGGGAATACCCGGCCCTTGCCGACCCGGTACAGATGGGAACGGCCCAATCTAGTACTACATGCAGTGCAGCAGCAAGTATGTAAACAAAGATGCAGCCTGCTGCCTGCACCAATGCGAGGTTATAAAGTATGTGTATTCCGTCCTTTAGTGTTGCAATGGTATAACTTCTGGGTCGCTCCTTTTACTTGCCAACATTCCATCCACAATGCTGCTCCTTGCTGGCCGGTTTCGAATTACAAATGTCAGCATAGTGTTTGTGTTTGCAAGCTCACATATGATTGGCTCTGAAACCAGGAAGAATGGAGGCATACGAACATGTCAACAGTTACCTGTTTGGTGTGCACAATGAAGTTCATTTTGTTGTCTCTGCTGTGGATCTGGAAGTACTGGTCGGCATGTCCCAGTTGCCACATGAACGTGCCGTACTCTAAGCTGATGAGAAGAGCCTGCAAACGAAAGTGACGCCTGTAATCTCCCCCAGTAAAACAGCCTGAAGCCAACTGGGCAGCAGCAGGTACCTTGGTTTCCATGTTCATCAGGTGCAGCCCCTTCGTGTTGACCCCCACGGACACGCGGATGACTTTGTGGTTGCTAGCACTGGCCTTGGTGTAGACCTGGCCCGTGAAGAAGGCAGCTCCATAGGTCGGGATGTCCCAACAGCTCTGTAGGAAGAGCCTCTGCAAGTGGTGCATCTCTTTGCTCACTCCCTCGCTGGTGCTCAGAGCCTGATCGAGCAGAAAGGGTTACCTCGAGGCGCAGTGGGGCTTTACGTTAAAGTTGAATTCAAACCAAAAGAGTACTTTGTATTCATGAAGGATCCTGCTGGTCCAGTGGTATGCTTTGCTTTTCACCTTCGATATCGGCACTATTGATTTCAGGTTTTCCTCACTGGTGAAACAGAAACATTAAATCCAACAACAAATGCATTTGACCGAGTTTCGTTTTCTTGCATTAGAGGTTAGCCTCACTTAAGGAAGCCTTGTTTGTGCTTTTTGCTCTCATAGTTGCCATAGATGATCTGCAGGAGCAGGCTCGCCAGTGTGATCAGCTTGCTGTCCGGCGCTGGAAAGAAACCCTTCAGGAGGCAGTGACGGGCCTCGTCGAAGAGGATGAGGATGGCCAGCGGGTCCTCAACCTTGTTTAAAGCAGTAAGAACCAGAGTGGAGATATTTTTCTGGATTCTCCAACACAGTGAAGGCTGTAAAATAAAACGGAACGTGTTTTTAAACACGCGGTACCTTTTTTTCTATTTCCAGAGGCAGTCGGACATCCCTGCGCAGGAAGAGCTGGGGCTTCTCTCTTTGAGGATCCAACACTGTCAAGTCCGTCACAATCTCCGTCCAGATGCGCAGATGCTGCAGGGGCTTGTGGTACGGCTTCAGCTGCAGGTCTGACACACAAAACACATTTAGTATGCAACTCTGTTACTGAGATATCAGAAGATGTGGCAGCGGGACTCACGGAGGTTCTCTGAGCAGATCCAGATGGTGAAGTACTGCTGGGTCTCTTGAGAAAGCCGCATGCCCTCCATTATCTGCTGCACAGTTGTGTTGTTGCCATGTTTCAGTTCCACAGAGCGATAGGAGCCATCCATACGATAAATACGCACCTTCTCGTACTGCAGAGCACACAAACACCAACGATAACACACAGCAACGCAAGGATAACCCCGGGTTTCCACGGGAGCCGTCAGCAGCACGTCTTGCTCGCGTAAGCTGCTGCTTGGCCCTTCCCACGAGACGCGAAGCAGCAGGGGAGCAGCTGTCACCGACAGAGCACGAAGTCACACGAGTGACTTCGTCAGTAAACACAACAAGCAGGAGAAAACTACAACATGGCTCCAAAAGGTTTGTGTTTTATGTTCTGTCCGTTTTATAATCGCCAATACGGACCTGAAAAACAAAGGAGACCGCTAGCTAGGTGATAACTTCTCACGGGGCCGCACAGTTAGTAACTTTTTTTAAAAGTAAAGCAACCGGAAGGCAGTACGTTCTTTATTCTGAAAATCTCGGGAGCTTCTCTCCATTTCCGCGTCCGATTTCCTGTCTTTCCTTCCCCAAAAATGTTGAACTTGACCCGTTTCAGAGGCGTCGCGCGTAGAAAATAGAACCGGCGCGTAAAGGCCGCGACATGCTGCTCCTGAGACGCGGCCGACTCGCGCTGCTGACGGCTCCAGTGGAAAAGGTTCTGTTGATCACAGCGGTTCCTATCAGCAGCTATGACGTGCTGCTGCAGTAACGTGCTGCTGACGGCTGCTGTGGAAAGCCGGGGTAAGGCTGACAGCTGGGAGCGTGTTTGAAGAAACAGCACCATCCAGTGATCAAACAGCGTCCTCTCCTACTACATCATTTTTCGGCATCTAAAACCAGGTATTTGAAGAATAAAGTGAGTGTGTGACTCACTGGTTTGCCGTTGGCTTGCTGCAGCAGTTTTATCGTCTCCTCCCACTCGTTTTGTTTGTTCTCCTCACACACCTGGACGGGTGATCTCTTCTGCTGGTCCTCTATGTGCTGTTATGAGAAAAGGTCATAAAAGAGTCAGGTTATTTAGCCTTTTCTGTTTTTATTTTTCCAAAATTTACTTTTTATGATCTGAACTCGTTTAGTTAGGAGGGGGGGAAAAGGAATTTTGGGGGATAAACAAGCTGAAAAAGATGTAAATAGATTTAATGAGGCTCAATAAGAAACATTTGATTAGTGAATCACAAATATGAGAGAATATTTGCTTAAAGGGGACATATGACCTTTTTTCTTTTGTTATAATAGCTCTATGGTCATCATAAGTTTCCTCTCACATGAAGCAATTTCAGCAGTTTTATTCTTGCCAGTTTCAGTATATTCCAGAATGAGCCGTTTCAGGGCTCTGTCACTTTAACAAGCCGGAGCTGGCCATGCCCACCCCTCCCTCACTCAGGCTGCTATAAGCTGAAAAGCTCTGATATCTAGAAGGGGATCCGAGTAGAGCCGCTGCTCCTCCTGTGGCAGCTCTCTCCTGCAGGGGAGCGGTAGTTCTAAGCTAATTTCCCGTTTGTGATGTCACAAATGTCAACTTTTTGAAACGGCTTGTTTTAGTCACACAATTCCTAAAACCAAACGCTGACAGAAAATGGATGGACAGATTTTTCTCACGTTTGGAGTGTTTAAAGCGGCAATAGAGACCCACATGGCAGCACAAAAGGGCGAAAGAGGTGAATCTTGCACAATATGTCCCCCTTAATCACAAAAATCTGCACAACTAGACAAAAAAAGAAACTCTTTTTCATGTTTGGTACCCGGTCGATCTCAGGATGCTGCAGGAGAAGCTTCACTATCTCGGCGTGGCCTCCTCTGGCTGCAAAGTGAAGAGGTGAGCTGAGCTGGCCGTTCAGCAGATTAGGATTACAGTTGCCTTTCTCCAGCAAGAGCTTGCTGGCTTCGACTTTACCGTGCCTGGAATCAATCGCAACATAAAACAAGGATGAAGCCAACCCTTAAAAAGCAACGTTCTCTGGAAAACCTTCCTCAGACTCACCAGCAGGCGTAGTGTATCGGAGCCCAGTGATCGCTGTCCAGTTGCTTGACTGAGAAACCGCTTTCTAGAAGTTTGGAAAGCAGCTCAGTGTCTCCTTCACAGGCACTGCGGTGGAGAGGGAAGTCCTCCACCCACTGGTGTTCCCTACGGACACAAGTTTCAGTGTCAAGGAAGCTAAAGGAAGGTGGAAAGGCAGGAAAAAGTTAACATTTAATGGAGCGCTAGCCCTCACTTGTCTTCTGGAACACACTTGGGGCCATGTTGCCACTTTTCCCTTTTGGGAATCTGGATTTTGGAGTAGTCTGGTGCTCCAAGCCCAAAGTACGGGTTTATAATAACTTTATCCACCTGGAAAACAAGCCAAAAGAGTTTTGTTGCAAAGAAAACGTGAAAAGCAGCTTCCTTTGTTTCGAGGAGGTCTCGTACTCTGTTAGTGTACTGTAGATCCGAGCCAAACAGCGGATTCAGGATGCACATGTCGGCCTTCTCCAGGGACATCATCTTGCTTTTGATCTCCAGAGCGGTGTAGCCCATGTTCAGACCTTCGTCGCTCAGTTTGCCGTCGCCGCTGTAAGCCGGGTTGTTCACGTTGGTTTTCACACGCTCAACGGGAGCCGGTCGGAAGAGAGCCGGTATGGCGTGAGGCACGGTGTGCTGCTCTGCTAACCACCTGCAGAGGAGACGGATGGACATCGGTCAAGAGTCGTTTTCTGCTACGTTAAAGACCGTGAAGATGTCCTCACTTGTCCAGGGCCAGGAGCATCTTGGAGGTGATGGAGCAGAAGTGATGACTGGTTTCACTGCAAACACGCATGATGTCCTGAAGGCAGTAAAAGACAGGACTCCCAGGACTGTGGATGGGTTTGCTGTTGTCTGTGCAGAAGGACTTGTTAATCTACGCGCGCACCTAAAACTCGCCACCGGGTCGTTTTTACTCACCTTTAACGTTAACCGGCACGACAAAAAGAGACGCCTCTTTCCCTTCGTGGTCACCTTCGAGAGTAAACTTCTTCATGTGCACCACACGCTTTCCTTCACAGCAAACATTTCATGTAATCAGATGAGGTCACATCTGGCTGTACGTGTGTGTGCAGGTGTCTCAGCCTCACCTATGAAGCTCTGATTATTTGACATTGGTCTCATTGTTTCATCGACATAATCCAAAATAGATTTAGATTTGTCTCCTGGTTTAATCCGTGTTGCCAGAAGAACTTTCTTCTTTTTTTTCTCCTTCCCCTCTAGAGGCACTTCTCTCAGCAGAATCTGCATGTGCCAGAGGAGAAATCTGCTCTACTTTTGGATTATAAAACACTTTCTTATGCACGCGTAACGGTTTTAGGAGTACCTCGTATGCTTTGGCTTTGTATTCCTTTGTGGTAAGGCTGACTTGATTCTTTGGGCGAATGACGGCGACAAATGCATCTTCCAATCCGGCGTCGTTGCCCATGGTTTTGTCTTTCCTTCAGGCACAAGTAAACATCTAACATCAGGGCCAAATGCCATGGAGAGTCATGCCTGAAACGACACCATAAAACATCATTCAACGCATTTGAAGTGTTCTCTAGTATACATGAACTCCTTGTGGGTCGATCTCTGTGGAGAAAGCAGCCCTAGCGCTCCTGTTTCAGGAACTAGAAGTTAGTCTGAGGATTGGGGGATGGAAATAGGCAGGATTTGGAGTCTTGCTCATTAATATTCATGATATGCAAACATTTCGCATCTGATTGGCTAACAGCAACTCTTCCATTGCCTCCATTTTCAATGTTGATGTTTTAACTCTAAAAATAAGGAGTTCTGCCGTGTTGTGGAGTTGCTAATGCTAACAGTTAGCTTCTGCTAGCCGAGACATGCTCATTTTTTGTCTTTGGTTAAAAAAATTAGAACAAATCCCAAAGTTTTGGCGACAGTCTTTACAAAACAAAGTAGCTAAAGAATATTTTTAAGTATTTTGTCGCCAAGTTTTTTGTTACATGTCAACACATCACAACCTTTCTGGTTAGGTGCCTTCTTCATGCCTGAATGATTTACAGGTCAGAGTTACGTTTCATACAACAAACAAAAGACATTAAAGATTTCTGCACATTACTGTTAAATTAGAGATGCACCCATGCTTCACCGGGTGTTTGGAATCAGCCAAAATTCAAAATGATCATTTTAACCGGAGATTAGTCAATCTGAAACAGGAAAATAGAATGTTTTCTCCCAGACTGTGACGACACCACGGACATTTTTACTCATCAGAAGACTTACCATCACAGAGAATTAACCAGATCATCTTTGTGGAAGTTTAATATAACGTAGTTAATCACAAATAAAATTGAAGAAATAAATGTATTCTATTAATTATGGTTCTTTAAAATAAATCAATAAAAGCCAATACTGGTATCAACATGGCATATCTGTGTAAAATCATCTGACAAATAAGTATTAGCCCTCATAACCAGAGAGCAAAGATCCAATAGTTGTTGCTTTGCAGGTTTACTGAAATGTTAGTGTTATTATTTCATGTAAACTATGCATTTCTGTAATAAGTAAATTAGGTTAAATTTAATATATGTAATGTTCTCAAATGACCATTTAGGTCCTGAGAAAAGTTCACAATTAATAGATTTAGCAAATTTTACGTGCAATAGCACGTAGAGTTCAAAAGGTATTGACACTTCATTTAATAAAACACGAAACAACAGAGAATGATAACTTTTTAGTCATTGTAACTTGAGTTCAAGGGAAGGTCACGCCCCGGAAATCAGACTTTTTAGACTGTTTTTACATGAATCGGTAACAATATTCTGTTTCACACCACATGATGCTGTTATGCCCGATGTATCACGTGCTCTTACCAACAAATAAAGTCACATTAATTTAATTCATCGTCGTTTTTCTTAGCCGGGATGTTAAACTCATCACCCCGGTTGTTCCGCTCGATAAGCAGCTGAAACTCACCGAATACTACCAGGCTGTTACTAAAACAGAACGTTCCGTCTGCCGGCTTCCCAACATCTTTTACTGTATTTATCAAATGGGTTAAAGTTAGAAATACGTCAGGTTACCTTTTAGTTTGATGTCTCAGGCGGTTTAAAGTAGTTGTAGGCCTTTTTTTTCTCAGTCTTTGGGCAGGGTTGTAGACACAAACAGAGGAATCACGTTACGTTTCATTGTAGCAGCAGACGGAAAACAGTGACACTTAGTGGCGGGGTGGAGTTACTGCAGCATGAAAAACATGATAGAAGAGGTGGAAAGAGTACCTAAATGTTGTACTTAAGTACAAGTATAATTACTTTCATGAAATTTTACTCAATTACAAGTAAAATTACCTGCCTCAAAATGTACTCAAGTAAAAGTAAAAAGTAGCTTATTTCAAATGTAGTCAAAGTAAAAGTTACTTAGTTACTTTTTTGACTGTGCAAGGACAGGCTCCTCTGAATAGTTAAAAAAAAGACAATGGGGTATAAATGTCAAAGTGGCCGTTTTTTTATTAAATGAACAAATATGCATATTGAAGTACAAAGGCAGTTACACTGCAAACTAGTAACATAAATTAGGTTATAGTCACAAGCCCATGACTTTTCCCTGGTCTTTCCAGGTGTATTGTAGCAAGGAAACATTTAAAACTTGCAGAATAATGATCCTTGAGGACTGGACACCACTGATTTCCAATCAATAGATCCATTCATTTGTTTTAGTAAATCATTCATTCATTTTATTGAACAGATTGTCAGTCAGATTGTATAAAACTTCAGCATTTATTGAGGCGTGACACAAAGAGGCAGACGGTCTTTTGGGATAACAAATGCAGTCAATAAAGCAATTCAAAACAAAATAAAACATACGCTTTTTAAGTACACACATAGTGACAGAGCTTTGGTCTTATTTAAATATTTTCAAATATTACATCGTTTTCCTAATTTGTATACGGTGTTTCTGGCGCGAAACCCAAAGAACATGCTTACTATGTGGGTTCAGGACGATGGGTCTTTACATTTACCAAGTACATCCTCCATCGCCGTCTGGATGTCCGTTACTCTCTTACTCCACTTCTCCTTCACCTCGTCTTCATCATCCTCTGTAACAGCTGTGTAGCCCATCAGAGCGATGAGGCCAATATGGAAGAGGTTGATAAAGTGTGAGCAGATATGCTCCATGGTTTTACGGTCGCCATCGCAGCTTTGCAAATACACCATCAGTACAGGTCTTCCGAACAGGCCACTTTTACCCATCACGCCATTGTAGAGCACATCCAGGCTTAGGTCTGACTTGTCGCGCTCGTAAATTTTCTCAAACGCCTCCATGTAGCGTTTGGCGTCGCCCGGGTTTTTCTTCACCTTTGCTACCATTTGGATGAAGGAGCTGTACTGGTGCTTGATGTACTCCTCGTACTTGCCGTAATTTTCGATCACCTCTTTGACGAGGATGTCGTTCAATATCAGACGGTTCTTTTCGGAAATGCTCTCCAGTTTGGTGTGGATCTCCTGGAAGTCCTTGTCCAGAGGGTGGGTCTTGTCGTCCTCCAAGCCCTTTCGAGCCACCTTAACCAGGGATGAGACGACTCCAAAGATGGGGTCGATGGAGGAGGCGAAGGAGGTCACTTTCTCCATTAGGGCCAACACTTTGACCGCTGTCCCCTTAATGTCTTGTCCATCAGCCATGATGCTGCTTTTCTTCGACACGACTGCTCTATAGATTACAAATTATAATGATTAACTTAATCCCATAAAACATAGCCTTGGGTTCATTGCAAGAACAATAAACATTTTTGCCCGGTAGGTTTTAGAAAGACTGGTTTTGTACTATTAAGCAAAAAGATTTTAACAAAGACACATCTCATTTGTTCGATTAAATGTCAAAAATAGTGAGAAATCCAGTTGGACTGGCTTCCAAATGAGTTTCGTCAAACATTTTTCTGACTTTGACAATCACAAATGTAATGGCACCACAGAGCCAATTGAAATCATAGTACATCTCTGTCATAGTCGTGGTATTAATCATCCTTCTCAATGTTGTCCTACTGGAAAAATAACTCGGGAACAACAGTAGGTGTGTCTTCATTGCAATAAATACAAGTCAAACTGGAAACAAGAAAAGCAGCGGCAGGTGATGAACTTCTGAATAAAACGTATGATACATATTTATGTGCCTTTTTCATGTAAAACTCAGGATGTGTTGTTGCTTGTTTTCCAGCTCTCATTTCCTGATTTCCAGCTTTTTGTAAATGAATCACTCCATCTTGCTACAGTTATTCCCAGTTGACAGTGCTCACACAGAGATTAAACATCCCCCAGATTATAGATTATAAACCACCAAGGAGGCTCGTGTTTACTCACCAGAGATAAAACAGCTTGGATCCCTCCGTCTACTGCAGCTGTCTGGCTTTCCTTTCCACCATTTTAAACAGCAGTCATGATGAGACAGCCCACTCATGCCAAATAAGGGAATAAAAAACAGGAAGTTACTCCTGCCCTGTGCTGATTGGATGAGAGGATCTCTTTCCTAGATGACTGAAGCTCCAACCACAGATTGCAACTCTAGACCTAAGTAGTCTTTTTTTTGGTCAATTGTACCTTTATTTACTTTCATAACAGTTACAGATGAGGCAATCATATACGGTGACTAAAAGTTAACAAAAAAATCAAGGTACAGCTTTATTAGTAAACAGGAAATGAACATCTCTCAGAAGTAGGGGACACTGTGGACAGGTCTTCAGTCCATCACCGGGCCACACAGAGACAGCCATTAACACACTCACTTCTAGAGTCTCCAATTAACCCAGCATGCATGTTTCTGGTCCTCCTATGAGGAAACCAAAGTATCCACAGAAACTCTGTGGCCTAAGGCTGCGCCACCACCGGAACCACACCGCCACCCTTTGTTCAAACACTTTTATTGCAATTACTCACACACACTTCAATCTGTGATAATATAATATTTATTCTTCTCAAGCTTTCGGTCAAAAGACATTCATCAGGAATTGTGCATTTTCATGCAGAGATTTCCTAGTTAAGGAGAACAGCTGATGTAAAACACCTGCGCTTATTCCACACAACAAAGCATTATGGGGGGTGGAGTTCCATTCACAAAACATAGTGCACTAACCCAAGAAGCTTACAGAATCTCATAAAAACACTTCAAAATCATCTACCGAAGGAAGAGATTAATACATTGCAGGCATCAATCTAAAAAAAGCCATCATGGAGCAAGGCAATGAAATATACATAAATAATCCAACCATTTATTATTTAGAGCAATACAGACATTTCAAAATCCTCATTAAGGCAAAATGGTTGAAGTGCATTTAAAGTGTAGCTCCAGAATAGTTCCCTTTGACAAAGTTTTGGTCTTTTGACCAAAAGCTTGAGAAGAGTAATTATTATATTATCGCTGATTGAAGTGTGTGGATTTTGTTCCTCTTCATTCAATTTTTTTATCCAGCACCTCAACCCAGATGAGCGGTGTTACTTTATTTTTATTGCAATTATTCACAATATTCTAATCTAAAAGGATTTTTTTAAAGCATAAACAAAATGGATTCTATCAAAGGAAAAAAACAGCAGAAGTAAAATCACTAAATAAAAAGCTAAATGTGCTAATAATGTCATTTCTGGATTGTGACTCCTTAATGACATTCTTGAGGTTTTCTGTCTTTATACATTAAATTTTTACTAAATATAACTTTATTAGAAGATACAATCTTTTATATATAGAGCCTCACAAGATAAAAATCACAAGGCGCGAAGAACAAAAATCTAAAAACAACAATTAAAAGGATTAAAAGTATCATAAAATTTTAAAAAATGTTATAAAACATTAAGGAAAGGGAAAGAGAAAATGAATAAGAAAGAGGTAATCAGTGGATCCTGGGAAAGGCGGAGTTGGTAGAAACAGCAGAACAAGGAGAGGGTCACGCTGCTTTTTAAAGGAGACCACTGAGTCCACTGATCTCAGGCTCAGGGGGAGAGAGTTCCAGAGTCTGGGGGCCACAGCAGCAAATGATCTGTCACCTTTGGTCTTTAGCCTGGTGCTGCACAACCAGTAGGCTTTGATCACTGGACCTCAGGGACCTGCTGGAGGTGTAGGGACTAAGAAGATCACCAATGTAAGATGGTGCTTGTCTATGTAAGGCCCTATAGACCAGAACCAGGATCTTGAAATGGACCCTGAAGTTGACTGGCAGCCAATGAAGCTGGAGGAGAAGCGGGGTGATGTGGGTGTGTTTGGAGGACTTGGTCAGAAGCCGAGCACAGGCATTCTGAACCACCTGTAGACGGTTCAGGGAGGTTCTGCTCAGACACGTGAAAAGAGAGTTACAGTAGTCTAAGCGTGAGGAGATGAAGGTGTGGATAACAGACTGAAGTTTTGTGCTATTTTATAAGTGATGGTTTAACACTGTATTTAGTTGTTAGAGGAAGTGGTTTAAGGTGTTTTAATGGTGTGGAACACTGATGATTTTTTAGTGATTATTTCTGATTAGAATCTGTCACTCTGTCTAGCTTCTGACAGAAAAACCTGACCACTCACGTCAAGTGGTCCCTTGGACTCGTCCATTTTGGCTCGTGATGGGGAACTGTTGTTGTTTTAGCTTCCAGGAAACAGCATTGAACCTGTTGGCTAGCAGGAGCTAACCATTAGCATTAGCAACTCCACCACATGGCAGAAGTTCCTCCAGGACTGGGTTATGCATCTGCGTCTTCCCTCATGTGTCTCCTCGTGTCCTCCATCCCTCTCTAGGTTCCCATTTTGTGTCTCATTAGCAACCTCATGTGTCCTTTGTCTGCGTCTCATTTATGTGTCTTCTGTTGCAGCCCTTTAGATCATTCTTCCCAGGTCCCGTGTTCATTCGGTCATCCCCAGCCCCTCCAGGTGTAAACCTAAAAACTATGAAACACAAAACAAAACCTAAAGACTGAGGGAAGGACACACACACACACACACACACACACACACTACACTGAGCTGGGGAAGGACACACACACACACGTAAAAGTTTCTTTTTGGCTGAGTCCAGATGAGCCAAGTAAGGTAAGGCAGGGAAACGCCATCAGAGGAGCCGTCTGCATCAGGTCTTATAGTTCTACTGGAACTATAAGACCTATTTCTGTTAAAGAAATAAAAGCAGTAAATGTCTGTGGTAAAGAACACCACAATATTAGGATTTAACCTTTAAAATTAGTTCCCCTTTTTAAGGGTGTTTTTCTGTAACCCGTGATGTGGTCAAAAAGAAAGATTTTTGTAGAGAAATGTCAAAATACATTTTATCTGGTTGTTGTTTGGAGTTTTCTGACAGATAAATTTAAAGGGGTTCTAGAACAATTTAATAACCGTTCTTTGAACCTCTCTAGACTAATTTGGCATGCGGTTTTTTTAGGTCACCATCTTGCAGCACCGCCATTGCTGAGATGACACTTCAGTGACTCACTCATTAAGCTGAAACGTGATTTTATGTAAATGATCGTTTGTTCTTTCTTCTCTTCTTCTGTCATTGTAAACTGACCCTCTAGTTAAAGCATTTTTTAATGTTGGTAACTGCTCTTTTAATGTTAACCTTTGAGAGTTTTTTGTTTTGCATTATCTTGATAATGCTCGCCATCTGTTTGCACTTGTTTTTAGAACCTTTTACAACAATTAAAACCATTTCAACTCCACTGTCGTATTTCTTATGTTACCCCCTCCTTCGCATTTTAACGTCTCCTGTCGGGGACGTAACGTAACAGGGCCGTGCAGAGACCTTTGACGGGGCGGGTGCTCAAAGAAAAAAAATGAGGCATTTAGAGCAATCCAACAAGTTAGAAAATTCAAAACTTGAGAAAATTGGGTTCAAACATAATATATCAATTGGTGTCATTAGTGTTAATGTTCATAATAGTTTTAGTTTTTAAAGCTGACTTATATCTAGAGATGTTACAACCACATTTTTGCCCCTGATCTGAGTCCAAGTTGTTTGATTTTTGAATATCTTCCAATACCGAGTCCTGTTCTGATACCAGGTGGTGATGCAACGCATTATAAAAGAAAGAAGTTGTCCTTCTGTCTGTATTTGTCATTTTGTTATTTTAGCCTGAAAAGGTCACTCATTCAGGAAGTACATTAACAGAAATTAAGATTCAAGATACTTTATTGCCATGTCATGATGGGTGGCAATTTCCTGACCCACGACAAGCAGAATCACTCGCAGAAACAGGCAAGTGTGTAAAAGGGTTTTTATTTTTAAATGAGCTAAAGGAGAGAGGGGAACCGAAGATGCTCTGTACTGGCAGCAGGATTCCAGGAGGAGGTTCTGAGGGGAGAGACAGAGTGGAATAATGGAGATTATGTCTTGAGACGGAGCTTACTGTTTCTTGGTAGCAGAAGAATGTACAGGGAGGGTTTTGGTCAGGTCCAGGTGAGCAGAGGAGATCCAGAAGGCAAAAACTGATTTATCCAGAGGGGATGTAGAAGCAGAGGTTGATTAGGGCAGGTGAGTGGCTGAGAGCAGGCGGCCAGGGGAGGAGGCAGTGTGGTCTGGAGTGCAGGAGTCCGGGTTGGTTCTGGAGAAGGAATGTTGAGAGAAACCTGAAGGAGCGCAGGGAAGGACATTCAGGATTTCAGGCTGCAGGTTAACTAGAACAAGAAACAGATACGAGCCATGTTCGAGGCTAGAGCTACCCAAAACAGTAATCATCCGGCATAGTGAAGTGTCACACTGCTCCTTAAATCCCCTGGGCCTTGATGACATGATCAGCTGCAGCTGGTAGCTCTCAGACACAGCCACCTGCAGTGTTGGGAGTAACACGGTACAAAAGTAATTAATTACTGTAATGCATTGCTTTTTGCTGTAATGTGGTAATGTACGGCATTACAGGGAAAGAAAATGGTAACATTTACTCGGTACAATTGTCAGTAACGCGGTAATTACAATGCATTTTTAAACCCAGAATCAAGATGCGGGTTTCCTAAAAATTCAAACTGCGGGAAGCCTGAAAAAAGATCCAGTATCCACATATGTGACGTGATTTATGGACTCAGCTTTGCGGAGAGGACGCAGCGGTAATGGCTCAAATACTCCAACTGCGTCCTGCGCGCAGCCGCTGTTATATTCACAAAATCGCTCCACCAAAACAAAGTGATTCGTTTGTGATCGTTTATATCAGCTCATATTCTCTGGTACTTCATGTAATTTTCAGCTGAGTTCATAATTTGTGCGCCGGTGATTTCAACTCATTGCTGCTGGAGCGCAGCGCATAATATTAAGCTGTTTATTTATTTATTTATTTATTTTGCGTTCGGTAGATCCCTTTGGCTGATTAGTTAGAAAGTAGGAAATCTAGGAAACAGTTTTTCTGGAAGACGGAGAAAGCATGCAGCATGCAGGAAGGTTAGAGAGAGAAAGGGCTGGAAATTATTCACATAAAATAAAATAAAAAATAAAAAAGTAGGTAGATTTCTCTCCAATACACATTTTTACCAGTGAAAAGCAATAATATATAAGCATTTAACATTTATACATGTGATAGAATCAGATCACCCCAGAAGTCAGTCCCACATCCAGGGCCGTATCAAGGCATTTGGGGACCAAGGCAAATATAGGCTTGGAGCCCCCACCACCTTACTCCCTGCTCAGTTAATATAAGATGGCAGCGTGCTGAGAGTACAGATTGTTGTTGCTTTTATGTAATAAACAATCATCTTAAATAACTGTTATTATATCTGACTGTTTTTAACAGCAATCCTAGCTCAGACACCACATCACTAATCTGAACTCGAGCGGTGTTTTGTTATTGGACTTCTGTGCAAGCCGCAGTTTGGCCATAACGAACACCATGTTCGAACATAAGGATGCCCACCGGTACACTTGGTACCAGGGCAGCCTAGGTCACAGGTCGATGATAGATTTTGTAGTCGTATCATCTGACCTGCGGCCGTATGTTTTGGACACCCGAGTGAAGAGAGGGGCGGAGCTGTCAACTGATCACCACCTGGTGGTGAGTTGGATCAGATGGCAAGGGAACAAGCCGCGTAGACCTGGCAGACCCAAACGCATAGTGAGGGTCTGCTGGGAACGCCTGGCAGAAGAACCTGTCAAGACGGTCTTCAACTCCCACCTCCGGCAGAGCTTTGACCACGTCCCGAGAGCAGTGGGGGACATTGAGTCCGAGTGGGCCTTGTTCCACTCTGCGATTGTCGAGGCGGCTGTTGCTAGCTGTGGTCGTAAGGTGGCCGGTGCCAGTCGTGGTGGCAACCCCCGTACCCGCTGGTGGACACCAGAGGTTCGGGGAGCCGTCAGGCTGAAGAAGGAGGCCTACAGGGCGTGGCTGGTCTGTGGGTCTCCGGAGGCAGCAGACAGGTACCGGATAGCCAAGCGGCGTGCAGCAGTGGCAGTTGCCGAGGCAAAATCTCGGGCGTGGGAGGAGTTTGGTGAGGCCATGGAGAAAGACTATCGATCGGCTCCAAAGAGGTTCTGGCAAACTGTCCGGCGCCTCAGGAGAGGAAGGCAGCAACTCGCTCACACTGTTTACAGTGGGGATGGGGAGCTGCTGACGTCAACTGGGGCTATAGTCGGACGGTGGAAGGAATACTTTGAGGAGCTCCTCAATCCCACCAATGCGCATTCCGAGGAGGAACCAGAGCTGGGGGGCCTGGGGATGGACTGTCCGATCTCGGGGGCAGAAGTTGCTGAGGTAGTCAAACAACTACACAGCGGCGGAGCCCCGGGGGCGGATGAGGTTCGTCCTGGGTATCTCAAGGCTATGGATGTTGTAGGGCTGTCATGGTTGATACGTCTCTACAACATTGCGTGGTCATCGGGGGCAGTTCCTAGGGAGTGGCAGACCGGGGTGGTGGTCCCCATCTTTAAGAAGGGTGACCTGAGGGTGTGTTCCAACTATAGGGGGATCACACTCCTCAGCCTCCCTGGAAAGGTCTACGCCAAGGTACTGGAGAGGAGGGTCCGATCGATAGTTGAATCTCAGATAGAGGAGGAGCAATGTGGTTTTCGTCCTGGCCGTGGAACTGTGGACCAGCTCTATACCCTTGCAAGGGTGATGGAGGGGGCATGGGAGTTTGCCCAACCAATCCACATGTGCTTTGTGGATTTGGAGAAGGCTTATGACCGTGTCCCCAGGGGCACCCTGTGGGGGACGCTCCAGGAGTATGGGGTGGGTGGCTTTCTGTTAAGGGCCATTCAGTCCCTTTACCAGAGGAGCGTGAGTTTGGTCCGCATAGCCGGTAGTAAGTCGGACCTGTTCCCAGTGAGGGTTGGACTCCGCCAGGGCTGCCCTTTGTCACCGGTTCTGTTCATCACTTTTATGGACAGAATTTCTAGACGCAGCCGTGGTGTGGAGTGTGTCGAGTTTGGTGGCAGGAGAATCTCGTCTCTGCTTTTTGCGGATGATGTGGTCCTCCTAGCTTCATCCAGCTCTGACCTTCAGCTCTTGCTGGGTAGGTTCGCGGCCGAATGTGAAGCGGCTGGGATGAGGATCAGCACCTCCAAATCTGAGACCATGTTCTCGACCGGAAAAGGGTGGCTTGCCACCTCCGGGTCGGGGGAGAGGTCCTACCTCAAGTGGAGGAGTTTACGTATCTCGGGGTCTTGTTCACGAGTGAGGGTAGTGTAACGCCTTACATTTTAAAATCAGTAATATTGTAATGTAATGAATTACTTTAAAATGAGGGTAACAAGTAATAAATAATGCATTACAGTTTTGAAGTAACTTGCCCAACACTGGCCACCTGTGAACAATGCTCAGAAGGAGAACAGGGTTACAGGCAGGCAGCTCACCACGGACCATGACAGTAAATCTACTGATGCTGAAGATGATTTGCATTAAAACCTAAGCATTTGCATGTGTCATGTTGCAAGAAGCAATCATGTAATGAATCCAGCTCTGCAGCTGCTGGGCCATTCAGGAACCTTCATCCAATCACATGTCAACATGCAGGTTGTAACTGCAAGATTTTTTTAATTTTTGTAAAAATAAAAATGATTAAGAAATACATTGATTTTGAAAATAGCTCTTCAAGAAATACTGTTGTAATTTTTTATTGCATTCTGTTAGTCTAGAATAAAATAAATATGATGAAATAAATATTTTTTTCAGTTTATTTTTCTCAAAAAAATTATCTTCAAATTATTCTGGTGAGTGCTGGTGCTGCTGTAACAAGGGAATTTCCCCACTGTGGGATCAATAAAGTCTGTTCTATTCTATTCTATTCTAACAATCGCTTTCTGCTATGATTAATAATGTATCTTCCTTCAGTGCATGTAACAAAAAAAATTCATAAACAAGTTGACTCATGAGTCAAGTAGTTTTCATACCTCCAGATTTTTGAAGAGAAATCATAACAAATAGGCAGTAAGCTATTATTGTAACCTTCGACCACTAAAAACTACAAATAAAAATGAAAAACTTGGGTTCCAGAACTATGCAACATGTTGTAAGGGACACAGACATACCATGTAAATCTGGTATTGCACAAGTATTGAGCACATACTGAATACTGCAGTGGTGTTATTGTGTACCAGGATAATGCCAGTGCAGCTTAAACTGAGGAGTTATACACTCTTGCTGCAGAGGGGATGAAAGACCTACGGTAGTGTTCTGTTTTACATCTGGGATGTCTCAGTCTGCCTCTGAAGGAGCTGTCCATGGTCTCCACAGTGGAACGCAGTGGGTAGGAGGGGTTCTGTAGGATGGAGGTCACACATGGCTGCAGTCTTCTTCAGAGCTCGCTGCTGAAGTTTCAGTCCTCCTCCTTTTGTACAGCATCAGATGTTGAGGTGACTACAGGTCCCATTTTTCATGTGATGTCATCACGCCACCTGCACTTCCGTGCGTGCAGACGATTACAATTGTACTGGTGCGCGTGCTACTTTACGTCTGCTGGTACTATATACGTCTTCTACTGGTGCTACAAGTGCTGTCAGACATGCGTCAACGCTGTGGCCGTCTTGTGTCGGGGTTCTGTCTCCAGAGGGTCCGGTCCAGTTGGGACAGAAAGAACGTTTAGCTGCTTCTGCTACTTTGGTTCTCCACTCATCACAAGCTCACACAGTTTGCAAAAGAACACCACTGATGTGAGAGGTTCTCCATTCAATGTTTCTTTTATTGTATTTTTCAGCAGGCTGTACAACAGAAATAGTTTTCTATGTCGTAGAATCCAAGTTATCTTATTTTGAAATCCTGTTTTTTGCGGTTGCGGTTCTTATCAATGTTCTGCCTTTCTGTGACATGAATGGAAAAAGTGTGAGAAAACAGTCAGCCACTGCAGACGTGTATACCGTCAGTGCTGGTTTATGTAAACACGTGAGTTATAGTTAGTGTTCTGGTGCTGTTATACCCAACTTTTACTTTTTCAAATGGAGTCTGAAGTATCAGTCAGGCGGGGTAAACCCTGGACAGAGAGCCAGTCCATCGCAGGGCAACACAGACACACACAGGACAAACAAACACACACACACACTCACACCTAAGGACAATTTAGACAGACCAATTAACCTAACAGTCATGTTTTTGGAATGGGAGGAAGCCGGAGTACCCGGAAAGAACCCACGCACGCACAGGGAGAACATGCAGAAAGATCCCAGGCTGGGAAGCGAACCCAGGACCTTCTCGCTGCGAGGCAACAGCTCTAACCCGAGTCTGAAGTATTTGTTTTGTAATTTTCTAAATAAATGATATGATTTCAAGGTGATAATCTGCCCCGCCTCACCCCCCACCCCCCAGTCATTTGCATCACCGCTCTTCCACCTGCTCCTCTGTGTTATTTCCCACCGTAATGTTCCAGGTTAACACTCCGGCCATCTTTTGGTCTCCTCTCTGTTTTTGTCCATCATCCACTGACTCTCGAACCGGACTGAGGACCGCCTGGACTCAGGTGTGAACTGAAGTGAACATCAGCAGGTTTGACCCAGCAGAACGGAGTGTTTTTGGGATTAGAGGGTTTAAGTGTTCCATAGAATGGGTTAGGATGAGTCAGCCGAGGCTTAGACCTCAGAACAGAATGGAATTGTTTGGTTTTACAAAGACAAATGTCCCTTTTGAGTTCACTAGGCTGGATGCTTTTGCGTGAAATGTTTTTTTTTTAGCTTCGTTTAATTTAAAAATATTATTGTGAACAAATACTGAATCTTATCTTTCAATATCGTGCATAACCGTTTACTCAAATTCCTCACATAGTTTTGACTTACTCGGCCAATGTACCCCGATGTTTTTAGGATCCGTAAATCAGACATAAGGACTTACATCAGACGAGGTCCAGGGAGAATGTACAAGCTGATACCACAGCTGATGGTGCTGCTGGGGTGAGTACGTTCAAAGGTTCACAAAGTAAAAACCAAAGATTAAACAATCACTGACTGTAAGTTAGTCAAGTGTGAAAATATTCTTCTTAGGGCAGAAAAAATACAACACTGAAGTAGTGTCAGTATAATTATTTACCTTGTGTTATACATTAGTCACTGTTTATGTACATAATAGACATGTCACATGTGTGCTTATAAAAGGGTTTTAAAAGAAGTTTTGTTACATCGGTCTAGTCATCTGACCTGACCTGATCTAAAAAGCTAACATTAGTATTAGCTTCATGCTAATTCTGACTATAGCAATTTCACTTTCTGGATGCAAAAGTAACAAAGAGGCATTTGAAATTGGATGTTGGACTTGGGCTCAATTCTGGCCTGTAGGACCTACTGACTTGGCTCTGACACCGACTGGATGTGACTTGGACTGGAACACTAAGAACTCGGCAAAACTGCCACGTACAAATCATGCACATATGATGTATTTATACTTAATATACCTGCAAGTCTGTTTAATTCATGTCATTTTATAAATCTAATGTTTCGATTGGAAAGTTGTGATTTGATGACTTGTTCTTTCTTAGGACAGGACATCAATTATCTAAAGTTTGTACTTTTTTAGAGCGATTGGTTTTAGTCGTGGTGCCATTCAAAGACCCGATTATGATGACACACCCATCCCGGAGTTCCTCAACCCTTTCTGGATGGCCGGCATCCCTGATGATAGGCCTCTGTCTGAGGTCACCATGCCAGGAAGCCACAACACCATGGCCCTGTACGGTGGTGTGTATGCCGAGTGTCAAACCTGGAGCCTGGCCTCCCAGCTCCGGGCCGGCGTTCGGTTTCTAGATGTCCGTGTGCGTCACGTCAACGGGAACCTTACCATTCACCATGGGGTGTCATACCAGCGGGCTCATTTTGGTCATGTCTTAGAGGCCGTGGTTGACTTTCTGCACGAAAACCCAACTGAGACGGTGCTGATGCGTGTTAAAGAAGAGTTCAGTGAGACGAATAACATCTATGGTGCTGTGGTAGACTACATCCATCGGTATGCTTACTGGGACCTGTTGTGGCACAGCCGACTAGTGCCAACCATGGGCAAGGCTCGAGGGAAACTCATCATCCTGCAGAACTTCACTGGACCAGACTTGGGGATGCGCTACAACTCCCTAGACATAGCGGATGACTGGAAGGTATGAAAAGTTCTCATTTTAGTTGTTTGAAAAAAATACATCTAATGCTGCTGTGCAATAAAATAACACTGAGTTCTAGTCTAAACTGTGTGTCCATGGACGTAATTTTCACTTTAGAAGTGGGGGGGGACATGGGGGGGGGGGGGATCTTTACAGTATGCTCTAATGGGAAACAGGCTTCAACACAAACGGTTGTTTTCTGCTTGGTCCTAGAGCTCAACCAGTGTCAATTAAATATAGCGTAATATTATTTTTGGATGGTAAAAAGTGCAGGGGTCAAAACTTGACTTTGGAAAAAGTGGGGGGGACATGTCCCCCCTGTCCCCCCCCAAAATTACGTCCATGTGTCCTTTGGTTGAGATTTTGTTCCAAACATCTTGGGAGCTCTACTGAGTTTGCAGTGTTTCTGCAGGTGCCCACACTTTTGCACCTGAGGGAGAAATGGCAGAGTGTTTACAAACACCTGGAGGCTGCACCTTCCGGAAACATGGCGCAGATCTTTCTCACCTACATCAGTGGGGCCGGTGTGTTTGCTCACCCCAGAGCTGTCGCACAGCGCATCAACCTAAAGCTATACGAATACCTCCGGGATAAGCCGGATCGGAACCATCGCTTCGGAATCATATGCCTGGACTTCCCTGCTGCCCCAATTATCCAAATGATCATTGACTTCCAGTTTAAATAGGCCATTAAAGCCAAAAAAGTGTTACAGGATATGTACAGCTGCTCAGTAATAGTGACCAAACAGATAATGTTTGACTTGTTGTAAGTTCTATTCAGCCTTTCAGAAAACAGAAGTCATTAAAAAGGTTTTCAATGAGAAATAATTGGATTTAAAAGATGCCCAACAGCTAAACACTTTGGGATAAAATTAATAAAAAGATAAAACATCACAAAAATAAATGAAATGCTTGTCACGTGTCTGTTTTAGCTCTTCTTGTTCCCCGGTTTCCCCAAAGAAAACAGTTGGCTGACTACTGGTAAGAGGGCTTTTCCTAGTAGTTCCAAATATGATCGATGACAAACATCAGGTTAAACCTGAAAACGGGGAATGTGCCTAACAAGTTGATTGTTTGTGACTCTCTCTCCATAAAAGGTAAAATCAGCTCAAGAATAAAGAAACTTTAAAAAGCCTAAAGGTTCAACATTAAAGGTTTTATATACTCATCCATGGGCATACCTGTGTTACAGTGTAGTGGTAGTTACCTCTTTTATCACCACATGGTGGCACTGTGACTACATCTTAGCAGAGGCAAAGCAGGGCAGCTTTATTTGTAGAACACATTTCATACACTGGGGCAATTCTATGTGCTTTCCATGAGCAAGAACAGCATGACAGCATAATTAAAGCACACTAGTTAACTTCTGATTTAAGTCAAAGTTAAGTGCAGAAAGTACAACACAATTATTTAAAGGCTGATGAATGCATGAAGGTTTTTTAATTTTGATTTAAAAGTTACAAGAGTTGGGGCACGTTTGAGGTCATGAGGGAGCTGATTCCATATGTGAGCCGCATAGTAGCTAAAAGCAGCTCCGCCCTGTTTGGTTCTGACCCGCGGTTCTACTAGCTGACTGCTTCCTAAAGATCTCAGAGCCCTGCTGGGTGTGTATGCTTTGAGGAGACCCAACACATATTTTGGTCCCATGCCATTGAGTGATTAATAAACTAACAGTAGCACTTTGAAATCGATTCTGTGGTTTACTGGTAACCAGTGTAGAGACCGTCTCATCCAGTTTATGAGTCTATCAGGAAGGATGTTGTGGTCCACAGTATTAAAAGTAGTACTGTAGACTGATGCACAACACGTGTTCTTTACTTGAAATTTTAAGCTAATTGGAAAAGTTGTCAAATTTCAACAAGTAAAAAAGTGACTTCAGAAAACCAAACGTTTACATTTTTTTATTTATAGCCAAACATTTGCTCCATTTTATCCCAAAGAAAACCATAAGCACGTGTTTCATGTATTTATTTATTTATTTTTTTATTACCAGGAAAGACTCTTGAGACAAAATAATCTCATTTACAAGAGTGTCCTGGCCTTAACAGTCAGTAATAACAGCGGTCCACATTCCCTTCAAGTCTACGTTTTCTACCACATTTCAGCAACATTCATGTTCTGTCCTAAATCAAGTGACTGGGTACTCGCACGGCTTGTGTCGGGCTTGTGATTGAACGACGGCATGTGAAATGCGTTTCATAATTTTTGATAACTTTGAAAAGCAACAAGAAATAAATGGCTGCTATTCTGTGGCCGACCTATGAAACACATTTTGCGTGCTGATTGTTTGCATCAGATGACAACTTCTGATCTAATCTAATCGTTATTTCCTCCCAGAGACGGTTGCAAAACGGTTGTTGAAGTGCTTGAAACCTGTGACTTCACATCCTGGCCAAAGACCTAATGATGTTAGCTCAGTTTGTCAAGAACATCCATGCATGCAGAGGTCTTCTATAGTTTAGCTGGCATTAAAAGTAGAACGTAGAGCTCCAAATGTATGAACAAGGACCCCTGCTGCAGAATCTGGGACTCGTTTGGTAATCAGAACCTGCATCATAAAGATGGAGTCCAGACCCCAAAGTGCCGTTGTGGTTGCAACACTTGGTAGGAATTGTTTGTTTGTTGTAAATCTGTTTTGTGTTAAACGTTATGCCCTGACCCTCTGTTTCTTATTTTTGTAGTTGTGGTGAACATTATTTGGTGGATGCAAATGTTAGCAGCCATTGGACTGGGTTGGTTTTGTTTTAGTTGCTTCGTGTAATCTGAATGTAGCATTCACTGTGTTTGTGTTTTTTTTATCCATGGGTGTGTTTATGTCCTCTGGTTGCACTGCAGGGGCCACACATCTGAACCGGTGTCCTGTGCAACCTTACATTCCCATTTACCTGATTGTTCTGGGAGCAAACGGCATCATCTCTCTGATTTTCACCTACATTACCAAAATCAAAAACGATGGAGCCATCCACGCCCTGAGCTTGGCCTGCATGACCTTCCTGCACATCTTCAGCTTTGCATGGTTAATAGCAGGTGTGACAAAAAAGAAACGTATTTCCATTCACATATTTTTCAACATTTTGCTGGAAAACCTTTGAATGCTCAGAATGTCTGTTTTACCCTCTAGGCTCTGTGTGGGTTTATGCCGTTTATCCTCCAAACTACTCTGGAACAGATCGATTCTGCCACAAGACGACCTATCTGTTTGCTTTTGTTATCACCACACTGCTGTGGGCTGCCGTGTCCTTCCTATTTATCTGTGGTGGCTGCTGCATGCTTCTGACGTGTTGCACAACTTTAGTTGCAAGACAACGCTTGATACCCAGCCGTTACTCCTTCTATGGTGCAACAGGCGAACCTGCTGCTGGTGAAGTGTGATGAAAATCTGGCTTCATCTTTAGAACGCAGATTCTGGTTCTTGTACTGGCCGTTCCTTCAGTGGTTTTCAAAGTTACATCTGCAACCAAAATTCCTGCAATTCAACACAGTCCCTAAACAAATTTGACTTTTCTTGCTTGACAAACAGCCTTTTGTATAGATTACTGCACCAGCTCTTCATCCTAATTCAGCGTTATTCTTCAGTCTCCTGTGGTCTCATGCAATGGCCGATAACGCATCACTTTCTCATTACTGATCGCATGCTTCCTGTTTAGAACAACTTAACTCTGTCAGTATTTTGAGCCAAAACAAGAAGGCTTGCAAGAAGCCCACAGAAATTCACTATTACAATTTTTTGTGTGCAGTATAAATATTTTGATATGAAAAAGGATCAGTTATACAATTTTAACTCCCTTTCACTACTGGCAACAAGCAAAGAGGTAAATGTGTACAACGATTATGAATGGCGAAAATTTTGTGACTACTTGTTATCAGTAATGGCATTTTGTCCTCACAGGCTCCCATAGAAGGAAACATGGCGTTGCCCAGAGACTTAGGCCCAATCTCAATACTCGCACTGCGCCCTGCGGTCTTCAACAAAGTGCACTTGGAGAAAGTGCGCTGTAAGGCTTCGAATGTGTGGTACACAAGTGTGCTAATAATTGCCAAATTGCGTCATCGACCGCAACTCATGCCGGGATGCTGGTCACTGTGATACTTTATTAACAACTTTCAAACGAACAACCAGTTATTTCAAATACATTTAAATTCATTGCTGCTTTGTCTAAAACATTCAGAGCATCAACTAACCATCCTAAAATAAACTAATTTCATTAGAAAATACATATATTCAGAAAAGGAACTTGAGCCTGTTCTCCCACAGCAGTGGATTGTGGGTAATATACTTCACCCAAGTCCGCATCGATGCAGACTTGGGTGAAGTGCAAAGAGTGCAAAAGGGGCGTGATCAACTTCTGCACTAGAGAATCAGGACACCCACGCACTCTCACCTCTGGTCGGGATCGTGCAATTGAAGGGCACAAGGGTGGAAGTGCGAGTATTGGGACTGGGCCATAGACCCGCTCCCATGTATTTTAGACCCAATTTTTATTGGTATCTGTTACAAAGTTGACAATATTTTTCAACTACTGGGCATCATTTAATTCTTTTCCAACAACATTTTGATGGATATTTCCAGGGATTAATGGTAAAAGCTACAAATGTCTATTTATCATCTGATCATATTTACCACAACAACAGTTTACCCATGTTTCATAAAAATAAACCTCAACAACGTTACGGCCTTCCATTGCCTTTTTCAAGTTCAAGTTGTTTTTGAAATGTACCTCTGAATGATCATTACTTACATCCCAATTGTCATTCCTGTTGCATGTAGCAAATCAGCCTAGAAATCGAGACCGTCAGTTGCTGAAGCAAAATGATTTTGCTCTCCTTGTCACAGCTATAGAATCGCTTGCCAGACTTCGCAGCATCTTGGTATTAAAGAATAAATTTAACACTGAGGGAAAAACAACTTATTGGTTGTTTTCTTTTGCTTGTTTTATTTATTTTGACAAGAATAATGGAATTAACAGCATAATGGAAATGGCTAAACAAGTATATACAGAAAACGAGAAGTTCTTGAATGGTGGAGAGAGATCTGAGGCAGAAGACAAAGCTGTCAATTTACGTGGTCAATCTACGTTCCTACCCTCACCTATGGTCACGAGCTTTGGGTAGTGACCAAAAGAATGAGATTGCAGATACAAGCGGTCAAAATAAGTTTTCTCAGGGTGTCTGGGCTCTCCCTTAGAGATAGGGTGAGAAGCTCAGACATCCAAGGAGGGGCTCAGAGTAGATCTGCTGCTCCTCGACAATGAGAGGAGCCAGTTGAGGTGGCTCAGGCATCTGGTTAGGATGCCTCCTGGACTCCTCCCTGGTGAGGTTTTCCGAGCACGTCTAACTGGGAGGAGACCCAGGGAAAGACGCAGGATATGCTGGAGGGGCTGTGTTTCTCGGCTCTCCAGGGAACACCTTGGGATTCATCCAGAGGAGCTGGCCAAAGACGCTGGGGAGAGAGAAGTCTGGGCCTCGATGCTTAGGCTGCTTCCCCCGCGACCTGACCCCAGGTAAGCGGACAATAATGGATGGATGGATGGATGGATGGATGGGAAGTTCTTGAAATAGAGAACGTTAAGTTTTCCGTGGAAAAAAAACCCAGCCTTTCAAATCCGCCTAACATAAAAATGGCCTGATTTTATTGTAGCATTGTTTTAATTGTTTTAACTTCTTTTTTTTTTCAAAACGAAAATTATGTTGATTTTTCTGTCCTTTTCATTGTTGTTATTGTTCACGCGATTATTTAAATGGTCAAAAGACAATATTTTAGATCAGGCATTATTTAGGGTCTCTACGTAGATGAGAGGGGTCCTTTTAAATCAGACAAGCGACGCGAGTTACTTTTTTTCAGTAAATCCGCTCGTTGCTGTTGTTAGTGTAGGATTGACCTCTGGAGAAATTAATGTAGGTGTCGCTGACCAGAGGTTATCGTGGACCTCTGAGGGAGTTGGGTGTGTTTGTGCCGCCGTAGAGAGGTTTGTTCCGCGGGGACTAACATGTGGAGCTTCGGCCACCGCGTCCTTCAGGAGCTGCTCAGGCAACCAGCGGTCCGGAGTTTCTCTCTGAGTCCTGTCCAGGTGGGTGTCCAGTTTGCAATTACACAGTGGTTACACCTAACACCATCTAAAAATGTAAAAATATCCACAAAATGGTCAGAAAATCGGTGTAAATGTAGATAATGGCCTTATAGCTCCAAGTTCTCTATACCAGTGGTGTCTAATTCTGGTCCTCGAGGGCCACCATCCAGCATGTGTTTGTTCCCTTCTCAAACACAGTTGATCCAGTGGTTGAATCACCTGTTCAGCAGCTCATCAAGCTCAGCAAAAGCCTGTTAATCATTTTTTAAGAGCGAGGAGGTTGCATGTTCGAAACCCAGCTGCGGCCTTTCAGCCTGGAGTGTGTGTATGTCCAGTTTTCTCATACAGACCAAAAACATGCTAGCTTAATTGGCAATTAATTGTCCCTAGGTGTGAATCCCTCTGTGTCCCTGCGATGGACTGGTGACCTGTCCGGGGAGTCCCTCACTTCTTGTATCTCTGAACAAGTCAATAACATTTAAAGGTTTATTTAAAATGAACACGTTATAAGATATTTTAGCTTAAATGAGTTATCGTTGTCATGTTTTCTCAGTGTACAGTAGTAGTGGAGCGATGGTGGCAGGTCCCTCTGTCCAAAGAGGGCTGTCCACCAAGGCTGAACCCTCGAAGACACAGAATCTACAAACTGGTGGAAGACTCCAAACACACTCCGACTGAGAAGATGGAGCTCATTCTGACTCAGACTGTGCCGAGTGAGTATCCACCAAGCGCCTAAAGGTTGGAAGTTTTTCCACAAAACCCATGAAGCCATTCTCCTCTCATCACAACAACAGAACTCGGTGGGCGAGGCGACACCGTACTTGTGAAGAAGTCTGTCGGCCGTAATAAGCTGCTGCCGCAAGGCCTGGCGGTGTATCCGTCACCAGAGAATAAACAGATGTTTGCCGAGGAGCTGAGAGTGAGAACCTGATTTAATTAATGTAATCCAAGTATTAGACAGCGTAGCTATTCATTCTAAAGTTTCCTGTTTTGATTTTTCTTTGGAAATGCAGCTTCTGCGAGAGGGACGACCAGAGGAGAGAGCTCAAACCCGAACAGGACTACTGGTGATTATATATATAAGCAGCCCCTAAAGCTTGGTTTATGCTTGACGCATTTACTTTCCGCGTGGTGATGCGGCTCACGGATGGAACGCGCTTCACAACTCGCAGCGTTTATGGTTTGTGCGGCTCGTCTCTGCGGTGAGCCAATATTCTCCCAAAATGAACGGGGCAGCATGGAGCTCTACGGCATGCACCCAACACAACACCATAGTAGAAGTAGAAATTACTGTTTACAACATGACATTCCAGCATTTTTAACAGCGTTCTCGTCTTTTCCGACGGTGCGAGCTATTTCTCTCCAAGAATTATTTACAACATGTTGATCACGGTGATCTCTGAGAGCTGAATCATACAAATGTCTGTATTTATGAACCTCTGCCATACTATGGGCCATTCCCATCTGTACCGGGTCGGCCCGGGCCGGGTAGCATAGGTTGTTTATCATATCTGGGTGGCCTGGTACTTTTCCGGGCCAGCCAAGGCTCATTCTCAGCCCTCTTCTCGAGGGGGTCTGCTTCAGGCTGACCAGGGCCAACACACCCACTGCTGACAGCAAATTCACACCTTCCATTAGAGCAAGCGTCTGATTGGTGGGTAGAATCAGCCCACATGGGCTTAAGGCAAGGATGTGTGGAATCAACCGGGCCAGGCTGGGGCTGACTGGAGCTACCCGGCCCGGGCCGACCCGGTACAGATGGGAATGGCCCACTAGTTCTTGCCAGTCCGCCATGTTTTTCCGCGTCCGTCCGTCCGCATGGTTAGAAATTTTCCGAGGTGCGCGTTGCGGAAATTCTGGGCCGTGCGGAGGCGCGGTGGAGGGGCGTGGTTGTTAAAATGACGCAACTTTTCCGCGCGGACCTCGCGGACGCGTCAAGCATAAACCATCCTTAAGAAGGGAGATGTATACGTAATTTTCAAGTGTGTACTGATGTTTTCAGACAGTGGAGTTCCTTAAAAACGCCAAGCTGAAGATCAACCGAACAACCTCTGATGAGTTCCAGCTCACTAAAGAAGTCGTCTGCAGGCAGCTTGAAAAACAGGTTTGTCTGATTTCTCGTTCTCCTTTTGTGACTTACTATTTTACTTTAATTTAACCTAAAAAGTCCTTTTATTTCTTTTTTTTTAGTGGGGACTCATCGTGCCGCTCCATGCTCTGAATCTTCCATTTGAGCCAATCAAGGAGTTGGGCGACTTCTGGTGTGAAGTTACTGTAAGAAATGTTTTATTAGCACGTTTATTGCAAAACTGTCTTCTAAATATTTGAGCTTTCTGGAAGCTGCTGGATTGGAAACAGTATCACAATATAGTGTATCTAATTCTGTTTCTGATGCTACTCGTTTTGAAGGTTAACGGCCTGGACACAGTTCGAGTCCCCATGTCGCTGCTGCCGTATGAAGACCCATCTGCGAGTTACCAGAAGCTGCTGAAGGCACGGCGGAAGCAGCAGGAAGCTTCAGGTTTATTAGAGGCTGATGAGGATTCTGTTGGTGATGCAGCAGAGGTGGAGGCTGGTGGAGACTCTGTGAGTGGAAACAATCAGACGACACAAACGGCTGCACCAAGCGAAACCCCGGATGAAAAATAAAGGACTCCAGATAAAAAAAATGATCATAAAAATAAAACTGAAACTAATTTTCCTGTGAGATTTCCGAGTCTTGTGACAAGAACGGTGCAAAGTCACTGCTAATGCTTCTAATCGGATCTTTTTCTGCTTCATCTTTGGCAGGTCGGTAATAAAAAAAACATCTAAGGAAGCAAGAAAATTAAAAATGTTTATTGTTTTTTTTTGTTAAACCACACACAACACAGGCACAAGGTAAACAAAAGAGGTGTTTGGAGCAACACTTAAATACGTCAGATTATGAATTTGGAATGTTGATACAAAACTGCAGTTGTTGTGTTTTTACATGTTTTCCGTCCCAAAGCTGTGATCAGGTTCAACCGAGTGTGTAAACGTATCCTTACTTACACCAAATGTAAATATGACGTTTGGAGGTGTTTGTAAAATGCTACCGGTGTTGCTACAGCAGACTGAACGCCACAGGAGGGTCATCTGCTTGTTGCTTTTGGTAAAAAATAACTTTACAATCACAGAGTTCATATCTGAACACATGAAGGTGAAAATCCAGGATGAGGTTCAGAACATGCATTCAGGGAATCTGGAGTTGGACAAAATGAGCGCACATTCTGAACTGCTTCACCTAAATAAAACACCAAAGATAGAGGGGGAAAGCTAATAAAGGTAGAAATATAAGATACTAGCATTCCTAATAAAATTAGCATTTAGCTCTGCCTAATCGGTCACTCGTGGCTCAACTCAGCTAATGAAACAGAATTTTTCACCTGTATGATTTATTTGCTATAATGCTGCATAATCACCAGAAAGTCGTGTTTGGTTCTCTGGTTGGTTTTCAGTTACAGAAATAATAAAATATCAAGTTTTCAGCATCATTCATACAAAGTTGTGGTTTTTATGAATACACATGTGACCACTTTCTAACACCAGCTCCTTATGATCATAAACCTTTAATCTGCGATTCCCAGAGAACCAAACACTTCTCATGTTGACACAAACAAGAAGGAAAACGAGAAACCGAAAAGGAAAACATTTAGAATTGTATTTGTTTCTCCCTCTGGCTGACCACAGCTAGGCTTTTATTCAGGTGTGGTGATTTGTTTCCTTTAAAACGAGTGGCAGAGATGGGTTTGGGTCGACATCATGGGAAAAAAATGGTTTTTAACAACAGATTTAAACTGTACATTAGAGAGGAGAGGCTGGAAAATAATCTGGGCCACGTATACTTTGCTCCTATTTCATTAATAAATCCAGTATTTCTGTATACCATTACAGTCCACAGCGGTTGTTAGAAGCCGTATTTGGCCTGGGTCTGTCGGCGGGTTAGCCTGTTTTCTGCCCAGCTGTTCTTCAGCTCCAGCTCACGTTCCTTAGCCTGGGGGAAAAAAAGCAAAAGGTATCTCAGCCGATTTCCTCACAGGATCAAACGTGTGCCACGGCACTAAGACTGACGTTGGCTGATAAATTAGCATTATTCAAAGTGTCATTTGAGTCGTGTGTGTGTGTGTTTGGTCACTCACCTGGTGAATGAGATAGGTTATCTGATGCTTACGCCTCTGCTGCCCCGTCGGTTGTCCTCCTCTTCTCTGCAGAAAGACATAAAAACTCCAGTTACAACTGAACTCTTCATTTAATAGAAATAGTTCCTCCTTAAACACCATAAAATAAACACCCAACAGAGAGAGAAACTATTTCACAACCAAACCAAGAGAACACCTGACCCAGTGAGCCCAGAGGCAGAGCCTGGCTATAGTCACCTTGCCGTAAGACTGTCGGTTCTGCTTTTCCTCAGAAATGCTCTTGGTCAGCCACTGCTGGTTCCCACTCAGCTGGTCGTCCCCTTTGATCTCCAGAAACCTCACCTCCTCCTTGCCTCGGTTTCTTTTCCCCTGCAGTCGCATGAACTGCAGAAAAAAAGATAAAATTAAAAAACGAAAGTTAGAAAAAGCACAGGTGCTACTGCAAACTGGAAGAAAAAGAAAATAAAACAAAGCAGCAGTGGATTGTTTTACCCCTTCATCATCAAACATAGCAGACTGCTCGGGCTCTTCTGCTGATCCAGGGTTAGGATCTTGGTAGTAGGACTCATCATAGTATCCCTATATGAGAAAAATAAGTTGACTCCAGTTGAAGCAGGTTGTGTAAAATCAGTCAAGTATGTTTCTAAAGCGGATACCTGAGGAAAAGCCTCTGGGCCTGCCATCGGTTGTTGATATTGATCATATTGACCTGCCCATGCACCCACTCCCTCATGGCCCTCCCCAAAGTCAAGCGGGGCGTCTGACTGTCCTAATTCATCGGTGGCTGAATAAGGAAGAGTTTCAGCGGGGGCTACTGGCTCAGGATCAATGCTTGGGACAACACTGGAGAGAGGGCGGGAGCTTTCATCGAGGGAAAAGTAGTTCTGAGGAGTAATGTCCTCGTGATCTTGCTCGTCTGTTGCTATTTGTCTGGCCACCTGCAGGGCAGCGGACTTAGCTGCAGCTTTTATAGCAGAAGGAGACGCGCTGGAAGCAATCAAACCCAGAGCGGGAGCTCCTGGCGCTTTGGGTCCTTTGAGTTCTTGTCGTTTGGTGAGAGTGTGAGGAACCAAAGGCCTGTCTTTCTCCTTCACTGTCAGGTTTTTGGGTTTAGGAAGGATGGAGGACAAGCCTGAACCTGCACCCTGGAGAAGACCAGACAATAATGTGTCAAAATGGGAAACAGTATTTACTGTATGCAGTCTAGTGAGAAACAGGTGATGGATCAGGTTAAATAGGAACACCTACCTGAGGTTGTAGTTTCTTCGATGCTGGCTCATCATCATCAGAGTCTGACTGGAAAAACAAAAAGGTAAAAACAATAAATAAAACCCAGTTGTTTTACAAGCATCTGGTTACACATCTGCAGACTCACATCCCGTCTCTGGACCTGTGGCACTGTGATCTTAACAGGCTCGGTTCGTTTCTTGGGTTTAGGCAGGCTGGATAAGAAGCCTCCTGTGACAGGCTGGGAGTCTGAACCATCACCTGACCTGCCGCCGCTCCCTGCTGCGGGTCTTTCTTTCCTCTCAGAAGATCCCGGTGCTCTAGGAGCAGGAAGGGCTGCGAAGAGTCCTCCGCTTGGTTTATTCTTGGCAGAGGTCGAGGTTTCCGAGTCTGAGTCACTCTCCTCACTGCTGCCATAGGCAACCAAGGACATGTCTGCTGGTATTCAGGATTAGACTCCTGAAACTGGCGGACATGGATGGCCACTTACTTCTCCTTGAGTTGGACCTACGACTTTAATTAAAGGTACGATATCTTCTCACTATAGCCACAGATTCAGAATAACTGCGAGTGGAGAGAAACGCGGAAAGATGAGCTGATTAATACAAAACACGGAGCTACCTAGCTAATGCTAGCAAGGCCACCGTAGTCAACTTTCTCGCCGTTTCTTCTTTAAATACCTGTTTCAGGCTGTTACTGCGCATAAATTATCGTTAAATACACCTCAGTGTGTAATCATACCACAATGTGGAACTTTACTGAGCTGTTGAGCCAAGAAAACGGGCTTCTTAGTGCCCGAACTCCACCAAAACAATCGCCTTCTTCATTCGAATCGAGGACAGGACGGCTACCTTTTCTTCTTCTGTGGTTTGTTACCAGCAACTCTGAAAACTTTAGCGCTCCCCGTGGACACAATTTGTACTAGCATTAGTGTTTTTTGACTGAAATGTAACAGAAAAGAAAACTTTTGTACTTAATAATAAATAACATATAGACTTTATAATGGAAATTTAAAAACGTCTGAAAATATCAAATATCAGTTTTCTATGATATAATTAGATGATTACATAGTTGGTGAATTGTTAGTGAATAGACTAATGCGAAAATTATTCTACTAATTGTTTTTTTTAGTTAAATGATCTGCTGAACATATCTTACTCATTATTAAACACAAAAATGTTAAGGAGTTTTAAAAAGTAATTTCACTGTAGTGATCATGACTGAAAGATGTGCTTGAATTTTTTTTTACAGTAAATTAGTTACACTACAGAGGCCTAAATCATAGAAGAGTGAAATTAATATTGATGTGATGCATAATTCTTAATTAAGCCTGAAGGAAACCATCAGTACATATGTAATAAATATTTCATACAAAAAATTGATTTGAATATTTTAAAAAGCAAATTGAGACATATTTAGTCTAATTTTTAGTTGAAATAAACAGTTTAAAAAATCTAATTTAGATTTATCTGGTTTAAAGGCATACTTTTAAACTTTTTCATATTTTTAAAGTGATGGCGTGTATTTTTCCTGGCAATAGGGGGGAGTGCATATCTAAATCATTGCAAGCAAGCAGTATTTTTGTGTTTGAGTAAGACCTTAACAACGGATGGCCAAAAATCCCTGGGAGCACAATTTCCAGTAAAATAACAAACACATCAGATTCCCTTTCATCACTGGCAACGAGTGAAGAGGTAAATGTGTAAAACAACAACGATTATAAATGGTGAAAGTTTTGTAACCATTTGTTACAAATCAGTAAATGCATTTTATCCTCCTATATGGCATTGCCCAGAGATTTAGACCAGCTCCCATGCATTTTAGGCCCGATTTTTATGGTTATATGTTACAAAGCCACCAATATTTTTCAGTAACTGGGCATCATTTAATTCATTTTCAACAGCATTTTGATTAATCTTTCCAGAGATTAAAGATAAAAACTACACATTAAATATTTTTGAGCCAGTATGTGCTAAAACTTCTCTTTAGGGTTATTGAAATGTCACTCAGACCCCCACTGCCATCTGTACCCTGAATACGCATTTGCAACTTCAGAGTGCCGGTCTGTTGGATTTGCATGTTTTAGATCATGAACACAGCTGATTTGTTTAATTTAGTGATGGATCACTCCTGTAAACGCTTTTGAAGGCTAGGGAGAAATTTCAGCTTTCAGATTAACATGTTAAAAAGATGAATGCACAGAGAGGAGATCCGTTTTTAACTTTTGGTTCTACTAAACAAACACTAGGCCGGGGGTGCCTAGTCTGCCTTTAATTACTATAAGGCCCCCTTCAGACAGGCCATGAAAAACGGAAATGTTCCGGACTCTGTCCGTAAGACCTTTGTGTCTGAATACAAACATCCGGATAACGTGTTCCGTAATTTAACCGGACGACGCCCCTAGTAACAGGTCCGGACTTGTTACGGACAAGGTGGCTGCTTCAGACTGGTGAGGTCGAGTTCCGGACAGAGAGGAGGGGGAGGAGGAGGGAACCGGGGGAAGCTGTGCGCACCTAGATAGCCCGCTGCTGTAGCATGCGGCGAACCATGGCAGCTTGCCTCCTACGGTACAGTCTAGATGCGCGATGGAGCGCTTCACACCGCTTCAGTGATTCCTTTAACCATTGAGCTTCATCATCCAGGTCTCTTATGCATCTTTGTGTGCGCAGAATTATGCTTAACATAAGTCCCCCCCCCCCCCCCCCCCCCCAGACATCTGGAACTTTTCCCTGCTGTGTGAAGGCAGCCGAAAGGACGAGTTCCGGTACAAAAGTGGTGTGTCTGAAAACACAGTTCCGGTTAAAAACCGGATTGAATTGTCCACACATATTCCAGAATGTCTATCTGAAAAGGGCTTTAGTCTAATTTTTTCGGGTAATTTTCACTTCTAATGTGGTAAATGTATTGATATATGTTTATGTATTTAGCAGACACTTTTGTCCAAAGCGACTTTCAAGTTATAATCGGCATGTTGCCCTTGAGGCTAACAACAATAACAACAACTTGACATCAATCATGGAGAGGAGGAAACAAGGAGTGGACAGTAGAGAGGGGGGACAGGTGCAGGGAGGGTGCTAGATATAAGTGTGTTAATCTCAATGCAGTAACAATAATAATAATAATACTTTCTACTTCCTTACTTTACTAATAATTATTGACCCCTGACATATATACACAAGTGTAGGACTCTGTGAGTTATATATATATATATATATATATATATATATATATATATATATATATATATATATATATATATATATATAATTTTTGTTTTGTTTTTCATAATCTTTTTTTTTTTTTTTTTTTTTGGCAGCATCTTCACTCCATACAGCGGGGTTTCATTTCAAACCCAAACAGCCCGGGGGAATGAGCCAGCGTTTAAACCAGGGAGTTAATCTGCCGCGCTTCGTTCTAGTAATCTAATTTAGACCAGGGGTGTTTATTTATTCATTCCGTGTTGTGATCAGCGTGCATCGCTTTAAAATTACGTAAATAGAAAAGCCGCACCGTCGCGTTTTCGCTCCATTTTTTTCGCGCCTCACTTATTATTATTATTGGACAACAAATCGACGCTTGGTTTGTTTTGCCGCTGGAGGTAACCACAACGAATTCTTTGCCACATAAAAACTATCGCTTTAATACATTTCCACGCGGCTTTTCTGTCATAAAAAGCGATTTTGATTAGAATCATGCCCAGGTCCAATAGGCAAAAGGAATACAAACCTGGAGATCTGGTGTTCGCTAAAATGAAGGGCTATCCACACTGGCCTGCAAGGGTAAGAACCCTCCCGTACATATCTACATTGTAAATATATATGTGGTATTATTTTTCATTTTTGTTTATCTTTTAGTTTGTTATATTTGCCTCTTACTCTTGTCCTCCTGGGAGGCCTACCAGCTAGCTACCATGAGTTAGCTTAGCCGCGTCGTTGCCAAGCATAAACAAACAGTAAGGCGGACAGTTACACATTTTTTCTCGTGTGATTCATCACGTTAGCAGCGCCTTGGTTCAAAATGAGCACTGATATTTTTAGCTAACGCGTTTTATTTCCTTCACTATTTATCCTGGTGTCTCAAGAGGCCTATTAAGCTAACGTTAAGCTTTTCGTCGCCGTTCAAAGATAGCTGGAGCAACAGAACGAACGACAAGCAAACGGGCATGTCACGTTTTATGATAACCTAGCGGCTACAAAGGTTAGCTCAATAGTTCAACACGAAGTCACGTTTAAAATGACAATTTTAAGGTATATATATTTTTTCCTTCATGTTTTATAAGTTGCTGTAATTCATGCGGCTTTTATTCTTGTGCTCTTTGTAAACACGCCTTCCTACACTTGTTGCCGTCAAGTTATTGTCGAAAATGTTTTCATTAGTTGTGCTAGTGAAACAAAAATACGCTAGTAAAGGTATTATTAACATAAACGACCCACTTGTATCAGTAAAAACGAATAAAAACCATATGGTGTGCACATTAATGTTTACACAGATCAAAATGAGTAAAATATGTGTTGAAAACATTAAACTACATCAATTCAAACTATTATATAAGAAAAAATATGATTGTTGTTATGGATTGGTATTAATTTTTGAATATATTTTAATAAAAGCGATTAGATACATTTTAAATAATTGATTTAATTTATTTTAGGCTAGAGATGCACTGGTCCTGTTGTTTTGGGCCAATATCGATTTTTAATTGTCTGATCTGCCACTCCTGATTTTAACGTCACACTGAATATTGATCTGTGCGTTGCTATCAGAAATGTTATTTTATTTAGTTTGATTAAAAATTATGATTTTGTAAAGATAGCAAAACAGCAAAAACACAAAGTAATTTGACTATTTGAATTTAAAATTCCTGATCAATTTTCTGGTGACCCATTTTAAATATTTCAGCAGCTTCTTCATCAGTTTTGATGCCCTGAAATAGCATATTAATAGATTCACCAAATTACTGCACTTTCACCCAAAATAGTGTTACTGTTTTGTGCCTTTTCCCTCCTTTTTTCAGTCTTATCTGCCTAGTGTGTAACAGGCAGTGGGCCCTGCCCCAACTACCAGCTTACAGTAGTCCTATCTGGAAACGCCAAAAGGCTCGTCTACACATCGTCATTCAAACTTACATTTACGGTATCTGGCAGCAATAAGAGCTGAGGACAAGCTGACTGTTGACATCACCGAATATTATCCCACAAAGATTTAAATTTTGTTCTTTTAGTCTCTGTTTTGCGGCTTTGTGCTTTTAATATTTTGTAATCGGATCGGTTCAGTTAATTTCATGACTCTCACTCTCTTCGTTTCCAGATTGATGAGTTACCCGAAGGAGCTGTGAAGTCCCCCTCTAACAAATACCAAGTGTTCTTTTTTGGGACACATGAGACGTGAGTATGTCAGGTCTCTAATTTAGTATTTGGGAAATCAAATTGTGATCGTTTTATGATTGTTTTTGCTCGACTTACGCAGTTGTTAAAATTTCTAAAAGCCTTGACTCATTCCAGGGCATTTCTGGGGCCCAAGGATTTGTTCCCGTATGATGAATGCAAAGAGAAGTTTGGGAAAGCAAACAAGAGAAAAGGGTTTGCTGAAGGACTCTGGGAGATCGAGAACAACCCCACTGTGACTCATGAGGGCTATGAGGTGGGTAGGCATTTCAGATTGAAGCTAGCTGGGTAGATCCATTCCATTCATCGACATCTCATCTCATTTAGTCGTCAAAGAAGGACGACTCTTTAGAAGGAGCGGGGGACACCGGCAGCTCGGAGAAAGCAAACGCCGACGGCAGCAGCGATGAGGATGAAGGCACCCTGGTGATCGATGAGAAGAACGAGAGGGGAGCAGCTAAACGAAAAGCGGAGGAGTCAGCAGAGGTGAGCTGCGATCACTCAGTCTGTTGATGGACATGGATGCTTGTTAATCCTTCTAAAGGCCTGATTGCTATTTTTAAAGACATCTCCTAAGCGGCCAAAGGACCCTGAAGCAGAAGGTGACGCTAACAAGACCGACACAGAGGTCAAGCTGAATGATGTGGCTGGAGCCAAAGTAAAGACGCCTTCCTCGAAGGGTGAGGCCCAGGAAAACGCTCCAGATGGGGCCCAGCTAACAGCAGAGAAGGTGAAGCACACACCAAGTCGTTTTTTATAAATGAGTGGATCTAGAATCGCTGACGATATTCGTGTTTCCCAGCAGCCGGTGACAGGCAGCGCCTAACATCAGCTCAGAAGAAAACCAAGAATCCTCAAAGCTTCTCTCTGAATTCAGGCATCGACAGAATTACTCATGGGCCGCCAGATTTCTGCTCTTTAAATAATATGGAAAATAAATGTAAGGGTTTATAATGATAAAATGTCATTTTTCATTTTTGGGGATTTTATATATCCCAGAAAGAAATCCAATTTGACTCCAAACAACTGAACCGAGCGCTTTCCAGCTCACACGTAAATGGGATTTTGGTGTTTATATATTTTTTATTTCTAAGTGCAATTACATAATTACAAAGTCTGAACCAGAGGTGTCGGCACATTTTCCATTTAAGAGCTGAATACTGCATAAAAATCACATGTAAAGTACAAAAACTCCTGTTTGATGGTTTTAAATGTAGAAATTAAATAGAAAAAGGAACAAATTTTCACCGACTTTCAGCTTTCGTTCACTACTTTCTACTCCTATTTGTGTCTCGTAGCTTCTGTATTCAGTCATTAGAGAGTTGCACTTTTAGCCCCTTCATTATTCATTTCATCCGTTTTGCCCTGAAATGTTCCTGCAGCCAGTTTTGTGTCTTGGGTGTGTTTGTGTATGCTTTACTGGAGGTGACCAAACTCATAAAATGCTACAGGATGTGTGGATCCCGTTTGTAACCCGTTAGCGGCGGTGATGGGACGTGGTTTAGAGCAGAAAGGCATTCCTGAACATTGTCTCGGCTTGATCCTGAAATGCAGAGGTGGAGCAGAGCTATGCTGCCAGAGGAGAAAATGTGTATTTTTTATTTTTATTTTTTTTTTTGTGTGTGTGTTTAGATTTTCCTCATCTCAATTTCTCAAAATCATGACCTTCGCATACTTTCAGATCACAGCGCTGCCGGTGCCGTTTCTCGAGGCTTAAGATTACGATTTAGTTCAGAAATTAGTTGCAACGTTGTCTTAGATTTGACCAAAGTGTGAGTTCTTTTTTCTTTTTTTTTTCTTTAAGAAATTGAACAAAAATAGTTTAGACTAAAGCTTAAATAATGTGTAATACCCCACCCTTGTAACTGGAACACAAGTTGTTTTGCTTTTTTTTTTTCTTACTATAAAGCAAAGTTGTGGAAATTGTCGTTCTTTCATTGCTTCAGTGTTTTTTCATGTCTTTGGTAATGTTGGTAAAGTAAGTCAAGTCATAAAACAAAGGGAAATGTTCCGCTAAAAAAGTTCTAATCGTTGTGTAAAGATGGCCTCTTATTTTTCGTGGCACGCCACTAAATGTCAGAATGAGTTCATTTCAAGTGTTTAATTTGGTTTTCAATTGTACAATTTATTTTTGCTTTCTGATTCTTTAAGAAACTGATGGTAATCCTGATCTGCTGTTTAGTTTATTGTAGTTGCCACATGATTTAATAAAAATGTTGATTATCAAAAATAAACCTTGTTTCAATTACTCTATACACAGTATTATGTACTACACTGTAAGAAATTATGTTGAATTTACTTAACTAAGTTAGGTCAGCTAGTTCCACTAAAACCTATTTGCTTAAATTTAAAGAGTAATTTGCTTTTACTCATTGATTTTCAAACTAATCAAACATTTTAAACATAATTTTGTTGTCTTTTACCAGATTTTTTTTATTGTTAGAAAGCTTTGGAGCTCAGTCTCATCCATCTTGCCCCAAAGGCTATGTGTATATATATGTGTGTGTGTGTGTGTGTATATATAATATGTATATATATATATATATATATATATAATATAGAACTTACTGGTGCTTCTATTGGCTGCATATTTATTTTTAGCAAGTTCCTCTTGAATAGGAAACTGAGGCTCACCTTGGATTTAAAATAGTTGAAAACCAGCCTTTGACAGTAAATTATATTTTAATATATACAAATAAGTGGCCCTAATTAATAAACTAAATAAAAATAAGATGTAATTTTTTATTTAATCTACCAAAACATTTGTAAAATAAATGTTAACGGTAATTTTTTTTACATCTATTGCATTTTTGCATATAGATTAAGCATTTAAAAACAAATTATTTCTGTTGAGTCAACAGCGGCGCATGCGTGAAACAGATTTTTCTCCTGGCCAGCAGGTGGCGCTACCATTAGCTAGCATTATTCGTTCTGCTACATGTGACATTGACTTAAACAGAGGGTAAGATCTTTCTACATGATTTCAGTTAACAATTTCCACCAAAGTTATACATTTAAGTTTGAATAAAACAGTTGTTTGTTTTGGTGTGTGTGCGTTGAAGAACACAGAAGTGGCGGACCCATGGGCGAACCGCTTTAAGCTAACGTTCCAGTCAGATAGCATTAGCCTAGCTTGGGTTGCACTCTGATGTTTACAGTATAACTTCAGTTTTGATCTACCTGTTTCAGCACAATGAGGCTGACCGCTCTCCTGTCGATGGCAGCCAAGGTTGTTGTGCCCAAAGATTACCGCTTCGGAACCAACAGACCGTGGACGGAGGCAGCTAAAAGGCGAAACCCACCAGGAAAGAAGAGGAGGAAGGTGTTTGTGGAGCCGCTGGGGCCAGAGGACTGGACTATTCTCAAAGGTGACGTGGTAAGAAGCCCACCAGGATTCAGAATTTAACAATCTCATGCACACAATCCGGATTAATGAAAGCTGAACATTAACAGACTTTTCTTTTGGTGTCCAGGTGGAGATTCTTGCAGGAAAGGACAAAGGAAAGCAAGGAAAGGTGACCCAGGTCTTCAGACACAGAAACTGGGTTATCCTGAGTGGACTTAATACAGTAAGTAATAAATAGATTCAGATTCTGCTTTTAAAACGTAAAACGTAGGTTTTTCTCAATACATTTAAATTAGAACGCAGACTGCAGCATCCTAGGTGCATGAAGGAACATCGTCCTTCCTCCCAGCAGCTGTTAGACACCATGCTGCTCCCAATTAAACCAGTTAAGTTTTTGCATTGCTGCAAATTTTTGTGATTTGCAGTTTCTGTTGTTCTACATGCACTCACTCATGTTTATTTTGCACAATTTAACATTCATGTTCTTAATCCATGTAAACTTTCTGCTACATTCTTTTACTCATTTCTTTTGTTATAAATGGGGTCAAACAAATCCAGTAAGTGTTTTTTTTTTTCAAATATGTTTCATCAGCCTTTTATTTTTTATTCTTTGAATCTGAGGGGAAATAAAGAAAGCTTCTATTCTAAAACCATTTGCATTGGTATTAGAATTTAAATTAGTTTTCTTATCTTTGGTTTGTTAAAGGCCTCCATCTAAACTCCTAGTAAAAAGGCTGCATGGTGGCGCAGTGGTTAGCACTGTTGCCTCGCAGCACGAAGGTCGCAGGTTCAAAACTCGCCTTTCTGCGTGGAGTTGCGTGTTCTCCCCATGCATGCGTGGGTTTTCTCCCCCCACAGATCACAACATGCCCTATAGGTTAAAAAAATTGTAAGTCGCTTTGGGTAAAAGCGTCTGCTAAGCACATAAACATAGTAAAAAGGAAGCAACGATGGCCCTGATGAGGCCACGATGAACTGAAGTTTTCCTAATTAAAACCTTGGCCTCCACTTTAGAAGTGGCTACAGTTGTGTCAGAGACTTTTAAGATGCTTTAAGTTTATATTGTGTGATTTTTATCTTGAGAGGTGCTATATAAAAGATAGTTCTCTTTCTTTTTTCAGAGGTGATAAATAAGGGCTGTTTCTCAAAGGATGATTAAAGTCTGTGTTAGATTTGAAATAAAAGCACCTCACCAGCTCCTTGTTAGAAAAACAACCGTTTACCTCAAACAAAGGTTTATTTGTTACTGCGAAGTAACAAATAAGAAGTTTATTGGATTCATTTATCTCCACTAGGTGGAGCTAGATGTTCTGTTTGGACAACACTGACTTCTCTTTTCTGTCCCAGCATTACAAATACATTGGAAAAACCCACGATTACCGTGGAACCTACGTCACCAGCGAGGCTCCTTTGCTGCTGCGTGATGTGGCCCTCGTGGATCCAGCAGACAGGTACAGAAACCACCAGAGCAGTACTGGATTTAACTTAGTGTGGAACATTTCTGGAGCCGCGTGAGAACTGCAGCATGCTTTTTAGGTTAAGAGTCAAACTGTAGCTTTTATTTTCTGTGAGTGTGTAGCTGTAGCTGAAGGTTCAGGGTTCCTACGGGTGCTGGAAATGCATCAAAATGCTTACATTTTTATATTTTCACGGTTTTTAGTCATTTCTATTTGTTTTATGTCTATTTACATATTAGTTTATATAGTTTTTATAGTTCACTTCATTTTGCCCTATTTTAAGGATTTTTTGAGATTACTGTTAATATATTTTTAAATCATGTGTGAAATTCTTTAATAAGTCCCTTGAAAGTCATAGAAAAGTGCTCAAATTAGATTTTGGCAAAGGTGCGGGAACCCAAATGTTGTGTTTAGGGAAGAATCCCGTTGAATTACGCCCTTAATGAGTTTATATCATGTTGAAAGTCTGTTGTACAGTTTAACTGTGCGTGTTCATTGTTGCTAATAAAGAGTGAAAAACATTGAAAACATAACAAAACATTGATCTGATGCTAACCAGTATCCGTTTTGACGTTCTGGACTTCATCCCTCAGGAAGCCCACTCAGACCGAGTGGAAGTACACAGAAGAGGGCGAGAGAGTCCGCGTGTCGGTCAGGACAGGCCGGATTGTCCCTAAGCCTGTTGTAGAGCGGCGGGACGGCATCGTGCCGCAGCAGTGGATAGGTGACTTTATTTTACGCCCGGATGAATCTCGAACCTCAAACCAGCTGTTGTTTATCATTCAAGCGTAAACTTGAATAATTAAAATAAGTTTTACAGTGTAATCATTTTTTCCCCTAACTCCTCAGTCATCAGGTCGACTAGTTTCACAACATTTAAAGCTTTTCTGGCTAAATGATTAAAAATTTTGAATATTTTTGTAATTTTAGAATAAGATTACTTATGAATACTTCGTCTTTTCTATACAGATGGTCCCAAAGACACCAGTCCTGAGGACACTCTTGAAAAGACATATGTTCCATCTCTGAAAACCCTGGAAGAGGAGGTGATGGAGAAACTGGGCATTCGGGAGGACAGGAGGCACCGGAGGTCCTACTGGTACTGATGAGAGACACCCTGTGTTGGGGACGTCCAGATCGCACGGATCTTGTCCTGCCGTGGGTCCGTCTGCATGTCAAGTTGTTCATATAAACTGTGAGGACACCAACAAGGGGATCGGAGTGAACGTAAATGTGCTGTTGCAACATTTAAAGATCATTTGTGAACATCACAAGGAGCTAAAAGTGAACCGGTAACATAAATGTTTCCAGAATAATTCTGTATTTTTGTTATTTTATTGTGAAAAATACCACATTTGATATTTTCTCTGTTTAGCTCAAAACAAGTAAAAAGAAAAAAACAAGTTATTAAATCACAAAGTGCACAATTAGAGTTGTAAATAAGTGTTTGCTTGAAGAGGACCCATGTATTTAACAAACCCACGCAGAATTACACACCGTGTTTTTCTATTTTTAGGTCGGTGGAGCATTTTTTCTGCTCAGTCTTGGTAAATTTGACCAAGAAACATTGGCAGTTAAAAATGTATCTGGAATTTAAATATAAAATGTTATTGATTGTATTTTCTTACTTCAAAGAAAAAAAGAATCTTTTAAATAACTCTTGAAAATTAAAATGAAAGAAGCTCTAAAAGTAAAAGAAGACTGCAGGACGGTCACTAAGCTTTAGACGTTTTAATATAAAGGTAAGTAACAGAAATTGAATAGCCATAACTGCACCAGAGTCTAACCACGAGTCTGTACCATGAGAAAAATGACATCATTAGTGGTGTTGGCAGCATTAACAATGGAAATGGCTGCAGTCTGTTTGCATCAGTCATAAGGCAGGAAATTCTGCATATTATTTTACCGATGCCCAGATGTGCAGCGCTCCAAGACTTCAGACGAATGAGTGAGTCTGTCTTTCCAAAGCGTCTGGGAAACGTTGAGACTTGAACGGTTTGGGAGGAGACGACACAGACTGAAAAAGTTTCAACAAAGTTCTCTCACCTCTTTTGACTCCTACGCCTGGCGCTGCTGCTGCTGCTGCTTGTACCCGTGTTAAAAATCACAAGTATGAGTTTGTGAGTATGAGCGACTGTGGAGGTCAAACTGAATTAGGCTCCTACTGATTATAGGGAAATAAAACAATGAGGCTGAAAAATTCATATATTTACAGGAAACATAGTTTAAATCTCCTGCGTTAAAGGAAAAACCCTTGTGGATTTGCTGCCTGATCAACCTCAGCTCAGAGAAATAGCTTTTATGTTCTATTAGGACTGATAAGCTAATGGCTAGTATGAATCAGCTGGGATAAAAGTGGATTAATTTTAAATATTAGCATTAAATTGTGACAGTTTTATTGACCCTTATGTGTCTGTTAAATTAGCTATTTGAGTTATATTTTATCAGTGTTCAATATCAAAATCACTATTTTTTTTAAATTCTTATTTTTTGGAAAAAACAATTGTACTAGTTACCTTTTTTTTTTACATTTATTAATATACATTCAGTTTGATTAGGTTATATTTACTTAAACAGTAAAGTGTTTTTTTTATTTAAGGGCACCAGAGGTGGAAAATGTATCCCACATTTAAGCCCCTCCCCCTCCTTTTCGTGATTACGGCTGTTCTAGTGGCTTCTAGTTTTATCTCCTGCCTCAGATTCACTTTTAGACTTAGAGTAGTTTTTACAAATGTTGTTAGTTTTATAGGTTGAACAATTTAACGGCTGGTTGGGTTTTATTTAACAACACTGGTCTCATCTAGTTTTCTGTAGTTACAACAGCTTGGCCAAATGATCCCCCAAAAAATTTTTTTCCACTCTTATTTCCCAAAATAATCCATTTTAATTCCATCTAAACTGATCTTCAGCGTTATGTAGATGTGCGATATGTGAAACGGGAAGCCTGGGCAACCACACGTATTGATTTACTGAAAGTCGAGGAGCTTTTTTCCCTAGCTCTCCAGCTGGTGAAGCCGCTAGCCTCCCTGCCACCATGTGTCACAGATCACCCAACATTTCACAGTGGATCTTTCTACTCCTAATTTCTGGTTACTGCCATGCAGAGAGCATGGTTTGGCCACAGATCGAGCGGATGAGCGCCGCAGCTTTCCCAGACTCCTGAACCAGTTTGCCTTTGCACTCGGTGGGGAACAAAAAGCAGCGAGTCAGCGGAAACTGGGTTTTGAGGTTTTGCTTTTATGGGAGGAAAAATGATTCCAAGGCTGGTCGTCTCTACTGTCAGTGTCAGAATTGTAGCTCTGCAGCAAGGTGAGGTGTAACGGTGGTGAAGTGTTGCCTCATTTAGCTCGGCTGTTTTTCCATTTGCACACTGATTTATTGGGAGACCTGATGTTTGAGTGTCCGTCTTATAATTTACATCTTGTGGTGAGTTGACAGCATTTCTGGTAACCCAGTTAAACAAAACCACAGACATGAATCAAGGAGAATTACCAAAACTTCAAGAAAAGCTGCTTTTCAGCTGAGTCATGTTTGCACCTCTGCCATATGAGGCCCACCTGGTGGTAAAACCTGCAGGTAATGACTGGAATTATTGAATATTCAAGATGAACTTACTTAATTTTAGAAGCATGAGTATTTCTTACATATCTGAAGACAGTTTCAAGCAAAATCTGAGTTCTTGACTCATAATGATGGTGTCTAATTATAGGGTGCTTGTTTGATGGCTGCTGGAAAATGTTACTTCAGCTTGTAAGCAGGTCTGATGCAAAGCTGGGATCCATATTTGTTCAAATCTTCCAAGTGGAGCGTTGAATTTATCAAAACATTTTAACATGAGCAGCGGTTTTATTTTACTACAACAAAATAATAAATAAAATTGGACCTTACTACTTGTATGTCCTCCACCAGAGGGTGTAAAGTTAGGTTTTTGATGAAGGTACTAATCCTGATACTCCACCTGGATGATCCATCATCCGGTGCTGGTTCTTGGCCCGGTGATGCAAGGTTTTCTCAGGTGTACAAATTATATCAATGAACAAATATATATTGTCATTGAAACTAAATTAGATGGTGTTCAAAAACTTGAAAGGATATAAATGTGAACAGGATGTGCTCAGAGTCGACTAGAAAAGGTAAAAATCAAGTCAATCTAGGCGAAAATCTTAGGCTGTCATTAAGGTTAAAAAGGGTAAAAATGAAGACATTCAGGCAGAAATCACAAAACAGTGACTCAGCAATAAACCATATTACGCCAGAGAGGAGCACCATAAGCTGAGCCTCTGCTGCACTGGAGGAGTTTAGGTGGTGTTAAAGGTGCAATAAGTAAGACTTTTACATTGACATAAACAAAACAGCCGAGTGTCTGAATTTTGTTTGAAGAAAGATTACATTGAAACAGATTCCCTTCTAAGCCGGCTGAGGGGTTGTTAGTTTTTCTCTTTTTAAAAAAGGCAGAAAATGGATGTGGTTTTACTTTACAATCTTTCCCGTCTCCATACTTCCTGGTTTCAGAGCCAATCATGTCTTTGCCAAGTTTGCACTGGCAAACATTTCTGCACCTGCATTTGTAATTCGACACCAGCCGAGCAACAGTGTTATGGACAAAACTGATCTTTAGAATCCAGATTAAAAATAAAATTCCATTTTATAAAGCCAGTTTATATGAGTTGGAGAAAATAACCATAGCAACCAGTGACTGCAGGAGATTGGCAGATTGAAGAGATGATTTAAGAGAATCTTAAAAAAAAAAAGAAGAAAAAAAAAAGGATGTTATAGTTTTGCTTGTTCTTGAGTCACTCTGGTTCAACCATTGGAAACAGACCTGTAACATCCGTCTTCTCTTTGAGTTTTGACCTTTCTCTTTCAGACTTTCCAACTGTTACCGGAGTGTGAGATTCCTCAGGTGTGCAGCTGCTGCTGAGTCACACGACATCCATTACAAAGTACCTTTCAGCCGCAGAGAAGGTGGAAAGCCCACAAGGTGTCCATGATCACACCGTAGAAGTGCATGTAAGAGTTGTTGAACGTTATTTGCAAAGCAACACATCTTTTGCTTAAAGTTTGTTAGAATCAAATTGAGTTATTGACAACACAACTGCGTTTTAGGTTTTGGTCTTGAATCGAATGCTAAAGCTATGAACCAGAGTAGCTTTTCCATCAGATTTTCCCCAAATTGTGCTACATGTTGAAAAAAAATACCTCATTAGAACCAGTCTGACAACACGAAATAGGCTAAAAGATCTCAAAACGCAAACATAGCCCACTCTAGAGAATTGAGTAGGGCCTACAGTGTCTTAAATCACCACAGGTCTCACTTGGTTGAGGCCAGAGCCAGCGGTCATGAGACAACACTAAATAAGAATGAAACTTTAGGTCTGTGTTTCCTTAAGCCAGGCGGACACTGTGCGACTTTTTCACTCGGAGCACTCAGCTTCAGCTCAAACTGTACGACTTCCTCGCAGAGCAGATCTCACGAGTCATGCGCTCACACTGCACGACCCAGTTCTCGGATGCGACCTGACTGCTCACACTGTACGTCTGGTAGCAACACGTCGGACCTAAAAATATGCGAAAAATAGCAGTTTTTACACAACACGTCAGACTTTTTTGTCTTGTCTTGCCTGTTGTCCTTCGGGAGTGCTGCAGGAGGACACACAGGGATTTATGGGGGTTGGATGAGGAAAACAAAATAAATAAAGTAAATCTGTGTTTTGTGATCAGTTTAATTTGACATGAACACGACAAACACGCTTTCTTGACAATCTTTGTGAGAAAAAAACATGTAGAAATTAAAACGAACAATGTGTGTTAATAGGGAAATAGCGGGCGAGCGGTGTTGATGCATGATTGCGCATGCGCCGTGAGCGGTTCTGGTACTTTTTGGGTCACGGCTGCTCGCAGCGCCACTTCAACATTGCGATACCCTCACGAGGGACGAGCAAAATATTAAACACGCCAGAAGTCCATGCGAGCTCACGATTGCTGATCGGTAGCTGGTCACGTGGTGTTAATCGCCTCTCGTAACCCCCTGTACACTACACGAAGCTCGGCGCAAAACTCGCCCCGACCTCGTGGATTCTCGCACGAGTGGAAAATCGGCTCAAAAAAGTGAAAAAGTCGCACAGTGTACGCCCGGCTTTACATGTGGTGTAAAACTAACTGTGTTCTAGAAAACATTTACTACTAACAGTCAAATACGGTGGGGGTAGTGTGATGGTCTGGGGCTGCATTGCTGATTCACTACCTGATGACAACATTTAGATTTAAATTTAAATTTTTGGATTTAACATTTAGATTTGGATTTGACATTTATATTTGGATCTACTACTTAGATTTAACATTAAGGTTTAGATTTAAACTTTAAATTTGGATTTCACATTTAGATTTAGATTTTGGATTTAACATTTACATTTCAATTTAACATTAAGGTTAAGATATAAAATTTAGATTTGTATTTCACATTTAGAGTTAACATTTAAATTTGGGCTTCACATTAAAATTTAGATTTAACATTTAGATTTAACATTTCGATTTAACATTTAAGTTTAGATTTAAAATTTAAATTTGGGTTCACATTTAGATTCATATCAAACATTTAGATTTAACATTTAGATTTGGATCTGACATTTAGATAGATTTTTAGAATTTAGATTTAGATTTAACATTTACATTACCTGAAATTGTTTGAAATGTAAAAATGATACTACATGACCATTTCAGGCCATTTTTATTCTAGCTGTGATGAAAGTTGCTAGGATAAAGAAGCTAAATAACTGCATGGTGGCACAGTTGTTAGCACTGTTGCCTCACAACAAGAAGATTGTAGGTTCAAAACTCTGCTGTGGCCATGTGTTGCATGTTCTCCCCATGCATGCATGGGTTTCCTCTGGGTACTCGGGTTTCCCCCACAGATCACAACATGCCCAGATTCAAAATTGTATGTCGCTTTGGATAAAAGCGTCTGCCAAATAAATAAACATAAACAAAAAAAAAAAACCCAGTTTTCTAAATAATTTGAAGAACAATTTACACTTGACTTTTCTACTGGAGATTCTATTGTTATTGCTGGTTTATAAATGAGGTTTCAGTATTGGACGGGTTCGTTGCCTCTCCTGCAGGTGACTGCTGCTGCATCATCATTACCTGCAGCAGCAGTAGCTCTGTTATGCTGCTGACTCAACTTTTCATCATGCTTATGTCGCTTCTCTGCCCTACTATGTCCTTCCGTTCAGTCCTCCCTCGGTGCGTCACCTCCATCCCGACTGCTGCTGGATGAGGGAGGAAAAAACGAGAAGTGGGCAGTTCGTGGTTTCATTTGTAGCGTGGCTTTCTCTCAGCTCCCCCCTTTTCCTCCCTGCGCCTCTGAGGCTGTCGGATCGGCAGCAGCTCCAGCTTTCATCTACCTGAGCAGCGCGTCCAGCGCACGGGACAGACGCACTGCAGCTGCAGCAGAGAGGAGCTGACGGAAATAAAACAGGACCAGAAGTCAGTTTAACCCGTTTCAACAGAAATGCTGCTGACAAGAACCAGGTAGGCTGTAGAAAAAGCAAGTTTGACCTTTTAAATTGAGCCTCAGGTTAACAAGCGCGTTAATTGGTGTTTTTTTAATGATGGATTCAGAAAATTACTGAAATAGATTAAAGTGACAAATAAATGCCTGTTTAGCGTTTTTATTTCTATTTTCTTTATTCAAACCGCATTAATCCTTCCAGTATGTGGTGTTCTAGCTGCTTTAAGTGTTTTTCTTATCTTCATTATTTCCAAAAAGAGAAAAATACCCAGTAATTATTTAGCATTATTTTTGATTTTCGTTATTATTTATGTATAGTTTTCACGTGCTTGTATGTTTGCCCTGCAGAGCCAGAAAGCTGCTTTTTCTTTTGAGTGCTTGATGTGACTTTTGGGTCTACTTAAGAGCTCAGGTGAATTTCTTTAATGGATGGACTGAGACAAAGAGCACATTTAGTCATTTTATTTCTTTGCAGCTTACCAAGAAAAGAAAAAATAATAGAGCATTGTTTTTGGCTGGTTTGTAATCTCTAATGAATATAATCTAAATCTGTACACTAATTAGATAATCCACCTAAGGTAAATCACAAGGATGTTGAGATAAAAGCAAAAATGGAAAACAATAACAAAAATTCTATTTCTAGATTTAAACAGCATGACAAAAAAACTTCTGTATTTGATCTCCTTTTCATTAGTGTTCTGGGTGTTTTTATGGAGTCAACTGTGATAAACAAGTTTTTTTCTGCAGTATTTTTTTGGCTTCTTCAAAAGCAGCATCCTCAGCAAAACTCAAAGGACTTCCCTCTATCCCTTACGATCTAAAACATACCTCAAAATATCTGAAACTCATAAAACATTTGTATAATTTTTATATGACATAGTTTTCGGACTTTTTCTTCATAGTTTTTGACTTCCCTCTTGACACACCTTTTTTTCTTGCTAATACTCCTCGTAGAGGTATGATGACGAGTGTGGGACCAACACGTTTCCTGTATTTTGTTCAAGTATAAACTGTGTGAAACACTTGTTTAATCGGTACATTTGCAGTGGTCTCTAGTAGGAATGAATGCCTTGCAAGTCATAAGGGGAAATATACTGGTGCATCATTTCCAGGAACTAGAAGTGAGCCACATCACCACTGAGCTTCAGATGACAGGATTTGGAGTATATTTCCTGATATTTGGACATCTCGCCTTAGATTGGAAAACAGCAACACAACTCCAACACTGACTTGGTAGCTCACGAATGGCGGCGCGGCAGTAGCATGCAGCGGCCACTCCGGAGCCAAATGGTGCGGCGTTGTTTACGTTTTGTGTATTGTGTTTTTTTTTTTTTTTACTCCATGTATGGATATCGTCGGAACTGGTGTCCGTACATACAGCAGCCAGACACTTTGCTACCTTAAAAACCCGGTCAACGATATCCAAGAAGGGCTGCGGGAAACGCTACGCGAACTCGGCTTGCTCCGCGAACCAGGCCCCGATGCCGCGTCGCTGCCTGATGCCGGCGGCCGGAGGAGGGGACATCGGAAGCGATGCGCGAGGAAGCGGAAGCGCGGCAAGCGGGCGGGAATCTGTGATAAGCTAAAAACAAACCCTAGCCGGCCGGCTCTCCCGTCCATCATCTTGTCCAACGTCTGCTCCCTGGATAATAAACTGGACTACAGCCGACTCCAGCAGGCTAGACAGCGTGAGGTCAGAGACTGCTGTGTCTTTATTTTCACGGCGACATGGCTCAGCGACAGAGTACTGGACGCTGCTATTCAGCTGAACGGGCTGGCCTTGTTTCGTGCCGACAGAAACGCAGCTCTGTGCGGTAAGACTCGCGGTGGCGGCCTTTGTATTTACATCAACGCGAAATGGTGCAAGAACGCTCTGCTAGCTTCTAGCTATTGCTCACCGCTGGTGGAGTTTGTGACTGTTAGATGCAAACCATTTTATTTACCACGGGAATTCACCACTGTTTTCATTATCGGAGTGTACATTCCACCTAGCGCTAATGCTAAGGAAGCGTTAGGAGAACTGTACACAAACATCAGCGAACTGCAAAACACACACCCGGATGGATTGTTCATTGTTGCTGGAGATTTTGACCATGCAGATCTCAAGTCAGTGCTTCCTAGATTCCATCAGTATGTGGACTTTGCAACGAGAGGGGAAAACACGCTGGATTTTGTTTACACAAACATCCCCGGCGCATATCGGGCAGAGCCCCGCCCCCAACTTGGCTACTCAGACCACATCTCTGTTATGCTAATTCCAGCATACAGACCACTCGTCAAGCGATCAAAACCGGTTCTGAAGCAAGTGAAAACCTGGCCAGCAGGAGCCACCTCTGCTCTTCAAAGCTGTTTTGAGAGTACTGACTGGAACATGTTTAGGGAGGCTGCAACTTACGGCGACTTTACTGACTTGGAGGAGTACACGTCATCAGTGTCCAGCTACATCAACAAATGCACCGATGACGTCACTGTCTCCAAGACCATAATCTCACGACCCAATCAGAAACCGTGGATTACTGCGAAAGTGCATGCACTTCTGAGGACCAGAGACTCTGCCTTCAAAGCAGGAGATAAGGTGGCGCTTAGCAGAGCTAGAGCCGCACTATCTCGGGCCATTAGAGAGGCGAAGCGCGCACACGCCCAGAGAATCCACAACCACTTCATGGACAGCGGCGACACACGGCGAATGTGGCAGGGCCTACAAGCCATCATCAACTACAGGACTACAACACCTGCCTGTGATGGTGACGGCTCCCTCCCTGATGCGCTGAACAACTTCTACGCTCGGTTCGACAGGCAGAACGACATGGCGGCAAGGAAGTCCATCCCTCCTCCGAACGACCAGGTGTTGTGTCTCACTACAGCGGAGGTGAGGAAAACTCTACGCAGAGTCAATCCACGTAAAGCTGCTGGTCCAGACAACATCCCAGGCAGAGTGCTAAGGGAATGTGCTGAACAGCTGGCGGACGTTCTCACAGACTTCTTCAACATCTCTCTGAGCAGTACCGTCGTTCCCACATGCTTCAAGGCCACCACCATCGTCCCCGTGCCCAAGAAGTCTTCTGTGTCCTGTCTCAACGGCTACCGTCCTGTTGCACTTACACCTACCATCATGAAGTGCTGCGAGCGTCTTGTCATGACACACATCAAGACCCTGCTGCCCCCCTCACTGGACCCACTGCAATTTACATACCGCCATAACCGCTCAACGGATGACGCCATCTCCACTGCACTCCATCTTGCCCTCACACACCTGGACAAGAAGGACACACACATTCGAATGCTGTACATAGATTTCAGCTCAGCATTCAACACGATCATCCCCCAACAACTGATCGGAAAACTGAGCCTGTTGGGCCTGAACACCTCCCTCTGCAACTGGATCCTGGACTTTCTGACTGGAAGGCCTCAGTCAGTACGGATCGGGAACTGCACGTCCAGCACCACCACACTAAGCACGGGGGCCCCACAAGGCTGTGTACTCAGTCCTCTGCTGTTCACACTGCTGACTCATGACTGTGTAGCAACACACAGTTCAAATCATATCATTAAGTTCGCTGATGACACAACCGTGGTGGGTCTCATTAGCAAGAACGGCGAGTCAGCGTACAGAGAGGAAGTGCAGAGGCTAACGAACTGGTGTAAGGACAACAACCTGTCTCTGAATGTTGACAAGACAAAAGAGATGGTTGTTGACTTTAGGAGGATACAAGGTGACCACTCACCGCTGAGCATCAACGGCTCCTCTGTGGAGATCGTCAACAGCATCAAATTCCTGGGAGTTCACCTGGAGAAAGACCTCAGCTGGTCCCTCAACACCAGCTTCCTGCACAAGAAAACCCAACAACGTCTCTTCTTTCTGAGAAGACTGAGAAAGGCCCAGCTTCCACCACTGATCCTGACCACCTTCTATAGAGTAACTATTGAGAGCATCCTGAGCAGCTGTATCACTGCCTGGTTTGGGAACTGTGCAATATCTGACCACAAGACCCTACAGCGGATAGTGGGAACAGCAGAGAAGATCATCGGAGTCTCTCTCCCCTCAATTAAGGACATCTACACCACACGCTGCATCCGCAAAGCCACCAGCATTGTGGCTGATTGGTCACACCCCTTTCACACACTCTTCACACTCCTGCCACCTGGAAGAAGGTACCGAAGCATTCGGGCACACACATCCAGACTGTGCAACAGCTTCTTTCCACAAGCAATTCGTCTCCTCAACAAAAGGGACTGGACTGATAAACACGCACATGCGCACACACTCACACACGCACGCACACAAACACGCACACACACACACGCACGCACACACACTCTATCACTAAGCTCAACTCAACTACCTCAAAGCATGGAGGCTGGACTTAAATATTAACCAGTTAATGCTTTATTTTTACATGTTTACTGTTCCTTCACCACCTACTGTACATACTAAGTATGTTTACGGTTTTCCTTTGTACTACCTACTTAGAGAGGTCATGTCATATTAGGTCAGTCTGTTCTGTTCTTAATTAGATAGTTTAGTGATTTCCCTGTTATTTTATGTTGTAAATTTATGTTGCATGTAGCACCTTGGTCCTGGAGGAACGTTGTTTCGCCTCACTGTGTACAAACCGTATATGGCTGAAGTGACAATAAAGTCCAATTGATTGAATTGATTGATTGATTGACTTACAACATGTTTGTTCGAGCATGCTCTCTAAAGATAATGCCTCTCTTGTCAAAAGTCCATTTGGAAACATTGGTACATGCTTTTATCGTGTCCCGCATCGACTACTGTAATTGTATGTTGGACTGAGTCAGACTGCAAGTGCTCGGCTCCAACTTGTTCAAAACTTTGCTACCGGATTTCTGACTGGAATTAGAGGGAGGGATCACATTACCCCAGTGCTAGCTTGCCTGCATTGGCTCCCGATGTTTTATCGGGCAAGATTCAAGATCCTCCTCTATGTGTTCAGGGTGCTGCTCCACCATATCTAGCTGCATTTTTGCACAGGCATGTTCCCTCTCTGACCCTTCA